TGCTTTTGTTTGTTCAGCGCCCTCTGACGGGAAACTCTTTTGATTTTGATAGTCCGCCTTCCCATTTCCTTTTTACTTCTTTGTGTTTGCAGTTGCATTTTCGGCAGAGACTACCGACCATCCATTTCATCCATCTTTGTTCAAGTCATCTTTTCCTCGGAAGCAGAGAAAGGAAAAAGGGTGAAGGAAGGAACACAAAAGTGCACAAAAAAAAACCTGGTCTGGATAACAACCTTGTCAATTCAGTTGCCAGCCAAGACAATGATGGTTGCGGCCAGGGGTACCAATGAGAAGGACAAAGGGCGACAGGGACGACTGTAAACAGGAAACTTGTTTGGCCGTCCTTTCTCACTCTTCTCCTTTCGAGACAAGGTAATAGAAAACAACACCATGCTAGGGGTACCTTGCCTTGGGATCTCAATGGTTAGGTTTACATTGTGTGGTTGTTGTTTGTTCAGTGTGTGATCGTCGGGAGTGGCAAGGAGAAGTAACCAAAAAAAAAAAAAAAAAAAAAAAAAAACGGAACCACAAATGGCCAAAAGAAGGGACGGGAAGCACAAGGACGTTTGCGCTATTTACAAATGCTATGCGAAATGACAGGCAATAGTCATCCCATCTCTTACCCCCCACCATTCTCCGTCTCTCTGCTCCCTCCTCCTTGTCCCTTCCTCTCTTCTCCGGCTTTTTCTTTGTTGACCTGAGCCCTGCTTTCTTTTTTCTTCCTTTCGCCTACTCGATAATAGCATTACAGAATGCAAAAAAAAAAAGATACAGCAAACGCAGGAAAAGAAAAAGAAAAGCAGCAAGGACTCAAGTTGCAGAGGATCGTCGACGTGCTTGCCTGTCGATTGTGCACAACCGATTGAGATGCGAGTAATGCGTACGGAACGAGAAGTAAACAGGCGAGAAGCTGCTCTCTCGTTTCTTCTGTTTCATTGTTCTCTGCCGATTGAACCTTCGAATGCGAACATGTGTATTCTCAATAAACAAAAAAGTGTTAGGTGTCGCCGTCCCCTCTCTCGTCTCCTTGCCTCTCCCTTCTCCTTTCCTTTTCTCCTATGCTCTCTTATCCTCCTCTCCTTCTCCGCCTCAGATCATCTCCATCCTCATCCCCCTTTTTTCTCTTCAGCCTGTTTTGTTTTTATTGATAATTGATTTTAGAGAAGAAAAATAAATAAAAAAAAGGCTATAACGCATGAGAACTGGGAATCCATTGGATTGCTGCATCGCCCGGGCGGACTTGCATGACCATGTCGCGCCTTTTTCCCTTCCATTCTCTCGTTTGGATTGAAAAAATAATAAAAATATGACCATGAGCATTGAAAGACAGAACCTTGTTTGTTTGTGTTTGTCCTGTTTGTATATGGTCCATGGTCGAATGCTTGGTTTTAGACTGAGTTTGTGCTTCCCCTTCCATTTTTTTCCTATTCTTTGCCCCTTCTTTCATTCATTCATGCCTTTCCTGCGTTCCACTTTTCTCTGTCCGACCTTAGATGGAGAGAGATTGTATTCTACACCCACTTCAGTCCGTCCATCCATCCATGCAAGAAGGGGGGGAGGACGGTGTGTCGTATATCCATCCATTCGCATGAATAGATGAGACAGTTGGGGTCTATGTCCTTTACACAAACACAACCACCACCAACACCATCATCCTCTTCGGCAACAACCTCTCTGCCTCCTCATCCCCCCCACGCACACAAACAGACAGGTCGACGGGCGCGTACCTCATATTTTTTTCTTATTGCATAGGAGAAAGGAGAAACATGCGAGAGACAGAAAAACAACCTCTCATGCATCGCACACAGACCAATTTGCTCTATCTATTCGTTCTTCTTCCGTACTTGAAAAAGCTAGGCCTGGGAACTGAGGCACCCGAGCCGCTCTCCCAAAGCTATAAGAGATGGGATGAAATGGAGCAACATAACACGTTGGGTTCTTTTTTTTTTTGGTTTTACTCCTCCATTCTTCATGAGACTTCTTTCTTCAGGGCGCCAGGGGTTGGTTGGTTGAAGGGAGCACCCTGGAGGTGGTTTGATTCGAATCCATCGAATGCATGTCTATGCATTTATCCATCTGCGTGCATTTGAGAGGGACAGTGCCAGAGAAAGAGTGTGTGTATACCTTGTTTATGTGCACCGACCCGTTTCAAGATGAATCAAGCAAAAACAAAAAGCAACCACCATGACCTTTTCGTTCCCTTTCTCTCACCCCTCGCTTGAATCTTGATGATGGGTACATAGGTTTTGGCGTTTTGAAGAGTACAGTGTCCATAGCATAGGTACCTTTTTTGTTTTAGGATCGCCGTCTGGCGTTTTATTTCTCTTCAAGCAGATTTCTGTTTGGCGGTTCTTTTGCACTGGTTCCATGATACTGGATCTGGTGTCAATCAGCCCATTGCGCGAGAAAACGGTGAGGGTGGGGAACCTGATGGTAATGTCCGGTGTATGTGTGTATACCCGGTCATTTCAATATTCCCTGGCCAAGCAACAAAACAAATGCCAAGGGAAAACAAACAAACAAAAAAGGTAAAGGTGAGGCGGGCGAAGGAAAGGGAAAGGACGCTGTTGCTGCGCGCTTTGTTGTTGTACAATTGTCTGTTTGATATAAAGTTACTTTCTTTTTCTTACTGGGCTCCATTCCTCGCGACAGGCGGACGAGTGAGTCCAATATCCTGACCTTCTCATTCGCTTATGCAGGTTGGCGGTTGGAGCGAAAGAGTATTTTGATCGAGGCAAAGGGGTGAGGGAACCTGACCGTGACAGCACAAAAGGATAGGATCAAAGAGTGAGAAAGTGCAAAGAGGGGATAGGAAGTGGTACGGCGTTAGAAACGCAAGGGGGTGGGTCCGTACAGCAACAGCTAGTTGACTCAAAGAGACGGAGAGGCCCGAAATTCAAATTCCAAGGAGAGAGAGAGAGAGAGAGAAACAGACAGAGAGAGCGGGATGGAGAATGAGCAACAACGAGGGGGTGACAACAGACAAAGTTGGCAATTTAGGACAAGACAGAGAGTGAGGGGAGTGAAAGCTGGTTGCAAGTCATTTATCGTAACGATAGTCAAGGTTGCTATTGCTAGTCATCGATTCTAAGATTGACAAGGGCGCGTTTTTTTATTCTGCTCCTGTGTGCACGCCATGTATGATTGTTTCCTTGCTTCTATTTGTGCTTGCCGTTCATATCTCGTCGGCATACATATTGCGTTTCATTTCTATCGACAAATCGTTCTTCACATCGCTGTTTGTTGTTGCCTTTGCTACCATTCAATGGCGCCAATGGTCGCATTCATACGTACCCAGCAAGAGATCAACAACACAGAACAACAACGATAAACAAATAGACAACAAACGGCAACAGTAAAAAAGAGTCCTGGCACCACATGTGGTCAATGCCATGGTGTGATTTGATCCGTGTTTCGCCATGTATCCATATACTTGTATCTTCTATGTTTCCATCCCTTTCGCGTGTCGGGTATCAAAAAAGTCGATTCGTCGATGCCTTCTAGTCGTCCATCCGTCCGTTCATCCATTATTGCATTTGTGAATGCTCACCCCTATCTACACACACAATAGAGTGCGAATCATAGGATAGAGTGGTTGGCTTTTGATCCCCTTGGACAGTATAAATCAAGGATGGGGAATGGAAAGGATGAGCCCGATGGGCAATCGCGGGGTAGACTGTCACCATCCATCCACTGTTACAGGAGTTGTTTGTCGTGTCGTGTAGACGGTAGGATGAGCCTGATGATGGGCAGTCCATCTATCCGTAACAGCAGGGGATTTCTATCCGCCTTCCACTCCTGCATGTTACTCATGTGCAGTATCTAGTGTCCGTCGCCCCTAGTTGTGTAGAATTGTGTCATCCTAGTCGTTCGTATCAGTCAATGAGAGCCTTCCTTCCCCATTCTCCCTCTCCCTCCTGTCTGGTTAATCTCATGCCGTAACCAAACCACGGGTTCCCATGACTCTCCTCCTGGTGCTGCGTCTCTAGTAACTAGTTGTCAGAAAGTGAAGTTGGATATCTGTCATATGCACACCCTTTCTTTTTCCATCTTGCCCAGCTGACCTTGTCTCAGTCCGAAAAAAAACGACGGGGTGTGTTTAATGGTTGATGCGATAGGCAATCCATAGGAAAAAAAAAAAAAAAGACGTTGAGTGCATGTGTATGATATGATATGGGGATGGAGTATAGAAAAGAAAAGAAAAAAGAAGAATGCGCCACTAGGTGGCGGTGAGTTGATCATTTATGAACAAGATGGTGTGTTTTGATATGATAAGCCTCCTTCTTCTTGTCAGTCAAGTCAGTCAGCCACAGTCGGTCAGTCATGATGAAAGAAGGGAGTCTTGACGTCGAGTCAACAAAAAAAGGAGGCAGCAGAAATGAGCGAAGTGAGTGAGAGGAGAGGGTTGAGTCATTTTTGTTCTTCGATGTTCACACAACTCAATTCGACGACAAAGTTGACGAATCAGAAGGCGTGCGTTGATTATCTCTTGTCGGATAGGTCATGTGATTCGTTCTGGTGGTATTCTCTTGGTATCCCGTTTCTCTTCTCGTGAGTAAGTGTATCGATATATGATGTGAACTCACTGTGAGGATGATGACACCACCCTGAGGAATAGTGTGAATGTGCGGTGCGGATGGCGTGTGAATGAGCGTGGATGTATGCTGGTTGCACTGGTTGTGTCTATCTCACTGAGACTGGAGGGGTTACAAGAGTGTGACACAGCACGACAGAGGAGCAAAAAAAAAGAGTCATAATTTTTTTCCTCTTACTCCCACTTACTGCGTGCTGCGTGCTGCGTGCTCCCATCCCGTCCAGTCACTCCAGTCAGCCACAGTCAGCCGTCAGCCCCCGCCCGGCTTGTCCATCCCATAAAAATAAAAGACATGCCCTCTCTTCACTTCTTTTCCCTTCCATCATCAACTTCTCTCTTGACTTTTACAAAACCACACATCTTCACTTAACCAACCCCACACTTACAGCAATCTAATCTATTCAAGATGACTTTGATCTCCTCCTCCGTTCCTCTCGACACCTTCTACTGCCACACCAACACTCTCGCCCACCAGAACAACACCTCTTCCACTGCCAACGAACAGGCCCTGTCCTGGCTCCACTTTGAGCCAGCGACAGTGTCCACCCCAATTAAGAACAACAAGTACCGCACCTTGGCCTCTATCCAGGCCCAGTCCCTTCAGCAGCACCTCCACCTCCTCAACAACGGCGACAACCTCTCCCCCGTCTCCCCCACCTCCGCTAAGCCCTCCCTCCTCGATACCCAATCCACTTCTTCAATTACCACCACAACTTCTACTGCTCCCACCACCAGTATCACCAAGGAGTCGACCACCACCCACTCCATCACCGCCGCCCTCCAGGCCATGGACGCCAGCCACGGCACCTGCTTCCTGACCTGGATCCACAACCCAACCAACCTCGACTACATCTCCCTCCGCCTCCGCCCCCTCTGCCTCGAATACCCTCTCGTCGACGTCGCCAATGTCCTCCGCTGGATCGGCGCCGACTGGTCCTCGACCGACTGCAAGGCCCTCTTCCGTGCTGTCACCTCCAACTGGGACCAGTCCAAGCGCCGTATCCTGGCGTTCTTGCTTATCCGCGACGAGGAGATGAGACAAAAGGCCAAATCAAAGTTGGTCGAGTTTGCTCAAAAGTCTTCGGCTACGACCTCCAGAAAGTCCACTCAACTCCGGACCCCTGGCTCTTCCTCTTCCTCCTCCTCCTCCTCCTCCTCCTCAATTTCGCCGCAGCAACAGCATCAGCGAATCCAACCTACTATTCATTACCAGCAGCGCATCCAACAGCAACAGCAGCAGCAACAGCGCAAGCAGCTCCAGCAGCTCCAGCCCGTAACCGTAGGGACCTCCGTACCCAGCATTATCGACAACAACAACAATAACGCCTTTTCCTCCTGGCGTGGCAGCGTCAACATGACTACCCTCGAAAACATCGCTGCGGCCTCCTTGATAACAGGGATCGACATGACCCTTCCCTTATCCACCTCGTCTCCTTTATCCTCCTCTTCCATTGCTGCTTCGGGCTCTGCTCCTGCCGCCGCCTGCGCCTCCACCACGTCTACCAACCTTTATTCTCGTCGTTTTTCTCCCTATTGAGTCTTATCAAAAACCACCATCCTCCGCCCCTTCTTCGGATACAACCTATCCATTTCTTCCTCTTTTTTTTTGATGACTTTTCATGAATAACTACGAATAAGTTCTTCTTTCCCTAAAAAAAAAAAAAGCACAAAAACACTTGTAAAAACATATGTACCAAAACACACAAAAAAACCAACCCGACATTGACTTGCTGTGACCTTACCCCCCTAACCAACAACTGCCACAATCAAGCAACCAAGAAAAAAAAATAAAAAAAATCCTTCAAAAAATAAAAACCAAACACTACTTCTCTTTTTAATTATCTTTCCTGTGAACTTGTCAATTGTCCTTTAATGAATGGATGCTGGGTATCGAAAACGTCCATACTGCATAACTTCGCCCACAGGAATGGTGACATACATCGACCATCCGGTAATGAAACAGTTGTGTAATAAACGGCCTTTTTGGCGGCAAACATCATCATTAACAACAACAACAACAACAACAAGAACAAGAGGTATGACGATTCTTGTTTACTTCAACGGCTCAAAAAGTTCTTTCGTTATTTTTACTTCCGTTCTGCTGAGAGAGAAAAAGTATTTATGTACAAGCTGTATGCATGCATCCGAGATAAGATATTACATCTAACTGGCACCACTTTTGCACAGAGAGAACAGAGAGAAAAAAAGACAACGAAAAAAGCAACATGCAATCAATAGTCGCCAATTTACAACAACAATAGTCGATATAATCATCTATGTGTCATGACACTTCAGGTCCCAATGGTCCGCTTGGTTTGCATGTAGTTGTTGCAGCTATTGTTTATTTTTATGAAGCAGAAAAGTTTCTGAAAAAAATGTGGTTGATGGATAACGGATGTGCTTTTGGCAGGAAGGAACAAACAAGAAAGGTAACTGCATACACTAGCACAGAAGAATAAAAAGATGACTACTTGACAAGTCAGGTTGACCAAACTGCCAGAGTTTGTTGAATAGGGAACCTTGTCTGTCCCTCCATCAGTCAGTCTGTCAGTAGAGACGAAAGATGACTCACAAAGACTTAACCGACATGGAAGAGAATCTTCTTCTTGTTCTTCTTCTTCTTGCCCGTCGAAGACTCCTCCTCCTCTTGGTCCGCCGCCGCCGTCAGGTTGTTCCAGCCGCTCACCCACCCATTAGGCTCGTCCTGCCCAGTCTGGCTGCGGCTCTTCTTCATCGGCAACAAACCGAACGAAGGCTTGAGGCCAACAGGGGCCTGGCTGACAAGCGAGGGGAACTGATCAGCTGCTGCAACGGGGCGACCATAGTTGCCAGTCGAGGGGCGGAACTGGGGAGCTGACGAGCTCGAGGTGGTCGTCTGGGGGATTCCTGCCCACGATGCTGATCCTCCCAATCCAGCAAGGTTACTGCTACTGTTACTGTTGGCATTGCGTTGGCTAGAGCTGGTACTCTTGCTGGCCACAGGGGTGAACACTGGCTCGGTGTAGGTATCATCCGAGGCTTGAGGAGTCGTCCAGACAGAGGCCGACGACGAGTTCAACTGCGGGGTCGGGTAAAACACAGGGGTTGCCGTTGACCGGAACCCTCCTGGCGAGTTTGTCCTGTTGGGTGATGACGACGAGGCCGCTGCTGCGGCGGCGCGATCCCATGTACTCGTGGACTTGGGCTTCGCATGACCGAGACCACCGCGGGTCGTTCCAGACGACTTGATCACCAGGACTCGGCGGGTCGATGGCGTCGCAATGTCCGCCATTGTAGGGGAAGAGGTCGATTCCAACGAGGGGAACTGGCTCTGCACAGTCTTATGGTCACGCCAGACACGCATGATCTCGGCCTTCTTGCTTTCAGAGTCCAAGACATCGTACAGACCCTGGATCACCTTGCCAGTCTTGTCTATATCATTCCCAAACAAGGACGACAGCGATGCGACATATTGGTTGCCTGGTATCTGCGAGTTGCGGTATTGTGTTGTTAATGTCCTGAACTGGGATAATGATCCACTTGTTCCTTGAAGATACTGTTGGACACGCTCCTGCAATGCGCTGTGCTTGCTCAAGGTATCAGTCGACACAGGGCCACCACCTGTGGCGGTGGCAGAGGATTTGGGACGGAGAGATGGCGTGTTGACAGCGGCAGAACCAGCTCCAGTGACAGCAGGCCAGTCCGAGCTGGACTGCGAGACGACAACAGGAGAGTTGACGCGCATGGGGCTAGATGTCCGCTGGATGTTAGCGGCAACACGGGCTGCGGCAGAGGTCGACGAGCTCTGAGGGCGGATAGGCGCGGGCTCGGACAAAGTAGTACCAAAGCCTGCTGGTGGTCGCGTCCGCAGCATTGATTTTTGCTGAGGTACTGAGTCGAGGGAGAGATCTGCAAGACCTTCACGAGCAGCATCAGCATTCTCGCTGTTTTGACGTCTTTCGTGCTCCTCTGCCATCTGCTGCTGAAGCGCAATCTGCTGGATCTGGTGGGGTGTGAGCTGAGGCTGTGCTGGGACTTCTGGTTCCCGGTTGCTGTTGCGGCCTTGTTGGCGGTTGTTGTTGTTATTGTTGTTGTTACGACCACCACGACGAGCGTTCGAGTTCTCGCTAGCAGACTGATAGTTGAAGCTGATGTCGATCTTTCTGGCGTCCCGAAGCCGGGTTCTCTGGCCGTGTGTCGTGTTGGGATGCATCTCGGCCTCGTGGCCCTTCAGGTCCAGATCGGAATCAAACACCACAAACTTTTTCTCCAAGCATTCTGGGTCCATACACGCGTAATGCTCTGAATGCAAATGCCGCTCCTATGTATATCATGGACATGTAGAAACAACGGGCATTGTTAGTGTTGGCATTGATAAGAGTGAGAACAAGCTACCCTGTGAATAAGGAGTTAAAAGCAGTGGAAGACAACTTACAAGGTCGAGATACTTGTCATAGTATTGGTGGCGGACATTCCGTCGGAGACAAAGGAAGCACTGTTCGTGGTTCTTCTTGCAATGTTCAAACAACTCATCGTCGCCGTAGAAGCTTTCCTTGCAGAAGCCGCACTCGGGATGGCCCCTGAAGCCTGAGGGCTCGGCCGAGTTTTGGTTGGCCTGTCCAGAGTCGCCGCTCCTGAAGTGCTTCATCAGTTGTGAGGCTGTCATCAGGTTGTGTTCGTGGGCAAACACTTTCTTGTGGCGGACACACAGGTCACTGTTTTAAGACGCGTCCCGATAACAAGAGGAGATATCAATGGTTAGTGATGATATCGAATGGATGAAGCAACGCGGTTGAGAATATCAGGGGAAAAAAAAAGGTTGCTTACCAGAGCATTAGTTTGTGGACCTTCTTGACGTGAGACTTGAGCTGGTTCCAACCCTCGGGGCAAGCGACTTCACAGGTGGGATCGGGGCAGTTGAACCTCAACAAGACCATCGTGTCCTCGTACATCTCCTGATCCTCAAAGTAGATGTTCAGCTTGCGATCATAGTATGCCATCGACTTCAAGTTGTAGTCCTGGAAAGACTTTTCTGGGTGTCTCGTAAAGATCATCACTCCTTGATCAGCCTGGTCCATCCATGAGATGTGGAAAGGTAATAGTAAACATAACAAGTGTTGATTAGTCACCAGTATACTTCTCTTCTCGTCTTTTCGATCGACTATTTTTTTTTTTTTTTCAATGAACGTTTTTGTAAGCAAAACGTGTTTCAATGGTTACCTTGCAGTAAGCGCAGTTCTTGGTCTTGTAGAGGGCGCGCAGTCGGAGGGAGCAGAGATGGCAGGTGCGATGGTTACAGTCAGAGACGGCAAAGATGACAATATTCTCTGTGCAGATGAAGCACGAGTGTTCAGCACCATCCTCAGCAACAGGAGGAGGAGTAGTAGTAGTTATTGTAGTGGCGCTGTTCTCAGCATCGGCAGAGGCCTCCCTGCCCGCCTGGAGATCGATCGGGTCTGTGGCAGCAATGGTCCTGGGTGCTCTTGGGTTGGGAGCAGATCCAGCAGCTGTGGAATCCTTGTCCTTCTTGTTGCGACCATCCTGACGTTTAGGCTTAGGAGCTGTTGCTGAGTCTGACTGGGAGCCTTTTTGTTGGTTGTTGTTACGAACACCGCCACGTTTGGGGGGTTGTCCCTTGCGACCAGTTCCGTTGCTGCTGTTATTATTGGTGATGGTGTTGGCCGAGGTAGAATCAGCAGAGGCAGCGGAGGAGGAAACGGCAACAGGATCCATTGTGCTTGATCTCGTTATAGTATTGAACGTGGGCCCAGGTGGGAGTGATGGTGCTATTTCTTTTGATATTACTGGCGACAATGAGAAGAAGAATATACGGCGTGTTGAAAAAGAGTGCTATCGAATAGGAGTAGGTGAGGGGGATTGAGAGTGAAAGGGTTAAGAGAAAAGCAGGATGATCTCTTCCCTTCGCCTTTTTCTTCTCACTCTTTTTTTTTTTTTTTCTTTCGCAAAAACACACAAGAATCGAATTCTGACAAATGATTGGCCGGGAGAACACGACTCTCACTCTCTCTCACTGCTCTGTTCCGATATGATACGCCGCAGCTTTGCTGCCGGAGTCACCTCCGTACTCCCTTAGGTCCAATCCACGTTGGAGTAGGCAATAATAAACAACAAAGTCAAAGACCATAGACATGGACATGGACAAGGTTACTATCCCTATCTATCTGCCTCCCATGGTCGTCCTCATCCTGCATTGACACCAGTCGCATGCTTTGTATTCGTACGAGGGAGGGGGCATGATTTTATTAGATCGTCTTTTTGTTTTGATGTGAGTGTGCTTGTTTGTGTGCGTGAAGGATATTCTTTTTGGATGGAACGAAGAGGCTACTATTTCTTGAGAGGGGTTGCTTCTTTGCTGTTTGGCCTGGCTCTTCTTCAACAATGGAGGAAGAGATAGAGAAAAACAACAAATAGAGTCAATCAACCTCAAAAATGGTCAACGAGGGAAAGGAAAAGGAGTAAAGTACTAGGCGGAAGGGAAAATTAACGAGTAGAGAAAATAAATAAAGTGACTTAGGGGATAGAGGTGAACGACGGTTCATAGTGCTCCTTGGGCATCGGTGGCAGGGGTCGGTCAAGGGACTCGGCCATCGAGATCGGCCGAGCACGCATCGACTGCGGCCGGCCGAAGCTGAACGGTCTAGGCGACGTCGTGGCTCGCTCAAGCTTCGTCGAATGATGGCGCACATGCGTCGGCTCCCGAGGCTGGTTTCGGCCATCACCGCCTTGGTGGTCGCGGTTCTTGTCCTTCTCCTTCTCCTTCTCCTTGTCACGGTCTCCATGGTTAAACACAAGGCTCAGTCGTCGAAGCACTCCTCCACTCGACTCCCTCACACTGCCAAACAGAGAACGAGCCGCATGGGCCGCTGCCGACTGACCCAGGCCACGCTCTGAGCCCTTGCTGCTCTTGATCGACCCCTCTCGACTGGGGCCATGCAGAGATCCGTTTCCATGTCCATGGCCGTTGCCATTACTACTTCCGTTTTGTGTCGAGGTATTGTTGTTGTTGCCAGTGTTTGTGTTGGCGTTGCTGCCACTGGCATGTCCTGTCGTGTTGGACCGCAACAAGTCTCCAGCAACCGATCGAGCCCGGGGTCGAAGACTCTTTCGTCCAAACGAAGCAAATCCACTCAGCGTCGATCGCGCCGATGCCATCGCACTGCTAGGTCCCATGGTGTTGCTGTTGCCATGAGTGCTGTGGCGGTCGCTCTGGCCTTCCAATCCTGCTCGTGGGTCGTTCGACATATGGCTCATGCTCTGGCGGTGAAGCGACTGTGCCTGAGCATGCGACGTCGACGCCTGTTGCTGGAGCTGTTGTTGCGGGTGCATCATTGTCGATTGAGAATACTGGTGGGAAGTTGAGCCGTCCATCATAGATCCATTTCCATTCTGAACGCCGGGCGAGAGTCCCTGGGCTGACATGCGCTGCATTGCTTCGCGTGCCTGCTTCTCTCGGACAAGATGATAGATCGACGTCAAGGGTGTCGTCAAGGGTATCTGAAGCTCAGCCTCTCGTGCTGCAAAGCTCTGCATCTTCTTCTTGTGCGAGAGTGTGCCGCTGACAGACATGTTGAGTGCATGCCAGTTCCTGGCCGCCAGCTGGTACGATTCGCTCCGGATGATCGACAACAATCTCTGCTCAATCTCCTGCTCCGATCCAAACTCAAATCCTGTCATGCCGCGAATCACATTCAGGTCCAGGGGTTCAGTCAGAGGACTTCTCTGTGGGCAATAGCTTGGTTGAGGAAGGTCGTATGACTTGTTCATCCAGGGATGCGCTAGAACCTCTGCCATCGTCGCTCTCTGACTTGGCACCGTCACCAACATCTTTGAAAGCAAGTGTCTGCAGTCTATGGTATCACAAAATACCAATAATTGCATGTGGTATTAGATGAGTATATTGCATTCCTCCAAAAATGTACCACCATGCTCGTCGTCATCCAAATTAAAAATAGAGATAAAACAAAAAGCGTACCATTGCTGAGCCACGCTGGGTATTCGACAAAGCCGCGCTTGATCTTCGCATGGAGAGCTGGCATAGACTGGTCGTCAAAGGGGACCTTTCCACAGACAAGGACGTAAAGAACAATTCCAAAACTCCAGACATCGACCTCTGGCCCAGTATAAACCTTGGCGTTCAACAACTCTGGGGCAGCAAAGTAAAGAGAGCCGCAGAAGGTTGAAAGGTGAGAGCGAGGCGAGTAGAGGTTCGAAAGACCAAAGTCGATGATTTTGATGTTTCCAGACTTTGAAATCAAAATGTTTTCAATCTTCAAGTCGCGGTGCACAATCGAGTTTCTGTGGCAGTAGTCTATAGCATGCAAGTAAAAGACGTTGTCCATGGTGAGTCAGTAAGAATAAAAAAGGTCGCACATTCATCAGTCATGCTGGGAAAACAATACACGTTGGAATAGATTTGGCAAGGTTCTTACCGAGGGCTGAAGCAATTTGGCGGGCAAATTTCCGCGCATGCTTCTCCTTCAGTTTGCCGTGGGAGATGATATAGTCCAACATCTGTCCACCGTCGACGTGCTCGAGGATCATGTAGTAATGATGGGGTAAGACCATGACCTCGTAGAGACTGACAATGTAGGGGTGGTGCAGCACCATCATAATGGACGCCTCGCGAATGGTTCTTGTCTCTCGGTTGTCCTCCTTTTCCTGTTGTGCGGGGGTCATGTTTGGATTAGGTTGCACACGGGGAATAATCTTGATCGCGACCTGTCATATATATCATCGATATTGATGATTGTCGTCGTTGTTGGTGATCGTCATTGGAATGAGAAAGAGAGGGTCACAATGGGAAGGAAGCATAAAAGCAGAAAAATTCAGTAGCTGGTTAGCTTGTTGTTATCTTTTGTGTTAAATGAGAGATCACAAGGCACAAACAACTCCAAAGGAGATAGCGCACTAGCTCGTGTACAATAGGAAAAAACATCACAAGAAAAAGGACCGATGCGGCGGCTTGAGCGGGTAACCTTGTTCTCTCCCTTCTCTTTTGTTTCTCTCCCCTCACTCGTCTTATTCTCTATCTCTTTTGTGGTTCTCTTGTTTTGTTATGTCGCCATGAGGTCAATGCCCATGCCTACGCCTGACACGCTGACGTGCTGCTGGCCGGTCTTTTCGCAAAACGAAGGATGGGACAAAGGAAAGAGGGAGGGGCGCACAGAGTCATCGATCAACAATGAACAAGGAAGAGATGAAAGGAAAAAGGAGCTATTGTATCGTCTGAAGACCGGTTGTTGTTGTTGTTGTTGTTGTTGTTGGTCGTCCTGACGATTCGTTTGAATGGTGATAGAGTGGCTGCATTGCCCATTAAGTCTAGTCCTGCCGCGATAACTCAAAACAAAGACAACAACCAAATTGTAATATTACCCCCCCCCCCCCCCCCCCATCCCCGAAATACAATAAACATGATAACTGAAATAAAACTGAGAGCGATTGGGCCGTTAATATTTACCTTGTCGCGAGTACGGCTGTGAACTCCCAGCTTGACCTTTCCCATGCTTCCTGCACCGAGTGTTTTGGACATATGATAGTTGCCGAGGACTCTGCGGGGCTTGACCCGAGCAGGGTCTTCTCCGTTAGCATCCACTGGTGCTCCTCCCTGAGCAACCAGGCCATCCTGTCCCTCCTGTTGATGATGGCTCTTGCCAGTCAAGTCCCTGTTTCTATCTCTGTGAGAGTCAGTATGACCGTTCTGCTGGTTCATGCTCTCGGAGCGGTGGTGCTGGTTGGAAGGTAAGACTGCTGGGTCGTCCGAGGTGTGGCCGTTCCTGTCCTGAACATGATGAGCAAGCTGGAGGCCATTAGAGGGTTCAGGAGTAGTGGAGGTGCGGGTGGTGAGGGTGGTGGTAGTGGTGCGCGACGAGGACGGGGTATTATCTTGTGACAAGATGAGGGCACTCTCGGGGTGCTGTTGTTGATGGCCCTGGTATTGTTGCTGTTGCGGGTGGAGCTCATATTGCTGATAGCGACTGTCATGTTGCTGGTAGTTGTGTCGCTGGGACTGTTGCTGGTCCAGTGCAACGGGCGACTCGCCAGAGCCGTTGTAGGGTGGAGGAGGACCCAACAGGGTAACTCTCTTGGAAAGTATCCTCTCCTTATCCTCAGAGGACGAAGGTTGTGGAGAGGAGACCAAGAGGTCCTCTCGCTCAAATGTTCCAGGAGTCAGGGCTATGCTCTGAGGGCGGTCTGCAGTTCGCTTTGCTGTAGTGGTTGGTGTTGTTGTTTGTGAAGTGGTGGCAGTGGCAGCAGAGGAAGTGACGGGGTGCGAATGAGAGTTGGAGTGGGAGGATGAGGATGAAGAGGACGGGGTGGAAGGAGGCAGTTGAAGGGCTGAGTTGTCGGGAGTTGGCTCAAGTCCGGTAGTTGTAGGATGATGATGATGGTGGAGTCCGATTTCGATGGGTGTTGCTGTTACTGTTGTTGAGGTGGGAGGAGGGTGAGCAAGGTGGTTGGAAGAGGTAGGGGTTGGGGGCAGATCCTTGTCGTAGTGGGGGCTGTGGGATGAGTCTGCTCTTGAGAGGGATCTAACGGGGGATTTGATGGGTTTAGCTGACGATGGAGATTCCATAGAGGGCACCTGCGGGGTATTGGGAGAGATGGGCATTATCGCCATGGTCTATCTGACTGGAGTGGAACAGTGGCAGTAGTTGTTGTTAGGATGATGGTTAGAGAAGAGAGGGAGGTAAGTAAGGAAGGAGGGAAAAGGGTGCGGGATGACGAATGGATTATGAGTGAGAGTGTATATAGGAGAGGGATGAGAGAAGAGATGAGATGATGAGGGGAGAGAGAAGAGGGGGGAGTGAAGGTGTGAAAAGAAAAGAAGTAAAAAGAAGAAAATAAGATGATGACGGGAGAGAGGATAAGAAGAGAAAGAGGAGAGAGAGAGAGAGAGAGAGAGAGAGAGAGAGAGAGAGAGAGAGAGAGAGAGAGAGAGAGAGAGAGAGAGAGAGAGAGAGAGAGAGAGAGAGAGAGAGAGAGAGAGAGAGAGAGAGAGAGAGAGAGAGAAAAAAAAGAGAGAACGAACACAAATAGATAAAAGAGAGGGACAACAACAAAAAAGAGGGTGCAAGGATGTTGTGATGTTGGTGATGATGTGTTATGGATATGATAGCTGAGGGTAATGAGGAGTGTAGGTAAGGGGATTGTTCCTTGTTGCTTTGCCTTTTGTACAGTTCTTTATATCGAAATGAGTGAGAGTGGGTGTGGATGGTTCTCTCCAGGTGGGACCATAGGGTAAATGTTGTTGTTATTTGCTGACAAAGGGTATCCAAACTCTCCTCTTATTTTTAAATGGTGTCAGTCAAAGAAAGAATAGGGAGGACAGCCCATGGGTGCATTTCTGCATGCCATCCTGCTATTTCACTGCCGATGTGAATATCCACCGTACTGTAGCTGTTATTGCATATGCATTGTTTTTTTTTGCGATCGCAATCCGCTTTATCCACATTCTCGACAAACAATAAAGACGATAGAAAAGAAAAAGACGACAAGGAACCATCCGACATACTGGGAGAGAAGACAATCCTTATGATAGAAGAGATGAAGCAATTGAACCAAACCCTAGGACCACAAAGGAACAAATGGCAACAAATGAACTGGGGAATAGAACAAGGAACCGCCTGCTACGAACACCTGGTTCCCGGCCAGTCATAAACCATTCTTCTTGATTCAACATCAGCCATAGAAGGTCTTTCAAACACCACGCATCATCGCTATCTCTCTTTTATGTTGGTGATACTGGTAGTTTGTTGTTGCTGTCCCTGTCCCTGCCGCTGTACTTGTCGTTGTTGCTCTTGCTGTCATTGTCGACCATATCCATCTTTTTTGTGTTCAAGTTGGACATGTGCGTATAAGTTGAGGTATGTAGATGGATAAACATGCATTGTGTAGAAAGGAGAAAAGGCAGGAAGAAGTGGTGTGTATGTATGTGTGTTTGGATGTGTGTGAGTGAACAAGTGTGAGTGTGTGTCTTTTTTCACTGCAGGAGAAAAGGGGTTCCTTTCTGTCTATCAGTGGTCGGCTTCAGACAAAAGCTTCCTATGGCACCTTATTTTTCATGGTATCCTCCCTCTCTCTTCTCTCTTCTCTGTTACCCTCTTTACTCCTCTTCCTCCTCTCACGCTGCCTCCTCTTGTTGTCTGTTTTCTGGCCAATCAACTTCATGCCCATTCATCCCGGTCTAGTGGGAAAAGGGTTAACAACAATAAATAACCAAAGAGAACTCATCCTTGTCTTCATTTCTCTCCATCCGTTGCAACGGAAGAATAACGCAAAAACTAATGAAGCGAACAAGCGAGCGTGAAAGAGAACCAAAAAAACGAAAACGAGTATGAGAGTAGAGACGTGAGCTAATGGAGAGCTGAGAGTGCAAGGATGAAAAACAAGCTTTCGCTTAGTACATACAGCCGGGAAAGCCCTCACTCAGCACGAACTCAACTCAAATGCACTACCAGACAGAAAGGTACTCTCCTTTCCCTTCCTCCCCTTCTTTTTTTGCCGGACCGTTGGCTGATGGGTCCGATAGTATGAGAAAAAAGAAAAATAGGGAAACTACAATAACAACAATAAAGAACAAGCAGATAAAAAAAAGAGGGAACCCATAACCCCTTGGGTTTGTACTCTACTCCTGGTCCACCCCCTCTCGCTCTCTCTCTCTCTCTCTCTCACTTTGCCTATTTCTCTCATCCCTTTCCTTGTGTACACTTTCGCCGATAATAATAGGAAATGTCATAATAAAACTAGTAAAACGAAAGAGCAATATAGAAAAGTAAAAAAAAAGCTCCTCCTTGGTGAATGCTTTTGTTGAGGTAAGGAGTAGTGCTCGTGTGAGTGTGTAAGAGTGTGCAAGTGCTTTGGAAAGGAAATAAGTTGTTGAAGTAGCATGGAATGATGTTGTCGTTTGACTTTATCTTTCTCGGTGTAGGTTGTGAATGGAATGAGTGCACCGTTGAGGACAGAGTGTTACTGACTGAAGAAAAAGAAGGAGGTGGGAGGTATGAAGTAGGGAGAGTGCGTACTCACCTCTGAAGTGGGGTTGATTGTTCCTGTCTCTTTTCCCGTTCGTTTGCTGCTTTATTGCTTTAATGTGAATGAGGATGTGTTAGTTGTTGTGGTTGTTGTTGTGAGTGGAAGTGAAGTGAGTAGGTGGGAGTGTGGATGTGTGTGGAGAGGAGAGGAAAAAGAGCTAAAAAGTGGTGGCAAAAAAAAAAAAAAAAAAAAAAAGAAGAGTGAGTGACCGGGGGGAGGGAATGACAGACAGGGTATGCAGAAAGAATGAAAGGACGAAAGAAAGTAGTGGAAGAAGGGGAAGAAGGGGAAGAAAGGGAAGAAGGGGAAGAAGGGGAAGAAGGGGAAGGTGGAAGGAGGAAGGTGGACGGCGGAAGGAAGAAGACAAAAAAAAAAAAGAAAGAAAAAGAGGAAGGAGCGGGAAAAAGTAAAAAGAAGAGACCACTCCAAAGCAGCAAACAATGGACAGAGAGAAGAGAAAACAAACAACAACAACAACAACAATAACAACAACACTAGCAAGTGAACAGCGAGCCAGGTCCAAGGGAGAAATAAGAAAGCATCTTATTTAAGCAGACATGATGTCGGGGCCATTGGATAAGAATAATGCATTGGATGTGGGGGATACAAAGGGGCAGATGGGTGTGGGATGGGGGATAACCACAGCAGAGCATTGTTTTTTATGCATCGTATTGTGCTTGTCATCGATCTCTCTCTTGTCGACACCTTCCTCTTTCCGTTCCCTTTGTCAACAACATCCCTCCCAACATGGTTCATCGACGTCTGATTGTTTGTTTGTTGCCAATGCCAATGCTTCGCCTCTGCTCTTTTTCTCTCTCGTTCTTTGACATACTTTATTCCTGCCATCCTTGCTCCATTCAATCTGTCCGCCTTCGACTCTCTCTCTCTCTCTTTTTCTCTCTCTCTCTTTTCTCTCTCTCTCTTTTCTCTCTCTCTCAAAGCATAGCCATCAATCCTTCATCAGTGTACACCGGGGAAGAGATCGAACCTTCAATGTGGCCATGGTGCTATGCTGTGGGTCTCTCCATGTCCATGTAACATCCAGGGTTCTGCCTTCTCGCTTCCCTTTTCTTTTTCTATCCCTCCTTTCCCTACAGCACGTCATCTTCTGTGTTCACACTCCTTTTTTCTTTCTTCTTTCCTTTCTCGCTTCGTACTACATCCTCCCTTCTGTCCGTTGCTGTATGCATATTTTTTTTTCTCCTTGACTCGATGAACGAATATGGACGATGACAGGTTCCAAATCCTCCTCATCCCCTTCCTCCTATCTCGCCCCCCATTCTGTCCTCCCTTCCTTCCTTCCTTTCCTACTTTCTCTTGCAACCCCTACATTTCCTTGTTCTCGCTGTCTCGCTACCTCTTCCATTACTGTTTTCTTTGTTTGTTTGATTTGCTTGCTTTGCTCTTTTATTTTCTTTGTCATGACCTCTTTTCCGTCATTGGTCGGTCAAGAAGAAAAAGAGCAAAAGCACGATGTCAAGGTACAATTCTGCCCTATCTCCACCTTTTTTTTTTCATTCAATTCCTTGTACTCCACGTACAGAATGAACGTTAATTCTTCAGACAGTTGTACGTGAAAAAATATATATCCAGAAAAAACATGTTTGGATGATGTGTTTATGCGAACATGGTCTGCTGACGGAACATCAACCCCAAAGACTCGGACTCTTCCTCAACCGTCTCCCTTGCACTCTTGACACTGTTGCTCAAATCAGCATTGTAATAAGTGTCAACAGGGATCCAGCCAATGTAGTGGATACCACCGAATCCACCAATGTAGTAGATCTCCTCAATGTCGAAGTTGTACCACTTGAAGTCGTGGAATCCTGCGCCGGGCAACCACCACTTGGCCTCTGGGTGCTTTGCTACAAAGCACTCCTCTGCCTTCTTTTGCTATTTGTTTGGATAGATTGGTTTGGTGGGAAGGGTAAGATAAAAGTGTGAGTGTTTCTTTCTTTTCACCGTTTCTTTCTCGCTCTTTGTTCTTCATATTTTTTGAGTGTTCAACCTTGTTCAATTCGTTCCAGTCTTTGTTTGCATCTTTTAGCCCTTGCTCCTTTTTTATCATCCATGCCGTACATCCATGTTCTCTTTAATTGTTTTGTGTCCCATGCTGTTGTTCTCGTTGTTGTGTCGTCGAGTCCTCATATTCTTGCAAAGTTATTCCCAACTCTTGTTCATCAACCGTGCACATGCCCAATCTGCACAAATACACAAACAGACAAAGACTCCAAGCTGAACAGGATAAAACGTCCATTGGGTCATCTTTCGCACATCCACTGAACGCAAAAAAAACAAACTGCAACTGATGTTTACCTTGGCCTCCTCGACGGGAACAAGACGACCCATCAGAGTCACACGGGGATCAACCATAGGGTTACCACGTTCACCAGGACCTGGGAGCCTAATACATCACAAAACAGAAAGGAGAGACTTGTCAGCCAATGGAGCAAAAAAAAGGAATCATGACATTCTATGCGCATATGGATATCCTGGAAGACGACCATAAGATAATAGAGGACGTACTTGCGAATGGCGAGGGAGATATGGTTCGAGGATCTGGCGTTCTGGACGTTGATCTGGAGGTGAGAGAGGAGCATCAAGGGCTTGCCTCCATCCTGGCAGTCATCGACATAATAGTCCATGCTTCCGAATGGGTATCCTATTTCATATTCATTGAATGTCATAGACATAGTAAAATGAGTACATGTTTGTCCTGCACGCCACCCTTGCTACATCCTTGCTATGCGTGTAGCTCCTTGTTCATCCTAAACAAAGAAAACAATTAAACAAAGAAAAAGTTACCTTCGACGGCAGACTTTTGGCTAGAGTTCATGATGCTCATGAGGGTACCGACGCCAGTGTTCTTGACGAGGTTGCGGGCAAGACCGGCAGCCTGCTCACGAGTCTCACCCATCGCCTGGACGCTCTCGCCATGGCAGGGGGCCGCGGGGGCGGGGAGAGCCATAGCAGTGGCCGACAACAGGGCCAACGAGAAAGTGACAGCAAGAGTGCGAAGAGAAAGCATTATGAATTAGGAATGAGGTGAATGAATTAGGAAAGAAGAGATGGAGATGGGTATGAACAGGGGCGAGGCGGTTGAAGAGAGGGGAAGGAGAAGGTAAGGACTGGGGGGCTGACCCCCCTATTTATGCAGCCCGTTTAGTGGAGTTCACCACATTTGAGAAGATGCGTAGTGAACACTGAACAGTCCATTCAGTAACGAAAGTTTTCGTTATCAGATCGAACCCGAACCGCGAACAAGTGCAAAAGGGCGTGGCGCGCTACAGTAACATGAAAGATGAGATGGGTTTGTTGTCACTTGCAAGCGACTTGTCTGGAATATCTTTGGCCCTCCGAGAGGCGCACTCTCAACCATTAGTCTCTCTCTCTGTCTGTTGACCCGTTCCTTCTCAAACTTCTTTTTTTCTTTCTTACCGGGTTTTTTACACCGATAGGAGGAGTGAGCATCCACACCTGTCTCTCTCTGTGCTCAATTCTGCGGGTGTCCTCGGCCGGTCTCTTAGTCAATCGTCTACCATATTATTTTCTTATGTCACAGTGCTTATCAGATCCTCAAGAACTAAGAAAAAACAGGCGATGCGGGGAGTCAATTGACTTGAAAAAGACGAAAAAGTTATCAGATTTGTTTCAACCTCCACTCTCTTCCTCTTCTCACTCTTACACACGCACTCGCTCATTTTCGACAAACCACCGGGGTCTCCATTTGGCCATCCGCTTTATTCCTTACTCACTTGTATTCACTCGTGTTACAGTACTATCCATTACTCCACTCTTTACTTCGTTCACTTTCACGCTCGTTTCCCACGATGCTGTATGTACAGTATCTGTCGGGGCTGGCATTCAATGTTCTTTTCGCCATGAAACGCCATCGCGATCCTTCTTCTTGTTGACTACAGTAGACTACCTAACAAAAACAAAACAAAACAAAGGAGAAAACGTTTCCGGCCGATCATTTATACGGACGTTACAGCGCTCTCTGCCTTCTCCACTCTGCATTATACCTGTTGACCACTACAATGACCAAAAAGTTACCCCTTGGTATTAAAAAAACACGAATAAATCAACACAGCTTACACAGGCGAAACGAGGATCTGATAGCTTTCACCCACCTTTTACAAGAGGTTCTTCACACTCAGGCAACAGTCAGAATTCTATTCTATAACAAAAGACAATCAACTAAGAAAAAGCAAACAATTACGCGTAGAACTCGCCGGCTTGGACAAAGCCTACGGTAACGCGCGGCGTCCTCGTCCGCCATCGCGCAACAAGCTCCTCTGCATCATCAAGCTCCTCTCCTCCTTCCATATCCCACCCAACCCTCCACAAAAACTCCAACCCTTCAACCGCCTCCAGCACCTCCTCCAACTCGACTCCATAACACCGTGCCAGATCCAATATCTTTAACGCCGTCAATCGGGTTCCCAACCCCTTCAAAAACTCTCTCGTCAAGGCCCACTTGCCCAATAACTGTAGGCATTGCAGTTTTCGAAGTGACAGAATCGGATCGATGGGATTGCCTGCCTGGTCACAGGAGAAGAGTCCGTTGACCATGAGTTTGAGAGAGATCAGGTTCGGGCATGAACGCAGGACTCCGAAATGGAACTCCAGTGCAATATCACCCTGGAGTTGGAGGTCGACCAGGAAGGGCATCTCGACATGGAGTAATGGGTATCCCCATGTGATCGAGGGCTTCTCGACAGTGTGGCGCTCCATCGATGTCACTTTGAGGATCCGGAGTGTCCGGCTCAGACCGACAGGGGCTTCTTCGAGGGCATTGCGGAGGTTACCGTGATGACCGGAAATGTACAGTTTCTCCACTGGTGGCAGGACCGCGGTTCCGTCTGTCAGGGCGTTCCTCGCTGGCGTCAGCGGAGAAGGTGCAGTTGAGGTCAGAGCAATTGCTCCTGTTGCTGCTGCTGACTGGTCGTCGTCAGAAAGAGAGCCTAGAAGGAAGCGAGACTTGAAAAGATGCGCCACATCGCGGAACGTGTCCTGTGCAGGGACATACAGATCCAGCACCTTCAACCTCTTGCACCGAAGCATGAAACTTGTCCCATTTTCTGGCGCAACCCCCTCACCATAATCCATCACCAACCGGAACAGATTCCCCACAGGGATCTGGTCAATCATCGGCCAAGCGCCACTCCATGACCTGGTGTCCAACTCTGTCAATGTACGATACGCCTGTGGGAGCAAGACCAGGTCGCGTCGGCTGTTGGTATCGTCGTCGTCAAACTCAGAGGCTTTGTACCGTCTGAGATCGCTAAGGTGCGAGTTGGGATCATCATCATCATAGCACCTGTTGTCGTACTCGCTGTGCCCTCCCATCTGGAGCTCTCGAAGCGTTCCATGAGTCTCGTTGTGGGTCGTGATCCAGTCGACCATCTCCTGAAGATTCTCGTCCGTGACACACTCCATCCTGTGCAGCTCTATCCGGCGAAGACACTTGAGGATCGGTATGATCCCCATAAAGGACTTTACTCGAGGGGTGGCCATGCAGATCGACAGAGCACGTTCTCCACAATGGCGCAAAAACACCTTGTCCAGCTGTGCAAGTACAGCCTGGCTCTGTGTGCGGGAGAACGAGGCAAACACCTTGGGAATTGCGCGCGAGGCTAGGAAGGAATGGTCGAGCCGCCGGTAGTGGTAAAAGTATCCTCGGCTGATCTCCGGGATCGCTGCTGGACTTCGCAAAGTATCGATTGCAGAACTGCTGCTCCAGTCTTCTTGTTCGTCGTCCTCGTCCGTGTAGGCCAAGGGAGGCAATTGAGCTCGGAGGGCTGGATCGAGTTCAGAGATGAATAGACGGAGGAGGTGCTCCAACCGCTCGGCCTTTTCGTCCTCGGACCAGATACTCCGGGAGTGGACGATGAGGAAGGGGTTCAGGTAGAGGATTGGGGTGGTGAGTTGGAAGAGAGCCTTGTTGACACGCAGAAGCGAGCATATGGTTGGTAGTTGGCTGGACTGAAGGTAGGACAAGACGAGTTGAATGCATTCCTGGAGCAGGACTGGTGTCTTGTTGGGTTGTGATGTCTGTTGGTCCATTGTTGATGACTGGTTGATCCGTTTTCCGGGATGAGAATTGTTTTTGTGTGTTGAATGAAAGAAGAAGGAAGAAGTAAGATGAGATCTTTTTGTACTCCAAAGGAAACACAACAAGAAGCCTTTCCCTCGACCAGAGATAAACATACTGCGCCGGTTCATCAAATTCCAGCTCCAACGCGCCAACTCGCCTTGTCGCAGTTACTCGCTCTCTCTCAACACGTGATATATATATGGACTGGAGTCTATGGACTTTGGTCGCGTCTATCCTTCTAGCCTTGAAGGCAAGCAATAAAGTAAACCCGCACTGATCTGTAGATATGTTTGCTCGGCAAGTGTTTATGGCAGTAGAATGGGCCAGAGCACACGGCATACGATTGAACGGCATACGAGTGCTTCAACCGAGCCATAGCCACACTAGTAAGCCTAGTCATACCATGTCTCGGACCATGCCGAGCAGTCGTAAAGCGACAGGGATTGCTAAAGAGACAGCGTGTCATCAACATCATTCTTCTGTGCACAAGGAGGGGTAGTTCTGTGCGCGTTCAAAGTTATGAGAAAACGCATATATAGCGCCGTCCGGACAAGAGGGCAATGCTTTTTTATGTGTACTTGTTTGCTTACACGAATGAAGAACGTTGTACGAACTTGTTTGTGTGTAAATGGGGCGCTCGGTTGGTTTGTTTCTCCACACCGAAAAAAAAACTTTGAACAAAGAACAAGGGCCAGTGCGATGTTGAGGAATCAACCCAATCAACTTTTGTTCTCTCAAAACTCATCACGCCCCCCTTTCGCATTCGCCATTCCGTAGACACCACTTCTTCCCCCATCACTCTCCAAAAGAAAAACAGCCCCTCAAAAGAACTTCCCTTTTTTCCGGGCCCGGTTGTTGTACTTTTACATTTCTTTCTTACTTTCTCTTCATACCCATACTCTCACGCCTTTTCTCTCCCTCACTTGACAAACAGTTCCACTCGTACTTCCCCTCGTCCATCGGTATCACAACCAATAATCCAAAAAAAGTATCACCAACATGGTATCTGTCACTGGTGCATTGGCCCTGGTCTCAGCTGCACTCTACCTCGACGGCCGGACACGCTTCTCCCGCGACCTCAACTTTGGCATCCCCGGCCTCAGAACCAAACTCTGGTGCGCCTACTTTGACCTTTCTCTTCCGTCTCCTCAGACTCACAGTACATTGGGCAACCCTCGTTGTTCTAACAACTGTCTATTTTGATTGAGAAAAATAGGTTCCAGAGACTGGTGAACAACAATGATATCAGCATGTACAACCGGTTCGAAGACCAATGTCTCCTTCGCCCCCATTCAATAGCCCTCATCTTCGAGGACCACTCCTACACCTGGCGCGACCTCGAACTGGCCTCCAACCGGATGGCGCACTGGTACAAATCCCGTGGTATCGGCTCCAAAGACCGCGTCGCCATGTTCATGTCCAACTCGCCCCTCTTTGTCATCTCCTGGCTAGCCCTTCTCAAGATCAAAGCCGTCGCAGCCTTTATCAACAACCAAATCGTCGGACCCGTGTTGTTGCATTCTTTAAAGACTGCCAACTCGGATGTGTTGGTATTTGATTATGAGCTTCGCGGGGCCTTGGAAGAGTCGATTCTGGGGATCCGGGAGTTGGGGTACAAGACTATTGTGACCGTGACGCGCAAGGACCAGGTCTTGACGAGGTTTGATGAGTATTTGAAGGGACCTGAGGAGAGGTTCTTTGATTTCATGGAGTGGCAGGAGTGTTCGGCTGAGGGGTTCTCGAGAGCCTCGAGGGAGGATGTGGTCATTGGCGATGCGGTCGCGCTCATCTATACCAGTGGTACCACTGGATTCCCCAAAGCCGCCGTCATGGACCATGGACGCTGTACCCGTATGTTTATTTTCGTTGTTTGTGATGTATAGTCCTCGGCTTGCTCGCTTAATCGTTCTAATACATTGCTTGTGTTTGTCACTTTATTAACACACGGCATTTTAGTGGCGATAAGTGTGTGGACGGGCATCTGCAGCATTTCCGAGAAGGATCGTACCTACAACTGTTTGCCCCTTTACCACTCTGCAGGAGGTATTCATTTTTAGCCATCAACCGTCATGGATCCATTTCGTAGCCCCTCCTCTTTTTTTCTGTTCCAAAGATAGAATAATGGTAGCTGACAGTTATTTATTTTTCTTGGATAGCTATCATTGGCATTGGTCAGAGCTGGATCTCGGGAAGTTCAGTCGTCTTGGCTCGCAAGTTCTCCACCACCGGATTCTGGAAAGATGGTACGTCCAATTGAACCTGACAAAAGAAAGCAAAGACAAAGAGGTACCGATCACTGACATTGACTTGTTTCTCTTCCATCGTTGACAACATGAATCATAGTGCGGGAGCATGATGTGACATTGATCCAGTACATTGGAGAACTCTGTCGCTACCTCGTCAACACTCCCGAGGATCCAGAGCTCGACAAGGCTCACAAGGTCCGTCTGATGTTTGGCAACGGATTGCGACCTGATATCTGGCGCAAGTTCCAGGAACGATTTGGGGTCGCCACCGTCTTTGAGTCCTATACCATGAGTGAAGGTAAGCTAGAGTGCTGTTCGTAAGAAAGAGGCGTATTTCCTTCTTTTGTGTAAACGAAGGAAGGGAAACCGTCAGTTAACATATTATTATTTTCGCGTCCTCTTCTTTTGTGACACTTCTATAGCAACGAGCGCGTTGTTTAATCTCACGAGCGGCGAGGATGGTGCAGGAGCTGTCGGGTAAGAAGATGATGATATGAAACTCTTTGCCTTTTCAAATGTCTACACCATCCGCAGCCCTTTCATTACTGTCTGGTTTAACAGGTATTCCCCCATTTTTTTTCTTCTCAATTGTGTAGATTCCGTGGTCCTCTCGTCCGGTATGTTGCTCGACAGTCTGGATGTGCAGATAAGATACACAAATGCGATCGTGTTACTGACTCCTAATCTTTTTGGGGATTGCACAAAAATAGTGCTTTCCAAGGTGGACTTTGTATTGTCAAGGTGGATCTCGACACCGAAGAGCTCATCAAGGACAAGGACGGATACTGCATCGAGGCAAGTCATGCTTCTACTGCACCGCGCAGCAGCAATAATGACCCCAGTGAAAAAAAACGACAACACATCTAACCATACCTCTTTCACCATCCGCACAGTGCGCGCCGGGAGAAACAGGCGAGTTGATCACATTAGCAGACAGCAAAAAGATGGAAAACCGCTTCGTCGGCTACTACAACCAACCGAAACTCTCCCAGGCAAAACTAATCCAGAACGTATTCGTCCAAGGCGACCAGTATATGCGCACTGGCGATCTCCTCTACAGGACCAAAGACAATTTTTGGTATTTCGCAGATCGTGCGGGGGACACGTTTAGGTGGAAGGGCGAGAATGTGTCGACGGCCGAGGTGGCGGATACGTTGGGTCATGTGGAGGGGGTTGCGTCCTGTACGGTCTATGGGGTTACGGTTCCGGGACAGGATGGAAAGGCGGGGATGGTTGCTGTTGTTTTGAAGGATTCTTATTGGCAGGAGGATAAGAACGCCCCTGTTTCTGCTGTTGCTGCTCCTGTCGAACATGTGTCGGAAGCTGGAGAAAGAGACGCGTCTGTACCTGTACCTGCACCTGTTACAGTTCCACACAAACTGAACGAAAAGGCATTGGAAGATTTCATGGACCGGCTTGGCAAACACGCTAGAAAACGTCTCCCCTCCTACGCGATCCCTCGGTTCGTCCGGATCTGCGAGTCTGAACTCGAGATCACAGGGACGTTCAAGAACAAGAAGGTCGAACTCAAGAAGGAAGGGTTTGATCTCGAGAAGGTTCATGAGCGACTTTATTGGTGGACTCAAAAGGGGCGGTATGTGCTTTTTGGACGCAAGCAGTTGGATGAACTTCATGCTGGTCGTGCTCGTCTCTGAGTTCGAGGGGTTGTTGTCTAGGTCGGATAGGTAACAGGGGTCAGAAAGACGAGCTTTATTTTGTCGGACTCCTGCTACAGTACTTTTTTTTTTGTAGAGTTCATTATGCTGTTAGAAGAATGTTACATACATACACCTTCATTAGTTCACTTTTGATCGCGCTCTCTGAACACAACGCGCCTTGCTTTGTCTCTCGCAGAATGGAAAATTGAAGCAGCAACGATAAGGACAGTTGACCGAATAATGTGAAGCAAGGAGCAATAATGTGGGAGCAGCATTGGGCTAATTAACTTGACCTCATGGCCTACGCACACCCAAAAAAACATGCCAATTGATCCGGTCTGCTTTTTTAATTCAAGCATGTAGATATCTGCGATGGTGTGCGGTATAGATCTCCTTTGCTCATTCGCGACCGGATGCATACATGGTGAGCAGCATCACTTTACAAAAAAAGTTGAGTGATTCCTTCCATTAAGCTGATCGTGCAACGCTAGACGACAAATCCTACGAGGTCGACGAGGGCAAAGTCAGAGGTGATAGTGGTGGCATAGGCTGATAGAGAACACTATTGTTCCATCGCTTGACCGTCCAGCGTTTCTTTACAACACGTCGCATTTCTCGAACAAACAGTCGTGCCATGTCCACTTCACTCCAGCTCTCCTTGGAAGGTCTCAACGCGATCCACTGAGCGACCTCCATTTCAACAAAATTCCACTCAGGCGGCTGCTTGTCCTTGTCCTCCAATGCCCGCCGCTTGTGAGTTTGTCCTCCACCCCCTCGCGAAAATAGAGCCAAAGACGCCTTGCTACCATGCGCGACAAAGAGGCTAATAATCAGGTCGACGATAATCGGATCCACCGGCCGATCACCAGAGTTCGTCAACACCGCCAGATCTTGCTGCAAAAATGGAGTCAAAAAAGCCACATCGATCGGTCGAATCTCGTCTGCAAATGCGAAATCCTGTTCTGGAGTAGGCTCAAGTCCGAGGGCATAGACCTCTTGTCGGCTTGCTGTGCGTCCTGCTGCTGCTGTGCCGCCATTGTCTCCTTCCGCAGTGGTAGGTGTAGCCTCGTCCGTCGATCCGTGTCCTTGTACCAGTCGTCCGCCCGAGAAAAGGTTTGGGTGTGAGGAGGAGAAGAGCGCGTCAGAGTCGTATGGGTAGCTGTCTATGGGCGTAGTCGACTTGGATCGAGATCGGGATCGGGATCGAGACCGCGAATGCGATCGTGACCTCTTTTTGCTGCCACCACTGGTGCCAACAAGCCTTTGATCATGCCGCTCTTGGTCAGACTCGCATCCGTCCTCACCCTCACCCTCCGAAGCTCCACCGGTTGTCGAAACCGACGTGTCGTCCAAAGCAGCGTCACCTTCCTGAAGATCTGCCTCCGTACTTGCCAGATCCAACTGCCCCTGTTCCTCTTCATCCTTTCTCGCCTGTACCGCTACATTCCTCAGTGCCTCCCTCCACGTAAGTCCTCCAGTAGTTGTAGCCTTCCGTCGGTCCCTCCAACGATCAGGACCATTCGCATAAAACGGCGAAGAGCTTGTCACAGTGATAGTGTTGAGCACCCCAAGAGCAGTATCAACCCCCCAGTGGATCTGGTCCGGTTTAGACTTGCACAGCGGGCAGAGGACCGAGACATCTACCCAGGCGGAGAGACACGACGCACAGAACGAGTGCATGCACGGTGAGAGGTATACTCGTCCTGTGTACGACGCGAGACATATCGCGCAGATCGGGTCTGTGTTGCTGGTGTCTTCCTTGTCGTCTCTGTCGTCCTCGTCACCCTTGGTGGTGTTGTTGAGGTTTTGCGTCTTGTTGTCTGACATGGCGACAGGTGGGTGAGTGAAGAAGGTTGAGGGAATGAGAATGACAATGAGAAAGGAGAAGGAGAAAGGAGAAAGAAGAGATGCAAAAAGGCAAAAAGCAGAAGAGCTAAAGAAACCAAATGTTGCTTGCAAAGTTACATTAGCATGATCACATGATGATTTTAATACAATGGTGGGAAATGCAAGAAAGGAAAAAAAGGCGTTGACGTCTATGCCCTGCGCTTGGACTTGTTATTGTTGTTGGCCTTGGATTTTGTCTTGCTGCTGCCGCTGGACTTCTTATTCTTCTTGTTCGCTACAGGATGAAGAGTCTCTTCGTCATTGCGACGATCAAGAAAGTCAACCTCCTGGTCCGTAATAGGCATCTCGGACTCGTCGTGGTCATCATGTCCCGCATCTTGCTGCTGACCCTGACCCTCCTCTTCAGACTCGTCCAAGGCCTCTTCCTCGTCCTGCGAGGTCATGGGCTCGTCGTCCTCGTTCTCTGCTCCTGACTCCTCAGATCCTTCTTCCTCATTGCCCTCCTCAGATCCATCTCCTTCTTCACTCTCCTCGTCTCCCTCTCCTGCCGACTCGTTCTGTTGTTGAAGTTCGAGTTCTGCCTGACGCTGTGCCTCCTGCTCGGCCTGTATCCGTGCTCGGGTTTCAGGACGGTAATCCTTCAATTGAGCCATCTCGAGCTCGTCCGACACGCCGGTCGGGGGTCGGTTGAGCAACTCTTCCATCTGCTTGGCGTCAATGAGCTCTGGTTTCCTGTACTTGTCGCCCACAATAACGCCACCTGGCTTACAATCGAAGCCCATCTGCTTCCAGTTCGAAGCACGACCCTGGCACGAGTAGCACATTGCACACCGCTTCTGGATACGGCTATCACAGATTGAGATCTCAGTCCTAAAGTTGCGGTTGTCCTTGTTCCTCTTGAGCTCTGCTCGGATCCGGTTGATCCTCTCCACCATCTTGATGGGATCATCGCGTGGCTGAGACGTAAGACTAGGCTCGTTGTCAAAGTGCTTGGCGACCAGATCTTCCTCACACACAAATGCGCCGGACTGGATGCGAGTGTCGTGGACGGGCTTGATTCCGTATCCGTGAAGCCAGATTCCGAGGGACTGGGCGCTGCTGGCAACAAAGTAGCGGGGTGCGGGGATAGCCAACAATGCAACAATGTCCCTCGAGAGAGTCGTCAATGTCCCGTCCGTGAACTTTGGCATTTCCCTCAAATCCATATCGTCCAACCGAGTATTTGGAACATTCCTATTACAAATTGTCATAGTCATAAGCAATGTAAGTAAAAAAAAAAGAGTGTAAAATAAAAAAATAAAAAATAAAAAATAAAATAAAAATAAAAAAAAGTTCGAGTATTTGGCGAGTGAGCCTTTGATAGGGACTTACTTGAAGACGAGGCCCTTCCAGAAGAACTCCTTCTTGCCTTGCTTGTAAAGCTCGCCAGACAAGGTATCCATGCGAACAAGAACATCATCCTCGGTCTTGACTAGGTAGTCAAAGTCCAGCTGGTCGGCCCACTTGATGGCGTCGTACAACTTGGCACTCTTACCGTCCGCAGTGTCGAGGGCCTCGACAATCAACAGATCGTTTGTCATCTTGTGTTCCTGCTCAATATCCTGCACATTCACTGTAATGCCAGTTCCGATAATAAAGCGGTGTTTGACAATGACGGCCTTGTTGCGGGGACTTGGGAGAAGCTTCAACGTCGTCTCGCGGAACAATTGGCGGTTACGGAAGCCCTGAGGGGTGGCAGAGGAGAGCACAATCATGCAAATAACCATACGGTCGTCCTGCTCGCGGTCTATGAGGAAGGTGTTAAGGCTGCCTGGGGTAACTGGCTTGATGATGGGGGCGGGAGGATCCTGAACATTGACGCCTCCTTGGGTGCCATGTTCCTGCTGCCATTGTCCTTGTTGGGCATAGTCCTGGCCGGGACTGTGCTGTCCTCGAGTAATGATCAACATCCACGAGCACATGCCGACGATGACCAGAGGGAGAACGAGGAAGCGAGTGACAGACTGTCCGTTGATCTCACGTCCCATGAATCCGTCCTCGAGAGGATTAGTAACAAATCGGTCAGAGATGGTTGGGAAGCCCGCTAGCTTCATCTGAGTCCTGCACCAAGGGAGGTATGTGATCACAAACAGGAGAAGGGCCTGACCAAATGTAATGATGACCCAGGGACGGATAGGCTCAGTAGGGGGTCTTGACTGAATGATGATGCCAATTAGGACCCAGCTCAACAAGTGTGCAAGGGTGATCCTGAGGACGACGTTGGGAGCACGATAAGACTGCGACAGACGTTGGGTGAATGCCGTTGTGAGAAGGAAAGCCCAGTACATCGATAGACCGCACTATTAATTGCAATGGATAAAGAAAAGAGGGCGTTTGGAGTTGTGGATTAGGCTTTCAGTATGACGACAGTTATGAGCACTTTGCAAAAAAAAAGATGCCCTGTTCATTAGACGACAGAGCCAAGCGGAGCATGGTGTGACTGACGACGCCTTACCCAGCTGCAAATATAGACAAAAGTAATCATGAAGAATGCGGGCGCAAGAGGAGTGAAAGAGAAGAAAGACGACCAATTGGGTGAGTACAATAAGAACTTGTGCCTGACATAGTGCAACATTCCCTGTCCCCATCAACTAGGATTACACAAAAAAGAATAAAAAAGGACGTACATGCTGGCTATCCAAAAGTCGGATCGAGTCAAGGGTATGCCGTCGTCCATGCCATTATCCCGAGAGAACTGTCTGTCCTGTTGCTCCTGAATACTGCCAAAGAGCTGGGAGTCTCTTGCGACGTTAATACTGTAGACAAGTCCGAGGAAGCCAGGTCCCATAGACAGAACCCTGAGGAGAGTCAGGGCCAAGCTCTGCCGCGGCCGAGAAGAATGGCTATGACCGAGGTGTCCATGGAACATGGCATGGCCATTGATATTGTCACCGTTTCCGTTATGGTTCCCGTTTCCGTTGGGTGAGTTTCCTCCGGCAGAGAGGAGGTGACTATGGCTGAGGGAGGACGGTCCGAAACTGTGTCGTTTGTCCATGGGGGGTTTGTTGGATTCCTTGAGGGCGTTCAAGGAATCTCTTGAGGTGGCGGATCTGGGCGAACCTCTGTTGTGTGCCTGGGAGAGGTTGTGGGTGTTGATCACCAGGTGGTTTGAGAGAGGACGGACTGGTGTGGACGGCATCCTTGGTTATATGTGTGTCCTCGATCGCTCTCCTGGGTTGATTGTTTTGTTTTTGTTTGCTGTACAGGGGGGTGTGAGTGGGCTGGATGGAATAGAGATTGTCTGGGCTGGGTGAGGAGGGGTTGTTGAGTCAGGAAGAGGGGATGATGGGAATGAGAGAAAGGAAGAGGAAGAAGAAGAAGAAGAAATAAAATGAGAAGAGAGAGGATGATGGTCGCAACGGCGACAGAAGGAAGATGAGGTGGGAGAGGGAAGAGATAAGAAAGGGGGAAGGAAGTAGAAAGGAGGGAGACTGTAAGAAAAGGGTGCCTCTGGTCAATAGGGAGGGAGAGAGTAAATTCATTTGAGGACAATACAGCGAGTGAGAAGGGGCACCCAACGGTCGTTCTGTCTTCCTGCTCCTGGCCTGGACTCTGTGGCACCAACAAGCTTAAAAATATCTCCAAAATATTACGGAGTATCTCTCTCTCTTCTCTCTCTCTTCTCTCTCTCTTCTCTCTCTCTCGCTCGACCACACTCACTCGCGATCGCTCTCTCTTTTCTCTTTTCTCTTTTCTCTTTTCCCCATTTACATAACCAAACGTGTATGTACTCAAAAGTAAAAAAGTAAATAAGCGTCCATCCACCGCCACTGCGCTTAAACAGGCGGGTCAACAGTGGTCCAAAAATGCAATTGCATATCCCCTAATCCACCTGCCTTGTTCTTTCTTGACGACCTTGTAATATTTACCTCAAATAAACCTCAGGAAAACACTCTGAAAAAAGGAAAGCAAGTAATAGCCGATAATAATAATGGTAATGATGCAGAAATGTTGTTTGGTTTATTCATGTGGAGTGTGTAACGGAAGAGAGGAAAACAAGACAGAGTGTTAACAACAGAAATAAAAAAGCCGGGACGAATAAATGGATGAGCATAAGAGAAACAAAGTGGTATGGCTCGGTATTCATCGTTGTTGATACTCGGAAAGATAAAAGAACAATTAACCCCGGATTCTATCGAGCCGCACTGAGGGTGCGCTGGGTGATTTTGGTGTCGATAGCGTATCGTTGCTTCCTTGCCGCGGTGATCCCATCCGGCCCTCCTCTGCATGGAAAGTATCCAATTGACTGCCCAAGTCGACATATCTAAACAACACAAACAGAAAAACATAAACAAACAAACAAATAGCAAAAGGAGGTTAGTTTAGCCTACACCAATCGACAGTCGAGGGCGGGGGGTCGGTGGTCAGAATTCTCCAAATCAAGCCATCTCTTATATAAAGACACAAGCAATAAACAAATAGGCAATAGGGGAACTGATCTTACTTGACGACAGGCCTGTCAGGGAGAGAGTACATGTAGGTGGCGCCGAGGACGAGGACGGTGCCAAGGATGAAAATAGTACCAATCTGGGATCCAAAGAGCGCCACACTGGCAATCGCACTGATCACAATCGAGATACTCGTCGCAAAGCCCTTCAAGATATTATCGGCGTACTTGACGACAACAGCGACAATGAGACCTCCTGCCGACTGGCAGGCAATGGCGGTGATGACTAGCATGTCGTATCCTGCAAAGAATCCCTGCTCCGTGACGCCCTCGCCATCCTTGAGGTAGACTGCGAGCAAAGAAAAGGGCAGCGAAAAGAACGAGAGCTGGATATTCCTGAGCCAGATGGATTCTTGAGTGTTCTTCAAGATCTTTTCAAAGTAGACTCCAGCAAGACCAGAGAGGATACAGGCAATCAAGACCGCCATCAAACCAACAACAAACTCGGGACGATCGCTCAAAGGCGCTACCTCTGCAACGGCAACGGCACCGCCCTTTTGTGCATCAAGCAATTCACCGAGAGCCGAGGTAGGGTCAATGGGGTCGGGCTTGACTGCATGTCCGTTCCTGTGGTTCGACTCTTCCAGCGAGACGAGGGCGATTCCTGCGGTAAGCATGACCAGCGAGGCCCACTTAAGGAGAGGCAGGGACCGGTGGAGGAGGATGACTGAGAAGAGGGCGGTAGTAAGGATCTTGAGCTGGTAGGTCACCTGGAAGGTCGAAGGGTCGAGCGCATGGGAGGCGACGTACTGGAGGTTGTTCTGGATGGCGTAGAGCATGGCGGGGACGGCAAGCTTCCAGGCGTCGCCACCAAAGACGTCGTTGAGAAAGTCCTGAGGGTAGAAGCGGCCGGTGTCCTTGATGGTCTCACGGATGGTCATGATTGTGCAGACGATCAGCTTGACGATTTCGTTGATGAAAACGGCTGTGGAGGAGTAAAAGACTTTGCGACCGGGGCCCTGGGCAAGGGCCATGACGATGATGAGGCATGAGTTTTGGACGGCGAGGACGATGAGGGAGATGTACTTGAGCGGGATCCCGCCGATCGACGGCATGATGGATGACATTTGATCCTTGGTATATGTGTATTTGTTGTCTGCAAGTAGGCTTGGTGTGTTTCTTGTCCTGTTGTTGTCCTGCTGACGTTTGTTGAAGTATGAGTGAAGACAAGGGGGAGAGAAGGAGGCGGTGGGTTGATGAAATGAGAGGTGGGGGATGATGAGAGTGGAAGAGAGAATGGGATGATGAGAGTGAAGAGAGGAGAGAAGAGGGAGGAAAAGAAAGGGAGAGAAGAGGAGGGAAGAATAAGAAAAAATAGGGAGGGAAGGGGAGGAGGGAGTAGGTTTGGGCTGGACACGCCGACAGACAAAAAATGTTGCTTCGTTCTCTTTGCTGCTGCTGCTCACTCCTCTTTGAACTCTAATGGTTGGAGAGGAGAAGTCGACACCACCTTCCACATCGCTATTGCTCTCTCTCTCTCTCTTTCTCTGTCTCTCTCTCTCTCTCTCTCCCATCTCTTTCACTTTCTCCGAATCGAACCTGCCAACGACGACGACAACAATACCTGTTGCTGACCCTATTTCATTGACGTATGAGGTTTCTACTGTGCGCCCTGTAGAAAGACAGCACACAGCAAGCCTAAACAAGAGACAAGGTTTCGGCGGGATGTATTTTTACTCTGCACTCAACCTACACATACACGACCTTACTCACTTCTTTACTGTTGTCACCACCACTATCATCATCATCATCATCACCTTTGTATCCATTCCAGGTTCAATTGCTCTTTTCTCCGAGGAATCAGTTGTCCAGGCGTAAAAAATGGCAAAGCAGATTACAATTAATGGATCAGAAAAGATGGACACAGAATGGAATATCCACAGGCATGCCTAGGCTAGGAAAAAAAACATTGGGCATTCCCCTCCCTCCTCCTTCTCCTGGCGATTCACGTTCCTCTCCCATTCACCCAGCTTGGTCCACCGACTGCACAGTCTATCTTTATCTCTCCAGTCCCATATGGGCACAGGTGGGGCGGTGCCACTTTTTTTTAACCTTTTTATCCCCTCCTACCTGTTCCTGTCCAGCGGGAGATCTATCTTTTTTTTTTCTTCTCTCCTGAACATGGAGTGGACGACAGGCAAACCTGCCTTTGCCTGCGCACGTTTTTTCTTGGTCTATTTTTACAAACAGCTCGATGGGAGCACAGCCGCTTTCGCCCTTTCAAATATCAGAAATTACGTCTCTGTAGATGGCGCTATTGTATGAACTGTGTTTTCAGGCACCAATTTTTTTTCTCCCATCAACACTGATCAAACAAAGGATCCAACAATTGGACAATTCAGCTCATCTTATCAGATCAAACTATCACAACAAGCCATTTTGTACTTGCTTTGCTTGCTTGCTAGTTTATTGCTTCAAGTCCACACGAAGGCTGTTGCATACTAGTCAACGCAGCAAGTTAACAGCATAACATTTGCACAGTTGTTTGAACAATAAACAGGTGTCCCCGTTGCTTTGGCTCAGTTCAATTGTTGTTGGATGTGGATATAACGATATAACTGCTGTTCCACTCCGTCGAGAAAATACTTTTTATAAATAACATGGGCGTAAAAAGTACGCGTTACTTTCACAAGGGAATGCACCTCTTCATTTGTTGATTTTTGCCTCTTCTGAACACAAGACGGCGTATAGCTCTTGTCTTGTAGGACGTACAACAGTAAACACAAACATGCAAGGTGGACGAATGTCTTGCTTTGCACAAGTGTGGGTGCCTTCAATCTTCAGACATGCAATGACAAGGAGGGAATTAGAAAAAAAAAAAGATATGACCATGAGCGGCATATGTCGGTGAAAAAAAAAGCAGTGTTTGAATATGGGGCTGATCATTGAATGAACGATGGTTCGTTCCTTTCCTTTTCTTCTTCTCATTCTGAGCTGCAACTCAATCTGAGCCATGTTTCCTTCCCTCGCCTCTCATTGGATGTATGCGCCATATTTACACGAGAGAGGAGATAGAAAGACAATAATAACACTCTAGGTAATTCTGTCAACCCATGAACACAAACCTTACTGGTCTGTGTTCTCAACAGACACATACTTACCCCTGGTTTATACAGAAACATACAAAAGTGTGAAATTGAACCGGGCGCCCGTCTTTTGGTCTGTAAGATAGAAGGATTTTCTATAAGCGTTTTCACTCTCTCCCGAGAATGGAGAGATAGAGAGCAGAGCACCGTTGAGCGCGATCGCCCTCTTTTTTATGTTTTCCCTTGACCTTTTCCTTGCTCAACCGTTGTCGTCTTATTTCTCCCCTTCTTCTCTTCACCTTCCTTCTCCTCCTGTCTCCCGACCACCCGGTCTCTCTAATCCCTCTCCCTCCCTCTCCTTCAGTTTAACGACCCCTTCCCTGCATATATAATAACCACCAACCGTTCACTCATTCCTCATTCACTCCTCATTCACCCTCATCCTGTCGTCCTCAAACATCTCTGCATCTGCTTCTGCATCTGCCCACTCCCTCTTCGGTCAACCCCTCGACGAACAACAACTTCACAAACAACACCAGCACAGCTACAACATGGGCGCTCCTTCTAAACACGACAACCGCTCGTGCCTGAGCCGCCACAAGTGGAAAATCTCTATCCTCGCCTTTATCATCATCGCCGTCGCCGTTGCGGTGCCCCTGGCGCTCGTCAAACCCTGGGATAAGAACTCCTCCGACTCTTCTTCCAACAACAGTCAAAACGGAAGCAACGGCAATCAACCTACCGGTCCTGTTACCCCTACCAACCCTGGACCTATTCCCCCTAGTGTCCCTATCGTCCCCTCCAAAAACGACACTGCCCGCCCTAATGCCTACACCCCTCCCCTCAACGAGGCCTTTGACTATGCCTCTGGAAAGATGAAGATGCGTGGTGTCAACCTCGGAGGCTGGTTGGTCCTTGAACCTTTCATCTCCCCCTCACTCTTTGATCCTTATATCAAGCAAGGTGTTATTGATGAGTGGACGCTCTGTAAGTTGTTAGGGCCCGAGAAGGCCAAGGCCTACCTCGAGGCTCATTACTCGAGCTGGGTCACTGAGGACACTTTCAGCCGTCTCCAGGGTATGGGTATTAACCATGTCCGCATCCCCATTGGTTTCTGGGCCTTGGGTGGTTTGACTGCCGATGAGCCCTATGTCCCCACCCTTTCGTGGACGTACCTCCTTCGCGGTATCGAGTGGGCCCGCAAGTACGGCATCCGTGTTATGGTCGAGCTCCACGCTGCCCCCGGTTCCCAGAACGGCTGGAACCACTCTGGCAGACTGGGTCCCATCAACTGGATCAACGGTACTGACGGTGTCGCGAACGCCCAGCGTACTCTTCCTTACCTCCAGCAGTTGGCCACCTTCTTTTCCGGCCCCGATTACGCCCATGTTGCGCCTATCATGGGCCTTTTGAACGAGCCCGCTGCCCATTTGATTGGTGTTGACGCCGTCAAGAACTGGTACACTCAGGCCATTAAAGTTGTTCGTGCTGCTACTGGTACTGGTGAGGGCAAGGGATCCTGGGCAGTTATTCACGACGGCATGGTTGGCCTCAACGCCTGGGCTGGCTTCTTGCCCGGTAGCGACCGTGTCATGCTCGGTACGTGCAGTTTGCTTGGTTGTTATTTTTATCTGGATCTATTTGCAATATTAGCACGCACCACACACACACGGTTCAATTCTCGGTTAACCTGAAACTAACATGCCCTGTGTTTGTTTTTTTGTTCGTCTTTCTCTCTCTAGACACTCACCAGTACATCATGTTCAACGATGACCTGATGCGCATGAATCAAACCACCCAACTCAAGTTCGCCTGCGAGACCTGGGGTGGGTCCGCGATTACAAGCACCAAGGAATTCGGCCCAACTATGGTCGGCGAGTTCTCAGTCGCCGTCAACGATTGCGCAACCTACCTCAACGGAATCGGAGCTGGTTACCGCTGGGACGGTACTTACAACGGTGCCCCTCCCAAATCACCCAACAGTACCTGTACCAACGAGAACAATGTCTCGACCTATACGCCCGAGTACAAAAAGTTCTTGTCCAACTACTTCCTGGCCCAGATTGAAGCCTTTGAGCAAGGCGCCGGTTGGTTCTATTGGAACTTCAAGACGGAGAATAATCCATTGTGGTCGTACTTTGCTGGTGTTGAGGGTGGGTGGATCCCTAAGGATATCAATAACCGTGGCCCATCGTACTGTGCCTCTGCTGGGTATAGCTTCAGCGGATAAGCTACACTCTGTTTGTTCTTCATCCTTTTTCTTATCTCCCCCCCCCCCCCCCCCCCCCTCCCTCCCCCTACTCATAGACATTTTGTTGTTATTTTTTCTTTTTGACACGATATCATAGTAAAAAAATATCATCGCAATCGCGTTTTTCTTAATCCTACGCGTACCTGTACCAAAACGGTTATGTACCTTGTAGCTGCCTGAACGAATGTCCGCAGTAAAGCCTTCAAGATTCAAGGGGGGGGAGGGTTCAGTCGTTCAGGAACAGAAACATGTTCTAATCAGAGGTAGCCCCACCTCCCTCCCTCCCTTCTCGCGGCAAAGAAAGATGTGTTGGCGCGGTGGAGACAAAAATAACTTGGTTCCTGCTTGTCTGCAAGTGGGCGCAACCATTCGGATGCATGATATGCCTAATCCAGATAATTAATTGTCCGTCTGCCGCTGTCAGCGTGCACCCCTGCTTCACCAGCACATAATAGCGAGTGGATGAGCAAGCGTGAGTGTGGAAGAGAGAAAAGAAGATCATCGAGTTTTTTTCTTTCCATATTGAAAAATCGAGACGAAGAAGAAAAATTGAAATGGTTCTTATGGTTCAGGTTTCCATGTTTCTGCGTTCTACGGCCTTGCTGCTGTCTAGTGATCCATCACCCTTCACCAATGCAAGACTCTGAACGATATTGGGCTCTGTAAGCCCCATGTCGAACCCTATGGAACTTTATATTTTTGGTGGAAACGAACAAAGTCTTGTTGACAGGTTGGATCCTAGATACGTTAGGGGCTATTTTGGCATTGTCTATCTCATTGTATGAAATGACTCGGACGAGGGAAAAGCTCACTCGCAAAAAGACATGGATAAACAAAGGGCCCTGAGAAGGTACATGTGGATGGTAAAATAATGCTCAAGTGAGTGAGGTACCAAAGTGTTAATGGATACACTGTACATGAATTGATCCTTACCACTCGCTTTTTTGTCATTAGTTTGAGAACGAACGCGACGTCCAAGGTGGGGGTGGGGGGGGGGGGTTATCTCAACGTCTTGGCTCTGACTGACGGCTTCAGTAGTGGGGTGCAAACAGAATTTGCGCGTCAAGATACCGGGTAGGATGATTTGTTTCAATCCGTCAGGAGAGGAAAAGGAATCAGGATAAGCCGGCTACAGCCTGTCCAAACGCACGGAAGAGAGAAAAATTCAAATAAGTGACTATACACAAACCCACAATACCCGCCTTTCCTTATGGCAGGTTTTGTGTCTAACAAATTGAACAATTGCCTTGTTGTTTCATAGGACCTTTGGGCTGTCAAAGGGTTGTCGGGCGCCCGAGGTTAAAAGGAGGGGGGCGACTGCACTGAAAAGGTAGACATTTGGTCATTCGTAGCAGTCATGTACGTGTTGCTGACAGTAAACGCTCAACTGTCGACCAAAAGCTCCCCGACCTAGATTACCAGTTCACAATGCAGGATGTTTTTTGCTTTTTTTGTTTCTGTTCGACCAACATTGGAGGGCGTTTCGCAGCCGCAGACATAGGAGGGCGGTCTAATAGCAATCAGGAAGAGGCCGGATCCCCTTCCAACCTAAAAACAGTGAAAATAACGCCCCTCCAAGTGACTGAAACTAATAAAGACGCGTCGGCGGAAAGCAGAACAACCGATCCAACAAGCTACTGTCTGTGAATCCCACTGTCTGTGAGTCCTACTGTATCGTTGTGTGCCTCCCTCTCGAAAATGATTCCGTGGCTGAAAGAATAACACGTAGCGCAGAAATGGTTGAGTTCAAGAAAAATTCCTGATGTGAGGCATGAAAATAAAAACACATCGGCTCAAAATCAGCAGACACCCACAACACTCCAACTTTTTTTTTTTTTTTTTTATTATTTCGCACAACGCGATTTTTTTATATATCTGACCGAGCACCAGAAGCACCCGCTGAGGCATGATACCCATTGTCGCCAGATTGGAGACGCGCCAGAGGGGGAAGGATAGGCTTACTCGTAGAAGAAGAAGCGGTCTGCCACAGATCCGCGGCTCCCGAGGAAGAAGAGGTGGTCCCGTTCCCGGAGGAGAACCAAAACGAGTCGCTATAAGTAGGGTCGATCGACATATGATGCTTGAACTGGTGGTGCAGTGGCGCATGAAGTTCGCTTCCAATGCTGGTCCCAGAAAGAAGCGACGACGAGGAGAGCTGGTCCTGCGAGAACGTCAGAAGCGGATGATCATCCTCCTCTTCATCACCGTCAAGATCAAACTCCCGCTCAAGGCTCTCCCAGACCTCCATCTCCCTCTCAACGGCCTCCTTGAGTTGGACATTCTCACCCTTCAGTTCCTGAATAGTAGCATCCAGATCCTGGATCTTTCCATTCTTCTTCTGAACATCCTCCTCGAGTGCTGCAACTTTGAGCGCCGCCTCACGGTCCTTGTCCTTGTTGGCCTTGGCAGCGACCTTCCAGACAATCTGCTGTTGCTCCAAACGCTGAAGCCGCAACTGCAACGGTGCCACCTCGCTCTCTTGAAGCTGGCTCGTCTGGTTCGCCCAGTCCACTCGTTCCCCCTCCAGTCGCTTCATCTCGGCCTGCAGCCTCTGACATTCCAGCTTGAGGGGGGCAATCTCAGACTTGAGGGTCGACTGCGCAGCCTGAACGTCCAACTCCAGCGTCCGGATAACCTCAACAATATCCTCAAGGGACTGCTGGCTTAAAACCGTCGCTTCCTTGATCTCCCGCGCCTCATCCTGCAGCGTCACAGCGTGAGCATTAGTCTGCTTGATCGATTCCTGGAGGAACGACAGTTTCTGCCGTCGCTTTTGGTCCTGGAGTGCGGCTTTTGCCTGCCCGCGTCCGATCCCTTCCAGTTCTTGTCGGAGGAGGGTTTCAGATTTGCTTTGGTCCCGCTTGAGCTTCTTGATGGTCGCCCTGGTGGCCGCGGCAGTGTCGACGGATGCCTGAATCGAGGCCTGGAGTTGTTCCAGAAGCAGTTGGTTTGCACTCTTTTGCTCCACGAGTGAGGAAGCAAGTTTGTCCGAGAGGGGTAAGGAGTCTGAAGAACGTGATGACTGAGAAAGGGAGGCGAGCGCGTCAGACGCAGCGGTTGCCAAGGCGGGCAACGCAGAACCGACAGTCGTAGAAGTGCTGGTGGCCTTGGATTTGCCACCGTCTCCTCCTGATCCTGCTCCTGTCCTGTCGTTGCTGCTGTTGCTATTATTGTCCCGTAGAGCCTTTTGGTTCCGTTTGCTCTTGCGGTTCTTGTGGTTCTTTGGTGCTGGGTCGATGGGTTGAACGGGTTTCTCGAAAGTGGTCGTCGGTATTAGTGTCCCAGCTGTCGTTTGGGGAAAGCATGTTTCACGTGACAAAGCAACAAAATGAGAGAGAGGGCCATATAAAAAAATAATTAATAAACGAGTCATTCTGCATGTTGCTGCGGGAGGGACGGATGGAATGGTTGGAGTAACAAAAAGAAAACAAAAACAAACAAGATAAACAAGAGGAAAGACTTACGTGGTGCGGCGCGAGTGCCAACTCTGGCAATGAAGCTCGAGAACCGGTGCACTTTCATCTCGATCTCATAATCGGTCGCCGGCGTGAGCCCAAAAAGCGTAAAACTCTGCTCGTCCGGGAAATGGTATTGGACTTGCCGCCAGGGGATATAGTTGACATGGATCACAATGTCGGATGTCGAGATGATCCGCGGAGTTGGCGTTGATGCTGTTGGATTTGGAGACGGTCGACTTGCTGAGGAAGAAGAACTGAAGGAATTAGCGATAGATCCGACCTTGATGGTCGATAGATCGATCGTGTCGTTTGCTACCCTTGATCCTGTTCTACTCACGTCCGTTGTTGTTGATGATGATGATGGTGATGATGATGATGACGATGATGGTATTGATGGTGCGTTTTTGGAATCCTGTAATGAGGGTTGTTGCTCCGGTACTTGGGTCTCTGATAGTGCGTTAAGGCAAAATGACACCGTGAAGGGCGTAATCTCTGTAATGCACAGTTCGAAGCGCAAGTTGCTATTGTCCGTCGATTGGTTTGTTGCTCGTCGACTTGTCGATCTAAAAGACGCGCAGAAAATATCGAAGAGTTTTAGTCAACAAAACCCACTCTGACGCTCACGTTACAACATGTTTGCTTTAACAGGAAAAAAATGCAAAAAAGATGGGGCTTGGACTGAGTACTGTACCTGAAAGAGACGGGGCCTTCCTTTTGTGCGCCCACATAGTTGAGATATCGCCCCTGGATCTGATCCGGCTCTGCGCTGTGGAGCATGACATCGACCAACTCGGACATGAGGATGTAGAGTCCAAATCCAACAGTATGAACAGGGATGACTCTGTAAGTCGTCAGATCCAGAATCGAGGCCGACGAGAGATCTCTCCTGTAAATATCGACAAGTCCAAAGAGGAACCAGAGGAGACAAGAAACCGAGTCACCAAAGACAAGTCCACGAGTCAGGTTGATGACATAAAAGTAGACGAGGATATTGGCGACGGTTGGAAGGAAGCCAAGTCGATCCTGATGCAGAAAGAGTTGTCCGACGAGCAGATCGAGCATGCCCAAGAACGACGTTAGTCCAAGTCCGTGTTTGATCGAGGTTTGGAAAGCTCTTCGCAGAGCGACGATGGACTGGACACAGAATCCTATCCATTCGAGGCGGGTTGGGAGGGAGGTGATCTGGCCGTTGAGGGCAAACATGACCACGTAGAAGGCGACGAGGTCAAACAGCTTGTGGTGCATCGAGAAGAACAGTTTGAGGTGGTCCTGGAAGCGGGTGGTCAGGGCTGCGGGCCATGGGGTCGAGGAGGAGGATCCCGACTGCTCTGACTCCGAACCTGTTCCTGATCCACTTGCTCCACTTGCTGTTGCTGTTCCTTCAGATCGAGAGGAGCCTTGGTCAGAAGAGTGTTGACGTTGTTGTTGTTCAATTGATAGGTTTTCGATGGTCCTTGGTCCTTGTGCTGGTCCTGTTGGTGGAAGGTGTTCGGTCAGGAGTTGGTCCGATTCCATCGCTATGAGGTCAGAAGGGACCAGACCCTGTTGGGCCGTAGACCTGTCGTTGACGGCGTGGCCGGAGGAGCTACGAGACTCCTCGAAGACAGTTTTTAGTGAAGTGGCCGAGGCAGACAGGGCTTTGTGTTCGTGTTCAGATCCAGGCAATGGATGTTGAATCTGACCCGCTTGTTGGTTGTTTGTTTGTTTGTTGTTGTTGTGATTCCTGTGATGGTGTTCTCCTGCAGGTGAGTGAATGATGAATGGAAGGAGAAGAATGGTGGATTAAGGTTGAGAGAAGGAGAGGATGATGGCAAAGAAGAGAAGAAAAAGATCCAGAAGAGACGATCTTGTAAAAAAAAAAGGAAATAAGGAGAGACTGGCAAAGTCAAGGTGCAGGCTGGGTTGGCTGGGTTGGACCCAACGGCTCAGACAGGGAAGGAGCACACAACCTTGACTCTTTGAAGCAGTCACCTTCATATTGATTTGCACGGGGTGTGAAAAGTGAAATATTACCTGGCTCTAGCACGGAGGGTATTCTTCCAAGTTGTTTTATCTATTATGGCTGCAAGTGTGTGTCGCATTCATTATCGATGAGCATGCGTTTATATCATATATCCAAACTCCTTCATTCACAGACAGTCTACATGATACATCCCCCATAGCAATTATTTATCACCCAAGAGGAGGAATGCCCCCTGCTCTGACACTCTCACGACATTTAAAATGGAAGAGCAAGAAGAATTGGACGCAAAAGGGTGCCAAGGGTGCCACAGACGACACAGAGGACAGAGAAAAGAGAAAAAAAGTGGCGTGAGATTGATTCTCAGGGGTCAATAGACCAGAGGGAGGGAGGGAGATGAAAAAAAAAATATCAACCGTTGGGGCCGATATCAGTGAACGATCTGATCTCTCGATGTTGATGATTGATGGCCCCTGCTGCCTTTTTGGCTGTTTGTTTCTGTTTCTTCTCGTCTTCTTTTCTTCTCTTCTTTTCTTTTCTTTTCTTCTTTTCTCTCTCTCTCTCTCTCTCTCTCTCTACCACTCTCCCTCCCTCCACTCCCCTCTACCCGCGAAAATAACAATGGCGTCGTCGATTGCCGCCGTCCTCAAGGACAATATCGCCATGCTCAGGACAAGTCTCCTCCAAACCGACATCGATCTCCTCACGACCAACCCCACCGCAAGTCCTCTCTTTCCTTACCTCTCCATCTTCACCGTTGCCCTTGTCGCCAACACTCTCTTCCGTTTAACAAGAACATACCCCTCTATCCCCTTCCATGTTCCTGTTCCAGAAGGTAAGCCAAGTCTCATTCACATTCCCCCTTCATCTTTCACTCACCTATTCTGATTCACAATCTACGTGTTGTGCATTAACTCATCACGTCCGATCGCTTGATGCCTGATCTCGTTGTTCTTCATTCATCTACCCCCTCTTCCGTCACTCTTTCTCCACACACGTCTGTTGACGTTTTCTCTTTCGCTACTAATGCCTCTTCTATGACTGTATTACCTCACTAATAGAAGCGCTGCCAGGATGGAAAGGTGGAAGTATCTTGAAGAACCCTAGCATCCAGGTAAAGGGCTCAACACTTACCAGCAAGAAGGCTTGTGCTTTAGAAGTAGTCTTTCGACTATATATGTTGCCACCACCACCATCCCGCCAAATTTACATGGCAGCTGTACCTAAGTTACTTCCCCACATACCAGAACAGGGCCACCATTCAGTTCCATGTATCTCACCCAATGCATGCAGACACATACACCCAAAACGTACACCTATTTTCGTTTCCGTACTAAAACAGATTTCATACCAAAAACCCATTAGGATCCCGCTCGTCCCGATCAAATCATCTGCTACGACCCCTCCACAGGCCGCCACCTCGCCACCATCCCTGCACAAACAAAGGCCGACGTCGCCTCTGCCCTCGCCAAAGCCAGAAAGGCTCAAGCCAAATGGGAAAAGACCACTTTTGCACAACGCAAGATTGTCCTCCAGTCCCTGCTGGATTTCATTCTCCTCCACCAGGAATCGATCTGCAGAGTCGCCGCAAGGGATACAGGCAAGACTATGGTCGATGGCAAGTTTGGAGAAATTCTGACGACCTGTGAACGTATCCGTTGGACTTTGGCGCACGGAGAGGATGCCCTCAAGGACGAGCACCGTGACCCGGGACTGTTGATGTTTTACAAGTCTGCGCGTGTTCAGTACCGTCCCATGGGCGTTGTTGCGGCATTGGTCTCGTGGAACTATCCCTTCCACAACACGTTTGGACCCCTGATCACAGCGCTCTTTGCAGGAAACGGAATCTTGATCAAGGCTTCGGAACAAGTTGCCTGGTCGACGACGACCTATTTCGCCCAGATCGCCCGTACGTGTCTCGAGGCCTGTGGACATGACCCCGATCTGGTTCAGTTCCTGGTCGGATTCCAAGAGTGCGGTGAGGCTGTTGTGACCAGCGGAGTCGATGGAATCACATTCATCGGATCCCCCCAAGTCGGTGCTAAGGTCGCCACAGCAGCCTCGTACAACTTGACGCCCTGTGTGCTGGAGTTGGGAGGCAAGGATGTGGCGATTGTCAACAAGGATGTCGATCTCGAGGCTGTGGTTCCTATTCTGATGAGAGGTGTCTTCCAGAACTGTGGTCAGAACTGTATTGGGTTGGAGAGGATTATTGTTCATGAGAGTTTACATGAGAAATTGATTGAGATGGCTGGCAGCAGGATCAAGCAGTTGAGGCAAGGGCCTCCTCTGGAGATCGAGAACATTGACTGTGGTGCCATGACCATGAGCGGACGCGTAAGTCTCTTTTCCACGTTATCGTTATTTGATCGCTTGGGTTGCTTAAAAGACAAACGAGTATAACAGCTGACGATCTCGATATTGTAATGTGAAATATAGAACAAGGCGTTGGAAGGACTGGTGAACGAGGCGGTGAAGGAGGGCGCTACATTGGTCTACGGAGGCCACGGATACGTACACCCAAAGTTCCCTGACGGCCAATTCTTCGCGCCCACACTCATCACCGATCTCCGTCCCGACATGAAGATTGCCCAAGAAGAAGCCTTCGCCCCCATCATGGCCGTCTTCAAATTCAAGACCCTCGACGATGCCATCGCCATCGCCAACTCGACTCGGTACTGCCTCGGCTCCAACGTCTTTTCTCGTAACCAAAAGGAAGGCCAGTATATGATGGATCGTCTGAAGGTCGGTATGAGCAACTTAAACGATTTCGGGGTCAACTACCTCTGTCAGTCATTACCATTCGGTGGTGTGGGGATGAGTGGATATGGTCGGTTTGGTGGGCCTGAGGGTTTGAGGGCGGTGTGTCACCAGAAGGCGGTGACGATGGATCGGTGGCCGATGTTGATCCAGACGTTCTTGCCACCTGTGTTACAGTACCCGATGAACAATGTTGGGGATGCCATTGTGGTGACGAGGGATCTTGTGAATATTATTTATGCTGGGTGGGCTGGCCGAGCCCATGCTGTCTTTGAGATTGTTAGGACCCTTCTTGTTGGTGCCAACCAGCCTGAGCAACTTTAGATATATAGTATGTAGTTGTTCAATCATTTCAGACTCATTTTTTTCCCAACATACAGAGGCGGCATGTGTTTGCTACATGTGGCTTTGAGTCAACTCCAAAATGAACATCATTCCCCTCCGCAGTATGCACATGAGAGCTGACTCTGTTTCCCATCAACAGTGAACTATTGTGCGTCATGCTCTCTCTCTCACTGTGGAAAATGTATATAAAGGGAATGATTCTTCCCCTCATTTTTCTTCTCTCACCCACACTTCTCACTCTTATCGTCAAGAAAGGTAAACATTCCCATCAAATGTCCGAACCAACCGCCACCACCATCGAGGCAACTCAACCTGACCCAACCGAGCATACCACTCCCACGCCTACCAAACGCACTCCCGAGGAACACGCCCGCCTCCTAGCCCTGCACACCTCCTACCCACCCATCTGGCTAACCCCCACAATCACCCTCGGACCCTGGTTTCCCACCGACCGCGAAACCCTCGTCGAGTACCTCAACGACGCCCGGATCCATTCCTACCTCTGTGGACCACCTTTTCCTTACACCTTGGAGAATGCTGATTTTTGGCTTGGGATGCAGGTCGACAGGATGACGGAGAAGGGGACGCCCTTGGATTTCTGTTTCAGGGATATGAGTAGAGGCGGGAGGGCGGTGGGTAGTATAGCAGTATCGAATGGGAGTGACGATATCCTTACTGGAGATGATATCGGGTACGTAAGAGTATCTTGGAATGAGGATTCAATTGCTTGCATGTACATGTACAGTCAACACCCAACACTGACGCCCATTCTTTATATTGACCCCCCCTAGGTACTGGCTGGCACCAGAGTACCACGGCCAAGGCCTAATGACAAAAGCCCTGCGCCTCCTCCTCCACCGCGTCTCAATGGTCGAAGCCGGAAAACGTAAATTCAACGCCCACGCCTTCATTGGAAACTACGCCAGTCGTCGGATCATGGAGAAGGTTGGGTTTGTGGTTCAGGAAGGGGAAGGGTGGGAGAGAACCGTTGTGAAGAATGGGAAGGAGATTCGGATGTGGGTGCTGAGGTTGAGTGTTTCGGATGAGGATGTTGAAAAGTGGGAGTTGGTTGAGGAGGCTGAACCTTTGGATTCTCTGGTGGGCTAGTAGTGGTGAAAGGTGGTGGGGATGATGGTTGGGAAACGTTAGCAGCACCACATGTGCGGGAATAAACAACGACGCCGTCTGATTGTTTTTAGTTTGTTGGTGTGGAAGAAGACATGGGCTCTCTGCCGTTGAGAATAAACGTGACAGACGAAAAAAAAAAAGAGGAAATAAAATAGCTTGTTGTCGTCCGATACAATCTTCGTGTTCTATGAAAGTCCCTGCGCGTATCCTATCGCACTTTCTAGTCGGACAAACAAACATGTTCGTGAGTCAATTGAAGGAACGATGCGCAAGGGCACGGCACCGGAGCCAATCAGAGGGTATGATTGAACTGAAAGCGATTGCGTATCCTCCCTTGAGACAATGCTTTTGCCCAGGAAAAGGGTTATGCCTGAGACTTGTTTGGCCCATTGAAGGCTAGTGCAATGCGCGAAAGGGCACTCGTTCAGGACAAATGGGCGATGGCCCAACCATAAATCAAGTTTGTTGTCCACGTTGTTCAATGTGTGGTCACGAACGGGCCACCCCTCGCTCCAGGGATGCAAAATGCGATGCCAATGATGACAATTGACCTATCATTGAGGTGCGAAGAAAGGCGCGTTTTGTATGTATATGCCTGTCACATTTGCATAGTTGCCCCATTGGTTCGTTAACGGTAGCAAAAGAGGAGGTTTGGACAAGTGAATGGCCATGGCCACTGCTCAAAAAAGGCAGCGCAACAGTCAGTTGGATTCGATATGCACAGTGCACTTTGATAAGCGTGTCTCAGTGATCAGGGATCAGCATATATAAAAAATAGGCGAAAAAAGACACCTTTGATCACTTCTTTTCCTTTCTTCCTCTCCTCCGTCCTTCTTTCCTCCTCTCCTTCTTTCCTTCGTCTTTAACTCACTCACTCACTCTTCCACTCCACTTCTCTTATCACCCACACCCCCCCCTCCCCCCCTTCTCAACAACGTCTCCCCTACATCTTAGTATACAACAAATGCTCGCCTACGAACCATCAGCACCGACGGCGGGCGCTGCTTCACACACAGACCCCGTCTTACACCCGTACCAAGACACCGTCGACTCTTACCCTCAACACTACCAATTCAACGACAACAACAGCAACAACAACAACAACAGCAACAACGATAATGACCCCCGCGAACTCAGCAATCGCCGTAGAGAAGCCCTGGCCAAGATCGACAATGCAGAGTTTGGCTGGTTCCACATCCGCACCTGTCTCGTCGCTGGAGTCGGTTTCTTCACCGACGCCTACGATCTCTTTGCTATCAACCTCGTCACTCCCATGCTCGGCACCATCTATTTCGAAAGCGGAATCATGCCCACTGACCTAGACCTCGGCATTAAAGTCGCTGCCTCCATTGGTACCTTTATCGGCCAAATCGGGTTCGGGCACCTCGCCGATCGTCTGGGCCGCAAGCGGATGTACGGTATCGAGCTCATGATCATTATTGTCGCAACTCTGGGGCAAGCTCTCTCTGGCGAAGGTCCGGCCTTGTCGTTGCCTGCCGCGTTGATTGTGTGGAGGTTGATGGTCGGTGTTGGGATCGGGGGTGATTACCCACTCTCGGCAGTCATCACGTCCGAGTTTGCGACCACCAACCGCCGTGGGGCCATGATGGCTGCTGTCTTTGCGATGCAGGGGTTTGGGTACTTGACCACCGGACTGATTGCTGTCATTCTTCTTGCGGCCTTCAAGACGGCGATTATTGCAGACCCTTTAATGTTGGACTATGTTTGGCGGATCCTGATCGGTTTTGGGTGTATCCCTGCCCTAGTCGCGGTCTATTTCCGACTGACCATTCCCGAGACCCCGCGGTATGTCCTCGATATCGAGAACGATGTCCACCAAGCTGAGAGGGACGTTGCTACAGTCTGCAAGGAGGATGGTGATGGTAACCTTATCAAGGACGACGACGAAGTCAACAAGAAGGTGATCCTGTCCAACCCGGCGATTGTCAAGGGCTCCTTCTCGGATTTCTGTCGGTACTTTTCCAAATGGGAGAACTTCAAGGTCCTATTTGGCACGTCGGTGGCCTGGTTTTCACTTGATGTGGCCTTTTACGGGATCGGTCTCAACAACTCGTTTATTCTTTCGTCCATCAATTTTTCGTCTTCCACGGGGAACGCCTGGTCGACCAACTGGAACGCGGCCATCGGTCAGATTATCATTGTCCTCCTCGGATCCATTCCGGGCTACTGGGTCACCGTCTTTACGATCGAGCGTCTGGGTCGGATCAAGATTCAGCTCTTGGGATTCTTCATGTCTTGCGTCCTCTTCTGCATTCTCGGTTTCGCCTACGACAAGATCCGAGCCACCTCCTCGGCGCTGTTCATTGTCCTTTTCGCGATGACCCAGTTCTTCCAGAACTTTGGACCCAACTCTACCACGTTTGTGATCCCGGGTGAGGTGTTCCCAACACGGTACCGATCGACAGGTCACGGTATCGCAGCGGGGTCGGGCAAGTTGGGAGCGATTATTGCACAGGTGGGCTTTTCGCAGTTGAAGGATCGTGGTGGAACCAACGCGTTCTTGCCAGAGCTGTTGCAGATCTTTGCGTTGTTTATGTTAGTGGGGCTGCTGGTAACGTTCTTGATCCCCGAGACCAAGGGCAAGACGCTGGAAGAGTTGTCGAACGAGGTTGATGATGATTGTAATGCGGGAGGTCAGCATCATCATGGGTATCAGGATGGGAGCAATGGTAGTGGGGATTTTTTGAATAGTCCTCACGTTGATCGCAACAACAACAACAACAACAACAATGTGGACGCCGAGAAGTAGTCTCTACACCTTTGTATCTTTGTCCCTTTACCCTTTTTTTTATCTTTCTATCTTTCCTTCCCATCCGCACCCCATCGAAATATAAATAAAAAACGCGCGCGGAGTCAATTTGAGATAAGGGACAAAAGGCGATGATGATGCCTGTTGAAGTGACTGTCCTCTTGGTTAAGCTTGCTTGCACTTGCACGCCAATGACGTTCTTGTGTGATGGGTGACAGCAACAAATTCTCTCCTTTCTGCCTTGTTGCTTCTTTTTTATTCTTTTACATCCCTTCCATTCACCTTTCTTCTCTTTTCATTCCTACCCCACTCCACTCCACTCCACTCTGCTCCACTCACTCCACTCACAAGCCAAGGACAAGAAACAAACTCACACAGGAAACAACCATAACCACACACACACACACAGGATTAAAAAAAAAAAGACAAACATGCCACTTCACGCAGCAGGACCAACGCAAATCTTTACCTTCCCCGACGTGCCCGCGCTCTCGCAAGGGCTCGACACCTACGTCGCCAAGCTCTCGGACGAGGCTATTCGGCGCCACGGCAAGTTCACTGTTGCCATCTCTGGAGGCTCGCTCCCCAAACAGCTTGCTGCTGTCTTGAAGCATAACAAGTCCGTCGACTTTGTAAGTTCTAGCTTTTGCTTTTTTTTGTTTAGAAAAAAGTAAGGAAAGATGGATAAGAGTGGGGACTGATAGGGATAGAAAAACAGAAGGAAGGGTGGGTTGTGCATGTTGTTACTTTGATACAAGTGGAGGAGAAAAGGAAGGGAAGAGTTACGCATGGTTTATGAGGGTGAAACGTGCATGGATGTTTGATAATCACTGGCAAGAACGCTTTTGCTGCAGCGTTTTTTTTTTTTTTTTGTCGGATCGTTCTTTACTTTCATGCTCTTTATGCCCTTTGTCTCGCTGTCTTGAACCCTTGAAGAAAATTATTTTCTCACGAAGGGCCCACCCATTGGACAGTCTCACTAATCATTGCCTGTTATCATGGTATGACCTAATAGTCGAACTGGATTGTCTACTTCGCAGACGAACGCTGCGTGCCTCTGGACCACGAGGACTCGAACTACCTCCTCGCCAAAACCGAGCTCTTCGACCACGTCGACATCCCCCAAGAGAACATCCACACCATCGACAACGACCTCGTCTCCGACCCCGAAGAAGCCGCCGAGGACTACATCTCCCAACTCGCAAAGACATTCGCCACCAAGGATTCTGTCCGTTTCCCCGTCTTTGATCTCATCCTCTTGGGAGTCGGCCCCGACGGTCATACCTGCTCATTGTTCCCCGGACATCCATTGTTGAAGGAGATGACGAGTTGGTGTGCCTATATCACGGATTCGCCCAAGCCTCCCTCGGAGAGAATTACCTTGACCTTCCCTGTGTTGAACCATGCCCACCATGTGGCGTTTGTTGCGGCTGGTGCGGGCAAGCAGGATATGTTGCATCAGCTTTTGGATGCTCCGGGGCATCTGCCCGCACAGATGGTTAAGCCTGTCACGGGTACTCTGAGCTGGTTTGTGGATGATGCTGCTGCCGCCAAGATCACCTCTGCCACCTACAAGGGCCTCGAGCGTCTCTGAAGAGAGAGCGATTTCAACTGGATTCTTTTCTGCTTGTCTATTCGCAGGCGTGTTGTCTTCCTTCTTTCTACCTTTGTCAAACATAACAGCAACAGCAACCCACAAGCCAACAAATTACACATACAACAAACAATTCACCCTTCGCATTCCTGAGCGACTCTTGCAAATAAAAAAAAATTGTACACCTTACACGTCGTTACCAATTTTTTATTCTCTCGCGACAAAAAGAGCTGACATTACAGGGGATTTCGCCTCTAAGACGAAGAAGGGGGAGGTTGAGGAGTAACCAAGGACTTTAACACCCCTCTCGCGAAATCAACATACGGCTCCCTCTTCATACCCACCAACACAGCATCAACCTGGTCATGCTCCAACAAGTACTCGACCGCAAACTGTTCGATCGGCACTTCCTTCAGGTTGACACCGCGTTCGGTCATGATATTGCGGATCCGGGTGGATTCTTGAAAGCGAACTTGTTGGTGGAAGGCGTGGATGAAATGGTCGAGGGATTTTATGAGGTGGTCGAGTTCATGTTCGGTGACTTTTCCGTGTGTGCCATGGGTCGTGGAGGAGGGTGGCGTTGTGGAGGTGGATGGGGGAGTATGGGGCTTTGTTGAAGTGGGAGAGGTCCTGATGGCGTCGACTGCTGCAGCTGCAACCGGTGACAATGACGACGACGCGGTGCCCAAAGTGGTACCAGAACCCTTGGTCTTGGAGGGGACAGGAACGGGTTTTGCCAACTCCTGATGTAACTGGTTCCTAACCGAGGCACCCTCCATCTGAATAATTGACAGCTTGTCCGTCTTCAACGACCCATCCAACCCCTCAACCATCTCCTTCAACCTCCCCATTTTTGACTGGAGGTACTCCCTCTGCTTACCTAGCGCCACAAATGCTCCCAGAATCTCATCCTTGGCCTCCGCGTAGGTCGGAGCAAGCGGTGGCGGGTAAGAAGCCAAACGCGCAGGGCCATATTCGGGAGACATGGCGTTGAGGGGTCGGTTGATAAAGACGGAGAGGTTTTTGGCTTTGGCCCATTTGGCTGTGGTGTGGAGACCCTCGGTTTCGAGTAGATTTCCGGGCATTTGGAGGTAGCCTAGGCCATGGGTTGTGCGGTTGACTATTTTTGGTGGTGTTGGTTGTGAGGCACGTTTCTCGGAGGTAGAACCCTGTCCTGGTTTTTGGGAGGGTGAGAGGGGTGTGGTTTTGGCGGTGGTGCTGAAACTGCTGCTGTTACTTGGCGGGAACACCTTTCCTCCACTCCTGCCACCTGAAATAACACCTCCTGAGGGTTGCTGTTGTTGCTGCTGCTCGAGAAACAAAGCATGCTCCTGGTCCCTCTGAACCCTCATCCGGTCAAAGGCACTGGTCGCCATCTTGATCAGATCCTGGTACGGCAAGAAATGTGCATGGGACGGTTTGAGCGAGAAAGAGTTACTGCTGATCCCGTAGGCCCTAATCCTACCCTTTTCGATCTCTCGTTCCAGTTCTTCGAATAGGATGGCTAACCTGTTCAGGAGGATGGTTTGGTGCTCTATGTTAGGAGTGGGAGTGTAGAGGAAGTGTTAGTGTTGCCTCATGGGGTGGCAAAAGTATAAAGGTACAGACAGAGGTTTGGGCGATAGAGCATCGAGTACTTACTTTTGACGTTGTCCTCGGTGCCTTTAACGTTGGTCATCAAAAAGTACTCTGGATTGTGGACAAACAGGATGTCGACGTATTTGGTGTTGAGTCTTTCCAGTGACCGAGTGAGCTGGTCTCTGTGTTCATAGTTGTATACGTTGTTCCATGTGAGTATGTTGGTTGTTCGGAGGATGCTCCCAAATAAGAGAGGACACAAGGACATACACCCACGAAATATAATTGAACAGTGAGACAACCATGCATATCTCCAACGTCAACAGTCGAGGGAGAGGGAGAGGGGATGACGAATAAAAAATACCTCATGAACTCTGGGTGGATGGAGTGATAGCATTCCCGTGAGTACTCGACAATCTCTTCCGGCGGAACCCTCTGGTCGACGAAAGGAAAAAGCGAAAATTGGATGTCAATAGAGCGTGAGAAATCTTTGTCCCCTCCATCATACGCTTGATGACGACTGCAAAGAAAAGCTTGAGTTTGTTACCTGGAAGACACCTTCAGAGAGGAGCCGCATGTTCTCGTTCTGGATGTACCCAAACTTTGTCGCTATCACAATCTCGTCCCGACGTAACGTGTTATGTCGAGGGTTCGATAGGACCTATAGGTTGAGAGGAGAATAGACACAAAACGTCAGTCACCTTCCTGCTGTCAAAAGTCCCTGACACGAAGCAAAGAGTAAGGTGACAAACCTTCCCGATGAGCTGTTCACTCCGGCCGTTGGAGTAGTTGGAAGAGGTATCGATGAGGTTGATGTTGAGCCGGGGGTCTTTTTGACGCTCGAGGGCTCTGTAGAGGATTCGCTCGTGCTCGGGGACGCCCAGGGCCAGCCTGTAGGAGCCGATGCCCAGTCGAGAGATTGCTCGTGATGTCGGGCTTGTCATATCCCTTCTGCTTGCTTTGTGGTAGGAGGTGGTTGTGGGAGTGTTAGTGGAGAGAGGAGGAGGGTAAAAAGAAAAAAGAAAGAGAGAGAGGAAGAAAAGGAAGAAGGTGAAAGAGGCACGTTGCTGACCGTGCGCGTATCATCCACCTCGATCATTCATCTGCCTGAGGCAGTCACTTTTTTCCTTCTCGGCTAATTTAACACCTGGAGTAGGACACCGAGTAAAGACGCGAACTGATCTCTTTTCATCACTCCTCTCATTCATTCACTTCTCCACTCTTTTAATCATTAACGCACAGAATCAACAACAGCATAATGTTCGCCTCATCAGGACTGTTCAGCGGAATACCATGTCCCTTCATGCCCGCGTGCCCTCGCGAATCCTTCTGTGTCTACTCACACACCCTCAAGGACACTCCTCCTCCTGAGTCTGTGCCAACTCCAACTCCTATGAAACGCAAGCTCAACACGTCTGAGGGGTCGCGTTCAGGGCAGGCATCGACTTCACAACAACGAGCATCGAAACCAACGACAACTGTCACTGGGAAGACCTCGCCTGGATCATCATCGACCACCAAGTCGTCGGCGGAGGAGGCTGCCGAGTTGGCGGCCAAGAAACGGAAACTGGCTGCAGAGATCTCTTCAGGACCACCTTCAGGGTCCAGGTCAGCAACCGCTTCAACATCTACACCATCAAAGGCAACTACAACGCCAGCAGTACTCATGGCAAGACCCGACACCTCGTCCTCTTCTTCTTCACGCAAACCAACCACCAACGCTGCCGGCACTTCAAGACCTTCCAACTCGACGGGCAAACTGACAGTATCAGGACCGCCAGTCCTCAAGATCGACATCCGAGCACACAGCAAACCCCTCTTCCGCCAAGCAGTCGCCACCCAATTCTATAACGAGTTCCTCCGTATCTACACCCCACTCTCCAGCGAAGGCGCCTGTCTCGCGACCGCCCACGCAGTCGACCAAGAAAAGGACGTCCATTCGAAAACCAACCAAGGTAGCTATCGGTCTCTCGCAGCATCGATCCTCCAACGACTCAAGAAACGCCCTGCCTCGACTGGAATCGACGATGTCGGGATTGATGGTGACTGGGTGGACCCGAGTTTAAAGGCGAATGAAGATGCGGTGTTGGAAAAGATCTGGAAGGCGGCGGGGAGGTATGTGCAGACGGTTAAGGAGTTGGAGGATAATGGTTACCCTGTCGCGATCCCAAGGGGGACACCGCCGCGGTATGGTCCCAAGAAGGAATGTGAGAGATGTACAAAGATGTTTGAGGTCTCAGAGGACTTGGAGGGTGTTGATATGCATGCCTGCCAGTACCATCAAATGCGTCTCCGCAACAAACTTCACAATGGTACGAGCTTTGTCTTCATTTTCAATGCCTCTGTCGTTGCCAAGTCATGGAGAGTTGATGTAGTATGAAGAAACTGACATACACGACTGCATTGGCTCCTATAGGCGACAAGATTAAGTACTTTCCGTGCTGCGATGCTCCTCAAGGAAGCACAGGATGTCAGGATGGACCCCACGTATTCAAGGATGACGAGTTCCTTGATCTCCATCACCGGATACCGTTCATCGAAACGCCCAAGGACTGTCTGGGAGGCAAGAAGCCCCACTCTGTCGTCGCCATGGACTGCGAAATGGTATTCCTTTTTGTAACCTACCATCATTGCAGAAAAGTGGAAAATCGACAAAACTCTGTTTTAATTATTTCTCGTTTTCATTCAATCGTGCCCCTTAGTGCTATACGACGGGAGGATTCGAGTTGATCAGGATATCGGTCGTCGACAAACTCGGAAAAGTCATCATGGACGAACTAATCAAGCCCAGTCACCCAGTCCTGGACTTGAACTCCCGGTTCAGTGGCATTACTTCCCTCGAAGAAGCGAAATTGGATCTTGAACAGGCGAGGGATAAATTTTTGGAGCTTGTGAATCGGGATACGATTGTTGTGGGGCAGAGTCTTGAGAATGACTTCAAGGTGCTGAGGTTGATCCATACCAGGGTCGTTGACACTGCTATGGTAAGTGATGTGCTGTGAAAGTGGAGCAAGACGCGTTGTTGTTGTGCTAACGATCTATCGGCTGTTTTCTAATCAAACAATCACATCGTGCCCATTTGTTTCCTGTGTCTGCGTTTGAAAGCTATACCCTCACCCGCAGGCGTATCTGAACTACAGGTACTCGCTCCAGAAGCTGGCCAAGATGCACTTATCGATCAACATCCAAGAGTCCGAGACTGGACACGACTCTTTCGAGGACGCCAAAACGTGTTTGGACCTGGTCCGCATTAAAATGGAACAAGACATGGCCTCCTGAATAAAATATCTTTTGCAAAGTGCTTGCTAAAGTTTTGCTCTATTCCACTCTTTCTTGCTCTCTGTTCCAATTGACCTACATGATGCCAGGGTGCACTAGTGGTACGCGTTTCCTCCCGTATTAATAAAAACCGCCGCGGGAGAGAACGGAAAAAAGAGCATGCAAAAACACAACGATTGATGGTGGTGGACAATTGCTACATTTACGGATTGTGATTTATTCGAGTATGAACGATCCAATTTGCTACTTTGTGAAGAGTCTGGGAAGGGAAATACAACTCCAGAAAAAACGGAAACAAGTTGCAAATATAAAGTCGAACATCCCGCCAGTCCCTCGCCATTTAACGGTAAGACTTCTGGTATCTGTATTGTTGAGGAGATGGTACCATGAAAGAAAAGGAAATAATTGTAAGTACATGAAGAATTTACAAACAAAAGCACAGCTTGCAGCAAAAAAAAAAAAAAAAAAAAAAAAAGCATACCTGGCACGGGCACCAGCACCACCGAACTTCTTGGGCTCGCAGCGACGGGGATCGGCGACGAGGAGGGTACGGTCGTACTGGAGGAAGATCTGCTTGAGCTCGTTCTTGGAGGCCTCATCGACGTACTTCTGGTAGTAGGCAACGATGGCCTTGGCAAGAGCCTGACGGACAGCGTAGATCTGGGAAGTGTGTCCACCACCCTTGACGCGGATGCGGATGTCGACGTTGGCGAACTTGTCAGAGCCGACGCGGAGGATGGGCTCGTAGACCTTGAACTTCAAGACATCGGGCTCAACGAGCTCAATGGGGGATCCGTTAAGGCGGATAAGACCCTTGCCGGCCTTGCAGTGAGCAACGGCAGTGGCGGTTTTCTATTAGAGTTGGATAAGTCAAGTGAGGTCCTAGGTTAGCCTTTGGCTCTTCTGCTTTCCGTTCAGTTAGAACGATCCCGTCCAGGGGCTTGGCGTATATTCCGGAGGCAGTGTACAAAAAGTTGTTGGCGGTTCCTGTAAAGTGCGTGTCGCTTTTGGCCGATCTGCGGCAATATCAATAGGTATTGGAGAGATGTGAATTGTCGCTAGATATGTCGGTTGGCTGTAGGTTGTTGATAGCATGTCTGGAGAAAAGGCGAGTGACAAGGCCGATTGGGCGTATTTGGTACGCTTTAACTGTCCAAAACGGTGCAGCTGCACTGTGCTGTTCAAGAGTGTCGTGTGGTCTCGTGTCGCGTGCCTTCAAACTGCCTTCAAACTGCCTTCAGGCTGTAAGGTGGTTCCCAAAGGATCACAGTTTCGCCGCTTTCAGTTGATGGGAAGGTGGTGCAGGTTTGAAAGAGCGCTTGTGTAGTGATGGATCGTGTTCTTGGGGGTATCGAAATCCTGTTGCCTTGTTGCTCTCCTCCCAGATCGCCGTATTCCTGTAAGAGCCCCGCAGAACTCTTGTCTCTCCTGCCGTTCGTCTTTCCGTTGCCAAAAGAGACTTGCCTTGCGGCCGTAGCACTGAACACTCTTCGAGTCGGAGGACATGATGAATAAATGCCTAGAAGCACAAACGAATGAACAAAGGACAAAGAGTCAGTTCAAACTGTCTCCCTGCAAGTTTTGATGATGGTTTACTCCTGCTTGGGGGATTGTTGGTCCTTGAAGGTTTCTGCATCAACGCACACTTCGATTCCATGCACCGAGCCGTCAGAAGACTATAGTGAATCCGAGGTTGTAGGTTGGAGACTGAAGGATGATGGGTTCTCCCCTCTTGAGTAAAAATCAAGATCTTTTGTCTGCCGAGTCCCGAAATATTTTTGTGGTTGGAGCATGGCGACATGTGGTGTTATGGGTGTTGGTGTAAGTGTTTCCGGATGGTTGGATGCATGGCGGTATGTGTATATTGATCGATGGATGTATGTATGATCCTCCTGTATGGATGTATGTGGATGTCTAGTCCACTAGCCAATAATCTCCGCTATGTACCAAGTCAAAGATGAAAGAGAGGGTTCTATCTCCAGGCTTACACTTCGTCTATAACCACTTCACACACTGGGATCACACCGGCCAAATAATTTATGTGGCTTGGCCACCCAATTCCTTCTCTTTGATCCATCCAGTACACCGTCTGACTTATACTCGTCTGCCAAAGTACAAAGGAGAGCAGTCCCCGTTGGAGGTGTGCCTTGTAAACAACTTTCGCCCTCGGGATTGACTTGCACAGACACACACCTGGCACTACCTTGTCGTTTCTCCGTCTTCCCACCCTCCCTCTCCGCATCACACCCCCTCACACACACGTACACATTTGTCATGTCGTTCTCTCGTGTCGTCCTCAGGGCTGGCAGGTCATGCTCCGCCATGGTACTTTTTTACTCTTTTCATTTCATTCTTCTCTCATACCGGGACTCACTAAAACTGATCAACCTTCTACGGCCTGGAACTAACGCCTCAGGAACACTTCTTAAACCAAATATATTAGCCTACTCGCGCATTCTCAGTCAAGTCGGTTGCCAGGAGCGCTGCCGAGCCCACCTACAAAGCCCCCGCCTTGGGCGTCAACAAGACCTTTGACGAGGCTTTGAAGGTCATTGCAGAGGACAAGGCCAAGCGCCTGGCCGATATCAAGAACATGGAGACCACCTTGGCCCAATTGATCAAAGGTTCGACGTTTTCTTTGCTTCAAATACTAGTGATTCCAATTGATACTGAACAGACTACTGACCTTGCCATTTAACACCATCGATCGAACCCGGAATAATAGCCGCACCATCAGCCGCAAAGGACACAGAGATCGCAGCACTCCAGGAAAATATCTTCAAGCAGGAGGCATACGCCGAGATCAACGATCCCGAAATTCAGTGGCAATTCAAGAACAACAAGAACATCGACATGTCCAAGGCAGTCTTCCGGTTCATGAAGGGCAAGCAGTTCAAGCGCGAGACCCTCCCCGTGATCCAGCAGCGTACCGCCCAGATGTTTGTCACCCCCGATCTCTTGCCCACCCTCACACCCTCCGTCAACGTTCAGCTGGATTTCGGCGCAGGATCAATCCCCCAGGGAACAAAGTTGACTGATGGATACTTTGAGACGGGATCTTTCCTCTTGCCCGGAAAGACGACCCAGGAGCCCAAGGTCAATGTTACGTCGTTCCATCCCGAGCAGAGATATTATACGGTTGCCCTTGTTGACCCAGACATGCCTGATGTTGAGAACGAGACCTACAAGCAGCAGTTGCATTGGTTGATGTAAGTCTTGTGGAATTTCTTATCACTTTTCAGGGGAGAATGTCATTCAGGAACGTTGACACGTCCTAGTGGAAATGGACTCTATTTTCAACGGATATCGCGTTGGACAACGGCGAAACACTATTATACCTGGAACATACAAACAGATACCACCAAGAGGGCAGGGGTGGCCTATACGATATAACGGAACACAAGGGATGGCTCCTGCACGAGCCATCAGTTTGATTGAAAACGGGCGTGTTTTCTTGGTAGGCTTTGACAGTAGCGCCGATGACTGACCATGGTAGCTCTTTCCTCTCTAACCCAATGAAAAATTAGCGCTAATGTGCCATTGTCAGCGACACAGACAGAACTGACCAAGGAGAATTCTGATGTTGTGTTGTCGTACTTGCCCCCCCACCCTCCCAAGGGCACGAAATACCACCGTTACACACTCTTGTTGGCAGAGCAGCCCAACAACGGCCAGGACAAGATTCAGATGGACGCGACCCAGATTTCAAGAGAGACCACGCTCCGTGATCTGTGCTCACATTTCAAGCTGGAGGTGAAGGGCTTGACGTTCTTCCGTCAGGTCTGGGATAAGGATGTCAGCCGGATCTACAAGGAGGTTCTTCAGCAGGACGAGCCTGTCTATGGCAACCAGCCCAAGGTTGATGAGCTCCTTGATGAGACTGGACAGAAGAAGAAGAAGTTCATTCATATGTAAACCCCGCCATTTCTTTTCTTTCACTTCTTACCATTTCCGCCACTTTTCATCCCTTCATTTTCATTATTAAAACGAACCCTCGAGGACATAGACCAACAAGTACACGCGCGAGATTTTGTTGTTTTTCATGTTTGCCACATACTACGCACAGGCACCATCTCTACGATAAGTTGACTATTTAACGCCGCATAGTCAAGTCCTCCTTATTCGTTGAGTCATCGTTGACGCCTCTTTTCCCTGTAACCTGTGCGTTACTTTAATCGATGGTGATGGTGCGGTTGTGGTGACTGGTGACAACCACAGAAATAAAAAAGGAGGTGGCTTGTTTCCTGCTCCAATGTCAATTGACACCCCAGCAAAGCCACGGTTCGCCCTTCCCTCCTTTCCTCACCCTTCGTCCATCGGTCGAAGGTCACTCACCTCTCTTCGTTTGCCAGGGAAAGGAATTATATGGACCATCGTTTGGAATACCAGGGACGTTATCAGAGTCGAGTGATTCGAATATAACTTCAAAGGTTGACGTTTTGCCGTCTTCCCCTTTATACATTTTTTCCTGGAAACAAGGAAAAATGAACGCCACCAAAAATTATTATTAATGGGGGGATAAGAAATTGCGGCTGGGGTTGGTGGTCATTTGTCACAGCGTTGTCTATGTGTTGTTCAGTGTGTGTGTTACATCGGTGAAGGAAAGGAAGCGATGGGATGGAGATGACACGCGAGAAGGAGTGCGCAGATGGTTAATAACAAGATGGAGAATAAACCTGGTGAGGAAGGCTCGGCAAAAGTATAAAGGGTTCTTTTTCTTATCTTAACATCTTCATCTACGTTTCCTTTCTCTCTTCTCTTCTTCTCAAAAGGACAGCCAACGATTGGAGTCAAAACCCTCTCCTGTTCTTCTTTTCCATTACTACAGAGCATCATCAGTCTTTCTTGATCCTCTCAGAGACACTGTACTTTCTTCTATTGCTTGTGTTTGTCTCATCCTATCAATTGAACTGCCGCCCTGACCCTCTTCACTTCTTTTCCTTGATCTTCGCTGTTCGTTTACTGATCTTCGCTGCTTCTTCCTCACTTTGCTGGCACTCTTGCTCACTTGTCATCTTCATTGACCACTCTCGGCATTGTTTTGTGCCTTGTTTTCCTATTCTTTCCTTGACTTGACGCTGAGTTGACTCCACGATGGTTTTTAGCTTTCATTAATTACCTTTCCTTCCGCCTATTTTTTTGACTTTTATTTTTTTTCCCTCCTTCTCTCCGCCCGCAAAAGACATTTTTTTTTCTCCGTCTCTGATTCATTCTCAACTCATCTCTGCGCCCTTTTGGACCGCTTCTTACTTCCTTGGTATTTCTTCTCTTCTTCTATCTTATTTCTTCCTTCTTCTTTCTTCTTTCTTTTCTTCTTCTCCTTGCTTCAATTGACTTGACCCCCCTCACCCCTCGACACTCTCCCCCTTCTCCCATACACTAACAACTCTCTCACCTCACCAAGTGTCGATCTGTCAATCCAACCTTACCCTTTTCCCTCATCACCTCTCATCCACCTCAATCCAAGAAAAAAAGAGCAAATGACCCCCATTGACATCCCTCAGAAGGGGCCTGTTGCTCCCGTCGAGAAAGTCGACCCCGCAACTCTCTCCAAATTCCAGCAGCTCTGCTTGAGGTCCCAGCCCCTGATGCTCTACGTCGTCTCTCTCGCTCAATTCCTCGACATTGGTATGCTCTCCTCTCCTCTTCCTCCTCTTCATCGTCTTCAACATTCGCTTTTCCCTTTATAACCAAAACAAATGAACGGCGGATATTTGCCCTCGATTTATCCGCCGCTCTCCATTCGCTCAAATAACCACATGTAGATCTAACACTGCCTTCCCTCCCTCGATTCGATATCGATTCATCGTCCCCCTTTTTCTTTGTAATTAGTTAACGGTGCCAGTATGACCGTTGCAATGTTGCCCATTGCCAAAGGTAAATCAACAACCCAGAACCTTTTTGTTTTGTTTGCTCCCATGTGGGTAAAGTTTTTTTTATTCCCGGGTTCATTTTGAATAACGTTTCCCCGTTGCATGTTGGCTCACCGTTTCTCTCCTTTGTTCTACACTATGTCCAATCAGAGCTGAAGTTTGAGACGCAGCAGCAGCAATGGCTCATTAGTTCCTATGCGTTGTAAGTTATTCCCCTCACCATGTGCACCTTTTCTCGATCTCACTTTTGTTCATCATCCATCTCTCCCTTGCCGTTGTTTGTTTCTACTTGGCTGCGTTGTTTGTTTCTACTTGGTTGGCGCTCTGTTGGGCACCAGTCCTTCTCCCTCAAACACTAACTGACTTTATAATTTCCCCGCTTGAATGAATCCCCGTTTAGATCGTTCGGAGGGTAAGCAACACAACAACAGCTTGGCGCTCTGTCCTACTCAACTCACTCACTCACTCCATCCACTCCTATCTACCCGCTCTCATTTCACCGACTCACGCACTCATGCAATCACTCACCCCACCACCACCAAAAACAGCAACAACAACCACATACACCTATCCCGCACCACCCACTTCCCTCTTCCTACCCCTGTTTCCACTACTGCACCCCCTATGTACTCCACACCAGCATCGACGCCGACACTTTTTAAGCTTTGCAATGGAGTTTGCATGGAACGAATAGCCAATATTTTTTCTACGCCCGAAAGACAAAAAAAAATGGGATCATTTGGAGTACCGACAAAGCTAACACAGAAAACAAAACCCCTCTTGCTCTCATTTTTCTTCGCTTTCTCTTTCTCACGCGGGGTGTATCTTTTTTTTTCTTTAGCTTGCTTTTGATCGCTGGCCGCATGGTACGTTTTCTTTTTTGTGTCTCCCATCCCATCGAATCACAGTGGTTTTATGTTGCTTGTGCTCCCCTACTTGACCCGACACACATAATTTGCTCACCGCCTCCTTTACTTTTTCCATTTATGAATAGGGTGATTTGTTTGGACATCGTCGTGTTTTCTTGGGTGGCCTGTTCTGGTTCGGAATCTTTTCGCTCGTCAACGGTTTCTCCAAGACTCCTGTCATGTTGTGCATCTCCAGAGCTCTTCAGGGCATTGGTGCTGCAGGTACGTTTCAATTCTCTCTTACACATTTAAACCATTTCACATGCACCCAGCCGGAATGGTCATCACTGACTCTCACAATATGCAATGCGGATACACTACCAAGACAGAGAGACGCAGCGTGGACCCACTTTTTTTCCTTTCTTTGTGTTTACAGTTGTGTGGGGGAAAGTCTATCGGCCATATACAACAGACGCACATAATAACCTGTATGTAACACAGACACAGAAACACTAACAATGACTGCGCATCTTTTCATTTCCGCTCCAAACAACCCCCGCCCCTGTCCTTGTCCTTGTCGATTGGCACGCTGGTTGTAGCTCAAATCCCTACGGCCCTTGCCCTGATTGCCATCAAGTACCCTGCCGGTGATGAACGTACCCGTGCCCTGTCAGTCTTTGGCGCAATTGGAGGTAAATGCTTCGACTGTGGTTTCTCTAGGCACACAAGGAAACAAGACGCGACAATTGCATAGAACCTGTAACTTAAGTTTCCTCTTCTTTCTTTGGTGAAATAATTTAGCTATGGGAGCGGTGACAGGATTGTTGCTTTCGGGAGCATTGACATCGACGATCGGCTGGCAGTGGATCTTCTTCATCTCGGCCATCATGAGCGTCATCCTCTTCTTCCTCGGCCTCTTCGCCATCCCCCAGACCAGCGGTCTCCACGGCGAGAACCCCAGGATTGATATCGGCGGCTCCTTCACCGCCACCGGAGGAATCGTCTGTGTCATCTACTACATCTCCGCTGGCGTCGAGACCGGTTGGGCCAGTGTCCAGACTCTTCCAGTGCTCTGTGTCGGTCTTGTCCTCCTTGCGATCTTCGTTGTGATTGAGAAGAAGATCTCGTACCCTATCATGCCCTTCCATGTCTGGAAGCACCGTGCCTTCTCGACCAGCTTCGTGTTGATTTTCATCATGCAGGCCGTCTTCCAGGGGTACCTTTACTTTACGACGTTGACGTTCCAGGAGGTTATGGGATATAGCATTATGCGCACTTCGTTGTCATACCTCGTCCATGGTTTGACGGCGATGGTCTTCTATTCGATCTTGGGTCGCCTCTTGCCCAGGTTGCCTCTCAAGCCCATCATTGCGATCGGATTCATCTTTTTGGGCGTCTCCTCCCTGATGTTTGCGTTCGTCACCGAGAACAGCACCTACTGGGTCCTCCCCTTCATCTCCCTCATCTTCAACGTCCTCGGTCTGGGAATGGTCATGCTCCCCGCCCAGATCACCGCCCTCCGCGACGCCTCGGATGACGACCAAGGAGTCGTTGGTGCCATCTACAACGTCGGACTCCAGATCGGTGCCCCCTTTGGCTTGGCCATCCTCACCGTCATCTCTGGAAAACTCAACGGCGACCATAAGGGCGAGCGAGTTGGAGGACCCATCAACATGCGCGGATACAAGTATGCCCTTCTGGGAGACGTCGGACTTGCAGCTTTGGGCTTTGTCTTGACGTTGGTCTTCTTGCCCTCGGCCAAGCCTACCAAGGCCGAGAGCAATGTCCCTGCGTCTTTGGAGGAGGCTGGTGTTGCCGCGTCGTCGGTCAAGGATCAGGATAAGGAGTCTGTCACGACCGATGTTGGTGTCCCTACTGACTTCTCCAAGGCCGAGTATGTCGAGGAGGGTCAGCTGCCTGGCAAGACTGAGTATATCGAGGAGCAGCTTGGTGGAAAGACGGAGTACCACCAGGACGGTCAGGAATTGAACTCTCCCCAAATGGCCGAGGAAATCATCAAGGCCGGCGCCAAAGTCCAGTACTAATCGGCTCCCCTTTCATTTCTTGTGAACCTATTCACACACACACACGTCCCTTTTTTTGCATTTTTTTTGTATTCGCATGTATAACAACTTTTGTTTTTCATGAAGCACACCCCAACCAATCTAGAGAACAGCGCACATTTATGCACCAGTCTTTTGTATACCGCTTCCTTCCTTAATCTACCTAATAATAAAACCCTTTCCGCCGTTTTCATTTGTTTTCTTTCAACCTATACCATGCATTGCTTTCGTTGCATAGTTGTTGTTCATGTGTTTTATTATCGTTTTGTTGATTTTTCTCGTGAGATGGTTGTTTTGTTGTGTGATCATTACTTTAAGACAAGGGGGCCACAATAGGATTTAAGCCCACAAGAGGGCGGAACCGATGACCAACCCAACTATCGAAAGACCCGTGATAGCATTCGCCCTCGACGCCGCATTCTTCTTCTGACCAGTCGTCGAGGAAGAAGAAGACTCCTTCTTTTTGTCGTCGGATGAAGAAGTCTCCTTCTTCTTCTCGGCCTCCTTGTTGTTGTTGTTGTTGACAACAGACTCTGTCTCGTTCAGGGTCTGTTCGTCCTCGTCCTCTTCGTTGTCTTCCCAATCATCATCATTGTCGTTCTCTGGTGAAAGGGCATAGTTTGAAATGGAAGAATGTGGTCATGTTAGAGGTAAGAAAAAAAAAGTATTGAGGCATTGAACGAAAAATGATTATGGAGCACGAGAAAAAGAGGAGGGGATGAGAGGACTTACTGTGACGGGCAGAGAGGTGCTGGTACTCAGACTTGACATTCAAATCGCGCTTCGCAGCCACGGTACCTTGACCATTGGCATCGGCCTTGATAGTGTCCAACACGTACCCCGTCGACATCTGCTGATCACGCTTTCTCAAATCGACAGTGATCAACTTGTGCTCTCCGTTGGCATGGGTGTTGGTATGGACAGTGGCGCCGATGTTGAGGTCGAGACGCTTGCCCAAGTCGACGGTGATGAGTCTATGCTCCTTGGCGAGGAGGGTGTTGATGTCGAGGTGACGGCGGGAGACTTCATGGGCTGTGGGCATGCGACCGCGGGCGAAGTTGACGGTTGCTGTCGTTTGGGTGTTGGTGGTTGCGTCGAGGCGGCGGTTAATGTCGACATGAATCGGCTTGTGCGCCTCGGAGGTGATGTCCACGCTCAAGTCGAGGCGTTTGGCGACATTGACGTCAATGGGCTTGTCTTCCTTCAACAATTCAGCGTCAACATCCAGATGGCGGCGGTTAATGTCGACAATAATCGGCTTGTGCGCCTGGGGGGTGATTGCAACGTTCAAGTCGAGGCGTTTGGCGATATTAACGTCAACGGGCCTGTCCTCCTTCAACAATTCAGCGTCGACATCCAAGCGGCGGCGGTTAATGTCGACAGTAATCAGCCTATGCGCCTGGGGGGTGATTTCGACGTTCAAGTCGAGGCGTTTGGCGACTTTGACGTCAACGGGCCTGTCCTCCTTCAACAACTCGGCGTCAACATCCAAGCGGCGGCGGTTAATGTCGACAGTAATCAGCTTATGCGCCTGGGGGGTGATTTCGACGTTCAAGTCGAGGCGTTTGGCGACTTTGACGTCAACGGGCCTGTCCTCCTTCAACAATTCAGTGTTAACATCCAGGTGGCGGCGGTTAATGTCGACAGTAATCGGCTTGTGCGCCTCGGAGGTGATGCCCACGCTCAAGTCGAGGCGTTTGGCGACATTGACGTCAACGGGCTTGTCTTCCTTCAGCAAATCAGCGTTGACATCCAAACGCCTGCCCAACTCGACAGTAATAGGGTGCTGAATAATCGAAGAGTCGGTGTCGGCATAGTGCACGATGTTGACGTCGGCATTACGGGCTGCGAGTGCGGGGTGGCTCAATAGGTTGACAGTCGCTGTGGTGGCGTCGACGTTGGTGGAGGCGCCGAGGGCGACGGTGGCGAGGGTGAGGAAGAGGGCGGACTGATGCATGTTTACCGTTGTTGCGTGGTCGAGATCAAGAAAGGATGTGTATGAAGAGTGACGTAAGGAAGTAAAGGCAAAGTAAAAATCGAGTAGATCTGTAGATGGGTATATAGGTGGAGTGGTAAGTTCCGGGTATATTCTGATGAAGAGAGAGAGCGTGTGTATGAGAGAGAGAGAACAGTGTGAACGAGAGATAGAGGATGGAGGAAAATTGAAGATCCAGGCTGGCTACTTATATACCGATTCTTTGACCAAGCAAGGTACCACATATCTACGCCGATATTTGACATGCAGTTGAAGCGATGACAAAATAGAGAAGCACTTCTGTAAGGGTCCATCGTGTATGAGAAGCATTTAGTTGGGGACAAGTGAGATTGGCATTGGTCACGTTTGTAGAAAAAGGGTTTGTTACGGCCTGGGGGCTGGGACTAGACTGGATATCTCTTGAGTGTGTCAAATAGACAATCATACAGTGTGAATTGGTTTTGATATCCTGCATCCAGCTCATACACGAACTACAAAAAATAAAGGTGGCGGGAAGGTAAGGTAGAAAAAGAGGCGCACTATTATGGGTTCAGGATGGACAGAGAAGCAGGATGATTGACTAGTGCTAAGAACACATGGGATGATGGCATGGAGTGGGAGATGATGAATGTACAGGAATTATTAAACCTTTGCTCCAGGCAGCTAGTCTTTCGCTGTCGAAATATTAGGACAATTCAAAGTAGCGCAAAAGGGTCGCGTGTGTGTCTTAGTAGATGTCCGGTATCCGATTCTATGGAGTCCTGGTGTGTTGTTATTGGAAGAAGGGTCGGGTCTTATTCCTATCTCGTCAGGATAAATGGACATTTTTCTTGCGAGTTGGAGTGAGCAGGGAAGTGAATCAGGAAGGACAGAGAAAAAAAGGAGAAGGGAAAAACTGAGAGACTTTGTTTGGATAGGGAGGGATCCAGTGTGGACAACAACAATAGATGGCGCCAGTGTGGCTCCTCTCTGGAGAACGGTTGATTCTTCCGGAAGCTGTTATTAAACGAACGAGTGAGCGAACGAACAGATGAAGAAGGTAAGTGAGCCCAGACTCAGTAAGGCATCCTGTACGTGTTCGCGAATATCACTTGACCTGGGTCTCTGGGACGCGTCTGACCAAATATTTATGCAATCAGTGGCCCCCTGGGTCTGGGTGATGATGCGTGGGTGTTGTAAATAATTCATGCACTACTGGCACGCCTCAAACCTGGCCACAGAAGGGCGCCGATTGTCACTTCGTCCTGCTGTTAGTGCGCGTTTTCCCTCCGAGCCCTACCTTGACTCACTTTCCCTCCCTTTTTCTTTTTCCCTCTCTCTTTCCCTCGCTTTTTCTCTCTTTCCCCTTGTCTTCTTTCTTTTCCGATTCCTTTATTCCCTCATTCTCACCTTTCTACACTGATCTACTTTATGCTTATCTCGCTCACGCTCACTCACTCTTACCATCGCTCACTTCCTTCACTCTGCACTCCTTTCACCCTACCCCACTCACTTATTAATCGTCTCTCCACCCCTCACCAACTACCCCCTTCTCTTTCTCTCTTTCCTAACAACAAATAACACAAAAAATGTCAGATAACAGCAATGAACAGACATCGGCTGACGCCTCCGTCTCAACATTCCTGTCCTCCCTCATCCTAACCACCGCAGTATCCGCAGTCCTCTTCCTCGCCTTTGCCATCCTCCGCCCCCGCGTCCCACGAGTCTACGCCCCCAAAACCTACATGGGTCCCGAGCGCGAACGACCTGATGCCTCTTCCCGCGGCCTAATGGGATGGGTATTTGATGCTCGTCGAATGAATGAACGCAACTTTGTGGAACGGTGTGGGTTGGATGCGTACATGTTTTTGGATTTCTTGAACAAGTCGTTCTTCCTGTTCATGGGGTTCGCAATCCTCGCGATCCCCATCTTGATCCCTTTGAATGCGTACCAGCAGCTATCGCTTTATGGGTTGAACCAGCTTACGATTGGAAATGTTGCGGATCAGAATCGCCTTTGGGGACATCTCATCCTCACCGTCTTGTTCTCTGGTAAGTATTCTTCCTTTGGATTGTCGCGAGGGACAGTTTGAGCACGATGAGTGATTAGAGTGGCAGGGCACAACATTCCATCCCTAACCGCGTTTCGTCATTCTTTCCACGTTTCACAAATCTTTTATCTCTCACGAACAACAACAACAAGTGGCGACACTGGCGATGGGCATCTTTGGCGTGAAGCATTATATCACTAGGAGGCAGCACTACCTCCTCAAGCCACATCACGCACATTCCCTCAAGGCAACCACGATCCTCGTCTGCGGAATCCCCATCGGCGACGAGACACTCCAGAGTCTCCACTCGATCTTCAGTGTCTTCCCAGGCGGTGTCAAACGCATCTGGCCAGCCTACTCTGCGGCAGATCTGCAAAAGGATGTGTTGAAACGAATCACTCTCACAGATAAGGTGGAGTTGGCCGTGTGTACGCTAATCCGATCAAAACTTAAGCATCAAGCTGCAGGAGCCGCAGCTGCAGGAAGGAGACCATCGGGAGCGTCGTCGACAGACATGTTACACCAACAGCAAGCAGCGGCAGCAGGAGGAGATACCTTCCCAGCAGAGAAGAGACCTCAGCATCGCCCTGCCGTGTTCCCGATGAGCCTGTTTGCATCCTGCTGTGGCGCCAAGAAGGTCGATTCGGTTTCGACATACAGAAACGAACTTGCAGAACTCAACAATTCGATCGTGACGCGTCAACAGGCCGGGATCGCAGCGATGCATGAGAACGAGGACGAGAAAAAGCTTGGCGCGGCGTTTATCCAATTCAATAGCCAACTCGGCGCACACCTCGCCGCACAGGCTGTCATCCATCGCAAGACCTTGACCATGCAGCCACGACACCTCGAGGTCCACCCCAAGGATGTCATCTGGGAGAATCTGGGTCACAGCCTGAGCACGAGGAACATCCGAAGGGCTATTGCCGGCGTGTTGGTCTTCCTGTTAATCGCACTGTGGACGATCCCTGTGGCGTTTGTGGCGTCGATCGCGCAGCTGGATGCGATTGTGGAGTTTGCGCCGTTTTTGAGTGGGGTCTACAACCTGCCCACGGTTGTGATAGGTATTATTCAGGGTATCTTGCCCCCTCTTGGTTTGGCTATCCTCATGATGTTCCTTCCCATCATCCTCTACAGTAAGTCTGTCCATTGTTCTATCATTCTATTTTGCGTTGGACTTACCCTGATGCTGTTATTAACGATGCGGAATTTTGGTCGTTATTGTAGAACTCGCGCATCTAGGCGGGGAGGTTCTGAACTCGTGCAAGACCTTCTCCGTCGTCACATCCTTCCACTGGTTCAACGTACGTTCAAGTCACTCCTCACCACATATTTCAATCCTCAGACAAAAAGTTATGCATTCACTCTCGTATTTAACACTTTTTTTTGTTCTTAACACCCATAGGTGGTACATGTGCTCCTGGTGACAACACTGGCAAACGGCATCTTTGCATCAGTGCAACAGATAATAGACAACCCCAGCAACATCATGGGAATGCTCGCATCATCCCTGCCCAAGGCCTCAACATTCTTCCTCACCTTCGTCATCCTCTCGCTCATTGGGATCCCAATGATGTTACTCCAGATCGGACCATTGATCATGTACAAGATCAGCAAATACCTTGGAAAGACTCCTCGAAAGGTCTATGCGGCCGAGAGGACTGTAGGCTTTGTTGATTGGGGGACTACTATCCCCGTCCATACTATTATCTTTTCTATCGGTAAAGTCTTTCTCCTCTTTCTCAGAAGATTGCATGTGATGACACATAACACTAGCAAGTATCTAACAGCGACCGTTGTTTTATTTTCTACAAATAGGCTTGATATACTCAACGATCCAGCCGCTCATTCTCCTCTTCGTGGTCATTTACTTTGGTCTCTACTACCTGGCCTTCCGCTACCAATTCCTCTACGTCTACCGGCAACCGTTCGACTCCGGCGGACTCATCTACCCGCGCATCATCGACCAAATCTACGTCGCCCTTATCATCTATGAAATCGTCATGTTGGGTCTCTTTGTCCTCCAGAAGGCCGCCGGTCAATCCGCGATCATGATTGTGGTCCTCTTGGGGTCAATTGCGGCGATTGTGATTTCGAGGAACAATGTGTTCAAACCATTGATTCAGTACTTGCCGGTTGAGGCGTTTAATGCCGGTGGGGAGTTGATTAGTAGCAAGGGAGGACATCATCAAGGAGATAATCATACGGGGGTTGGAGGGAGGGGTGATAAGGATGTTATTGGAGAGGATGGTTTTGGTGTGGATGATGATCTTGAGAAGCAGGCGGCTGCTGCTGGGTACCGTGGTGTTGGAAGTACTGGTGGACCCAGTACTCTTGCCTTCAACCCTGGTACGATATTTATCCTTCTTAGATCTATTCATGTTCCATTGCTCTTTTGTTGTTTTTTGCGTGCGATCCCCTAACATTGCATATCCACCGTTCATTACAAATCGAAATAGCTCCGAACGAGAATGGGGTGACGAACTCGATGGCGTTCGTAAACCCAGGTCTGAGGACCCAACAGAAACCCGTCTGGCTCCCTCGAGACCCTGCGGGGTTCGTAGACCAGGAAGTGACAGAACTGAACGGAGCTAGTATTGCCAACACGACCGAGTCGGCGACCATGAATGCGAAGGGAAAGATTGCTGTTGAGGTATCGCAGCTTGTTGCCGCACCTGGTGATGAGTTCTGGGAGTAAACGTGGTGTGGAGGGGTGGTTGGTTGGTAGATTGTGCCCTTGCGGGCGTGTACATACTCTTTTTTTTTTTTTTAGGCGTAATACTTTAATAGTTTATTTTGTCAATAATAATAGCATCAAAAAAGTAAAAAATAGAATGAGTGGTATGGTAGGAATGGCAAGATATGGCGATATTAGAGGGATAATTCCCAGACGCCAGACTTCCTAGCAGAGGTGCAGCACTTGGGTACATTATCGACACATCGAGGGTGGCACTTATATCCGCAATCTATCACATACACACGATCAACATACAAAAAGAAGTGAACAGCGTGTGAGTAACCTACAAGGGACAGAGTTAGCGACGATGTTCAGAGCGAAAGACAGTGAGATGCTTACCGTCGCACTCGAGGTGTTTGGAGGCCCAGCCAGGCAAGACGCCCAACCGTTTCAGGCAGACATCACATTTTGGCAACAACAAGGCCGATACACCCACAAGCGAGAACCGATGTGAGATCCCCGTAAGAGCCTTGGGCGCCCGTTTCTTAACCACCACTGCCGTAGCGCCGACTGCCGCCACTCCATCGCCTTCGTTGATGACACCGTTCGTTCGCTCAAAGTTGGCTACGGCCCGTTGTTGCTGTTGTTGCTTGCCCTCCTTGAGGGATGTGTGCTTCTTCAGGAGACCGCCTGCCTTTCCTGCAGGTGAAGGACTGGAGGATATACCGTCATGTTCTTCAAGAGGCGACGACGCGGGTCCGATCCATTGCCCGAACCCACCTACACCACTGGTCCAAGTCTTGGCGCCCATCGCTGCCATCAAGGTGCTCGTGATCGTCCCTCCTCCTGAATCTGTTCCCTGTGACCTACTGACAGCAACAGCAGTCGTGGTGGTTGTCGAATGTTCTGCCGCCGCAGTTGATGTACTGGGTCCCCAGAAACTGTCGGACATACCTCGGATCAACCCAATCCCTCTCCCACCACCACCAACTTTCTCCTGCTTCTCGGGCTTGTCCTGTCGTGGATGGTGGATATTGTCGCTGCTACCTTGGCTTGACTTCTCGTCAGGTGAGACAATGGATGCTGGAGACGAAGTTCCAGAGACGGATGAGGATGCGGCGGAGGAATTGGTGGATCCTGTCGTGCTTGCGGATCCTTGACTTGGAAGAGACAGCAGGTCTTTGTTTTCTGGACCCACAGCCACAGTTGCCTCAGGTGGTACTGGGCTGACACTACCACCATTGTCGCCGCCTCGCATCGATTTGATGGTGTTGTTTCGGAGTAGGAGGCTGGTCTTGGAAGGCGGTGCTGGAGGGAAGGAGAGGTCGTCCATTTCTCGTTCTTTTACAGATGGTTGTATTTGCGGCGAAGCTGGTGCCGTGGTCATTGTTGCAGTCGACGACTCGTTGGTATGGGTGAGGGTAGCGTCCTTCGACATTTTGTCCCTGACGCTGTCATCCGACGTAGGTCGCTGTCCAGATGCATCTGACACCCAGGGGTTATCGGTAGCCGGGATGGGTGGCAGCAGTCGCGACGCCAGGCTATGTTTCCTCTGCAGCCCAACATTATCACCATTACTCGGCTCTGGTTGACGATGATTCTCAGTGGTCGTTTGCGCGTGTTGGATCTCCTCCTGGGGATCAGACTGTCTGGCCACAAAAAGGTCGGGGATCTCAAGAGTGTCCAGGGCGAGGACAACAGACTCTGTCAAGGAGTTGGTCGACTGGGTCTCATCGCTGTCAGTGCTGAGCTCGTAAAGGTGCCGACTCTCCCCTGGACCCCGACTGTGTCCATACACCGCGCCGTCTTCATCGTCCGAGTCATTGCTATCCTCATGAAAGAGCGAGCTGTTGTCGTCTTCATCATCATCCTCGTTACTGGACCCATTGCTACTAAAACTGTAACCTCCTCGTCCCCTTCCGTCCTCTGAGTCACCGTCCTCATCTTCGTCGTCGAGATCAAGTTGCAGACTACTGAGCTCAGAAGGGTCGCGACGGTCCCTGCGATCCCTACGGTCATGGTAGCCGTCATCTCCATCTCCATTTCCTTTTCCGTTGACTTCCCCGCGCTCCTGGTCCCAGGCTCTCAGGGCATTGTCTCCCTTGATAGTCGAGATATGGATCGACCCTCTCTCATGCCAGTCCCGAAGCTCCTGCTGGTTGTAAGGCGAATTGATACTATCCCAGAGCGGCATCCTGAAATGAACATCCTCACTATCGTCCGACGAAGAGTTCTTGTCCTGGTGGTGATCGCTGGTCCTCTCACTACCTTGGTAGCGTTCCTCGAGGACTAAAGGAATCGTCGAATCGTCAGTAGGTAGCCTCCTCTTTCCCTTGTAAGTACTCTGAGACCCGACCATGATACTCTCCGCAGGGATCATCCTCGACGAGCCTCCGTTGGATTCATCCGTCATCCTCCAAGTATTCGCCTGCCCACGAACACTCGACGTCGCCGGATCAAAATACGCATGATGCGGCTGCTGCAGATCATCATCCTGCTGGTGGTACCCGTTTCGCATCCTCGCCTGCTGATAAGCCTGCTCCTGCGCCTGCTCCGCATCCACTTCCCTCTTCCTCATCATGTTCCTCGCAGCCCTGGCCACCGACGGCGCCACCACAAGCGTCGTCCCCACATGCACATCCACATTCTCAATCGCCGTCAGCCGTTCGACAATTTGCCTCAACACCGGTCGATTCTCGGGCAGAGGTTGGACACAATGGATGGCGAGTTTTCCGAGTTCAGTAGGACACCCTGGTTGGGCTCGGAAGAGGATCTCGTCGGGAGATACACCCATGTCGGGGGCAGTGCGTTGGAAGTGTTGAGAGTCGACGACGTGGCGGGCCATCATTTCGGAGAGGATAACTCCGAATGAGAAGACGTCGACGCTACAGTCAAAGTCCTCGCCCAGTAGGATCTCTGGTGCCTATTTCATCATATTGTGGCGTTCGATTTTTTTTTTAGTTGATCACCCCTTGCAGGAGGGAATGCATGCATGTCAAGGAGGGGAAACAAAAAAAAAAAAGTGTTGCGTACCATGTATCCGTCTGTCCCACAATAGCTGATCCTTGACATCTCGGTCGCATTTTTGGCCTCGACTCGACTGAACCCAAAATCGCACACCTGTTGCATTCGACAGAAGAAAAGAACAAAAAAATAGAAAAGCTGGTCAGCCAAGTAACGATAGCCCAAACACTCCTTGTCCCCCTTCTGACCGTAACAGATGATAAAGATGATGCTGGTGCTGGGTGCTGTTGTTATTTTTCGCTGCGAATAACGTGTGGTAATTAGTGTGCGTCTGTACCTTGATCCTCATGTTCTCAGAGATGAGCAAGTTCTCTCCCTTCAGATCCCTAAGCATTTTGAAATAAGAATAAGAAAACGACGGGTCATGGGTCAGTCATAAAAAAAGGGGAGTGTACTTTACCCTTTGCCAACGATCCATACTAATGATAAACCACTCTTAAAAATAACCCCCCCCCCCCCCCCTGCCCCTGCAGATAAAGAGAGACACGGTCGCGCGCGTGGACAGGAGGCATTTATCATCATCGATGTCATTCTGTCATTTGTCCATGCCTCTCTTCCCTCCTTTCCTTGTTCCTGAAATGTGGTGTTTTGCTGCTATTGCTGCTGCACATGCAAGGATGATTGTTTGTTTGTTACCTGTGGATAATGTTCTTGTGGTGGAGGTATGCCAGAGCGAGGGAGATATCGATCGCAAAGCTGATCCTGGTGTCCCATCCAAACTCCTTCTTGTCGTCTTGTATCCACTAATTTTTTTTGGAACGATCGTAGAGGGAAAAAGCAATTGTTTCAGTTAGTGCGCACGTTGAGGATGGAGGTGGTTCGAGCAATCAAGATAACATTAAGCGAGAAAAAGAGAGGACGCTTACTCGACGCAGGTTGCCCATAGGTAGGAACTCGGTGATGATGTAGAACCTCTTCCTGCGCTTGCATATCCCCATGAACTAAACAAAGAAGCAATATGAGTGGTGTTATGTGTCAGATCCATGCACTCTGCATATCCACTGACAGAGGAGAACAACTAAATAAAAGTGAGCGTTGATTCCAATCGCTGGCATGCTGCTCCCATGAAAGTACCTGGACAATATTAGGGTGCCGTGATTGTTTAAGAATATCGACTTCGCGCTTGAAGTACTTTTCGTCAAAGGCCCTCGAGTCGGATCGGACACACTCCTTGATGGCGACCTCTGTCCCGAGCAGGTCGCCGTGGAAGACTCGACCAAAGGATCCGGATCCGATGATATCGTATGTCTTTAGGTCTGTCCATTGAATCCGCATCCTTGCTGGTTGTTTCTCTGGTTGTGTTTACGAAGTGGGTGGTGGATGGGCGGTGCTTATTGGTTTCTGTGCCCGAAGTGTGTTGTTCTGTTGAGTTTAAGTGTGAATGAAAGGAGGGTTGGGTTGTGGAATGAGAAGAGGTGAATGAATGAAATCGGTTAACAGTGAATGCAAAGTGTGAATGAATAATTGAAGAGCAGTAGAGAACGGCGGAAGGTTGGGAAGGGGAACAAGGAAGAAAGAAGAAGAAGAAGCAACGAACAACGCCAACGCCAGCGATGTGGATTAAAGAAACAATAACAGAACAAGTGAGAGAAAAAGAGGGGAATGATCAGCCTGACACCCTTGTCCACCTCCTATTTTTTCATCTTGTGCCTGTGAGTCTGTCTATGTTTCGACAAGTCTCTCCGTCTGTTTGTGCCTGTGTGTGTACCATTCATTGTATGGATAGGGGTGATGATAATTGGCGTTTGCCAACGTCGCGACATAGTTGTTTGTTGTTCGGGTCGTGTTCATGAGCATGGATAGGGCACTGATCAAACGCGAAAAAAGTGTCTCGAAACGGACGCGACGCGTATGAGAAGCGCATCGTTACGATAGATATGACCAATGAATGCCAAAGAGTGCGAGAGCATCATCAGGAACTGGGCGCAGGGAGCGGCATATCTAACGCCGTTATGCTCAGCCAGGTGTTGTAATAGGGCGAAGTGATTCTTCCAAAAGGTCTTCGAAAGGCCACCAGGTTGACGCTTACACTTCAAAGATAATGGCGCCCTTCTCGTTCACCCTTAGTGAACAGGCACCATCACCGATGACTTGTTTGTCTCACTCCCTGAGGTGTCAAAAAAAATGTTTTATTCATGCATAAAAGACAACAACGACTCTCCAAACTTTGCGGACAATTCTGGTGAAGGGCAATAGTAATAAATAAAGAAGAGGAGAGGGTAACAGGGAGTAGAAAGGATTAACGAAGAGAGGGGCAGTTGACAGGGTATGGAAGGAAGGAAAACTTCTTTGGTTTATATTTTATTAGATAGATGGTGGCCAAATGGATGATTGTCTCATTCGTGTTCATGGTTTCGTTCTTGTTCGATATCGTGTGCGTGAGTGTGAGTGTGTACACGTTGTCCGTAGTGAAGAAAGGTAATAATACCTGAGGCAACAGTAATGTGTGGATTAGATGAGCCGCAGCCGCAGTTTTCTGCTTTGTTGTTGCTCACCTGCGACTGGGTAGTTAATTCGCGCTGGCCATTTGTTCTCAGTTCTTCCCTCCCCTTGTTGTCTTTCCCGCAGAACATCAAATTGACTGCGGGCAAACTCTCTCTCTCGCTTCATAGTGAAGCCACATACCCATTACACAAATCACACCCAGTCGAATGGGTTTGTCAGCTCGTCTGAGAAAAGGAAATAAAAAGAGGCCGCATTCTTTGTCATTCACCTTCACTTTTCTCCCTTCACCCAACAACAACTACCCGCCTTCACTTCTCTTCACAACACCATCAACACAACAACAACAACAACAACAACAACAACAACAACAACAACAACAACAACAACAACAACAACAACAACAACAACACCACCACAGACTCATCAACAACTCAGAACAATAACGAACATGTCCACTTACTCCATCAACGTCCCTACTGCCACCATCGGTATGAACACTCTCTTCTTTCTCTTTACATCTCCTGATCACCTTGCTGTACAAAAGCGCACTTGCCCACCTTGTCCAGCACGCTGTTACCAGATCAGCAATTGACTAATATCGCTATCGCTCAATTAGGCCAAGCTACAACATGTCTCACCTGTGGGATCCGTCTCCCCTCCCTCGAGACCCAGCAGCTCCACCACAAGTCTGACTGGCACACCTATAACCTCAAGCGCAAGATGGTCGGTCTCCCTCCCGTCTTTGCCGAAGTCTTTTCTCAACTCGTTACTGGTACGCCTTTCTCTTTTTTTTCCCCAATGATGCATTGTTCTCTCTGTTAAGCAAGGAAAAAGAAAAAAAAAAAAAAAAAAAAGGGAATCCTTGGCACTGACAGAAAGACCATATATGTTTGAACTAAATAGCCTCCCGCGAACAGGCAAACCCGGAGGAGGTCGCACAACCAGAGTGTGTTCCTTGCAGCAAAAAGTACCTCTCCTTCCAGGCCTACGACAACCACCTCCAGTCCAAGAAGCACAAGCAGATCGCCGCAGCCTACGCTAAAAAGCAACAGGAACAGGAACACAACGCAGCTTCCAAACCTACCGAGAACGACACCACCCCTACTGCTGAATCATCAAAGGAGACCTCTGGAACAGCAGCAGTAGAACAGCGCCAGCCCAGCGAGACCGTCTGCTTGTTTTGCTCTCACGAGTCGACAGACGCACCCAGCAACTATGGACATATGCGCACCACCCACGGATTCTTCCTCCCTTCGTCTGAACGTCTGATCGATCTCGAGGGCATGCTCGCCTACCTTGCTGATAAATTGGTCGAGAACTCGGACTGTCTCTGGTGTACGCCCTCGGTCTTTTCGACCCACCTGAGACCTGACCAGGAATTGAACTCTGGATTCGCCAACTTGGCTAGTGTCCGGAGACACATGGTCGACAAGGGTCACTGCAAGCTTGCCATGGAGCATGGTGCTGACAGAGAGTACGCTGATTTCTACTTGCCCGAGAATTCCTTTGACTCTGATGACGAAGAAGGACTTGAGAATGCAGAGCAGCACAAGGAGTCGTCACAGGAGGATAGCTCGATGGACGAGGATGAACAGAGACTGAACATGGTTCTCATGGACGACGAGGGCAACTGGATCCTGGACGAGCATACATCCAAAAACTCTGGAATCCGCGTCGACCCCCTCACCAACGAACTCGTCCTCAACAACCGTCGTCTCGCCCACAAGGACGCCGCTCGTCGTCAAAAGGTCGAATCCCGTACCGTCGTCCTGGCTTCGTCCCGCCCCAATCAGCGTCGCCCTTCCACCGAAGAAGAAGAACAGGAGACCTCTGAACAGTCTACCGAATCGGGCACAAACGGCACCAGGACAGAAGTCTTGTTGGCCTCGGATGTCCACCACCCCAACGTCAAGCTCTCCAACTCTCTTCTCAAGTCCCAGAACCAGCTCTCGGCATCCAACCTGGCTCTGAGTGTTCAGCAGCGCCAGGAGGTTGCTCTCAAGAATGCCAAATCTCAGGATTATGAATCGACCAAGCGGGAGAGGATGGCCACCCAAAACGCCATCAAGACCAACAGTCATGGCCGCCGTCGTTATGCCGCCACCTATGGTATCAACGTGTAATTTTATTTTCTTGATTGTAAATAAACCATTCAAGCAGAGCGCTTCATTCCTACACACTTTTTTTTGTTGCTTGTTTTGTGTCCATGCGGCATGCGCGTGAGGTAACACGCAAGGTCCCTTCCTGGACGATTCATTTTACGAAGCAATTGAGCATTGAGCAAACAAGCAAAGAAAGAACACAAGGAAAATTCATATTTTTATTTTCATGGTATGTTAGAGAAAGAAAGAAAATCGCTAGGAAGAAAACATTTACTTAAGCAAAGCGCTTGAATCCAATACCAAAGATAATCGCAAAGACAATCCACTTGAAATGCTTCAACACGAATGACTTCTTGAAACGAGGAACGGACTCGAGCACCAAACGGGCAACCTTCAAGTTGGTATCGTTATAAGGCGCATAGCGGACGGACATGGCGGCCTCAGAGACGGTGTTCAAGTCCTTGACCATCGTCGAACGCTCATGGGAGAAGGCATCAAAGGACTTCTTTCCGTGGTATGATCCCATTCCGGAGGGACCAGTTCCACCAAAGGGCAAGTTACCCTCAGCGACGTGCATGAGGGTATCGTTGACGAGGATAGCGCCGGACCGGGTCGAGTCCATGACCTTGTTGGAGAACTTCTTGTTACTCGAGAAGATGTACAGCGCCAGGGGCTCGTCCCTGGAGTTGATGTACTCGATCGCGTCGTCAACATCCGTAACCTGGATCATGGGCAACAAGGGTCCGAACAGTTCATCCTCCATCAACTTGTCATCCCTGTCGACGTTGGCGATGACGGTGGGGGCGATATACAAATCCTTCTCGTCCGTCTGGCCTCCAATGACAATCTCGCCGGACTTGTTCTCGTGAAGGACCTTGCTGAGGCGGTGGAAGTGGCGGTTGTTGATGATGCGGCCGTAGTCGGTCGAGGTTTGGGGGTTCTTGCTGTAGAGTTCCTCGAACGCCTTCTTCAACTCCTTGATGAACTTGTCCTGAGCCTTGGCGGTAATCAACACGTAGTCGGGAGCCACGCAAGTCTATGTTGACAAGTAACGACAATTGTGATTATTAGTATTTGGTAGCGTTACTTAAACAAGGTCATTCACGAAGTGGCACAGACACACCGTGTCCACAACACACACACACACACACACACACACACATGCACGAATTATGCGCATTTGTTTTTCTCTTACCTGTCCAGCATTGAACGACTTTCCGAAAGCGATACGCTTGGCAGCAACAGTCATGTTGGCGTGCTCATCAATAATAGCAGGCGACTTGCCTCCCAACTCCAGCGTCAACGAGGTTAAGTGCTGAGCAGCAGCACGCATAATGATCTTGGCGACCACTCCGTTTCCAGTGTAAAAGATATGGTCCCACTTGTATTCCAACAACTTGGTGGTCTCCTGAGCGGCGCCGTTGATGACGATGTAGGCGCTGTTGTCGAGGTAGCGGGCAAAGAGATCGGTCATGACGTTGGCGGAGTGGGGGGCGACCTCGGAGGGCTTGATGACGGCCGTGCATCCGGCGGCGATGGCGCCGACCATGGGTCCGATCGTCAAGAAGAAGGGATAGTTCCATGGGGAGATGATGAGCGCGGCACCTATTGTAGTTGAGCAGCAATTGTTTGTTAGTTTACTTCTATCCCCGGCCGGAGTGAGGGGGAGTGTGTCTACTTTATGCAAACTAAAATAATGGGCAATCGGTCCTCTCTCTTATGTTAGTCCCCGACCATCGTTCTTCCCTAGTCTTCTTTTTTTGAACCGCTCCTGCTCTCTTTATTACACCACGCCAAATTGACATGAAGTGTAAACAGTAAACCATGTTTGTCCTTGCTCATTATTGCGTTTGCTGCTATTGTTCCACTATCTCTCCTCCTCCACAAACTTTCGAGGCCGGGACGCATTGTTCGGTTCACTCTTTTCTTTCCCCCTTCCCTGTGCCCCGGTTGGTTCTCCCTCTGGGTTTCCTCGCATTGATTGCTTTCTCTCTCCCAATCGCGACAGAGCGGCGGAACACAAGCGCACATGCAAACAAACCGTTTATTTGCGAGATACACATAACGCAAACGCATAAACTCTCGCGGGGCACACTAACACCAACACCAACACTTAACCAACACATGCAGCAGCACACGACTCTCATTACTACTTTGCTAGGCAAACCCCCTCTCCCTTTCTCTCTTTTTTCATCATGAGCCAAACAACATCCCCCTCCCTTCAATGCACTAAAAAAAAAAAAAAAAAGAGAACTTACCCTTAGGTTCCTTCCTCTTCAAGCACGTAACGCCGACCCTGTTAACAAGGGCCGGGACAACCTTCTCATCCTTGGCCCACTCTTCCAAATGCTCCAGTGCATCATTAATCTCCTCCTTTGCGGGGATCAACTCTCCAAGAACAGTCTCGTTCTTGTGCTTGTGGAGATCCTTCTTCAAGGCTTCGATAATAAGGTCGGTGTTTTCGTCGACGAGGCGCCAGAGCTGTTCGAGCTGGTGGCGACGGTATTTGAGGGGCTTGGTGATGCCTGAGCGGAAGGTCTGGCGGGCGGTTTCTGCGGCCTATTCGAGCGCGGGGGGAGGGAAGGGAGAGGAGGAAAGGGAGGAGGAGAAATTGAAGAATTGTAGGAAGGAGGGAGGTGTTAGGATAGGTGGTTTGACTTTTCAATTGGGTTCGTTCCTTCGTTCGTTCCTTCACGTTGTTCCTTCACACGTTGTATTGACGTGTTTTGGTGCATTCGTCCTGAAGTGAACGAGAATGAATGCGCACCTTGTGAATCTCGGCGTCGGTGTGGAAGTGGAGAACGTTGGAAGTCATGATGTATGAAGTTGTGTGTGTGAAGGTGAAAGAATGAATAAAAGAAAAGAAAGAAAGAAGTAAGCAGGAGAGATAAAACTGATGGAAAAAGAAAAAAAGAAACTCAGAAAGCGCATTATATTGTCCATGTATGGGAAGGGACAATTTCGAGCCGACCCTTCGCTCACGGTTAAACGATGACTTGTAAATCACGTGTGGGTCGATCGATCGAGACACTCACGCAGGGTTTGTGCGGGGGTACAATCTTCTTCCCTCGGATGGTTGCGTGGGCACTTTGGCGGCATGTTTCGCGTTTGGTCCGGTCTGGTTGCGCGCATAATCGAGGAAGTGAAGTGGCAGTGGCACTAGGTTACATATAACACCAGACTAAAGACAGACGGGACTTAAGGGTTTACTAGTGCGTTCAAAATGCAATGGAGAAAAATGGTCCGACAAAGCCATGAGTTGCAGACTCGCCAATCTCATACGCAATCAAATGAATGTATAGTACATGTGTTTTATTTTCTTTTCATACGCATTGTAGTAGTATAGGAAGAAAATGAGAGGAGGACCGGCAAATGTCTAGGCGGCAGACACCTTCTGGTGCTCCGGCACCGTCTGAACGGTTAACGGGTTTGGTTGACTACCTAGCGGTGCAGATCCTGACCCCACAGATTGAGACCCTGCAGACTGGCTCGATCCTGCTTTGTCATCCTGCTTCGACCCTTGTCTCTGCTGACCCGCATGTCCATACGAAGAGCCCTGTCCCGAAAAGTGGCCTGGGTATGCTCCGCCAGGGTAACCAGGTGGGGCGTGGCCATGATAGTACGAAGCCGCTGCAATGGCAGCTGCATGGGCATGTGCTCCTCGAAGGCCATAGCTGGGCAGGAGTGCTCCGTATTCCGATTCCAGAGAACGTCCCGCAGCTCCATACGGTGTGGGGTCCGATCGGCGAGGGCCTGGATGTGTTGCAGCATAGCTCGAAGCATTCTCTCGGCCCTCAGCGGCTCCAGCTCTATCCTGATCGTTCTCGGATCCATATCCATAGCTGGCTCGTCGTGTCAAAGGCATCGCCAAGCCACCCGCGGAACCATCAGCTGATGCCGTTACAGCTGCAGATGCGACCGCGGCCGCCGCAGGTGAGGTTGGCGGATGGACTGCTCGAGGGTGGTTCGAGGACGAGGCTGATCGACCATGGCCAAATGAAGGATGGCCGTCCAGACCGTGATCCATCGACGCCGACCGGGGAAGGCCTCCATCCATTGGATGAGGTCCATAAGGATATGTAGATGGGCTCTCTCTTCCATAAGGCCCTACAGCAATCCCCGAACCTGGGGGGCCTCCATATGGAGGATAGCCTGGGTGGCCAAGGGCAGATGGTCTCTGGCGAACGCCGTCATCGCGGTCGCGGCTTGGTCCATAAGCGCCTTCGCCAGGAGGTCCGTATACTCCTCTGGCTAATGGATGAGGGTAATGCGGCATGGGATAGTCCTGGGGATGTGGAGGAGACGTGACCCTAGGATCTCTAGGATCTCTAGGATCCCTTGGGTCCCTTGGATCTCTCGGGTCTCTCGGATCTCTTGGGTCGCGTGGCTCCCGTGGTTCACGAGGGTCTCGTGGGTCTCGGGGATCACGTCCCTCTCTGGGATCTCGAGCTTCACGGGGATCTCTCGGGTCTCGTGGATATGGGGCTCCCAATTCATCGCGCAGGGGGCGACCATGAGGATCACCAGGGACTGCAGGGTAGCCTGCTGCCCCAGACCGGCTGTACGGAGTCCCGGGTTCATGTGGAGGGTACGGGTAAGGGTGTTTGCCCATCGCGATGGCGTCAACCTCTGCCATTGTGTAAGGTGAGACAGGAACCATTCCTTCGTGCGGTGGGTATTTCCCATGGAGAGGTGGGTACCGGTATGGGTAGCCAGCGTAGGGGTCAGCCTGTGTACCAGGGCGGAAGCGGGGATACCCATAGTCATCAAAGGCGCGAGGGTCGTATAGGTCCCGATGCAGGTGGTATGGGTAAGGTGGGTAATGAGGCGGAAGATCATCGGCAGACCTCATGATATGATCACGATCGTACGGATGAGGGCCTGCGCGGTAATAGTCTCCAGGATAGGGTCCAAAGTCGGTAGAACGAGGCCGTCCCGGATAACCAGGATAAGGTGCATAGGCATACGGGCCATCGGTTGGCAGGCCATCTGGAGGATAGGGTGGTCCACGGTGGGCGTCACGAGGGTGTCTTGGTCCAAGACGAGGATCGTACATCGGGTGACGATGGGGTCCCACAAAGCCACTCCTTCTTGGCTCGTCCGGATAGTCATCGTACAACTCAGCGGCAGCCTTTGGATCAATGGGCTCGCCTGCCCTTGCTCTTGCAGCATGACTGGGGTGATCGGGGTTGTGAGAAAAGGGCGTGCTGGGCGATCCTGAGGGATAATGCCCAGGCTGAATGGCCGTTCGAGGCGTTGCTGCGCCACTGCCGCCTCGATAGGGTCCCAGAGCTCCTGCTCTTGCAGTCTGACCTGCGTACTCTCGATACATTTGCGCCTCCTGTACACGAGCGTAATATTCCTCCCCTGGCCGCGGTCCTCCATTGAGATCCAACTGGGACACACCTTCAGCCGCCTTGGTGGTGGCAGACTGTCTTCGAGCGATTTGTAGCGCTTCATCATCGTAGGGAGCGTATGGTTCCTGCAACGACCGTGACCGCTGAGCAGGAGTCTCCAAGTGCTCTGGTAAGGGGCTCCTCCATGGTCGGCTCTTTTGGATCTGCGCCTGAGTTGCACTGGTCGATGAATCAGCAGCGTTCTTGTTTTCCAGATGAGGCGTGGCTCCTATTGTCATTATTAACGTGCAGTACAACTTTCGTTAGGGTACGAACGACGACGACAATAAAATAGCTGTTTCAAAAAAAGGCGACGACGCTAGACTGTGTGCCGAAAAGGGGAACGAACCTCGTCTTGAATCTACACTTCGAGTACCGGAAGCCCTGCGTTTGGAGTTTGCAGGGAGACCTGCAGCAGCTGCTGCCGATTCTTCATCCTCTTGAGAATCTGCTGGTTCTTGTTGTTCTTGTAGTTGCGAATCGGCTGGACTCAGTGACTTTGGTTCAATTCCGATATACTCGCCGCGTGTCCTCCTATGATCATGAAATAAGTTGGAAGATATACATGTTAGATTCTTTGCGCGTACCTGGCATAGCCTTTTCATTCCTTCGTCAGCTTCAATGTCGCAGAGAGAGGATGGTAGTTCGAGTGCACGACTTACTTCTTGGGACGGACTTCCTTTCGTATCCGGAGCTTGAGGCCCTGATCGGCAAAATACTGCGAGAGCACCGTTGATTCTACGAGATAGTTGTTGTTTTGTTTGTTACGATAGATGAGAACGAGGGCGTGAGTATGCGAGCGAGTGCATGCATGCGTGAGTGTAATCCTATTGGTGATAGTGTGTGTGTGAGAGTACGAATGTGTAGGTGTGTGTGTGTAAGAGAGAGAGGTTTACCTTCCATGCCAGGAAACTTTTTTGCAGAAAAGACGACAAGGGGCTCAGAAATCACGTGCGCGCAGAAGTGGACATCCTTGCTAATTATGTCCAAAAAAAAAGTCAGTGATCGTCCGGATAAAAAAAGTTGTGCGTCGATCCCGATTTTCTGGAACATGCCGCTTGGGGAGAGCGAGAGAGAGAGAGAGCCGGTTCAATTGCCGACGAACTAGATAGGAAAGACATGATGATGATGACTTACCCAACCATCTCATAGAGACAAAACTTGAGGCGGTAGGTGCCTTCCATCCTCACCGAGAGATCGGGAAAGACAAAGAACCCCGATTCATGTCCATTGCCTTCAATGTCCTTGAGAGGGTAGAGAGACGACACCGACGAACCTGTCGTGGCTTTTGTCCTGTTGTCTTTGAACAGGTGCATATCCTCCTTGGATCGAGTGTCCTTGATCAGGAGGACGTCCTCCCTTGTGTCCTTCTCGACGAGAGAGGCATGCATAAAGTAGTATGGATTCTGAAGGTATGACGTGAACCCGCCACTATCAATCATAGATCGGAAAAAAAGGCAAGCGCGAAAAGAAGAAGTTAGAGGGAGCGCGAGAGGTATTTTGGAATAGCGATTGTGTTGAACACTTTTTTTTTGTTCGTTTTTTTTTGTTTTTTTTTGTGAGGGTTGGTTTGGTGTTCGTGATAGTCTCTCTATTTCAATCGTCCGTTTACGTCAAGTTATACTTGTTTCATTTTTATCTTTTGACAGTCCTCTGTGCTTTCACACATTCCCTGTAGTTAGCTCCAGACTCTTTGTTCTATCAATTCTGCAACGTTGGTTTCCTTACTTCTTTTGGCCATTGACTGAAGGAGGAGCACGCACAATCAACTGTACGATTGGGGGAGGGTCGATGGGTCTTCGATCGGCTACAATGGTAAAGAGTATAAAATTTCAAGGCGAGAAGTGACAACATGCGACAAGGGTGACGATCCATAGAGTCAAAGATGGAGAAAGGAGAAAGGTGAGGTTAGTATCCGACACAAATAAAGTACTGATAGTTTAACCGATCAAAAGAGCTGCCGCACATGGACACATCAACCAGAATACTGGGGAAGATGATATGAAACTGTCCGCATCTGTGTTCATGAACAGAGAAGAGCGACAATCATCCCCTTGTCAATCGTATTTTGGGTGTCGCTCGTTCCCCCCTTTCTCTTTCCTTTCAAGATTCCTCCTTTTGTGAGCAAGATCTCTTTTTGTGATTCACTCCTCTTTCCCCTCAATCACCACCCTCCTCCTCTTTGTAACCATTGCCTTTGGTTATAGTCTCCTATCCTTTCGCGGAAAAAATAACTTCGCCAACCCCGGGGAAACTCGAACAAGCTCCGATGTGGCCCCAACTCTTCCCACCTCCATACCACAAATAAGAACCTTGTCCTGTAGACAGTAAAAAAAAAAGGATAGATATCACGGAAGTAAAAGATCATCGCCTTTTTTCTTGCTCAATTGATAAATAGGTATCTGTTCTTCTCCGTGCTTGTTGTGTGTTCGTTCGTTCGTTCCTTGTCATTCTTTTTTCCACCATGTACGACTTCGGGGGTTCCAAATAACCTCGCAGTGCATCGGTTGGAGTGTTGCGGCGAAAAAAAAAGGAAAAGAGAAGTGATAAAAACGAAAGCACCCAAGACGATGGAGGAATATTTTAAGAACAACTTCGAGACGTTTGGTAGCGAATCCGCATCTTTTTTTTTGGAGTTGACTGGTCGCATGTTACGCATACTTGCATTTATGGTTGTCGGTATAAAATGTGAGAAGTTCCAGACATCCCACAAGCTGGTAACCGGTTAAAATCGATCAAATGAATCCAGAGGAATGGTGGGGGTGAAGGGGGTTGATTGAACATGCCAAGCGCGCAAAGGGAAAACGGGGGATATAATCACAATGTTGTTGACAAGCTCCAGTACTCGCACTAGTACATGGATTGGATACCCGATTAGGGGGTCATGATTGGCGGATGGAAGGAGGTGAAGAGCGTATGGGCGGAGGGAGTGGAGGGAGCTGGGAAGGGAAGGTAAGGAAAGGGGGTAGTGAGAGAGAAGAGCGCGCATGTTGACGATTATGTGGTATGTATGGTAAACGGGAGAAGGTTTGCGTGAACTGGAGTTATGGAACTTGCCTTTTTCGCCGACGCCGCACATACGCGACTGCTTGGGTTGTTGCCGGAGAATTAGCTCATATGTCCTGTTGGAGTAAAGGGTGGAGGAGAGAGAGAGAGAGAGAGAGAGAGAGAGAGAGAGAGAGAGAGAGAGAGAGAGAGAGAGAGAGAGAGAGAGAGAGAGAGAGAGAGAGAGAGAGAGAGAGAGAGAGAGAGAGAGAGAGAGAGAGAGTGAGAGAGTGAGCGAGAGTGAGAGAGAGAGTGAGTGAGAAACAAGTAAGTGGGCGATCAGAGTGAGAAAAAAAAACGTCAAGTCAATGGATCAAGGCTTTACGAGCGACAGTTTGAATGTGTATGTGTCAACATATACACATGTATGTGTCAACATATACACATGTATGCGAATGAGCGAGTGATGAGGTTGTATGCATGTAAGTATGTAAGTGCTGAGTGTATGAATGAATGTGCTTACACGTTGGCTCGCTGTTCTGGGTGGACTCGTTGGGAGACAGGGGTGAATTGGTATGAGGGGAGATCGTCGGAGGCCGGCATGGTGGATGCAAACTGGTTGTGTGAAGGTGTCGGGGGGATATAGTAGAGGGCCAGGAATAAGGAGTGGGTTGTGTGGTGGGCGGATGAATGGGTTTTTGGGATAGGGGAGGACAGACAGGTGGGATATGAATGTGGAAGCGAAGAAGAGGAAAAAAAGAAGAAAGAGGACGATTGCAAGAAAAGAGCGCAGAAGGATATTTGAGTCTGTAGAAAAAGGTCAGAGAGAGTCCCGACAGGAGGGGGCAGAGTGACCACAAACGGCGAAGGGAGGAAGGGGTGTGTGTGGGTGTTGTCCGTCTGTCCTTGGGGAGAGAGAGAAAAGGGAAGAAAATAAAGGGTTAGGTGTAGGTGTATGGGGTGAAGAGGGGGGAGAGTGCAGAAAGTGACAGGAAAGGTGAGCAAGGTCAATGGTGTATCTCTGTTGTTGTTGTTGTTGTGGCGAGTGACGAGTGACAAGGGGCAGGTAAATGCGGTGTTGTAGGAATAGATACTAAAATGAATAAATGTACAAGAAGAGGAAGAGAGAGAGAGAGAGAGAGAGGGAAGATGAATGAGTGAGATGAGAGAGATGAGTGAGTGAGTGAGTGAGTGAGTAAGTAAAAGGATGTCGTCGAAAAGAAAGTGGAATCCACAAGGAGGTGAACGAGAGAGGGGAATAGGTACAGGGAAGAAGAGAGGAAGGAGAGCGGTAAAGAGAAAGAGAAAAAGAAGAAAAGGTAAAGAGGGTCAAGCGAAAAAGGACGGAGAATAAAAAGAAAAACCCAAGAAAATAGACAAAGAGAAAAGAGAGTGGCGCTGTAAGGAGGGGGGGGAACAGGGAAGGGCAAGAAACAAGAAACAGGAGAGCGGGACGTATCGTATTGGATGATGGGTGGAACAACACACTTTGAGTGATTGAGTGATTGAATGTGTATGTGTATGTCGATGAGGTATGTGTGTCGGTGCGAGACGATGCAATTGAAAGTGAAGGAAGAGGGTGGGTTTGGAGCATGTATGGGCATGCGTGTATGTGTTCATTCAAAGAGAGAGAGAGAAGATAAAGGATAAACAAACAAACAGAGTGAGCAGCTGCAGCAGCATCCAAGGGAAATCGGGGCCAATGGGTCGTTTCCATGAGGACAAGAAACAAAATAGCGTTTGATAAAAAAAGGAAGAGATGAAAAACACACTCCCAAAACAACTGGGTATTGGGTCGATTTGAAGGCGAGATTATCCCTTTCTTCCCGATTGACGCTCAAGAGCACAAAAAATGAAAAGAGAGCGTACGTGGCCAATCGTTGATGTACGAGTGAATACACGCGAAGAGGTAGAGGGGCGAGGGATGAGAGAAAAGTAAAAAGAAAACTGGCGATAACGAGAGGTTGAGAGTGGGTGTTAAAAGAGAGAGTGTGTGTGCGTGTGTGTGAGTGAGAGAGAGTGAGTGAGAGATAAAAAGGGAGAGTGAGAGAGGGATGAAAAAAGGGGGGGAGGGGAGAGGGCAGACCATGAGAGTGAAGAGAAAGGGGACAACAGAAAAGTAATTGAGAAGGGGATGAGGAAGAAAAGCGGAGGAAGCAGACAGTCGACAGTGCGAGAAGGGGAATCCAGGAAATGTGTCCCAGCGGAAGGGAATGGGTAAGCGAGAAAATACGGTGGTTAAAATACATAAAAAGTAAATGAGGGCAACAAACAAACAAAAAGGAAAAAGGGGGTAGAAAGAGGTGGTAACGGAGGAGAAAGAGGAGGAGAAGGAGGAGGATTAGGATGAGAGAAGAGGAAGAAAGGAAGAGCAAGGAGGAGGAGGGTGACGCGAGAAAGAGGTGTAGAACAACAACAAGAAGAAGAAGAAAAAGAAGAAGAAGAAGAAGAGGAAGAAGAAGAAGAGGAAGAAGAAGAAGAGGAAGAAGAAGAAGAGGAAGAAGAAGAAGAAGAGGAAGAAGAAGAAGAAAGAAAAGTGCGAGGTGGACGCGAATGATTAACTGAGATGGTTAGTAAACAAAAGGTTGGAAAGGGAAGAAGCGATTGACAGAGACGTTGAAGGTGATGAATATATTTTTAATGCTTCGTCAATGTAGTGAGAAAAGGAAAGAGAGGAGCAGTAATGATAAACGCTGACGGTGTTGTTGCAGACAGGAGTACGACTGATAGTCGCATTGAAGAAATGAATAAAAACAAAGGGACAAGCACTCAAGGACCTACTGGTTGACTATGGCGATTGGCAATTGAAAAGGAGCTAATGGGTTGAAGAAAAACAGGAACTGGAAGAGATGGCCCTGCAAAAGGAAAAGAGTAGCGACAAAACGAACAACGGCAAGGAAAATGGTGACAAGAGAATGAAGGACGGAGAGGCATGAAGTCATAGCGATTGATTCGTTGAGGAGGTGAGCAAGAGAACGGAAGAGTGGGCACTTGTCCAAATATGAAATCAAGTCAGCATTGACATATCCTGGGGCAAAGGAAAATAGGTAGAAAAGAGGGGGTGGAGGAGTGGGTTCAAGGGACTCGAAAAAAACAAACATAAAACAAGGGACCCAGGAGAGTGGAGTGCCTCGTCCTCGTACTATCTGTTTCTCCATTAGGGCGCAACATGAGCTATAGGAGAACAGCCATAGTTTGTTTCCAAAATGGTCTTTATTTTACTCCCTTCTTTTCTTTCTCTGCTTGGCGCACTCGCCCTTCTTATTCAAACAGCAAGCAGCCAAGAACTGACAGCAAACGTCCATACTTTTGGACGGATGGGTGTCTTACTGTCATGCGGGCTCTCGATCGTGGCTGCATTGTCGGAACTGATGAGCAGGTAGAACAGCAGCGGGTAGGTGACGACTTTGGATGCTTCTTCCAGACCATCTTTGTGTTCTTGTACTTTTTTATGTGGTTGGTGAAACTCTTATTGCTGGATATTTTGTCGTCTCTTGCCAATTGAATTCCGCAGTAGTCTTGCCCTTGTATCGCACTCATGCGGGATCGAGAGCAAAACAACTCTTCGACCAGTAGTTGAAGCTATGTGTGTGTGTCCCATTCATGCAAACATATATGTAGCCCTTTCTTTCGCATCGGCATCGGATGCTTACTAAATATTGACAGGTTCATCAACTCGTTCACCTCTTTCTCCCCCCCACTTTATTATTTTTCTCTTCTGCTCGTTCGACGTTCAATCTGATTCCGCCGCCAAAAATAAATGTCCACTTGGCTTTTGCAACTCCCCGAGTCGCCGGGTATGTATCTTTTTTTATCACAAGGAGGGCCGAAATACAAACAGAAATGTACGTCATTTCTTACTAACGTTGACGACCAACAACAACAAATAGATCAGTTGGAACTATCCCACTATCCCACTTTCCAGATCAACTCCACCATTTCATGCAACTGAAAAAAGAAATAAAACAAAAAAAATGGGTCTAGCCTTTACTCATCTCTGGGTTAGGATTATATCGACAAGAACGTACACCCCTACAAGCTGCAACTAAGAAAGAGCAGGAAAACAAAAGAGAAACAAGATTCTAAAGCGGTGCGAATGAAGAAAAAAATAGAAAAAATAACCACCGACGGGTACCAAAAAAGGCGGCATCAATTAAGCGATTAGAATGGTCCATGACTGTAGCGGCCGGTAAAACTCTGTTTTCAGGTGGCAAGGGAGTAAATAGGAATATAAGAAGAGGTGGGAAGGGTCAATGGGGTACCAGGGATTCATTCCAGGCAAGTGTCCACGAGTGAGAGCCCTTTTTTGTGAGAGTAGTGAAGCGGAATTGTGGACGAAGGAGCACTCGCAAAGTACATGTAGCTTATCCAATACCGATAGCTCGTTACCTCGCACTTTCCACTTACAGCCATCCACCCGATTACCTGCCGTTTAAACTCTTTCAAAATATCACAAGGCTTCCTTTTTTTTGTGCATTTTGGAAAACAACCGTACGCCCGTCGCACCTTTCATTTCCACTGATGTCAACGCCCCTCGTCACCTTCCATTCCCCCCCACCCCACCCCTTCCTCCTCTTTCCACGTCCCTTCTTTTTCTTGTTTTCTTTGCCTTTCCTTGCCTTTCCTTGCCTTTCATTGTTTTTTTTTTTTCCTAGCCTTTTTTTCCTTGCCGTTGACACTTTTCAAAAAGAAAAGGAGTGAAGGTACCTTCGTGTCAAACAAAGCAAACTAAATTTCAGCCGGTTTGAGGATAGGATGGAGAGAGAAGACAGGGGGCAAAGAGAGAAAAAAAAAAAAAAAAAAAAAAAGATTTCACAGTCCAAACTTCCTTTTGGCTGGCGATGATGCCGAGAACTGGGAGCTGATAGCCTTTTTTTAATTGACGATCGCCCAGGGCAGCGGATTTTCCATAATCAACTTTTTTTTTTCTGAACTTACTCTTGATGATCCAGAAAGCTAGAGCCAATATACAGGAGAAGCACATCAGTCCGACACTATCTGTCTCAGATAATAGATCAAATCAAGTAAATGATCTCGACGTCCTTGTCGGTCTTTCTTTTGTCATCCTGTCTTTGTCCTCCTTGTCTTTTTTCTGCACTGTGAGTTTTCATTGCTAAAGGCCTTTTCAGATAACACCAGATAAAGCAGTACGAGACGAGACGGCGCTTAGGAACGACTTCCCTCATACTTCTCTTTTCGTTTCTATGTCTGCCTTTTTTCTCAGACTTACATCTCCCTACCGCAGACTCACGCCCTTATCCCCATTCTTCCTTTGGCTTCAATTGCTCGCTCCCGAACTTTATTCTCTTATGCCTATTTTTCCTACGATCCAAACTCTGATTATCTTTGTATGAAAATGAGGGTAGGGCATAGTACGGCATGACTATATAAGAGTAAATAAGGCGGAAAGGAGGCTGGCAGGGGTACATTGATTGTCGTGTTGACGTATGCAAGTCTGGTCTAACATGCCATCCACAACAACCAAGTTGCCTTGCCCTCGTTACTTGTAGTCTGCTTCTTGGGCTTCGAACGCGCAGAAAACAGACATTTAATTGAATGAGTCATGTGATGTTTCTCTAATTGACAATCAAACAGCGTGGTGATCCTTGAAATACTTGGGCTCGCTTCCACTCCTTGTTCGCCAACACCTTCATCGTTCGCCTCTTGCAGGAATAAGAAAAACACAAGCGAGTACGCGACCCTTCAAGACGACGACAACTGACAGCAGCAACAACAACAATAGCAGAAACGACAAAAACAGCAGCAACATCAACGGCCAGGTTGCGAATATAGACGACGTTACTCACCTCCATGCCATTGTTCTGTTGTCGTTCTTTTAGTGGCAACAGGCTCAGAGAGCACGCTTCGACAACGGTCGACCGTCCCCAAACAACCACAATTAAGAGACGACTCTAACAACACCGCCGAGGATGCACCCAAGAAAGTAAGGGATATATCATTTGACGGTGCGTGGAGGTCCTTCAGGAAAAGGACTGGCGACAAAAGTCATTCGTCTTTTTTTTTTTTTTTACTGACAGAGATGTTTCATCTCGTTATTTGTTTGCTTGGTCATAGGTCATCAAATCAGTCTTCACATCAGCCGAAAAGACCAACTCACTCATCACCCTCGCAGGACTGACGGCGGTTGCCGTTTTCGCCCGCTTCTACAAGATTAACGAGCCTGACGAGGTTGTGTAAGTTCTCTTTGGACTTCAGACGAGGAAGTAAGGAGGAGTGTGAATACTCGTCAATCAGATCAGGAGAACTGACAAGGTACAATTGATCTTTTCTCCTTGGGAATAGATTCGATGAGGTCCACTTTGGAAAGTTCGCCTCGTACTACCTTCGCGGCAGCTATTTCTTCGATGTCCATCCTCCACTAGCCAAAATGATGTTGGCGGCAATGGGCTACTTTATCGGATACGACGGACACTTTCTCTTTGACAACATTGGCGACAAATACAACGACAACAACGTTCCCTACATTGGACTTCGCGCCCTCCCTGCCTTCTTGGGGGCCATGACCGTCCCCTTGGTGTACATGACCATGCGCGAGGCTGGGTTCCCCATCTTGACTTGTGCCCTGGCTGCATTCCTTGTCATCTTTGGTAAGTTGAGCGACTTTTTGTTCTGTTACCGCAATGCCCCCATTAGTTCCTAATTGCTCTCAGTGAATGAGCTACAACAATTAATATCCGATATATCCCTTCCTACCAATGCACACAATAGACAACATGCTTGTGACCCAAACTCGCTTGATCCTTCTCGACTCGATGCTGGTCTTCTTTATGATGTGCTCCATCTACAGCTATGTCCGTTTCTACAAGACCAGGAACAAGTAAGGGCTGTTGTTTGTTGGCGTACCTTGGAATTAATGCCACGTCCACAGTCGTTTAGGCTTTTGTCGGGTCTGCCAATTTTGTTCATGAGAGCCCTCATTTCGCTTTGAGTCGCCCCTTATGAGTCTCTCTCTCTCTCTCACACACACACACACATCTTCTTTTCTGTGTCTATCTATAGCCCCTTCTCACTCAAGTGGTGGTCATGGATGATCGCCACCGGTGTCTCCATTGCCATGACGACCAGGTAACAATCACTACTCGCAAATGGAGAGCATAACCTTCGGTCAATAAGTTGTCCCTTTTACATTATCACTGCACGTGCTGATATCTTACTTGATGCTTTGATATAGTGTCAAGATGGTCGGTCTCTTCACCGTTGCTACGATTGGTGTGGCTGTGATCTGGGATCTTTGGGAGATCTTGGATATTCGCCGCCGCTTGACCATGCAGCAGTTCATGAACCACTTCTATGCCCGCGCCATTGGCTTGATCCTGATTCCCGTTGTCGTGTATCTTTTCTGGTTCTACGTTCACTTTGCGATCCTGGTCAACAGTGGTCCTGGAGACGACTTTATGAGCACCGAGTTCCAGGAGACTCTCAAAGGCAACACCATGGCCGACGGCATTTGTACGTTTGAACTCCTTTGGACCCATCTTCGCGCTACAAATGTCACGCTCTATGGATATCTCCAGGTGTTAACAAACACTTGTATTTGACGCGTTTCTTGGTCTAATAGATGTCAAGTATGGCGATAACATCACCATCCGCCACAAGGACACCTCAGTTTACCTTCACTCGCACGATCACAACTATCCCTTGAGATACGATGATGGACGCATTAGCAGTGCTGGACAGCAAGTGACCGGATACTCTCATGAAGATCCCAACAACCTCTGGCAGATTTACAGTGACAGCGTTGAGAACACCAAGATTGGCAAACAGGTCAAGGACAAGGATGTCATTCGGCTCTTGCATGTGACCACCTCATCGTGGCTCTTGGCCCACGACGTTGCTTCGCCCACCATGACCACCAACGAGGAGATCACCACCTACTCGACCAACGAGGACGGCTCCCGCTTCAATGAAACAACCTTCCAGATCATTCTTGAGAGTGGTGGCGACAAGCTCCGCACCATGGCCAGCAACTTTAAGCTTCTTCACCAGTCGACCAAGGTGGCTATCTGGACCCATCCTCAGAAGCTCCCTGCCTGGGGCTTTGAACAGCAAGAGATCAACGGCAACAAGAACATCGTCCAAAAGTCTAATCTCTGGTTGTCTGACAACATCGAGGGCAAGAATGGTACGTTCATTGAAATAGATTGACTCGTGAACTATTCATAATGTGCATGAAGAAGCCTTGGCTAACATTTTGGCCCATGCCTATTCATCCAACTTAGCCTCGGAGATTGACCAAGAGTCTTCAAAGGCGGTCAAGAAGAGATCGTTCATCCTCAAATTCCTTGAACTCCAAGGAAAGATGATCTCGCACAACGCCGGCTTGACTGAATCGCACCCTTACCAGAGCTCGCCCATTGAGTGGCCCTTCCTGGTCAAGGGCATTTCCTTCTGGACAGAGAACGATACTCGCAAGCAGATCTACTTGATCGGCAACCCTATCGGCATGTGGATCGCCGTTGCTTCTCTTGCTGTTATTATCGGTGTATCGGGCGCTGATGTCCTGAGCCGTCGCCGTGGCTTCTACCCCTTGAACCAAGGTACTTTTCGTTCTCCTCGTTGTCACTCTGATGACATGTGTTCACTGACTATGCGCTTTCACTAATCGATTATCGACTATCTGGTTTTCTTTGTTGTCATTGTGATAAATAGATGTGCAGAAGAGATTCTACTATGCGACTGGATTCTTCTTTATTGGCTGGGTGTTCCACTACATCCCCTTCTTCCTGATGGGTCGTGCGCTGTTCTTGCACCACTACATGCCCGCGCTGGTGTTCTCGTACATGGTGTTGGCAGCAGTGCATGGATTCATCTTTATCGAGGGAGTGGATGGACCCATCTCAGACCCCGGCCCGGAGACTCGACCCCGCCATGTCCAGCGTGCGGTTGTCCCCGTGATAGCGTATGCGACTGGAATCATCTTGATGGCTATCCATTTGGGATCGTTTTTGTTCTTTGCCCCTCTTTCCTACGGCACCAGTGCGCCCGATGTTGCTGGCCTTGCCCGTCGCAAGTTCCTCCCTCAGTGGGACTTCCACTTTGCCAAGTAAACTTCACTAGCCTTTTTGTTTTCATCTCACCATTTACGCATAAAAAGTGTCCATTTTTGAACCGTCCCTATTGCTGCGATACTACGCTTAATTGATGTTGGCTACAGCCTACCAATGAACGGCAGTGTTTCCCACGCCGTCGTCAGTCTCTTTGTGAGCACCACTGTCATTTCCTTAGGACCTTGTGTTTTTGTGTGTGAGAGTTTGGATGGAGTCCCCTTTAGGGAATCATTTTCCCGTAGGTGCTTGCGTGGGTTCTTCCGCCTCTTCTTTTTTTCAAGTTTGTTCTTCTATCCCGTTCCCTTCTTTTCTTTTCTTTTCTTTTCTTCCTTCTTTTCTTTACCTTTCAACCTAACAACCCCCCGACAACACATAAACAACCATGGTAATGGTCTGCAGGCTGCTCCTGAGTGGGCGGATCATCGCCAGACACTCAAGGACTTTCTCCACCTCCTCGCGGTCTTTGTGGAATGTAATCACCCGGGCTTATACACTCACTCACCGCTTATACGCTCAGTAACCCCGCTCATGGAGTCTTACATCACGCTGACTCACACTCACGCTCATGCGAGGCATAAAGAGAAGAAACAAAAGAGAGAGGATGGAGAAAGGAGAGGGAACAGGAATGAAGGGAACTTGATTCAGAGTCGTGTCATTGACATCACACGCACCCCCACCTCAAAAAATATCACACGCCTCCATCCTCCTACCACGCACTCATTCACACCTCAATTTTCCTTCTTTTCACCTTCCTCCCCTGTCCATCCCAACACATCGAACATAGACCGAAATCCGCCCAGCCCCCGTCGAAGCGCATGACTTCTTGGACTTTGTCAACCAGGCCCAGTCGCCCTTCCACGCGACCGAACAGGCCATCATCCGTCTCCGCAAGGCAGGCTTCCAAGAGATCAAGGAGAAGGAGAGCTGGAACGGAATCCTCAAGCGTAACGGAAAGTACTTCTTCACCCGTAACCGCTCTGCTGTGATTGCCTTTGCGGTCGGTGGAAAGTATAAGCCTGGTAACGGCTTCTCGGCTGTTGGAGCTCATACTGATTCTCCCTGCTTGAAGGTACTTGTTTCGTTTTCTCAGTTTTGATTTGTTGTGGATGCTCTTTTATTCGCGGTCTTCAGGTAGTGTGTGATTCAGGAGTGGGTAATTGGTGTGAATCACTCACATGTCTTCATTTTCTCTTTCCTGTGTCGTTGATGCGTATAGGTCAAGCCCGTCTCCAAGAAGGAGAAGTTGGGATACTTGCAGGTCGGCGTTCAGCTCTACGGAGGTGGACTCTGGTGCGTAGAGATCGCTTGCCTGTCGTGGGAGTTTGTTGTTAAGCATTGAATTATCACTCCATGTAGCTAATACTCAATTGATATTCTGGCGTTTCTAGGCACACCTGGTTCGACCGCGACCTGAGGTACGTCATTGCAAGGAGCACAGGACGGATCATGTTACTGAATTCAATAGGAAGAAAATCTCGAGGAGGTCATGGCTCACACCTGTTTCTCAATTGACATTTCACGCGAATAGTGTTGCTGGTCGCGTTGTTGTCCGCACCGAGGATGGCAAGTTGGAGAACCGTCTCGCCCGCATCGACAGGTAACCAACCTCTCTGAACTTCTAATACCCTTGTTAAATCAGGCTAAACTACCTGTGAGTCATCTTGCTGACCTTGTAATATATATTTGTCACCTTTCAATAGACCTATTCTCCGTATCCCCACTTTGGCTATCCACTTGGACCGCTCCACCAGCGCCGATGGATTCAAGTTCAACAACGAGACCCACTTGACTCCCATGATCTCCACCGTCACCAAGAGGTGCGTCCTCTTTTGCAAAATATGCGAGACATTGAGCCTGAATCGAAGAAGATAATTACTTACCGTTTGATTGCATTCTTAAACGACAAATAGCTTGACTGGAGAGCCTGCTAAGCCTCTTAAGCCTGACACTGAGATCAACGGTGACATTCCTCTCGCCGAGAAGCACCAGCCCATCCTCATGAGCCTTCTCGCCGCCGAGTTGAACGTCAAGGGTAACGATTAACATCTAGGAGCGAGTTTCCGTGTGGTTGATCGTCATTCTTTTAGCTGACCGCTGAACTAACATTTCCTTCTTTGTTTTCATTGGCCTGATAGTTGACCAGATTCTCGACTTTGAGTTGTGCTTGTACGACACCCAGCCTTCGGCCATCGGAGGTGCCTACAACGAGTTCATCTTCTCTGGACGTCTTGACAACCTTATGATGTCTTACTGCTCCATTGAGGTATGTCGACCTTTGTTGTTTGTAATTGCCATGTGGATTGAACGAGTGTGCGGAAAAAATACGAACAACCAGCTCACCAAGAAGTAACTCCAAATGATAAAAACTAGGCTTTGATCAGGAGTTTGAAGAACACAGACTCGTTGGCCAACGACCCCAACATCCGTCTCGTCTCGCTTTTCGACAACGAGGAGGTCGGATCCAACACTGCCCACGGTGCCGACTCGAACTTGTTGCCCAGCACCTTTGAGCGTCTCAGCTTGGCCACATACGACGGCGAGGCTCAGGCTAGCAACGCCTCCACTGCCTACTTGGAGGCTTTGCCCAAGAGTTACTTGATCAGTGCCGATATGGCCCACGCTGTTCACCCCAACTATTCTGAGAAGCACGACGATGGTCACCGCCCTCACATGCACAAGGGTGTTGTCGTCAAGATCAACGCCAACCAGGTATGTACTCTTGATCTCATCTGTTCTGGCTTTTAAGGCTGACATCTAGTTACAACAAAAGTTTTCGCAAACTAACGCGTGGTTGCTTCCAACTTTGAAATTGAAATAGCGCTACGCCACCACTGCTCCTACGACTGTTGTGTTGCGTGAGGTCGCCAAGAAGTACAACGTCCCACTTCAGGAGTTTGTTGTCCGCAACGACAGCCCCTGCGGTTCCACCATTGGTCCCATGCTCTCTGCTAAGCTCGGTCTCCGCACCGTCGGTACGTCTTGGACTCCTTTGCTTTCGTTGCTTGAATATGTTTGTTTACTTGCTTTTGAGCTGAATGGTTCTAACTGTTCTATTAAACTTCACTGACCGTAATTAGATGTTGGTAACCCCCAGTTGAGCATGCACTCTTGCCGCGAGGTCTGCGGTACCGAGGATGTTCCCCTTGCCATCCAGTTGTTCGAGGTACATTCTCGCCTTTTGCATTTGTTCCTGATAATCATTCTTGTGCAAGTCTGCTTCCTGATGCCTTTATTAACATGAATGTAATTTTTGTACTGTACCCACTTTTATAGGGCTTCTTTGAGGAGTTCCCCTCGGTCGATGCTCGCTTGACCGTCGACTAAATATGGATCAGGAAACGCCAGGATGAAGAAACACACAGAAACACGATACCAACACGATGCGTGGTCAACAGGAATATTAAAAAAAAAGCGCTTTTGGCTCTGAATTAGAGCCGTTGTTATATACAGCTGTTGTGAGTGATGGATCGACATTTTTTTTTATCCAAGGGACTATCTAAGAACTTCATAGATTACGAAATCCGTCTTGAGCGCAACTGATTAACACTTGTGAAGACGTTCCTAAAGTCAACTCAAGGAAGAGAGAGAGAGGGAGGGGGGGGGTTGGGAGGACCGGACATTTCTAGTCTGATTCAGCTCCGAAACCCATGGACACTGTCATCTCCAACAAAATCGAAACGACGGAAACAAGGTGGTTGGCTGGGGCCTTGGAGCATCACGCAGTGTAGTATTTTTTTTCCCGCCGCGCCGATGTTACGTGTGATGGCTGGTGAAGGAAGGTTGGTGGCATCATTGAGAAAAGATACTTCTTTTGTGAGGTGGTGGCATACTTATCCAGCTCGGGCATGTACGTGGGGAAGAAATGGACCTTGTCGAATAATATGAGTAACATCATCAAACAAACAAACAAAGGATGGGTTAAAGGAGCAGCGTCTTTTCTAGCCCGCGAAACTCGATCCAAACTCTTCGGACGGCGTTGCCTACAACCCCCCCCCCGTCGGGTATTATCATGGATGTTTAACAACCCAAGCGCCGAACAGAAAAAGGACAAAAAAACAACAACAAAAAGATGGCTGGCCAGACCTTTGGCACATCCAGAGACTACACACTGCAGTCTAGAGCCCTACGCTTACTTACCAACCCAGCATGCGACACCTCCGGCTGTGATCTCCGTCTGCTCTCCCCCCTCCCTCCCCCTTCCATCATTTATCACAAAGTGGCCATGGAAGTCTCTGTGAAGAGTCGTTAAGACCCAGTTCGAGGATGATATGAGTTGACAAAAGATCGCCGAAGCAGCTGGGCATCACGCTTGCCACTCTGCCTACAAGGTGACAAGAGTAGAGCGGAAAGGTTTAGGCACTAAAGGTGCAACTTTTTTTTTTTTTGTTCTGTCGGTTGTGGAGGGAAGAAGAGGGGGGAGCTCATGGTGTAGTAAGGACTTTGGAAAGACACTTCCCTGGATTCACCTGAATAATCTTCACATTGTTTTTTTTTTGAGAAGTTGTGCCTGAAGGATGTAGTCTTAAGAAAATCCCTTCCAATAAGATGAGCCCACAGAACCATGTCACGAAAGCACACGAGAACCAAAACGCGTCCACGATTGTCTAAAGAGCTGCACCTCCATCTTTTGATACCCCCCACCCCTCCTTCCACCATGTATCGCCTCCACGAAAAAAAAAAAAAAAAAAAGAGTCATCATATCAACAACTACATCACTGCATCGCCAAAAGAAGCTGAAGCTGTGTACAGACACCCTCACTAGATCTGTCAATTGTTTCCCTTATCGAACCAAAACGATGAATAAAAAAAAGGCAAAAGTTCACAAGTCGACACGGCCTTTCAACGATGCTACCTCCAACCAGACAGGTCCAGAGGCCTGTGAAAAAAAAAAGTCCCAAATTTCTCAGGAAGTGCGAAAGCCCCCTCGCCCGCTTCAAATGAACGTTACCAGTCTCAAGAGCTCAGATCGTCTAGGTGTTATGTCCTTGGGAGTTGGGTTTACCCTTCTTGCATAGATCAGAAACGAAAAGGTTCGTGCCGCAAGCAACATCCAAGTACGAATCAGATAAGATAACGATGGACTTTTTACTGACTTGAAAGACGAAAAAAAAAAAAAGGCAGGATGGTGGCCAGAGAAAAAGGTAATAGGTCGAGCGCAGGATGTATTTTCACGACAAGTTAAAAGAGACACCTATGCTGTTGACAATAAAAAGGGATCTTCGCGTTGATGTGGGACTACGTTACGAAGAGTAGGAGAAAGAACTCTCAGCTTTCCAGTCTGGTATTTTTTGGGGTAAAAACGAAAATGAAAAAAAGAAGAACGATGAGGGAAAAAAATGAGGAAATGATGGAATGGTTGAGAAGAAAAGAAAGAGAAAACGGTCGTAAAGTTGATTAGCTGGTTGTTTAAGATTGATGCACAGAATGAATGACTGAAGAACAATAAATGAAAACGGAGAGGAAAAAGGCGGTTGTCCGTCAACAGGCAGAGGTCAAAGGTCCAACCCTTGTCATCCAATCCAGTCTATGGTCCACAACATGCTTCAGCTCCGCCGGGGGTGTTGTCCGCAGTCCTTACTTCGAAGCCCGTTTTGGTCCGCCGTTTCCACCGTTAGTGTATGAGTTGATGGGAGCCTCAACGGATTGAGAAGCTGCTGCCTGGGGTTGATATTGACCTTTACTAATATGGGTGTTGTTCGTGTTGTTGTTGCCACTGCTGTCGGACTTGGTGACATTTCCTCCCCTGCCGCTTCTACCACCGCCACCACCAGTGTTCTTGTTGTTGTTACCTTTGCCCTTTCGATTCGATCGATTCTTGGAGCCACCAATTCCGCTTCCGTGGCTACTTTCTCCATCGCCGCCGTTCCCAACTCCGCGATCACTGCCGCCGCCACTGCCACCGCCACCAGCGTTCCCACCACTGTTGTTGCGACGATGATGGTTGCTGGCTGACTTGGGGCCTGGGTCATTCGATGAGTCAGAGTTCGATCCTGATCCTAATCCTGCATTGTCACTGTCCGCACGATGACGGTTGCCGCCACGACCACCGCCATCAGTGTTGCCATCGCGGCTGTTGTTGTTTCCACCGGCACCACTCCCGCCGTTGCCACCGTTAGGGCCATGACCACCTCCGCTATTGGGTGAGGGTCCATTGCTGCCGCGGTACTTGTTCTTGCGTCGGTGACGGCCACCAGACTGATAACTTCCATCTGCGCTTCCGCCGTTGCTGGAAGTCCTGCTGCCACTGCGACCACTACCAGTCTTGTCACCTCCGCCGCTACTACTGGAGTCGCCACTTCCAGCCTCTTGTGCTTGCTGGCGGGCTTGGTAGTACTGCTTCTGAGCTTGAGTCTTGGCTTCGCTGGAGGGAGAAGTCGAAGAGGCTGAGTCAGACGAAGACGTCGAAGACTCGGCCGATCCAGAAGGTAAGATGGACGTTTGACCACATAACGACTTGCTGGGTGCTCCATTGTTGCTTCCGCTGCCATTGCTGCCACTGCCAGAGCTACTTCCGCTGCTAGAGCCCTCGGAGAATGCACCAGCGTCTGATGTCGTGGCCACTGCAGGGCCGGCGGAAAACGACTGGGAACCTGGGTTGTTGTCGGAAGTGGAATCTGACTCGTTCGAGTTCGAAACATCTTTGGTCGAGTTGGGAGGCTTGGTGTTGGACGAACTTTCGTTGGTGCCCTCCATCGACGAATCTGCTGACCGGGACAGGCGGTTCAATCCTCTTGAAGTCGATTGGTTGCTCTCCGAGGTATCTCGGCCTCCCGAAGAATCTCCTCCAGTGCCGATTTCGCGACCAAAACTGCCGCCATGGCTGGTCTCCTGCTGGGTACTACTGTTCGAGTTGCTGGTCGTGTTGACCAATGTCGTGTTGGACAAAGTTGGAGAGAAGAGTCGGTTTTCCTGACGGTGCACGTTCTGGGGCAGAGGTGGGAGAAGAGTCGCAGATGGGTGTCGGACCTGCTCCATCTTGTGCTGTTGGTTCTGTTCCGCCTGGTGCTGTTGTTGTTCCTGCAGCTCTTGCTGAGAAGACTTGAGAACATACATCGGCAAAGCTTGCTGCTGCTGCTGCTGGTTCTGTCTTTGTTGCTGGGCAACTCCTTCCTGTTGCTGCTGACCAGTTTGTTGCTGCTGACCAGGCTGTTGCTGAGAGGGTAAAGTCTGAGACTGCTGTGCGCCTGGCTGCTGTTGCTGTTGGTGATGTTGTTGCCCAGAGTAGGTATGGTGAATGCGAGGCGAATACATCTGAACATCGTGACTCTGGTGCGCCACCATCTGTGGAGACAACATGGCTTGTGGGACAGCAAACTGAGGGTGCTGCTGCCAGACAAGTCCCGTTCCATCAAAAGCCGGCGCGCCGCCCTGCGATTGCTGAGGGATCGGCGCAGTGACATAGACGCCCATGGGTGTTGTGCCGTCGGCCGCGTAGACATAGCCGTGGCCCTGAGAGTATGGGATCGACCGTGCAGCATATCCAATATAGGGTACAGGTTGACCCTGACCCATAGGTGTCAAAGGCGGCAGAGTTGGTTGAGCCGCGTAAGTGAACGCATAAGGGTAAGGGTACCCGATGAGCGCATCGCCTTGTCGAAGAGGTGGGGGCTGATTGCCAACTCCAGAGACTCCAGTGTTGACGTTGTCAATTCCCAACCAAGCTGCATTGACGGGGCCAGGAGGCATCATGACGGGTCCGCTCGGGATGAGACCGCCCTGGTTGTTGTTGTAACTCTGAGCTCGTTGCATGTTGCCATTGTCGCTGCCGATAGAGCTACGGTGGCTCTGACTGCCACTGTTGCCTTGTCCACTGCTGTTAGGGCTGTTGTTGTTATTATTGTCGCCGCACCAAAGATGTTCCGAGGTGTTTGAGGATCCTGTGAGGTGGGTCTGACTCTGTTTCTCAGTCGAGGAAGGACCAGTCATGGGCAAGTTGCCCGTGTTGGTGGCGTACGCGCTGGCGTTATCCTCGGTGGGCAAGTCAGGGTAGAATCCTGCTGGCTCAAGTCCCAAGAGTTCGTCCAAGCTGGTAATCCCGCTCCGTTCCGACAAGTCTGTGGTTCCCGTCTGTTGACTGATGACTGCAGATATGGTACCAGAAGGATGTGCATAAGCGGTCAAGGATTGGCGATCGTCCATACCGTTTGTGTTAGAGTATCCCGAGGAAGGGGTATCAAGTGCGTCATGGGAAAGTGTAGCAGTGGTAGGAAGTTGTGCAGGCGGGAGGTTAGTCTGCGAAGACAAACGAACTTGGGTGCCTACTACCACTAAACCATGCGGTGTATTCGCAGAACAAGGTTCATTACCAGAAAGTGCAGAATTTGTTGTCACCATCTCGTCACTGTCCGCCATCCCCGTTAGCGCACTCAGCGCCACCGTGGGGTGGAGATCCGGTGGGGTCGCCTCAGTCATGTGGCTATCCTGTTGAGAAAAGCCCTGGGCTTGTTGCTGCTGCTGAGATTGCTGCTCTTGGTTTTGCTGCTGTTGGTGGCGTTGGTGATTTTGGTGGGGATCTTGACCTTGCTGCTGCAGTTGGAACTGTTGTCGGGCAGGCTGTTTGCTGTGCTTCTTGGACAAAGTGCCGTCGCTCTGGCGCTTGTTGCTAGTAATGCTGTGCTCGGACAGATCGGAATAGGGGGACTCGGGACTCATCATGCCGAATACGGCCCTGTTCCTGGCGATCGTGGGACTTTGTTGAGCTGTTGCATACTGCTGCAGATGCGGTTCCTGTTGCTCTTCCCGATCAAACAAGACTTGCTGCCTCTGCTGTTGCTGCTCGTACTCCTGGTTCTGTTGCCCCTGTTGGTATAATTGATCCTGCTGCAGCTGCAAAGTCTGCCGGTGGTGGTGTTCACCCAACTCTGTCTGTTGACTGCGATGTTGCTCGTGCAGAAGATCAAGCTCGCGTTGGTACCGCTGCGTTTGGTACTGCCCCGACATGGTCGAATCCACGGGCTGACTCATGACATAGGTTGCGTCGCTGACAGAAGACATTCGGACGTTGGATGGTCCCTGACGCATCGCCATCTCCTCAGCAGCGTCGGGTTTGAATGGTCCAAGGTCAGGGTTGCTCAGCATTGAGGCCATAGAAGATGATCCACTGGGTTTCCTCGTCTGAGCAAACTGCTGCTGTTGTTGTTGCTTGGCCTGTTGCTGCTGATCCAGTTGCTGCTGTCGAAGTCGCTGTTGGTACTGCTGATGCTGCTGGAGCTGGGTATCCTGCTGGTCCGGTCGTTGCTTGGGCGACTGGGGAGTTGAGTTCAAAGATCTCTGCGGTTCCTGTTGCTGAGACTGCGACTGCTGAGGGACGGGTCCAGATGACAAGTTGAGCGCCACCATGGATCCAGTCCCGCTGGGCGTCTGGGAGGGCAGCTTGATCGAGAAGGGTACTATCGTGAAGGGACGGTGCACCTCCTCGCGTGCCCAAACCAAATCCTCTGCAGTCAAGAACCGCTGCGGGAAATAACCGTCCATGATGGATTGCAACAGGAGCTTCTCGACCGAGAAGCGACAGCAGCTCTCGAGGATACGGAGAAGAAGTGCCAGATAGTACAAGTCTGTCTTGGACGAGATGGGTCCCTTGAAGATTGTTGTCGGGGTATTGGTCGATGTAGTTGGGATCCCGTCCGCCGGGGGTGTGCGAACTAATTCAAAGTGAATCCACAAGTGAACAATCATTTGATCAGACATGCATTTTAGAACAAGACATCAGAAGATACATCAGCAATACGATCAGTGATCACAGTGTTCTTACCATCAATCGAATCGGCTCCTTTCGAAGTTTCCAGGGATCCCTTGGGCGAGACAAGGACAAACCGGTGAACAGTAGCAGCTGCGCAGAGAGAAAAGTGAATCGAGTTGAACAGCTGTCTGTACGAACGCTGATCCGTCACCATGTTCTCTGCGATCTCGGAAATGGCCACTGCCGACTCGCGGCACCGGCTCAAGGGTGACTGAAGAGTCAGCGGCAATGCTGGCGCGAGGCTACTGTTGTGAAGGAAAGGCCGGTAGAGCATGATCCTAACAGTGTGGTACAACAGCGCATAATAACCGACGGCGCTTGGCCCAGGAGCATCAGTATTACTGTCTATCGCCAGTCGTTGTACAATGCCAGGGGTCCCTGGTTTGCTGCCGGCAGTTGATCGTCTCCGCTGGTGAGGGTGTGGACTGGCCGTCTTGCGAGTGGACGTATTGGTGGCGCTGTCCAGTGAAATGGGTGTCGGCAAGGATGTCTCCTGCGAGTCGTTTCCTGTCGTGGGCATAGATGCGATCCATGCTGACAGGGACTGATCCAGATGGGAGAACACCGCTGAAGAGCAAGTCGCGGCGTTGGTGGATGTGTAGAGGTGGAGAATGATCTTGCCGAGAATTTTGGACAAGCTAGTCATATGGCAGAAGGAATCGATATAAAACTTTTCGCTCGGATCCATGCTCGTTGGGTAGTCCACCATACAGTCGACATCGCTAATAACCTATTGAGAAGGAGCGCAATACATATTCAACTCGGTTAGACAACGAAAAGAAGCAAAAATTACAAAGAATTGTTTGGCACAGAAATGATGACCTTACCATGGGCTTGCCGAGGGCAGCTGACGTCCAGCGATCTGCCTGGTAGCATGACCACCAGATGGTCTTTCGGATCTGAACCTCGCGCTCATCCATATCCTTCAGTCTCTTGGGATCCAAAGGTCGATTGAGCCCGATCTCCTGAGCCATGCGGATAGCCATGCCAACGTACATGAAGCGGAGACTGGCACGACCCGTCTGCACTTGACACCAGTACAGGATCAAGAGCGCCTGAAGTGTCGACATGGAAGGCATATCGAACCGGTCTTGAAGCAAGATACGAGCATGGGTCAGGAACTGCTCGCCAATGGTCGAGAGGTTGCCAGGTTCAGCGCAGAGTCCCTCGTGATCCGAGTACTTTGCGCCAGCAGCGCAGATGGCGACAAGCAAGAGTGGGTCCGGAGGCGACGCTGGATCCTTGAGCTGGGCGAGAAACTTTTGTTTATCGACAATCATCCAGTGGGGGTGAAAGCACTCGAAATAAACATGCACCAAGTACTGAATGACACTCTTGTTGGTGATGACAAAGCCGAGGGGAGTCGATTGGTCAAGGAAAGAGGTGACGGCGGGGTCTTTTTGGAAGGTCAAGTGGTGTTGATCGGGGTCAGTATGGTCAGAGTTGAGAACGGTAAATGTTGGAAACACCGGAGAAGCCAGAGTCAGGTTGAGTTGATCCATACCCATCAGAACAGCTCCGCTTCCTGGCCCTGTTATGGGTGAGGTTTTGGAATGGGTAGCTTGAGTGTACTTGGACACATTGGGGACGGTCACAGAGTTGACAAGGATGTGATACAGATCAGGCATGGTCGTGTCGCGGTCGAGGACAAATGAGCCCACGGGCTTCGCCTTTGGTGCCGCCGCCATGTCCGAGGGAAGGCGTTGCTGATCCTTGCTTGAAATCCGTGGAGATCCGAGTGGTTGTTGTTGTTGCTGATGCTGCTGCTGCTGCTGCTGCTGCTGCTGCTGATGCTGATGCTGCTGATGTTGATGTTGATGCTGCATAATTGGCTGGTCGATATATAGGTCTTTGGTAGGCAAAGAATCCTTCCGCCGAGAAGTCGAGTAAGGGAATGATCCGTTAACAGCATCCTTGGTGGACGACCGGTGTTGTTGACGAATCTCCTTGGCGTTGATCGGAAGATTAAATGCCAAAGGTGGGTCGGTCGTACGGTGGTAGTCGCGCTTGGAAAGCATCTTGGTCGAGGCTGACGTCTCCTCCTCAGGAAGATTCTTGCTGGATTTTGGTTTGGTGACCTTGGCTGCTGGTGATTGAGGAAACTCGATATAGGAGCATTCGAATCCGAGTCGCTGGCAACGATGGCAGGTCGGCTGGCCGTCGCATTTGATTTTCTTTTTGCGGCAGGCTAGACAGGCGTTGTAGACCTTGATCCTCCAGGGATGTGTCTGGGCGTGGACTTGGTTCTGGTTGAGCTCCTTGGACGAAGGTAATGTTGAGGGCGCCTGTTGCTGCTGCTGTTCTTTCCTTACCGGCTCTGCAGGGGCCAGCATCGGCTGGGTGGCGGCATTGTGAGGCTGCCCCATAGGTGCGATGGCCACGACGTGTTGTTGGTGCTGAGCGGGCGATGTTTGGTAGTTTTGGGGAAGGGCTGGCAGATGCGAGGGCTGTTGGTACTCAGGCCAGTAGTGGTTTGCAGAGGCGCCTGAATTGGGAGTGGGATTCATGTAGGCATTAGGGCTCGAGTGGCGAGGGTTTGCACTATTCGATGATGATGATGATTGGCCAGAAAGTTGCTGGTTAGTGTTGATTGTTTGGGTGGGGAGGGTGGCGGGATGGGTTGAAAGGCGATTGATGTTGCCGCCGGTGTCCATCTTGTTCTGCCGTCGACTTTGGCTTGTCTGAAGGAGCTTCGAAGATTCAGGATCGTCGGAGGAGGGTGCAAGAGTATGGTGAGTATGATTATGAGTATGTGTTCTACTAGAGTGATAGATATCTGAATCGACGTGGTGGTGTCCAGGGAAGCTATTGTGACAATGTGTACTACGACGATTCTGCTGCTGATGTATTTGCTTCAAATGTCCAAGTGGTAAGGAAGAAGGGTATGGGTGTAGGTGATGGATATTATCGTTGGCGTTGGGATGTGGTAGGGAAGTAAGAGTGGGTGAGCTAACAGGCGAAGGCAAGGAGTCGTGGGCAGAAGGGGGGATGGGGGAGGAAGAGTGATGGTGAAGACGGTGCACTAACCCAGGAGGCTGGTTGCAAGGATGCATTAGGTGGCCGCGGTGTTGAGAAGGATGGGCAAGATTTACAGACGAATTGAAGTGGTCGGCAGCTTGCTGTTGTTGCTGCTGTTGTTGTTGCTGTTGTTGTTGCTGTTGCTGCTGCTGTTGTTGCTGTTGTTGCTGTTGTTGCTGTTGTTGTTGCTGCTGCTGCTGCAGTAGCGGCTGTTGGGCAGAGGATCTTCTTGAGGCTGGCGACATGGGTGGCACGGCTTCTTATCCTTGGCTTGTTGAAGATAGCAACTTGAAGGGAAAGAAAGATTGATCGATTGGTCGAGGTGATGTGTGCTGCTGCTTATGGTGGCAAGGGAGGAGGAGAAGAAAAGGGACCAAGGGGAAATCAGACTAGGGTCAGTTGCTCGTTCAGCTGGTGTTGAAGTTCAATGGGATGGGAAGAGGATGAAGTATGGCACTAATGGTATTGTATGCTCTGATTGTGTGAATGTGAATGTGAATGTGAATGAGAAGGAGGACGCTTGTTATTGTGGGTAGGGGTGCTGGGAGAGGAGAGAGATTAACTAGCGAAAGGAAAGGAAGAGGGACACGCAACCAACAAGGGTTTCTTTTTCGAGTGGGGATAAGAACAGCGGGATGAATTTTATGAGATGAAGTGGAGTGAGAGAGTGGAGAGTAGCATGGGCAGCAACCAAGGATCGATGATATATGAAAGTGTATTGATAAGTTGAGGGTATGATTGAGATGCGAGGGTTGCCGAGGTCAAAGGGAAGGAGGAAGAGGGAGAGAAAGAGAGAGGAAGAGTGAAAATGGGAAAAGAAGCAAAGGGAGAAGAGGAGAAGAGAAGAAGAAGAAGAAAAAGACGGTGAAAAAAAGAGTAGCAGTTCTGTTGTTTGCTTTTTTCGTTCTCTTGGATACTGTTTTTATGTTATATGTGCTCTCCCCTGATTTTGATTTTCATTCTGTTTTCCTTTCCCGCATAACAAGGATGAGAGTCAAAGGTCCACCCAGAGTCAAGCCATGCCAAGCCGCATCCATACAGTCGTAGAGGGTGTTGTTCTAGTCCGAATTAGGACAGAGAGAGAGATCATCGCTACAAAGCCCTTCCATCGAATACACGTCGATTGGAAGACGGAGAAGAGTGAGAATGAAGTATAGAAGGTGAAGAAGGAGAAGGAGAACCAGATGGATGGGTAGGACGGATATAGAGTATTCAGGCACCGAAAAAAAAAAAAAAAAAAAAAAAAAAGGGAAAGGGGAGCTAATCGGTACCACCACGGGCCAAGAAAGAGCAAGCGACCAGAGTAGAAGACGAGAGAACGTTGAGGTAAGGGCTGGTAGAGGATAGAAAAAAAAGGAAAGAAGGAAAGAAGGCGTTGTGTGGGTAGGTTGGTTGGTCTGGGGTAAAAAGTGGGAAAGAGAGAGAAAGAGAGAGAAAGAGAGAAGAAAGAGGGAAGAAAAAGGGCGAGATTGGATTTTGTGCGTATGTGCGATATAAGTGCTTTCTGTAATTGAGTGATTGAGACAATTGACAATTGACAATTGACCACTGACAATTGACAACTGATTGACAACTGATAACTGACAATTGACAATTGATAACTGACAATTGACAACCCATCCATGGGGACAGGGGAAGGATGGCGATGCCTCCTTCTACTGGACTTGTTCCTCTGAATTTGAATTGACTTCTCTTTCTCTTTCTCGCCTCGCCAGTCGCGCATCCATCGTGAGCAAAGAGAAACTGAAGAAAAGCGCCCATGCAATACCTATACCATCAGCCCTCATCCCAGACCGAGAAATCAACACCATCACTGATGGTTTAAGTTTTAAAATAAAGAGGGACGGAACTCCCTTGATCCCCTTTCTCCCACACCCAGAGCATGCTAGAAACATCTCGGACCCTTCCTTCGTTTTCTTTTCTCTTATTCATTCTAGCTTTCCTCAACCGACGACTAACATAACTCTTAGCCTACTGACTACATCAATGGACTAATGAACCTGGACCCAAGAGAATTAACGAAGAGAGAGCTGAAAGAATGCAAGCTCAAAAAGGAAAAAATCGTACGTGAAACTGACATCAACCCAGTAATCGGGGTAGTTGATGCCTGGTCGGGTCTCTCTCTTTCCTGCCTCTCTTGATCTGTACTTTTTTGTGTCCGTTGTTGTTGTTGTCGTCGGTTGGTTCGTTAGTGGTCATTGCTTGCTACCATTCGCCTTATGCCACGACTCCTCTTCATATTATCCCTCAACTCATGTGCAGTTGATGGTTCACCATTAATCAGACGAGAGAAGTCTATCAAGACTGAATTGGCGCCTGTTGGGTTCTACATGGCTGGTTTCTAGTTAAACAGATGTAGTGGTAGACTGAGTTGTAACCGGAGTGGCTGGTGCTTGTTGGTGTGTGTGTCGGATGGGTTAGTTGAAGGAAAGAGAAAGAAGGACGGGCAAGAGTGAAAAACAACTTACTTGGCCTTTTTTATTACCTTTTAGTGTAGGTGGTCCGAGCGAGAATAACTTTTCGGTGTTGAAAGGAGGTGAGAGTGTGAATGAGGAAGAAAGTGGCGAGAGCGAAGCGTGGGTGAGCGGTTTGAGGGAGGTGAGTGGAGATGTGGTGAAGAGAGAAGATAAGATATAGAGAATAGAATGGGATCGATGAGGGGTGTCAAGGAGAGAAGGAATATAAGTAAAGGTGAGAGTATGAAGGGATGCGAGTGTATGTGTGGAGGATGAATGGTGAATGGTGTATAAATGGGAGTGAGTGAATAATAGAAAAAAAAAAAAAAAAAAAAAAAAAAAAAAAAAGAGGAGAAAGAAGAAAAAGAAGGACAGGTTGCAAAATGCATGTGGCTGGCTCCGTCTGCTTGCATGAATCGATTAGAAGGTTGTAGGGTAATGGAAGGTGCTAGTGCCCCTTCCCTCCTTCGTGTGCTGAACAATCGAACAAGAGAAAAGAAGGAATAAGAAAACGAGGTCCAACAGGATGTATTGCCTGACATGACAGACAATACCGGCCAATTGTAAAATCCGCTTTTTCCGCCACCTCTTCCCTCTCTCCCGTTGGTTAATTTGATCTGCTGCCAGAGCCTTCCATCCCCTGTTCACATGCTTCTTGCCGTCGTACAGTCGTACATCCTTACAAAGAAAAAGGCATGAATTAGTAGGCATTGGATTCTCCACCCCTGTCAGATCCCTTTCTTACCTTTCTTGATGTATCCCAGGAAGAGGGTATGCGTTTTTTAAACCCTTTTCTACTCTCGCCTGTCCATCAACAACGACATCCCAATCACCCTAATCGCTTTAATTCGGTACTGCATTGCAAACACCCTCTCTTCTTTCATTCCTTTTTTCCCGCCTTTTTCCCGTTCCTTCTGTCTTCCGCTCTCTCTCGTACATTTGATCCTCCATATGTGTACCTGATATGGTTTGTGTTGAAGACCGTTGGTATGTGCACCCTGCGCTATGTCAGGGCGACGAGAGCGAAGAAAAGAAAAAAAAATGCTCGGAGAAAGCGGTTTGAAGAAGTGGTTTAGCTTTGTGACCTGAACTAGGAAAAGTGGGACTGAGGGTCAAAAGGGTGGGTGGGGAAGGGGACAAATTAAAGAGGGAGGATATTAATCAACCTCCCTTTCTGCTTCATTTGTATTACAGAGGTTAAGGAGGGTGCTTGCTGGAATGGAGAAAGAAAAACAAGAATAAAAAGAGTTGGGGATATGGAGGAACAACTCCATCTATGCCATTGTCCGAATCATCTGCTCTTTACTCTCCGCAAATGCAAAGTCTCGATTGCTTCATGGCTTTCTCAGCCTCCCCTCCCTCCATCACACACACCTACAACTCATACATGCCTGACAGTGATCATTGTCACAACGCCTTTTCCTTGAACTTCTCGGCCTTTCGGGGCTTTAACAAAAATAAATCAACGTAAATAACGATTGAATAACAGGTTGGTGAAGGAGCGATGGCGAGCCTGCATACGAAACGAACATACAGAGACACGAGAGAGAGAGAGAGAGAGAGAGAGAGAGAGGGGGGGACAGAGAGAGAAAGAGGGACAGAGAGAGAGAGAGGGACAGAGAGAGAGAGAGGGACAGAGAGAGAGACAGAGAGAGAAGGGGAGAGGGAGGGAGAGAGAGACAGAGAGAGGAAGCTCCAAGACGATGATCAACATAATAGGAAAGAGAGACAATCAAGGTGACCATGACAATAGGTCCGTGAGAAAGTACATCAACAATTGACAATCAAAACGGGGGCCATCACACCATAGCGTCAGTCGACTCTTTCACTACGAGAGGAAGGGGGCACGGATGGTGACCATAAACAGTCGAACCTCTTGAGAAAAAAAAAAGTCAATTTTGTTGATGGGTGGGTGTATTATTGGCTGCAACCCCTGCTTTCTTCCACAGTTCCACTACTATAAGAACAGGAAAACAATTCATTCGAGATGTGGTATCTGAGCGGGCACTAAGGGATTATAGTACCAGCACCTTGGACCTGTGCTTGTGAAGTAGTTCCATCCAGTTCAAAAGCATTCTATTTCTTAGTACGATACATTTTGGGGAGGCACCGTACAACCATCACCCTTACGCCCCTGAGGCCTCATCGATCCAGACCAAACCCTGTCTGTCTGGCTGCCATCACACAAAGTCAACAGTCAACCCCAACTGTTGCTCAAGCGCTCGTTCTCCAAAGGGCAAAGGCTGTTTTTTTTGTACGTATGTCGTCCCCCATTTCAATGGAGTCCATGCAATTGGTCAGAGTCGGGAGGGATAAAGAACCAACAGCAGACTCGGCTCCTTTTTTTTTTTTGCTTCCTCCGCGATTTGGCTTACTAACCCCAATCGTGTCTCTCACAAACATGCGAGCATGGAAAGAGATCACGGCATATCATAACAAAGGTCATTTTCGTGGATGTTTTCTTTATCTTCTTCCCCCCGCCTTTCACCATGCTGTTTTGTTTATTTTTCCCTTGGCACACTTTTTCATCCCCATTGTCACTCATCGTTATTACATTCGATTTGTTCACACAAGACAAGGGGATCGTTCTATCTTGTCCTAACTCAACCCTCTTCTTCTCGGCGCAATAAACAAAAGAAAGACAAGTGACTCGAATGGCGATAACCTGATTGTAGCGATTGTTGACAAGTCTCAGAATCAGGTGGGGGTAGAAACAATGGCAAAAAAAAAAAAGAAAAAAAGAAAGTGAATGTAGCGTGGCGCGATTGCGTCTTCCGCGGAAGATGAAAACCCTTCATGTTACCTTTACTCTCGGGAGAAGGAAAAGAGGCGAGAAAGCATAACTCTACTCCGCCCCAGTTTGTATTGATTCTGCCGTGTTATTGGCCATCAGTGAACACTGAACAGGTACCTGCATTCTACCCTGAGTCTTTCTTCGTTTTGGACTCTGGCCTTGACCTTTGACCCTTACCCTGGCATGGGCCCTGTCATCGACTGTACCTTTTTACGTCTTCTTGCAGGATGCATCCTCCCTTCTCCTTTTCTCCTTCCAAACCAAACAAACAGCAACTAAAACATGACCTGCCAGTTTTCGATTTCACCATCCCAGATCCTAGTTCGCGTGGCCTTAGATCTTTCCAGATCTCATGTATACACTCTCTTCACGAAATTGACGCTAAAAAAGGGGGTTTTTATTTTCGTGCATTCACCATATCATGGAAAAAGGCTCACACCAAACCACTCCTGCTCGCTCCACATGTGCATAAAGAGATTGAGGGAAGCGGAGGAGGTGTTTACTTGGCCTCCTCGGTCTTGTTCAACAAGTTGTTCTCCTTCAACAATACGTCGATCTCGGCCTGGTCAAAGATCCTGCGAACCACCTTTCCATCAACCAACTCGAGCGTTGCAAACTCGACTATTATTTTTATGGCGAAAAAGGTGTGAAGATGATGGTTAAGTATAATGTCACGTGGGTAGGAGAAATAAGCAGTTACTCGATTATCTGAAGTGCACACAAACAACAGAACAAAACAAAAGGAGAGAGAACGTACTCTTGTCGGAGCCCAATGATGTGGTGTCCATCGTCTTGCTGAGGACCTTGATGGCAAGGTTCTTGGCCTCCTGGAGAGTAAGACCCTCCTCCTTGTACTCCTGTCTCAAGATTCCTTGGGCACTGGCCGTGTTGGCGCCAATGCATGTTGCCTTCCATCCTGCATAGTTGCCCGAGGGGTCCGAGTGGTACAATTGGAACCCGTGGTGCTCATCCCATCCTCCATAAATGAACGACACTCCGAAAGGACGCAGACCTATTAATCATTTTTGGCATCGTTGGAATAGATGAAATAATAGGCGTTAACTGTTTGATCGAGTTGAGCAAGGTTCTTGAACCACCTCCAGACAACAATTGAACGAGAAATAGAGATAATAGTTACCTCCGTATTGAGTGTATCCTTGCTTGAGGTCACAAAGCTTCTGCACGAGCTGTTCGCAGGGCATGTCTTCGTTGTAGGTATAAAGGTACTGTTGTGCGGCAGTCTGTACGTAGTTGATCAAGATGTTGGCGTCCGAAGTAAAACCGGCAACTCCGCAGATCATGTTGCTATTCATTTGCATAGACATTACGAGGATACTGGTTAGATCTTTTGGCTCCATGATAATGGTATATGTGGATCACAGCATGGTCAACTAGAACGATTAATTGGCCGCTCAGGAGGACAATACGTCCAATATCGGTTTTTCGCACCAGACCGTCACCCATCCACGTCACATCCCAATTACAACATCCCACGACCGAGATCGACCCCTTGAAGAAACTTACTCGTTGATGATATAGATCTTCTCGCCTCCTGTAGTCTGGTCAAGCAACTTGGAGGCAACCTTCTTCTCGGCAGCAATGACAAGACCGTCCTTGGCCAAGATTCCGAGTGCTGTACTGGCGTGCGAGATCGCCTCCATGGCGTATTCTACCTGGTACAAACGACCTATTCAAAAAGTTTATAAAACGCGTGTTGTTTAGCTGTTTGCGCGTTCGATTTAATACGCATGTCGGCGTCACTCTTGTCTCGTGTCTCCAAGGTCAGCGGCAGGTTCCAAGGAACGGTGCGCGTGGAAATAGACCGGGAAGGTATGTGTCGGCATGTTGTCTTTCCCTCGGCTGACTATTCCTTCCATGGGAGCTGTTGGTGTTGGGCATTACCTTCTGGCGAGAAGATGGTTGTGCGGGCATCGTATCTTCGAGACATGGCTGCTGGTGAATCTGTTCGTTCTTAGTAGTTTGCTGTTGCTGGTTTTGGTGTGCGTCGAGGGTCTTGTTCAAGGGTCGAGTCTGTCTACTGAAAGTCTAGTCTTGGGCTGGTGGTGAAGTAAAAGGAAAGGTAATAAAAGTTGAGAAGTGGAATGAATGACTGTGTCTTTGAGGACGGTGCTGGTTCACGAAACTCGACCTTGGGGGACTTTGTTCGCTCGCACACGCTGGCTGGTGGACGCGTCCCTGCACTTCGTAAGTACCCTCGTCCCATTGAATTTTTTACGTCACTGTATTTCATAGCCTAGTAGCCAATCGCAAATGTTAACACTAAAGAAAGCATATATGCAGCGCAATTTCTGGACATCGTTCGCATTCTTCTTCCTGATCAACATCAGAGAACAAAGCAACCTCAGGAAGAAGGACCCATCACATCAAACACACCTCGCAACTACAAAGGATAACACAGCAGGACACATAACATAACATGAACGCACCCGACCGTTTCGAACTCTTCGTCTTGCCCGATGGCGTCAAGAAGTATGCTCCTCCACCCCCACCACACATACACGTTTTCGACATCAGGCTCAGCTGCCGGGCCATAACCAACCAGCCGACACTCTTGTTCGCGATCAGCTTGAATTTACCATGTCGTCTACAAAAATCAAGTCACTGACTTCCCATATATTTTTTCTTTTTCGATGATACAGGCTGACGATTACACCAGATACAAAGATCCCCAACGCAGCAACATTCAAGATCGAGAAGGAAGACCACACCCTCGCCAACATGCTCAGGATGTAAGTCGCCCTTATCACTCACTCACCCGGTCAGCCACAGGAAACTCTCTTCTAGTAACATCACTACCCCCAGAACCTTGACCAACACAATCCAGGACAAAACCACTCATCAATTGGTACTTATTTTTTGAATGTGGATCTTAGGCAATTGCTGGAGGATCCCAAGGTGTTGTTCGCAGGATACAAGATGCCTCACCCCTTGGACCACTACTTCATCCTCAAGGTCCAAACAACGCCCGACACCAACCCTGCACACGTCCTCGGAAACGCCGTCACAGAACTCATCCAGACCGTCGGAAGCATGAAGAACAAGTTCGAGGTAAGAAAACTTTGCTTGATCTTCTGGGCCGCGAGGGGGTTTTTTTTTGTTCTGGACTGGGCGAGAGCTTTGTTGTTAACTTCTTATACACTTTTTTTGTTGTACGTGTATGTGTATGTGTGTTTGTGTGGTTTTAGATGGATTTGATCCGCGCTCGGTCAGACGCTTCGAAGGTGGATAATGGCGAGGGCGAAGATTTGTCGTCTCACCAGGTCGACATGGACTTCTAATCTGGGATCAACAAAGCCTTGGGAGACCAATGCCAATCGCGAATATCTTTGCAACAACAACAACAACAACAACAACAACAACAACAACAACAACAACAACAACAACAACAACAACAACAACAACAAAACAAAACAAGAAAAAAAAACAAAAAACACAACAACACAACTGTATTCTAATAAAAAAACGTGCACAACAGCAAAAGCAACACAGCCTTGGACCTCGATCGTTGACCAGAAGGACATGCATATCAATGTAACACAGTATTGAAGGGGTAGTGGTGATACATTTGAAGGGGAAAAGTACAGAAAAAAAGAGACTTGTATCTACTCGTCATCGACATCCTCACCTTCATCCTCCTTCAGCTCAACAACCAAACTGGCACTGGGCCACAAAACGGGCTCATCCTTGATCGACATCTTCCGGTCAGTGATTTTGGTACGAGGGAAGGGCGAGATCAAGACAAAGTCATACTCGTGGGTGTATCCGACATGCTCCTCTGCCTCAAGCTGCGACTCGGCCTTGGCTCCATTCTCGCGGAACTCGATCGTCTCGATAAAGATATACACGTGTTCCACAGGCTCGGTGCCCTTAAATCGCCGGATCACACGCTCGCCATTCCACAGCTTAAAGCTCAATCTCGCACATCCAGCCTCGCCAGCAGCAGGTTCCTCGGGAAGGTTCTCAAACAGGTACTTCAAGTGGCGTTCACGACGGTCCAGGGCAGCCAGCCTTTCAGCCTCGATCCTTTCTTGCTCACGCTTCAGTTTCTCTGCAGCCTCACGGGCCTCCCTCTGTTGACGGGCCTTCTCACGATCGGCGCGGAGAGACTGTTGATAGGCATCATCCTGTTGCTGGCGAATCTCCCGAGTCATCTCGCGTTCTCTGCGATCGGCACGCAGACGGTCCAGGGCGGCCGACTGACGAGTCACCTGTTGGCTCAAACGCTGAATGACCTGTTCTGCAGTCGAAGGGCCTTCCAACCGATCGACCAACACCATCTTAGTTGCCGATGATCCTGCCGTTGGTTGAGAGAGTGCGATAACGCCGATAAAAGGATACCGAACCGTTTGCAATGTCGTCGCAACTATTCAAATCGAACATGTGTATATAGAAAAAAAGTTAGCGTTCAGCATGTGTAGCAGGGTTGAGTGTTCAGAGAGCCAAAAAAAATTGTCATATGAATACCATGAGATAGAAGAGCAGTATGATGCGTACCTTGGAATCCCTCGGTCTCTTTGACGTTTCCGCCCCAGACAAGAAAGTCGTTGGTGCGCAAGTAGTTCAAGAGCTCACTGTCTGCCAATGTCTCCCTGCAGAACTTGTCAGTTGCATCGTGCTCATCCGAATGCAAGTAAACCACCAAGAACTTCAAGTCGTTCTTTGCCTTGTTCAACGCCTAATGTTGCAAAACATGCATTACACAATAAACATCAGTTCCCGTTTATGATATTTCTGGGTGCTGGTTCCACATGCTTGGCAAAGCGAAATCCCTGAGTCCACACTTACAGCAGAGTATCCGCCGGCGTGAAAGTTGGGATGGACTGTTCCATAGCTCTCCTCATAGTCCCTCAAGAAGCGGGCTGCGACAGAGTTTGGGTCCTGTGGTGGTCTCGAAGGTCCTGTTCGTGTCGACTGTCCTGTAATGGCTTGTCTGAACGTCTGTGGGAACAACGTGTCTATGTAGATATATGACGATGATCATGTCACTTTATGCGTCAGAACCTGACGATCGATTCCCGGCGAGCAATACACCCGCTTGGCGGGTGTGTCTTCAAGGTGATCGTGGAACGATGGATACTTACAGAAGTAGGCGAGGAAGGACCAAGTGACACCCCAGATGGTATTGATGGGCCAAGAGAACCACGACAAGAAGCTTCGAGGCTGTCGGTTGCCAGTTGTGAAAGAGAAAACAAGACCAAAGCTCAGGTTAGATTACATTTGCCCGTGCACTCGGCTCAGTCAAGGTCTTTAGTTGTTCATTGTTGCACAGTCGCCAGATCGATAAGCACGTCATATGGGAAACCGATGTCACTTACAAATGAAGCGGGAGGTCTATAATGAAGAGGAAGATAAGAAAGAGAACATTTTTTGAGTTGGACATCTTGCATGACAGGAGAGCTGAAGGGTGGAAAGGAAAGAATGTCACTGATCTGTGTCTATCTCCTTACCTAGGGGCATTAGCTTGATGATGATGAGTTGGCGCAGATGGTGGGGGAGGAGGAGGCGGCGGCGCAGGGTGATCATCCTCGTCACTGCTGTCGATATTGTTAGTGTTGTTGCCGTCGACTCCTAATCCGCCCAGGGATTCATCTGTTCGCGAACGAGCGGGTGTGTCTCCAAACTGCGCCTGCACTGCGGTCTAACTCGTATTAAAAGAATCGATAATCGGAGGTTAGCCCTAGCTGTATGTGATCAACATCCTTCTGCCACCTTGCGGGAGTCTGTGTCGGTTTTGAGGGGGTGAAGAAGGACTTGCCTCGAGTTGCCAAGAGTGATGTTCTAGGGCAAGGACGGCAATTTCGAGGTCATTCTGTCCGGTGACAGCCTAGTGAGTTGATAGGAAGGGAATGATGAATGGTCAACCATGGTGTCATTTCATTCCAGAAAAGCTGTCCCTGTTCCTGAGTTCATTCAAAGGAGTGAAGGAGATAAAGGGGGACACGTACGAGGTAGTTCTCGAGGATGCCCTTCTGGTCCTCTGTGAGCTGGTCCAGGACGTCCATGAGGTTGAATGTGTCTTCCTTGGAGTTGTTGTTGTTGAGGGAAGGCTATTGGTTATTGGTTATTGGTTGTCGATGAGTCGATTGTGTGTGTTAGGAGTCAGGAGAATAGCAATGAAGAAGAAAAGAAAGAAGATAAGTTCAGGAAAGGCTTAGAATGGCACTAGAGGGCAGGTGACGTGTCATGTTCATATCAAGTGATAGTAGTCAGCCTACTCCTCTGCAAAAGAACCGTTGCTCTTTCTTCCATGCTCACATACACCTCTCACTTTTCCTCTAATCTTTTCATTCGCACACACAACTCAAAGAAATTCATCATGGCATGGAGATGTACAGGAGTCTCAAACGAAGACCTCATCAATCGAATGGCCCAAGCTAATCTCATCTCAACCCCCTCAGTCAAAGCTGCCATGCTCGCCGTCGACCGAGGACACTACTCAAGGTTCAAACCCTACGAGGTACCTTTTTTTGTGCTCTCTCTCTCTCTCTCTCTCTCACTTTCTCTCTCTCCCCCTCTCCCCCTCTACCTCTCTCCCCCTCTCCCTCTCTCAGCCAGGCTTTTTGCTCACTTCTGTTGAACAAGGATCCACAGCTGACAAGATGATATCTTGACATATCTAGGATGCGCCGCAGACGATCGGACACAACTCAACCATCTCGGCTCCACATATGCACGCTGCTGCCCTCGAAAGTCTCGCACCCTTTCTCTTCCCTGGAGCCAAAGGTAACACACCTTCTATTCATTTAGCAACATATCTCTACCCTTCTCATCAACTGGATGCAGAGCGCTGACCACTTTTACTTCCTTTCTCTTTCGCTGTTAGCTCTTGATGTGGGCAGTGGCAGCGGATATTTAACGGTGTGCATGGCAGAGATGGTTGGGACACAGGGACGCGCTGTCGGAGTTGAGCACATTCCAGAACTGGTGGAACTGGCCAAACAAAACACCAAAAAGGACCATCCAGAGTTCCTTCAGAACGATCGTGTTTCCTTTCACACTGCCGATGGTCGTGTGGGTTTTCCTCAGGATGCACCCTACGACTGCATGTATGTCTTAACATTTTGCTACACTGCCATGACGTTGCCATGACGTTGCCATAACGGTGACTGAACACTTATTACTGATCGGTCTTCATACACATACTAACTGTAATCTTTCTTGTGATGGAAATCATGTTAGCCATGTGGGTGCAGCGGCGTCCGAGTTGCATGATAAACTGGTGGAACAGCTGAATGCGCCTGGGAGGATGTTTATACCTGTGGGCGATGAGAACGGTCAGGCGATCTTCGTGGTTGACAAGGACAAGGATGGCAACGTCACCAAGAAGAGGGCCATGGATGTCTGGGTAAGTTCTTGCCTCTACTCCTTCAGTGATACGCCATTCCAACGTCATTCACTGCTGCGCTTGCACATCTGACCCGTTTTCTTTTCTCCCTCTGCCCCATTCTTAACATTGATCAGTATGTCCCATTGACGGACCCTGAACATCAGCGTAATCGATGAACTCGATCAAGTTGGCAGGAACGATGGTCAGCCAGTATGCTATCTTTTTCCGTACCTACATTACAAACAACCACTCGCGACATACTCAGATTTGCAAAGATTCACGCAATGACTGCTTTTGAACTCAAGAACGCGTACAAGTAAGAGCGGCGCGGCGGACTTGACGCGTCTTTGTTTTTGCTCGCAAATGTGCTGCACAGAAGTACCAGACGACAGAAGGATGTGTTGCACAGCTAAATGGTCTAGCATAACTAATGCAAACAAAAGAAAACGCCTAAAATAAATATAAAAAAAAACAAGATTGATAGACAAGGGTAAAGAGGAAAAAGGCAATTATGGTTGGGATACACTGGAATGTCATTTGGGGAACGAAGTGATTCTTCCTTTAGTGCCTTTTACTGCTCGAATTTGTTTTTCTTCTCAAATAAGGGGTTCGATGTCCATGGTCAACAAACTACACAAACAGCAGGAAAGAGCAACAGCAAGGCACAACAACGTGCCTTAACAACGACGGTGTGTTTGACGTTTTGTTTGTCCTGGTTCTCCTTTGTCTCTTTGGCCAAAGAGCAGATCCGTCAACCGATTTGCCGATTGAGAACGGATACCTGTTGATTAGCGGGGTTGAAAAGGGCGTGGCGCTGGAGCGAGGAACGGACATGCGATGTGAGAAGGAGGGGGAGCTGAAGAAGACGAAGAAAATGAAGAGGGGTGAATGGTGTAGAAGAGGCCTTGGGAATCGGTTAGTGAAGAGGAGAGGAAGGAGTTGGTAAATGACAGTCAAGATTAAGGGATGAGCGAGAAGGAAGGAGGAGGAAGGAGGAAGGAGAGTGGGAGAGCCAGGAGTAGTTGGAGTACCAATCAATGTATTGATCTCACAAGGAGACAAGACAACGAACAGCATGGTTTATCCATTTCCTTTCAACGTATATTAATGTGCGTATATGTTGGATGCATCTCCATCGACCACAAGGCCAGTAATGCTTACTGTTGTGTTCACTTATATATGACTATGCCTGTGTGTGTGCGTGTGTATGTCGTTCGCTGCCTTTTGGGTTATGCTTGACAGCTTTACATTTTTCGTCTGTTTGTCGTCCACCTCCTTACTTTTCCCTTTTCTTCTTCTCGCCTGCAAATTTGTGTGCGTCTGTCTGCTCCTTTTTTTTAATCCTTCTTTTTCACTCTCTTCTTCCTTTTCTCTTCCTCGCGCACTCCCAAAAAAAACTCCCTGAACGTTCACTCCCATCCCGCATTCACTCCTCATTCTTATTCCCATCTTCCTCATTCCCCACTCTCACTCTCACTTCCGCTTCTGATTCTCTCCTTCGCTGTTCCATTCAAAAGGCTCGAGCGCAGCTAACCAACCTACTCATCCACATATACCCATAACAAAAGAAGCTTACGACTCATACCCCCCCCCCCCCCCCCCCAAAACTCACTCATACCGTACGCTTCTGACCATCTCCGCAACTCACACCAACAAACAAGACCAACTCTAACGAAGCCAAAGAAGCTGGAAGCGACAATCTAACAAGCGACTTCGATATACCAACAAACAACCAACGCAACCCCATCAGAAGCATTTATCCGTGGAGCGCCAAAACAACAAAGCTCAACAAGGACCCACACACACAAAACAACTATGCTAAAGTTTGCAAAGCCAAGCAGGACCACGGGTCAGAACTTGGTCGGACTCTGGCGACCCTCGTTCACGCGCGTCGACCAGAAACTATATCTCTTTGGAGGAGGAGGACATGTCACCAATGACCTTCACGTCCTCGACCTCGTTACCATGCATTGGGACTGTATCGTGGTAAGCTTCTTTTCGTTTGTTAGTTTGAAGCTGAAAATACTCTTTTGAGGGGACAGAGGAGAGACATACAAGATCCGTGTGGTCCACCTTGTGTGTGTGTGTGTGTGTGTGTTTTGCGTTTGTTTTGTCAACAATCACATATTAGCCTACTTATAGGAATAATTGGCAAGGGTTTTTTTTGGTGTGTCTTTATCCATAAAGAGTCGAATCCAGGGCCCATACCCACAGACAATAAGAGAGTTCTCTTTAACCTGGAAACGGCTGACGACAGCAAAAAGACAAAAATAATCACTTGCACCCTATTCTGAGACAAAACTAGTCAAGCAGGAAAGGGATGTCAACAAGAGGCGATCCAGGGGCGATGTGGGCAAGAGGGGGGGGGCGGGCATGATTGCTGGGGAGGTGGGAAACAAAAGACGACAGTAGGGGGTGAAGAGATGATGAGAAAGAAGCCACACAAGGCAACTGAAAAGGACCTTTTGATTGGATTATATTACTTGCATTTTCAACACTTTGTTCGTCCTGCGCCGGAATGCAAAAGGACAACTGCAATTGCAGGCGGGAAAGGCAGAACAGCGGGAGCCGAGAAGACGAATATAGAAGAAATCAAGTAAAGGCAGACATGGGAGCTTGAAGACGTGTTGAAAAAAAAAGGGGAGAGAATGCGAGGTCATGATACCTGCCTGTCCTACCACACCTTTTGTTTTGCTTCTAAAGTTGGCAGCTCGCATAAATCAAAAAAACAGCGATTGAAGTTGTCCTTCTGACCATCCCCCAATTTTTTCGACAACTGTGTATATAGGCCAAGGACGGTGTCCCACCTACCAAGCGATATGGACATACTGCAGTCCTATGGAACCAGAACATCATCATCTTTGGTATGCGACATATTATTCTTTGACCATCAAAAAGAATGTCATTGGATTCGGGATGATAGAACGGCACGTCTCACTCTGCGTTTTTGTCAAAATGGATTAGGTGGTGCGAATGAGTACACGGATTATCGTGACGATGTGATTATGTTTTCATTGCAGACGCGGACGTGGTCACGACCAGAGATCAGGGGCGAGGTGCCGGCGCGTTACCTTCATTCGGCCACAGTGTACCGAAACAAAATGTATGTCTACGGAGGATTCGCCAAAAACTCAAAATGTAAGTCTTTGCCTTCACAGAGTTTGTGAACCTTTTGTAGATGATCGCGACCGCGTGGTGACCGTCGCGATAATGACTGACAAATCCAAACTCATTCTCCTTTCCTCTGTCTGTCAAAAGGCACATATGTCCTGGAGGAGATGAGGATATTGAATTTGGAAACATGGACGTGGTCAGACGCCTATGCCGTGCCCGCACGCTACAACCACTCGGCAAGCTTGATCGGCTCGAAGCTTTGGATCTATGCAGGAAAAGATGAAGCCGGCAACACTGTCTCTGATCTATACTCAATCGATTTGGTGACCCTCAGGGTGCTCCCACACACAGGCATCACTGGAAAGGTGGTCCTGCTTAAGTCTCAACACTTTTCAGAGTCAATCGGCAACCAGCTAGTGGTGTTTGGAAAGTACCCCAACGAGGCCACACAGACGAGTCTCTACTGCCTCTGGATAATGGATCTGGATCAACTCGAGTGGCGGAAACTGGATGTGGACCAATGTCTCGAGAACGGTGTCTGGAATTACTTTACCATTGTCTCAAAGAAAGCGCAACAAACTCCACGGCTGGAGTCTGGCGATGATATGGACTGTGGCATGGACTTGGACGAGGATGAATCGGCTCCACGACTGGTCTTCCTTGGCAACACCGAGAAGGATCGCCCTCAACCCTACGACCATTTTCGTGAGGTACTCTCGATCAATGTCGAATATCTCGGAGTCTTCCAGATCCCGCCCTCGAACCTGCAATCCCAAATGCGCATGATGCTTGACAATGACGAGTTTTCGGACTTTACGGTCATTCCCAAAGGATCGTCTCGCAAGATTCACGTCCACCGAATGGTTTTGTCGACACGCTGGCCGCACTTTAGAAACATGAATGCGTCAGGGATGATCGAGTCGAAGCAAGGGTCGATGACGCTTCCAGAGCCGTACTCGGTCGTGTACGCGTTCCTGTCGTTCCTGTACACGGACACTGTTAACAGCGAGCTGGAGTACTCGGTGGTCTGCGATGTGATGGTGATGGCCAACATGTATCTTCTGGAGCGACTCAAGAAGCTTTGCGCCTCGATACTGCACCGATACCATCTCCAGATCGAAACATGTGTCCGTATCTTCCAAGCGGCGTGTGTCTCGCAGGAACATGGACTCAAGAAGCTGTCTCAGGAGTTCATCTTTCGACATTGCGGCGCGGTCATGAAGACGGATGACTGGATGTTGATGTGGAGTGGAGGCGCAGATGGTTCCTCAGGAGAGCAGCGAGCGGCTCTGGAAGAGTTTATTGATGGCGTTCCTGAGGAGGCTATTCTGGAGACTGCACCTGGGTCACGACGGACTAGCGACGGCTATGGAGCCGTTGGGTATGACTCTGTAGCCAACTTTGAACCTTCCTTGCGAAAGGATGTTCCCTAGAGGCCCTCTCTAGATCTCTCTCACTCCCCTGTTCGCTAATGTTGCGTATTCTTTTTATTCCCCTCCATTAACTATAATTGCTTTCTTATCATCACAACCACCCTCCTTATCCTTTATTATCCCTCCATCTTTTCTATTGTAAAAACATACCAAGAGCAATAGCAGTGCAATTCCAAGCCGACAAACATACCCCATGCTCATCCTTCCCCTTTTGCAAGTCTTTTTATTTCGTCCTTTGCTCCTTTGCAAAAAATAAAAGAAAGAAAAATGTTAACTTTTTCTTCACGATAAGAGGTATCATGTGATGGTTCTGAGTCTTTGGTGGAGTATTTGATTTTAGTCGTTCCTTGTTTTTTCTCCTCCTTCTCTTTTCGACGCTTTAACTTTCCAACAACAAACGCACTCGCCATGACCGCGCCAAACAGTGCCGCCGCAAGCAAGGACAACAAGGACAACATGGACGACGAAAAACAAGGATTCTCGCTACACACCCACCCAGCAGTGATATACTCTCACAAGCGTCTCCAGGATCCCACACAAACCTCACAACTACATACCGTCCACGTCTTTGATTTCGACCAGACCCTCTTCCAATCGCCCGCTCCCAATGCTGCTATTTGGGATCCTTATTTCTTTAGCAAGATCATGGCGTGGGATGAGTGTGGGCCTGGGTGGTGGTTGACGAGGGGGACCTTAGACTTTAGTCCCGAGGTTGAAGCTACTGGATGGGCGGGATACTGGAATGAGAATCTTGTAAGTTCGTTTGCTATTGTTTGAGGGAGTGGGATTCCAACTGATGAGAAAAAAAAAATCTTGAGAGTGGGGTTACTGCGGATATTTGACTAATGGGTGGTGTTTTTTTTGTCTGGATTGTATTAGGTATCGAAGGTGAGGGAGTCGGCAAAGGACCCAGGATGCCTCACAATCCTCCTCACCGGCCGTTACGGGCCCCTCTATTCTGATATCCTCCTCCGCATGTTTGCATCCAAGCAACTGGATTTCGATCTCGTCGCCACCAAACCAGCCACCGTCTACCGTCTTCCTCCTTCTTCCAACCCCTCTTCCGCCGATTCTTCTTCCAACCCCTCCTCCGCCGATCCTTCCTCCGACCTCGACTCTGACCAGCCCAATGACAGGGGAGAGGTGTATGTCAAATTACACACCTTCAGTACAAAACGCGAGTTTCTTTATAACGTCCTCCTAGAGTATCCGGGGATCCGCAAGATGAAGGTGTGGGATGACAGACCGGGGCAGATTGCGCAGTTCCGTCAGGCGGGTGAGAAGTGGATCGAGCAGGGCATGCTTGATAGTGAGGCACAAGGAGGAGGTGGGTTTGAGATTACGAGAGTCGAATTGCCATTGAAGACGATGGAGCGGGAGAAGGAGGTGGCACTGGTAAAGAGGATGGTTGAGGTTCATAATCGACAAGTAGATCTTGAGGATGCTGCTTTTGCGAGTGGGGGAAGGGAGGAGGTGAAGTATTTGATTTCGGGGGAGGGGGTTATGCCGAGAATTAGGCCCGAGTTGGAAGGTGTGAAGGATATGTGGGATCCGTTTTGGGAGTTTGTTCCGAAGCGAAGGACGCGGATTGAGATGGCGGAAGTTGTGCAGTATACTGGGGTTATGTTCTCACCGAGTACTCAAGCGCTGTTGGAAAGGATCGCTCTTGGTGGTGGTCGTCATCAGGAACAAGGACAAGGACAAGGACAAGGGCAGGTTGGGGAATTGGACGGATGGACGATCCAACCACCAGCGGCGTTACAGGACACAGACCTTTCCACATGGACGCCCTCCCGCGAATTCTACGTCTTCCTCTGCGCCCGAAAAGCCAATGCCGAATACCGCCAAAAGCTAGGCGGACTCGGGGCGACAGTGTTCGTTCTAGTCGAAGGAGTTGGACAAGTCGAGGGGCGGGCCTGGGCGCTCAAGGTGCGCGGTGTACACTCTCGATGGTTGAAGGAAGGGTGTAAGGTCTTGGCGCCTGATGGGAAGGTTTTTGAGTCCGTGAGCAAGTATTTGGCGGCGCATCCGGTGAAGAGGTTCGGGAATGTGACATTGAAGAAGCATGGGTCGAAGCCGTATATTACTATGGCGTTTGACCAGGCCCAGGGCGGGCGGGCGTCGGATGCGTCAAGGATCACGAAATGGGAGTCCCTCCACGTTGACCTCGACTCTTCTACCAACGCGGCTACCACATTCTCCACCAACTCCATCGCTACAGCGCTCACAGGAGGCCAAAAGATCGTCCTAGTAGGCACGATTGGCGAGAAAGTGGTCCTAGGCAGCAAGATCCCGAAATTCGGGCATTTCGCAACCATCCCCCGCGCCGAGATCCAGATCCCGGCACTGATCAAGAAGTATGCTACCGAGAAGAAGCTGGATATAACGGGTCATGAACTGGGCGAGACGTTGAAGACGATTGAGAGTGAGATGCGGAGGGTTGGGGTGGCGAATAAGCAGAGTAATCATGATGCGATTTTCGAAATTGTTTTGAGGGTTTGTGCGGGGTTGGGGTCTGGGACTGATGCTGATGCTGGAACTGGTGCTGGTGCTGACGCTGGAACTGGTGCTGGTGCGAACGCTTGATGAGTAATACCTTGTAGCAGATATGGTTTTTTCTGTAATTGAACTATAACCTAAGCCGTGTTTTTTAGTAGTGTACAAGACGCGATTATGTAGCGATTTATTATTCATGATCCTAGCAAGATACAAATCGTCGAATGCTGTTGATGCCCTGAGGTTGACTAGTCGAGGTACTCGGCGGCAGTCATGCCGCTATGATCCTTGATGGATTGGTCGACTGCAGGAAGAGACTGGAGGTAGGCGGCGACTTCTGGCCACCCGGAGAGACAAGCATAGTGGAAGGGCGTTGATCCTTCATCATCCAATGCGTTCACGTCCACGTTGTATGTCTCTACCAGTAGCTTGACCTTCCTTAACGATCCTCTGTCGCATGCCCAGTGCAGCATCGTCATTCCCTATTAGTAGTTTGTTGTTCCAGGGATGAGGGAGGTGATTGGTTAGGCTATGGAGGTATGGTGAACCATGTTATTGTAATATCCGTGAAAAAAGGGAAAGGATGAGACTTACCATGTCGTCCTTGATGTTGACGAGGTCGGGGTTGGCGGATAGTGCCTTTTGGAGGGCTTCTACAGATCCTGTCTTGGCCGCTTCTAACGCATCATCTCCTTCCTCTCTATGAAATTCAACAAACGAAAAGAAAATTTTGTCAGTAAAATGAAGATGGTGTTTGATCAAGGAAATGACACGTTGCCCAAAAATACAAAGTAAATAATTATCCAACTCCTTCACAAAAAGGGTTCAAACGACACCTACTCGACGGGCATGGCCATGGTACTGATACCCGCAGCAGTCATGGTACTGGGATCAAATTGAGTGTTCTCATGGGGCACGTAAGGGCGCGCCAACAACTCCTCGGCTGAGATCTCATCCTTGTCCATTCCCAGATACGCCTGTAATTCATCCAAATCAGAATCTCCTGTCGGTAATACAGCGGCGATTGTGGAGGAAGGATCGGCGATGGTTGAGGGGTCAAAGACCCAACCCCATTCACCTTCTTCGACTTTTTGGATGTAGGCGACCATTGCTTTTGTCGAGATGTTGAATTCTGCTGTGTCGGTTTCTTCCGAGGTGGAAGTCATGGTGGCGGAGGAGGAGAGTTCTTGGGAGTAGCTGTCGCCTGTTTCTTTCCAGGCCTTCCATTTTGCAGACTTTTCGAATTCGAGGAGGGAGGGGCGTGGCTGGGTGCAGAGGCCTTCTGTTGCCAGCTTGTAATCTGCGTAGAGCTATCATCAGTTGAAAGATCGAAAAGGTGGTGTGTGGGGGGTTAGCTAGAGTTGTTCTCTGAATTCTGGAGGTGGCGCTTTTTTTGCGGTGTTACATCTGGTGATGGAGAGGTAGGAGAGACCAAGAAAAAAAGAGAGAGAGATGTTCGTACGTACGGCGAGTTTTGTAGAGTTTGGCAGTTTGAGGTCCTTGCGGCTGTTCATGTGTGCGACTGCACTGTTGAATCTGTCCTTGAGCATTTTGTTGTAAGATTCCTGTTCGTGTGAGTGATGAGGGTAAAAAGAAACAAAAGAAAAAGAAGCCAAAGTAGACTTGCCTTTTTATGCTACCGACTCAGGCACACAACCTGCCAATTGAAATCGAGCGACGTTCACTTCTTGGCTCACTTCTTACTTTTCGACTTCTTTTCTTTCTCTCACATTCTACACCCACACTTCCCTCTCTCTTTCGCCCCCAACCCTTCTCCCTCGCCGCCACCAACTCGACTACTTCCAACTACAACCAACAGCACCATGTCGGCAGCGCCACCAACAGCACTACGAAACGCTTATATCGAAAAGACAGCAACCATCGAGCGGTCTTGGTAATAAACAACACTTTGTCGACTTTCACTTGGTCCTCTCTCATTCATCACCAACAAGGAAGAAACCCTCCTTCTCATCAAAACCTTTCACTTACCTACCTCGTTCGACCTACAACGATAGCTTTATCTGTATGAAGATGACGACAAAAGTGCTGACAGCCAAGGACGGAGGCGACTTTTTCTATATCTGCGCAACCCACCTCCAGGACCCAGGATTCGCCAAAGGCGAAGGGTTCCCCCCCGTACCCACCGCAGAAGCCCTCGCCGCCGTCGCCGCCATCCGCAAAAAGAAGGAAGAAGCCGAAAAAAAGAAAGCCGGCCCCACCACACCAGCAGCAACAACAACAGAGGAAGACAAACGCTCACACGCCGCAAAACTAGGATCCGCCATGTTTTCAGGACTGGGTTCGGTGGCGACCAAGGCTGTGGGTTCAGTATCGGCGTTCATTAATGATGAGGAGGCGACAAAGGCGAGGATACAGGCTGCAGAATTGGAGAGACGGCAGGAGGAGGCGAGGAAGAAACCGGCTTATTGGGTATTGCATAGGGATATCTTTTATTTGAGGCAGGTCGAGGCCAAAAAGAAGGTTGCCAAGAAGACTTTGGGTGGTATTGCCTTCCCCAAGGTTCCTGCTGGCATTTGAGAGCGAGTGGAGGCAGACCTCTTGGCAGATAGTGAAGTGTTTGACTTTCTTTTCAACATCATAATAATAACGTTAATCTTGTCACTTCTCTATCTTTTTCTTTTTTTCCTTGTTGTTGGATGACTGGAATGCGTTCGACTTTTTTTTTTTTGGATATTCAGCTGACCTCATCGCCATTGATCCACCCCTGGAAAGACAAAGAGGACCAAGCAAACAGTCGGTCGGTCGGTCGACTAATTGACACTCTACGCATCGGTTGCTTCTTCAATTAGCTTCAGCTGCTCTAGCCCAAGCACCGTTCCAGACCCTCCCATGGCCTGGCTAGCCCTCCACAGCAATTTTTTTGGCTTCTCCCCTTAAGGGCCCGGGATGGCACTGCCACAACGGTATCAGGTATATAGCCCCCCTACAAATTTTTCCTCTAAAATTTTTGGCACCTTTGCAACCCCGGTCAATTCGTCCTGGAGCGCCAGAGGTGGAAGAGGGAAACTTTGGGTTGGGTGTGATGTTATATGGCTCTGTGTTCAGTTCCCGCTACAAGCGTCAATTGAGAGGCAGAAGTGAAAAGAGGAGAGTGTATTTGTATGACAATTTGAGAACCCCCGCAGATCAAGCTTTGCAGAGACGTATCGTATCTCTCTGCGATTGCTTCAACCTAACCTGCGTAGACCGTCCTCTGGACATGCCTTGGTATCGCTAACAGGACGTCGTTCAATGACTCCAGTTTGATAGTAGACCTCGGCACATTCACTACATTTTGCTTCTTTTTTTGATGTTACCATCGCCTTTCTCCATGCTCCATTGCTTCTGTTTTCATTTGTTTTATCCTTGCCCATCCTTACCCAACAAGTGGGAACGTAAAAATGGACGGTGGAAAATGAGTAGACACTTTTTTGCTTTGAATTGTATCGATCCGGCTTGCTGAGCTCAAGTTGTACTCATCTGTTTGCGTTTGTGTTTGCAAGAATGACCTACGAAGGGCTTCTAGTGGGGGTTTGCAGGGCACCGTGATGTATGGTGAGCTGCTTGCAAAGTACAACTCGATTCAGAGGAGCATTGTTGGTCCCATTGCATTCCTGCTGAGGGCACTGTACCGAACAGAAGTCGTTGTCTTTCACGCTTTCCTACAGACACGATGATACAGCAAAAGCTGCCGTCTTGGAGGGTGCCGACAGTTCCTCGTTCTTGTAGACAAGAACCATTAGCGTTAGTGCAAGTTGCAACTCTGACTGTGTTGACTTGCAAAATAAACCATCGCGGTCCTTGTTGCGACTTGTTGAGGGGGGCTGAGACGTGGATTAAACTTTGGTTAGGGGCCAACCCGGACGCGATTCTTTTGGCGTTGGGGACATAAACGCGTTAGCAAGCAACGTGTTTTCATTTTCGCCTTTGGATCCATCGACCCAACCAGGGAGCTGAGGGATGGACCATGGGGCAATCAATTGGACCATGGGGCAATCAATTGGCCCATCGGTCTATTTGTGCTCCCGTGCTGTTGTTTTACATACATGCATGGTCAGGGTTTGTCGATAAAAGTGACGGGCTTGGACAGGAAGAAAGGGATGTATTGATTCAGATATCGTAGACACAAAAAAGACACGAGCGAGCGCGTCAAGCTGGAGAGTCTGATTGAAGTGGTTTCTATCTTCAAGCTCAATGACCATTGACCAAACGCGTTTTGGATTACTTTGATCATGGAGGTGGAGCTCATTCTCCCGCACGCCACCTTTCTTACTTTTCTTGGAGTCTCTCTCATTCTTCTCATTCTCTTTTTGTTCTTCTCGGTCCCTTTTCAAATTACTCCGTTTCTCAACCACAGACATCTACATTCGCCGACTATGCCCAAGGATTCGAACCCAGCAGCTTGTCTCAACACTTGGTGGCGCTCAGACCTTTCAGGACTCTTGCTCCCCGCCAAGCAACCAAGCAAGACACTGACAGGAAGGTGCTATGATTTTTTTTTGTTGTATTCCCCTATACTGTATCATGAGTTATCCATACACAAAGGGACAACTTGGTACTCAAGTCAGGAAACCAGGGAGGGGCCAGCTCGAAACAGCCGTCCAGTCCACCTGTCTCTCGTGGACAGGGTGGAAGTCCCTCCTTGGGTCACCACTGGTCACTGAAGGCGTTGATGCCCGATGTTCCTGAGCGGGTCGGATTTGGCACGGTCGGCCTGTTCAGGGCGTTGGGTGTCTGTTTGCTGCTGTTCGGGGCGCACGAGAACTGGGTTGGTTGGGAGGGACGTTGGTCCCTGGGGGTATTTTTTCAAGCGCCAAGAGGCTGGAGGCCAGGCCAATTGTGAACCCGAGTGGATGGGCATGGTATGTGTGCCTTTAAGGCTTCATAGGCAGTAAGGTGCATGAACATTCTGACTATGCCTTCCTTCTTCTAACCTCTTCTCCTCGTCTACTTGCCACGCATAGTGATCCGGTCTTCTCTCACAAGCCAACCCATCATGTTATCATAGCGACGTTATTTATACTAGCTTTCAGGAAGCAAGAAGCAATAATAAAGTTGAGCACTTTCCCTAAGTTCACCAACAACCCACATGCATGCAGTTCTTCGTTTTTCCCGCCAACAAATTTGGTGGCAACCAAAGCTGCCTTGGTCACGTCACCGTAATCGGTGCGAAGTTTTTGTTACCTAACCTCGCGTGGTGGTTGTGCGAGCAAGTAAATGTTGGCTTTCTGGCTGCCCAGTAAGCAAGCACTCGCTCCGCCCGCCAACCACTTACCCAGAGGGTAGAAAAGTCAGACTGACAGAGGCTGACAGACTGGCAGAGAGAGACAAGGCGAGCGTTTTACTTTCATCCACTTTCGCTTTTTTTGGACTTTTTTTCTTTTCATCTCTTCTTCAACTCTCACCCACTCGCTCTCCCCATTCCTGTCTCTATTCCCTCTTCCTGTGCGCACTCGCCAAGGACAACAATCACATCACCACCCTTCACAGCCATCAAGCGAACTACATCCACCCGCATCCCCTTCAGACTTACACAACACAGAAGTATATTACATCATGCCTGGCCCTGACGAATGGCTCGAGACAGTCCGACAGTGTCAACCCCTGCCAGAGCTCGAGATCAAGAAGCTCTGTGAAATGGTACTGTCCCCATTCCTGCTCAACTACTGCTCTCTTTGCACACGGATTGCATTCTATCTGCCCTACCCCCGTTTGCTTGTCTACAGCTCATTCGCACCAACAGGCAGTTCCAAAAACTCAAGGCTCACCCACCCACTTTATTATCCTTATCTATCCAAAAACTCGATGACAGGTCAAGGAGCTGTTGATGGAAGAGTCCAACATCCAGCCTGTGCGCTCTCCTGTCACAGTCTGCGGAGACATTCACGGACAGTTCTACGATCTGATGGAGCTCTTCCGCGTCGGAGGAGAGATCCCCGAGACAAACTACATCTTCATGGTAACACTCATCGACATGTTTTTTTGAGTCAGTTTTAGGTTGCTTATTCACAGCCGCTTCTCAGAGTGCACGGTTTGCTGACCAGTGCGTTTCCTTATCGTCAATACAATAGGGTGATTTCGTCGACCGTGGATTCAACAGTTTGGAAACGTTTACGTTGTTGATGGTTCTCAAAGCAAGGTAGCTACACATCCTCGGCGTCTTCATGGGCAAGAGTTATTGCGCAACTGTACCTGCAGTGTCGCACTGTCAACGGACGGACCATCTACTCTTTACTTTTGCGCCCTGTCCTGCCTTGCCCCACCCCCTCTTGAGCAATTGACGATAAACTGACACTGATAGACAACAATTCATTATGTGATAGATGGCCCGACAAGATCACACTTCTTCGCGGAAACCACGAAAGTAGACAGATTACCAACGTCTATGGATTCTATGGCAAGTTTTTGAACAAACAGGAGCGCACACTGGACTGTTGTCAGACTCATGCTTCCCGACCGCGCACTCGCCTACTTACACCCACATTGGAATGTCTTTTTCTCTCGATGCAATAGACGAATGCCAGACCAAATACGGAAACGCCAACGTGTGGAAGTACTGTTGCCAGGTGTTTGACTACTTGACCCTTGCCGCTGTAAGTTGAAAGGCTACTCCTATTGACCTTGACTGTACAATTGAAAATCGTTGACATGCTTACTGACCATGGCTCTCTCCTTGTTTTCCGTTGCAGATTGTCGATGGTCGCGTCCTTTGCGTTCACGGAGGTCTCTCGCCTGATGTCAGGACATTGGATCAGATTCGTACCATTCAGCGCTGTCAGGAAATCCCACACGAGGGAGCTTTCAGTGGTACGTGCTCTCATCCAGACTGAGAGAAAGACACGTGCGACTATTTAGTCTTTTTCATCTTGCACATCGTCTCACCATCTACGCCTTGCTAATTTGTTTGCATTGGTTCTTAGATCTTGTGTGGTCGGACCCTGATGATATTGATGGATGGGGTGTGAGCCCAAGAGGAGCAGGATGGCTCTTTGGTGCCAAAGTAACAAGCGAATTCAACCACGTCAACGGACTCAACTTGATTGCTCGTGCTCATCAGCTTGTCCAGGAGGGCTTCAAATACATGTTCCCGGATGACAACCTTGTCACAGGTAAGGAGGCGCCACGCTGCTCTTGTATTCTTTTGAGACGAGTTTTAGAATGCATTGTCGAACAGCATATTCACATTCTTCAATGCCTTTCTGCTTTAAATTCACTAGTCTGGTCTGCTCCCAACTACTGCTACAGATGCGGCAATGTGGCGGCAATCTTAAAACTAGATGGCCCGACCGTCGACGAAACCAACTTCAAGATCTTTTCGGCTGTAGAAGTTCAACATACCCAGACCTCCTCCGGTGCCGGCGGAAGCCAGTACTTTTTGTAACAAAACCTTTGCTCCATCCATCGTGATCCACCTCGCGCTCTTTGTCGTTCCAAGCTCAAATACATTGCTCTTCATTACCCTTTTTACTGTCGCCTGCTCCTTTTTAACACAACTGGCCGTGCATCGTAACCATTATTTTTTTTCACGCTTTTTTACCCATGCATACACATCCATATACTTTTAAAAACAAATGAAGCATTTGTGCAACCAAACGATGAGATAAAGTATGTACAGTATGGTTTTGTTTTGAAAGAAAAACCAAACGAGAATGATACGTTCTCGAGCTTTTACTGGGCGCCACGGGCGCTGTTCTTGTTGGGCTGGTTCTTGGCGGCTTTGTCGGCGCCAACAAACTCGGCGATGCGGTACTCGCGGTTGGGACCGTTCTTCTGAACCTGACCTTGGGCTTGACGCTGGGCATCCTGGCCGTTCTTGTCACAAGCCTGGTTGTTCTGACCAGAGACGAATTCGGCGGTCCGGGAGCTCTTTTCCATAATGGACTTGTTTTTTTTGGTGTTATGTAGGTGGGGAGAGTGGAGGATGTGTTATGTTTGAAGGTGGTGGTCGTTGAAGAAAAAGAAAAGAGTGTGGGGATAGCGGGCACCTCCCTTTTTTATCGGCGCCAGAGGAGAGATAGAAAGAGAAAGAAAAAAAGCATGCAAGACAGTTGTGTAGACTCTAACGCGTGTCTGAAAAAAAAAGGTGCAAGACACGAACGGCATTCCTATGGTGAATACACGTGACATGGGTCGCTTTGCCACCATTTTTCAGATGTTGCTGACTTTTTGACAGGGGCAGCATTTCGCTCTTTTTCTTCTTTCACTAATTCACCGACAAACAACAACAACAACAAGTTCACGCATAATGGCGACGGTCGACAAGCGGATTCTGATTCGGATGGGCAAGGAGCTCACGGACCTGGAACAGACACCTCCGCTTGGCGTGGCTTGCTACCCCGTCAACGACAACATTGTGCATCTGCAAGCTGGTACTGAGAGGCAACAGAACATCACACGAATGGACCTTCAGGAGACATCATGCAAAACGTCAAACAAATACGACACTTCTCTAGACCCGAACTTATTCTGACCAAGCGGATGTCACTCTCATTGTTTGCAACCGGAATAGAAATTGCCGGACCCGAGGACTCGCCATATCATGGCGGCTCGTTCAGGATTGACATCCATATCCCCGATAGGTAAAGGTCACGCACCAGAATGTCATAGCCAGTTTTCCGAACTGAGTGTTGGTGTCATGCTTGCCCCGTAAGGAACCAAGTGCTAACTCAATAATCCCTCTGGAACATGAATAGGTATCCGTTTGAGCCGCCAAGATGCCAGTTTCTCACCCGCGTGTACCATCCCAACATCGACGAACAAGGACTCATCTGTCTCGACATTTTGAAGGGTCCACCAAAGGGGACCTGGCTGCCGTCCATCAATATCACAACCATGCTGATCTCGTTACAGCTACTACTTGCACAACCAAACCCCGACGACCCTTTGTTGGTGGATGTGGTAAGTTTCTTTGGATGTTTATTTGCCTACTGTACCACATTGGAGATATTTCTGAATATATTTATTAACTTCTGTCCTGTATCTTTTTGTATGTAGGCGACCGAGTTCAAGGAGAACCGAGAGTTGTTCAAGTACAAGGCCAAGGAGTTCACCAAAAAGTACGCAACTGGAATGCAGGATACAAAGGAGGTCATCTCAGGACCAGACGAAAAGACACGGATTGTTGGGCTCAAGGAGCTGGAGTCGCTATCTGAAGAGTCGGACAGCCCGTCAGCTACATCACTGTCTCGTTCTTCCTCCTCTACATCCTTGCGTGCACCTGCACCGGTCATCGCTACGGCATTATGTTTGAATACAAGATCCTCGGTTCAAGCTACAGCACCAACAGAGAGGATATCACTCGCTAGGCCGACACACAGGAAACTGACGCTTTCACGCCGTCCCACCCCTTCGGTTGCGGCATCGGTAGCAGCGGTGTTGTCGACCCCATTCGTGGCTCCTCGGCGGAAAATGAGTGCTGACCAAGGCGCTGTCGCAGAATCACCCAAAGATTCTCTGGCTACTCGAGAAGTAACTCCGGACAAGGTCAAGCAGGATGAGTCAGCTCCAGCAACTCATTTTGTCAGAGAGGAGACCATACCAGAGCCAGCACAGCTCTCACAAAGCAAGTCATTGCATCAAAAATCCAGCTACCCTTCGTTGCAGGACACTATCCCCGCCACCATCCCAGCCACCAGAACCTCTTCTCAGATCGCATCTCCAGGCGCCACCCATACGACAGCTGCTTCACTCGAGACTGAGGCCATCAAAATGGACAGGAAGCGAGGGGCTGAATCGATCAAGAGCGAGGAATCAACAACAAACTCTAAAGTCACAACGAAAAAGATCAAGAGCGAGAAAAAGCTGACGTTGGGGAGAAAACCTCACAAGCGTCTCTCCAGTCCGGTCAAGGAGACTTCAAAATACTTTCCAGGACCACCATCGCCATTACCGACTCCAATTGAAACGACCAAGTCGACCCCCAAGGAATCAGGAGTCATCGAGGACGTGTCGCCACCTCAAGAGGTCTTGGCGCAAGAACCCGTGTTACAGCCATCCCCATCGCCCGACATCTCTGGCACCGCTGAGGATCTGTTACCCGTCTCGCCGTATAGCAAAAACAAGGGCAAGAGTAAGGCTGTCGATGATGTCAAGATGGTTGTGGACCCTCAGGAGACGGATCAGAAGGAGTCGAAGAACAGGACGGCACATAGGCGTCAGGGCCACGCATTTTCGTTCATAGACGACTTGTCACCTACGGTTACTACTACCGGCAGCACCGAAGCTCTCACTGTTGCCAAAAAGCGGAACCTACTGAAAAAAAATAGAAAGTAGCTAATAAACTCGCGACCGCTAGATGGCAAATTGATGTATGAAGTTTTAAATACTTTTCGTCCGCGGGACGATCTGTGTTGACTGATTAAACGCTATCGGTGGTAGAGGCGAAGTGATTACGACGCGACGCGACGCGTTAGTGGTGATGGTCGCTGAGTCCCTCACATGGTCATTCTCTTTGACTGATGGATGGGTATATGAACCGCATGAACTCGAGGCAGGCGTTTTTCAGTTCTTTCTTCCCCTCTCACTCCCCTCCTCACCACAAATACCAGAACAAAAAGTTCTCACAAGAGTAAAGAAAACACCCGTCAAATATCAATAAATGGAGCAGACACTCTTCACCAACACCCCTCCCACATTTAGCAAATATGTTATTTTGATTTGTATCGGGGGGTCATCGCTCGAAAACGAGAAGTTATCGTCCAAGAAGAGGCTTTCTGCAAGTAAAAGCGAGGCGAAAAGTTACTTTTCCGTTAATGGGTAAACAAGAGGAAAGAAACCAATTGAACTTGAGTTTGGTTATTGTATATGCCAAGATCTGTCAGGATCTAAAATCCCTATTTTTTTTTTTTTTTTTGGGAGAGTTTGAGGTCGTGGCAAGAACAATCGTGAAAAATCATCCTCGACCATGTCCTGGAGTTCAAAAGTATTCTCTGCGATGAATAGAGCCAATACCGTTCAAACCCTACTATCAGCGAGGTATATCAAGAACGAGGAAACAAAACGGAGTTCTCATGGTTGATGTAGAAAACAAAACACACTGAAAAAAAAAGCAGCGAATGAAGGTCAGAGAACAGCGAGTTATAGACAGTTAGGACAACCTCCCATCGTCCAAGTTGTTTTTCTAATGAACCCCCCTCGCGACGAAGAACGGAAAAACCAATGATTGCCATATCGGCGAGTCGTGTCGAGAATAAAAAAAATAGAAGACTCATATATGGTTGAAGTAGCAGATGACTAGAAGCGTAAAAATGATACAAAGGGTGGATGTGAAAGATCATGAAGAGAAAAGTACCAAAACATGCGTTGCTCTATTGCACCGGAGGAATTATCGCCAAGATGTCTCCGCATCCTTGTTTTTTTTTTTCCTTTCTTTTCAAACAACCATAGAGGTCCGCATCAGCATAGCGCTGTGACCTTGACCAGATCTGAAGCTCTAAAGGTGAAAGAACGCGATGAAATAAAGACACATACGCCGCGCACAATACCCATCGGCGAGTGGGTCTCCCGAACTACAAAAGAGAATGCTCATGACTGAAGATGAAAATGAAGTACAATCTACAAAAACAGTACAAATGTTGATGACTTGAGCATGAGAAAGAAGACTCGAGGCAGATAGTGCTATCGTTGTTGCTTGGTGATTTATTCGTTCAAAGTGAAGGTACAAATGGAGACTCGAGATCTCTTGTACATTTTTTTCATGAAGTATGATGATCCTTGACCATACATGATGTCCAGAAAAAAAATGTGGTCGATCAAGCACAGACCGACGCGAGCAGGAGATCGTTGAGCAGTCTCAAGAACGAAACCAACAAAAAAAAATAATATCTATGGGTTGATAATATGAGATGGAGAGAAAAAACGACACGCGAGCTCGAACATGTCATGGGCTGAAGAAGTGTGTTTTGAAGTTGCTCTATCGTAAAGTGAATCGTTTTCAAAATGCCTGACTCCCACATCCCCCCTGCATTTTTTTTTTCACGAGGATAAAGGCGCACATGGCTTCAACCTCAGCATCAATCCTCATTTTATTTTTAAAGAAAGCCTTTGACCTTCCCAATGAATAAATGATCCAAGTGCGGCGGATGTAGAAGGTACTTTCGATCTTCGGGATTACAACTCGAAAGGCTATGCCCTTCGTGGATCGATCCAGACTGACGGATATCGACTCCAGCTATTGAGTTTCAAACTCAAGGAACTTTAGCGTTGCCGCTTTAACCGACCATGTCGGAAGAAGGGAGCATGAGCGAACGCCAGCCAATACCGCGGAATATCTTCTTTTTACTCTTAAACCGATCAGGAACGGCGCAGCATAATTCAAATGCTTCATTTCCGAAAACGCGCCGAAATTGTTCATGGGGTGCGACGGGTTGTTCCGAGCTTCATACGAAAGAAGGCCGCGAGCTGGAAGCTTCAATATTATCCTCGAAAACACCAACGGCTATGACTATGGTGTGTGTCTATGTGTGTTTGTGTGAAAAATGGTGTCAGGAGAGAAAGTGATGGCATTTCGATATTTTATATCCATTAGATCAGATTTGAAGAATATGATTCAGCTATACATCCATCTCACGAAAACATGTGTTAAAAAAAAAGGAACTTTACTCTTTACAAAAAACTATATGAGCAACAGGAGTAGGGAATGCTAAAAACAAAGGAAGGGGAAAAAAAGGGAATTGCGATATAATGAAGTGTCTATTTCTTCTCAGTCTTGGGCTCCTTGACCTCCTCCTCAAACTCGATCAAGAGCTCATCACCGGCAACAGAGTCACCAGCCTTGACCTTGACGCTCTTGACAGTACCAGCACGAACCGAACGCAAAACGTTGGCCATCTTCATGGCCTCAATTGTGGCAACAGCAGTTCCCTCAGCAACAACATCTCCGACCTTGACGTCGACCGAGACGACGGATCCGGGCATGGGCGAGAGGATCATGTTGGTAGTCGAGGCCTTCTCCTTGATGGGCATGAATTTTGAGAGGGCGTGCTGGGCGGGGTTGTTGATGGTGATGTCAAACTTGGTACCCAAGTGCTGGACGCGGAAACCGAGGGGGAGGGTGTCGAGGTATTGAAGAGTGACCTCCTCGCCGTTGTCGAACTTGTTGGTGATCAAGGGCGACTCCAAGGGCCAGTGGGCCGAGGTTGTGAAAGGAGCCAAACCGGGAGTTTGAATCTACATCCAATGCACATTAATAACGAATTAGTATACTTTGCATTTCTTAACAAACACGCACACGGGGCGAGCGACAAGAAAAAAAGACATGAAGCAGAAACTCACCTCGAACTCATCCTCGCCGTTGGTGGCTCTGCCGGTTCTGTGAACCTTGACGGGGACCTTCTCATCAACTCCCTGGACTCCGATAAAGAGCTCCCAGCTGTTGGGGGCCTTGCCTTGCAAGTCCTCCTTCAAGAGAGCCTCACGGCCCTTGCCCCAGGCCCAGTTGCGGAGCTCACGCTTGGCGTGCATGAGACCGGTCATGGAGGCGAGCTGGGAGAGGGAGGTGGCGTTGGGAGAGTGACCCTTGAAACCGGTGGGGTACTCCTCGGCCAAGAACTTGGTCGAGTACTTGCCAGATCCGAAACGGTCGTGGGAGACAACCTCGCGAAGCAGGGGGATGTTGTGGGTAACACCCTTGATGACATAGGAATCCAAGGCACGCTTCATGTTCTCGATGGCCTCCTCACGGGTGGCACCGTGGGTGCAGAGCTTGCAGATCATGGGATCATAGTAGATGGAGATCTCAGAGCCCTCAACGATTCCAGAGTCGCAACGGACCTCGTTCTGGCCCTTGGTCGAGCGGGGCTCGATGTACTTGGAAAGACGACCAATCGAGGGGAGGTACTTCTCTGGATCCTCGGCGTAGACACGGGACTCGATAGCCCATCCGTTGATCTTGATGTCCTCCTGCTTGGGGACCAGCTTTTGGTTGGCGGCAACACGGATCATCTGCTCGACCAAGTCCATGCCAGTAATATACTCGGTGATAGGGTGCTCGACTTGAAGACGGGTGTTCATCTCGAGGAAGTAAAAGTTGCGGGCAGAGTCGACAAGGAACTCGACGGTACCAGCAGACGAGTACTTGACGTGTTTGGCCAACATGACGGCCTGCTCTCCCATGGCCTTGCGGGTAGCCTCGTCAATGTGGGTCGAGGGGGCCTCTTCAATGACCTTCTGGTTTCTGCGCTGAATCGAGCACTCTCTCTCGGGCAAGTAGAGCTATTTCAGTTCAGAGGGTAGAATACAGCATTGGTTAATCGTCATGTAATTATCTCTCGATTGACATTCGCAAGTGGATTGAAGAGAAGCTGGGCTTACGGTGTTGCCGTGCTTGTCAGAGATAATCTGGATCTCGATGTGGCGAGGGTTGTCAATGAACTTCTCGATCAAAAGACGGTCATCACCGAAGGAGGCCATGGACTCGGTCTTGGCGATCTTGAAACCCTCCTTGACCTCATCATCGTTCCAGGCAATACGCATTCCCTTTCCTCCACCTCCGGCAGAGGCCTTGAGCATGACGGGGTATCCAATCTCGCGCGCTATTTTATTCATTTGCAGCTGTTGTTAGTAAGTGTACCTGGATGCATGAGCTGTCAGCACTGAAAACGAAAAACAAAAGTTAACTTACAGATCTCGAGGGCGTGGTCGACATCGCGGACGACGCCGTTGAATCCTGGAATGATGTTGACCTTGGACTCCTTGGCAATGATCTTACTCTGGATCTTGTCTCCCATGGCAGCCATGGCATCCTCGGAGGGTCCAATGAAAGTGACTCCGACCTCATCCAAAGCCTTGACAAATGCTGCGTTCTCGGACAAGAAACCGTAACCTAGGAGAAGCAGCAATAAGGGATGAGTCGATTGCTCCGATCTAGGACATATTACCAGTTCAACTGCTTCTCTCTTTCTTCGTCATAAAGGACATACCAGGGTGGACAGCCTGGGCGCCAGTGTCCTTGATGGCCTTGAGGATGTTGGGCATGTTGAGGTACGACTGGGAAGTAGGAGCAGGACCCTGTCAAGTTCAAAATCGTTCATTGTATGGAAAGATGGCGATGAGCGTGGTTAGCGATGAGTTGAGATATAATTGCAAGTCATAGAAAGGTGCCCTGAGTGTGTCTGTCCAAAGGTCGGTCTGTTGTCACCATGAGTGGGTCCATCCTGGTTAGTATCGGTCATCTTTTTCGTTTGCTGACACTTTAGACGAACATTCTGTCGGATAGAATGATGTCGGAGAGATGGGACGTGTTTCTTTTTGTAGTTGCTGTTCCTTCGTTGTGTCCTCCAGTGTGTTATGCGAGTCTAGATAGATCCGTGTTGGTAGTTATGCACACTTCAGACCAGACGTGTGTGCCTTCGATCCAATTGCTCTGCCATTGAGTGGATCCAGCTGGGAGGAGGTGTGTGTAGCTCTTGTATTTTCTTCCCACAATCAAATCGCCTTGTCTCCGGACTAGTAAAAAATAATAATGTCGCGGTTCGTCTCTGTTTCTCCACATACCACATTGACGGCCTCGTCGGCGAGCTGGACGTGTAAGCTGTTGACATCAGCGTCGGAGTGGATGGCAACGGTCTTGATACCCATCTTCTTGGCGGTCCTGATGACACGGCAAGCAATCTCTCCTCTGTTTGCAATCAAGATCTTGTCAAAGGTCTATTATATGAAAGTTGTCCATCAGATCACGAGGGGGAGAGTGTTAGTTGTTTGATGTCAGGGACGAGACGCGAGAATAAAAAAAAAAAAAGACTGAAGGATGAGCATCTGATCGGAAAGGATTACCTTTCCATACTGGGAGTAGTCCTGCTTGGGCTGGAGGTGCTGGGAGGTGGCGGCGGCGGCTCTGGTGGTGGCGGCCGAGTGGAAGAGGCGCTGGCGGGTGGCGGAGAGGGAACAGACCCAGCGACCGGTGGTGCGGGGGATGGCCGCAGCGAGCGAGAGGGACATTATGTTATGGGTGAAGGAAAGGTGCGAGGAGAAGAGGAAAGGAGAGTGGAGAGGAAGAGAGAAAGAGAAGGGATGGAGATGAGAAGAAGAGGGTGAATGGGTGATGGGAGAGTGGGAGTAAAGAAAGGAAGAAAAAAGGGAAAAAGGGAGACAGAGAAAAGTAACAAAGGAAAGGCGGCACACACACACAGGGTGTGAGAAGAAGACCTCGGTCCGAGGGAGTGCCCCTCGTCCTTTTTGTCAAAGGGGACTCTTGTTCTCTCTCCCTTCCTGTTCAATGCTTTATTCATTGAGCCCCACTCCTATAACCATCTTCGACAAAGGGTCAATGGATAGCCATAGAACACCATTGCTGCTGTTGTTCAGGTACCATTGTTCGTGTTCCTGGTGTCGTTCTCGGATCAGATTATCATTTCCTCGAGTGTTTATTTATTTACTATGAGGTATCCGGCTGGGGGGCAGGTAGGGGTCAGGTAGGGTCAACCTCGCTGCTCTCTTTTTTTTTTTTTTTTTTTTTTCCTTCTTCTTTGACATGCCGATGAGCAGGCGCGTTCTTGTTTGATTGTTTATTTACACTTGTCCATGGACGACACCTGTCCTCGATCCTTGTCTTCAAATATTGTATCCGGATCACCCTGAAGGAAGGAAGGAGGCGGATCACAATATGTGAAAGCAAACTCATCGGGTCAACTTGTGCTTTCGCCCCGTTTTTGTTTTTTCTTCTCACACCCAGTCTTGTTTTTGCGGGGGAGACTGACAGGTTCGCAACGGAAAGTGCTTTTTGTTGCGAGTGTGGGATGAAATGTGTTGAAACTCAGTTCACCGTGGGAAAAATTGGAACAGCGAATAAACATTCGCTTTAGGTGAAAAAGAGACAGAGAGGTGGAGTGAGAGCGCGGGGGCATAAGGGAGGAAGGGCGGCAGGAAAAATAAGTCCGGGGAAGAGAACATAATAAAGGCAAAGTCATCGGCACCACCCAACGAAAGAGGAAGAATAGTAGGGAGGGAGAAGACAAGTAGTCCTTACACCCAGTTCAATTCTGATCAAGGAGGCCAACAAGGATGGTTGTTCCGAACCATTGGTTGTTTGTTTGTTATCCTTATGGCTACTGTTCGTTCGTTGTTTTTTTCGATCCCTACGTTTGAAGCATGCGAAAACGTAGAAAAATAACATCCCCGTGGTACCGAGCCGAGTCGGACGAAATATTTCAAATAAAACACTGAACGACCAAGTTAGCGATGCCATTGAATCAGAAAACCAGCATCGGTTACTATGCCTTTGGGTCAATTGGCAATTGGCAAGAAGAAGAATGAAGGGCGAAGAAGGCAATGTTATGCTCGAAGAAGACAATGCTATGCTCGAAGAAGGGAAGAAGGGCACGCGCGAAGCGAGCGAAGAGGGTGAGTTGAAGTGTGGAAGTGTGCGAATATTTTTTCTATGTGAAGTCTTTTTCTTTTCCGCCTTCTCCTCTCTGCCCCTTCTTCCTTTTTTTTTTCCTTCTCATCTCTTCTCTCTTCTCGATCCCCCACCTCTCTCCTCCTCTCCTCCTCTCGTCCCCCTCTCTCCCCTCTTCTTCTTCTCATTCATCTTTCTTCTCCTCCTTCCACTCTTCTTTTTTTCATCCCCTTCATCCAAAGTCACACTCATGTTCCGCCTCTCGACCGTCCTCGCCTCGAGGGCCGCCATGGCCTCGGCCACCCGTCGCGCCCTCCCTGCCCTTGCCACCTCTGCCCGCCACTATGCCATCGGAAAGACCGCCCTCTCCGCCGAGAACGTAAATCACAACTCTCATTCTCTTTCGTTACTCTTCTCGATCTTACGCCTTGCTCTCTTTCCTAGTGATTATAACAATACTGATCCTTTATTTTTTTCACCATTATTCATCTGATCAACCTGTAGGATGTTGTCGCCAAGATTGATGGAAAGCGTCAGGAGTCGCTCATGGGTGGTGGTCTGAAGAGAATCGAGACCCAGCACAAGAAGGCAGGTTCACACACAATAGCAGAAAAGACACGCGAATCACACAAACACCACACACGGACACGACCAACAGCAAGGCGGATATTCAGAAGGACAGAGCAGACAAAGTTGGGCACACGCAGACACGCAGACAAAAGAGTCAGATCTATATTCTACTTTAGCAGCATACCGTTCCTAACAGACAGACCCAACTAACACTTTGTCTTACCTTTTCTATCTTTTCTCTCGCGTATACTTTGGACGGGGTTCATTCATTGAATCACAATAGGGCAAGTTAACTGCTCGCGAGCGTATCGAGCTCTTGTTAGATGCTGGATCTTTCCGCGAGTACGACGCCTTTGTCGAGCACCAGTGCGTCGACTTTGGCATGGACAAGCAGAAGGTAACCTTAAGCGATTAGACCGATACCGCTTCCTTATACTTGTCAATTGCTTTGTTATGAAATGGCGCCTGGATCAACTTTACTCACACTCATTTCTTTCTCGTCTTGTCCCCTTCCTTGCCGATTAGATCACAGGAGATGGTGTTGTTACTGGTCACGGAACCATCAACGGTCGCCGCGTCTTCCTCTTCTCTCAGGACTTCACCGCCTTTGGTGGTTCGCTCTCCAAGACCCACGCCCAAAAGATCTGCAAGATCATGGACAAGGCTCTTCTCGTCGGTGCCCCCGTCCTCGGCTTGAACGACTCTGGCGGAGCCCGTATCCAGGAGGGTGTTGAGTCCCTTGCCGGATACGCTGATATCTTCTTGGTATGTTCACCTTTTATCTTTCTATTGCAGGAAGGTCAATGTCGATTGGGAAATAGGCAGCAGGAAAAGACGTGACTTGAGGCGTCCAAGTCAGCGCGGCGAAAGAGCACAGACGAAAAAAAAATCGCATTTTCAGAATAATGGACGCCCCTTGATCATACCCTCAATCCGCAACACACTCTAAAACAATGGCCGATTGACACTTCTCACATGCACTTTGTCCTAAATACTGCAATCCCTACTAATACATCCACGTTCATTATGTCCCTAATAGAAAAACGTCATGTCGTCGGGAGTTGTTCCTCAGATCTCGCTGATTATGGGACCCTGCGCTGGAGGTGCCGTCTACTCGCCTGCTTTGACCGATTTCACCTTTATGGTGCGTGATACTTCCTACCTTTTCGTCACTGGTCCCGATGTCGTCAAGACCGTCACCAAGGAGGAGGTCACCCAGGAGGAGCTCGGAGGAGCCAAGGCCCACACTGTCAAGTCTGGTGTTGCCCACAACGCCTTCGAGAACGACGTCGAGGCTTTGCAGCGCCTTCGTGACTTTGTCGATTTCTTGCCCCTTTCCAACAAGGAGCCCGCCCCCGTTCGTTACACCGACGATCCCTCGACCCGTGAGGATGACTCGTTGAACCAGATCGTCCCCGTCGACTCGACCAAGGCCTACGATATCAAGGATGTCATTACCCGCTTGGTCGATGACTCTCAGTTCTTTGAAATCATGCCCGACTATGCCAAGAACATTGTCATTGGTTTTGGTCGCATGGGTGGTCGCACTGTCTCGATCATTGCCAACCAGCCCTTGGTCTCGTCCGGAGTTCTTGACATCAACTCGTCCGTCAAGGCTGCCCGCTTTGTCCGCTTTGCTGATGCCTTCAACATTCCAATTTTGACCTTGGTCGATGTCCCCGGTTTCTTGCCTGGTACCGCCCAGGAGCACAACGGTATTATCCGTCACGGAGCCAAGCTCTTGTACGCTTACGCCGAGGCCACTGTTCCTAAGGTCACTGTCATTACCCGCAAGGCCTATGGTGGCGCCTATGATGTCATGAGCTCCAAGCACCTTCGTGGTGATCTCAACTACGCCTGGCCCACCGCCGAGATCGCCGTCATGGGGTAAGCAACTTTTTTTTTGTTTATTCTATTTTTGTGTCATTGGTCGTGCTCGCTGTAGACTGCTGATGCTATCCAAACAGCCCAAAATACCCTCTGTCATTGCTAATTGCGCGTTGTCTGTGGATGACGGATCGCCTTGAATATGAATATGAAAATGAAAAGTGGGCAGTGCAGCGCTAACTACGTGTTTGTTCATTTCGTATTTCTATACCAATAGAGCCAAGGGTGCGGTTGAGATTATTTTCCGCTCTAGCTCTGACCGTGCGACGGCTGAGAAGGATTATATTAGCAAGTTTGCCAACCCCTTGCCCGCAGCGCAGCGCGGATATATCGATGATGTGATTGAGCCGTCGACCACCCGCCGCAGGATCATTGAGGACTTGGAGATGTTGCGTACCAAGAAGCAGGAGAACCCCAAGCGCAAGCACGGCAACATTCCTCTGTAAATCAGTTTTATTGAAGTTGTGAAGAAGGTGGAAAGCTACGTAACGTTGTTTTTACCTTTTTTTCGTTTCGATAAGAGGCAGTGGAGTCAAGAAAGGGAGTGCCGACATTCAGGCTCCCTCTCATCACCCTTCCTCGTCTACTGCTACTCCTCTTTATTTGCTACCTTTTTTACTCTACTCTACTCTACTCTGGATCCCCCTTTTTTTGTCATTTTATCCATTTTGTCATTTTTTTATTTTTTTTCTTCGCCACTACCACCACAACTTGTTATATGCTTTTTAGAAACTCCTCTCCAGCCATTGAATGAATAAAAACAACACACATTCAAAGAAGAAGTCGAACGGACCATCACAATCAACAACGAAGGAGAGAAGGAAAAAAATACAAATCGGCAGATTGATGATCGCTGTAGCGTTCAACATGTCAGTCTATCAATGAGAAACGTTTTGTTTGTTGGGGTCAAGAGGGCTAGTTGGGAGTAGTTTAGAGATCATTCGATTCTTGTTTTGCGTCCTATTTCAAGGAGTTTGGTTGCTGGTTATTTTGTTCATTTGTTCATTTGTTTTTGTTTTTGTTTTTGTTGTTGTTGAGCAAGTGTGGATGACGAAGGGGATCGCAGTAAAATAAAGGAGCTCAGAAGAAAAGAGGAAGACGGTTTGACCCTTTCACCCCTATTTTTCGGGTTATTTTCGTCTAGACACATAACAGGGTTGAAGGGATAGCCTGGGTAGGAAGGGTGAGACAGGCAGACTAGTAAGCAGGCGTTTCGTTGCTGTTGTTGTTAGTTCTTGCCACGGCCTAAAGTTGCGAAAGGGAGCATGGTGGTGTCATACCCGCATCGTTTGTTTTTCTCCGTTGGGTTGGAACTTTGACAAGAGGGGATGAGCGGAGAATATTTAGGGCGACAAACAAAAAAAAAAAAGGGCTTATGCCTGTTGGCTCTGTTTGCCTCTCTTCATTGTTGTAGTTGTGCCTGAACCAGAACTAAGTACGTGTCTGCAAAAGAGCTTACTGGCTACGTTCTTTGCGGGGGATCGGGGTTCCTTTGGACAAGACTCTGGACCCTGGTCGCAAACAAGAACTAGCAACGAGGGCGGCAACCTTCTTCCAAAAAAATAAAATAAAAAAAAAAATAAAAAAATAATATGTATGTTGACCGTGGTACTGTACCCTTTCGTCTTCTTGACCTAATCATGAACTCTTTTCTTGTGGACTCTTGAAGGAGTTGAAGGAGAGTGTCTGGCCCTTTTTTTTTTTTTTTTTTTTTTTTTTTAGTGTGCTTTTTCTTTATTGTTACTGTAAGGTGACCCTTCCCTTCCCCTGCCTCTTTCTCTTACAGACCCTGACTCTCGGTTCCTGAAAAGAGAACGAATGAGACAATGAATGGGTACATGGAGCAAGTCGAATGAGCTGAGCTGAGAGGCTAGGTTTTTGAATCTTCAGGGACGAGAAAGGGGTGGTGACGAATGTCGACCTCTTACAAATAGCAATAGTAATCAGACAATCGAAGATACGCGTGCGTTTCCCTGTGCATTGCATTGAGCACTTGAAGTCGTCCAACCCTCCCCCTTTATTTTCTGTCTTTGCGTGTGTATGCGGAGTGTTTGTGTGGGTCGGTGTTGGATCATGGCCGCGGAGTGAGCCTTGGGCACCGATTATGACCAATGCACCAGCCCTGCCTGTATGTCTGTCGCTATTGTTGGCCAATGTGCGAAGTGAGAGAAGGATGTATGTGTGTGTGCGCATACACACACAGCACAGACAGGCACACATACCCCTTTCTACTCAATTGGCAGTAGTTAACATAACATATATGTTACAGTACTGTACAGTACATACAACAAAGAAGCAAAGAAAAAAAGAAAAGAAAGAAAAAAAAGTAGGTCATATGCCCCCCCCCCCCCTCTTCTTCAAGAGTTGATCCGCCTGATCCGAATCCCCTAGACACACTCTGACTGACTGACTGACAAGAGCTCATTCACGTTTACTCATTACTCCTTCCTTTGTTTGTTTTTATTCCCTCGCCCTTTTTCCTTCTTGTTTCTTCTTTGCCTTTGCATCGCTTTCTTCTCTCTCTCTTCTTCTTCCTTTCTTTCATTGTTAATTCCACCCATCCCATTCCTTCTAGCAAGACTCGCTCTTTTCTCTATTCTATTTCCTAATCAAGTCACACACACATATACACATACTCTCCGTCACTTCCTTCACTATTGTGTCTATTCGCGAACCAACTCCATCCTCTTACCCCACAATCCTCTCTTCACGCTCTCACTCACTCACTCTCTCTCTCTCTCTCATCGCTCTCTATCGCCACCCATTCTTGGTTCAATTTCCCCGTCAACCTCTTCCTCTTCTTCCTCTCCCCTCTCCTCCTCCACATCCTAATCCACTTCAACTTTTTACCTATTTATCTATCGACCCCAATTATCTTTACTCCCCCAGTGTTCAGTCATATCCCAGCATACCCTACTTACACTTCGCCTTCCTCTGTCAACCACAAGTGGTAGTTGAAGTTCCCCTTCAGGCCCTGGCTGCAACCTCCTCCACGTTCACGTCCTCCATCATAACCTCCTCCTGCCTTTGCAGTTCCTCCCCTCCCCTCCCCTGAGACCTTACCTCTTCCCTTCTTCTTCCTTGCCCTCGATCTTCTCCCCATCTCTTCCTCCCGCCATAATTCAATGCCGTCCTCGTCCGGCGCGATCAGCTCGGTAAGTCATCCCTCCCCTTCCTTCCCTTCTTCCCTTCCCATCCAATGTCCGTTACTCGTTCATGTAACCTGTCTAGTTCTGCCCTGTCCTGTACTCTACTGTCCTGCGTGTGCGTGTGCTTGTGTGTGCCTCGTTTTCTCTCTCGCTGCCTCTCGACAGTTTCCCCCTCTCCTCCTTCCCCTACATCATATTTTTCGTACCTCGTGTTGTGCATGCTCCTTCTTTCCCTCTATGTGTGTGCCTGTTGTCTGTGTGATTGTATTTTGCCTCCCCTTTCCTTCCTGGTACACCATCTCCACCCCAGCTCTCCTTTTCCCATCTCCCTCCCTCCTTTCGCCCTCATTGTCCCTGAAAAACTCCTCTTCCTTATCACCTAACTTCCCATCGTGCTTCTGCCTCTTCGTCATTTCTTTCTTTCTTTCTTTCTTTCTTTGTTGTGCTTTGTTGTTTGTCTTTTTAATCTTTTTTGTCAATCCGTCCCTCACTGTTTTCTTCCCTCCTTCCTTCCTCCCTTCCTCCCTTCTTTTCCCTCACTTCAACACGAGGTCTTCCAACGCAAAAAAAAAAGAAAGAGTAGGGGAAACATACTGCTCCTTTTCCCGCGTTGTTTGTTGTAAGCCGTCGATCCATCGAGGGCTGGACGGGTCCGTCCATGCCCAGAAGTTCAAAACTAGTGGCAGGACTCACGACCTGTCGTTGTCGTGAACATGGTTCCGATCCGCTCTAGGTTTGGGGCTGTGGTGACGAAGTTCAAGGACCATATAAAAAAAATGAAGGAGTTCTAGCCTACCCTTGTCATTTTGTCACCCCTCCTTCTTTACCCTTACCTTCCTTCCTTCCCAAATCCATTTCCCTTTCCTTGTCTTTCCTCACTCCGTTCCTTACCCTCACTCCTGGTATCCCTTCTTCATTTGCGTGAACCTTTTCGTTCGCTTCCCTTCTCTCTTCCATTTCCTCGCTCTTCCCTCTGTCGCTCGCTCCCTTTCTTCTTCCACTTCCCCCCTACTCCTCACTTACTATTTTCTTTTCTCTCTGCATTACAAACGAACAACTTGCTTCTTTTTCTCCATTCCATTCCATTCCTTTTTGCTCTTTTCGACATCGCCACCATTTTTTTTTCACAGTCCGTCGTCTTATCACTCGCACTGTCTCACACAACAGATATCAACAACTTTGTTGGTCTCAGCACTCTCACTCCACAAAAACGCGAAGTGATTCTCAGCACCCACCCGACCAGGCTCCCTTTCTTCACTCCGTCGCGTCCTCTTTCCTTCTATTTCTTCACTCACACAACACATAAACGCACAGCACCATAGACCTTCTCTTCTTCCACTCCTCTTTTTCCTATCTCGCCCACCTTCACTCCTTCCAACCACAGCAAATTCTCACACAACACACCAGATCTCATTACCACTGTTCTGTAACAATCCTTTTTCACTTTCCAAACACCTTAAGGCACCTTTTTGAGAGCACACCGCACGCACTCGCACATACACACTTGAACGGCATCGAAAGCAAACAACAAAAAAACTCCTGCATCATCTCTGGCTCTGTCTCTTTCTCTCAACCCCCCCTCCCCTCCTTCTATTACCATTCACCAACCCCCCCTCCTCGCTCAGACACCATTTTCACGGTGTGGCCACCACCCTGGTCTTTGCTCTGCTGCACGCCCCGCGCGCACTTCCTGTGCGCCTGTGTCTGTGTCTCATCTCTTGGCAGAGCCCACGCCAACAACAACATGAATATGTCTTTCAGAACACTCACCTCAACGTTCTCTTCCTCGTCTTCGTTATTCTCCTCCTCTGATCCCCCACTCCTACCTCCTCCAATGCCGCCACCTGCAACATACTCCTCTTCCTCTTCTTCCTCATCCTCCTCCGGCTCGTTCTCATCGTCATCGTCTCTGCTATCTCTGTCGGCCTCGACCTCGCCTCTCACTACTCGAACTCGCCTCGCCTGGCGTGCTCCCCCACCATCGCCCCGACGTCGACCTTTACCTCATCAATGGATGCACCCTACCACAACCACGCCAATTTCAACAAAAACAACAACTCTGACGCCTACTTCTCCTACCTCCTCTGCCACCTCGTCCTCTACCTCCTCTTCGCCTTCTGTCGATCGTGCTACTCGCACCCTTTCTCCTTCCCCTTCTTCACTTACCCCTTCTTCCTCGCATGATCCACTTACCTCTTTACGTCTCTCTACTTACTCCTTGACGTCGTCTGCTACGTTTGAACGACCACGGATACGACAACACAACCCACTCCAACGACTCTCCTTCTCGGCCCCTTGTTCACCCTCACCCGCACTCTCCTCTCAAACTCGACCCTCACAGCTTGTCTTTGCTTCGGGTGCGGTAGGAACGGCATCCGGGTTGGGTCACGTCTTTGGTCGACCCCTCCAAGCTAAGGAAGCCATCCCTTGCTCCCCCCTCAACTGTACACAATGGCAAAAAGAGCCTCCACAGTCCCTCGCCCAGCAGGCCCAATCGCCCTCTCATACTTTTCAACAACAGTGTGCGGTTCATAAACGGTTTCGACTCTTCCGACAACGACCAAGAAGATGTCAGGTCCATTCGTCGAGTTATCATCACGGAACCACCTCAGTACAAGGAGCAAGGGCTAACAATGGACCTAATTATATCTTACCCCCGACGACGGTTTATCCACTTGTGGTTCGACCCGACAAGATTCTGTTGGACCATCATGAAGAGTCACCCGTGCAGGAGTCCTGGTGGCCGACCTTGACTTCTTCTATCTCCATGTCGTCCCGGCTTTCGTTCTCGACTGTCTCGCTTTCGCTCTCTACTACCAACACCACGACTTCTTCGACAGGTTCTTATCAGACGCACGGGTCTGAGGACGACGAGAGTTTTCTCTCCACCGGCGGGTCCTATCACTCTTCAAAAACATCGAAAAAGCTGTCAAAAAAGGAAAAGCAGCTTCAGAAGCAGTTACAAAAACAGGAGCAACAGCGACAGCAGCAGCAGCAACAGAAGCTTCGATGTCTTTGCTACCTTGACACCTCCCTCGACAACCAACTTGATATTCAACAATCTCAACAACAACCGCAACAACCACAGAAGCAGCAGCAAAATTCCTCCCAAAAGTCTAAAGGGTCCTCAAAGAAGGAGAAGGAGAAGGAGAAGGATAAAGAGGCGGCAGGTCGACTTAGGAGGATCTGGAACGAATCGGTCATTAATTTCCATCGGCCAAAACCCGCAGGAAGTAATGCCAGTCGACAGTCGCTTTCGCCTTCGCCCTCACCTTCGCACTCCTCCTTATCGGGATACCATCACACCACCGTTACTGGAGCAGCAGGAGAGACTTTGCAGCACAGTAACAACTTGCAGGTGAATGGCGGAGTGCCGATGAGGCACAGTCTGAGTGGAACGGATATCTCAGATGAGGGGAACCATTCGCTGTCAGATATTGAGGATGATTTATTGGAGGGCGATCAGTTCCGCCATCTGCGCCATGGGACCACAGCGACGCCGCCAACCGGCAACAACGGTGACTACAGTCATAATCGTGTGTCATTCCAGGGACCTTATGGAGCATCATCTACCAAGGCCTCCTCATCTGCTTCTGGCGGTACGACCTCGCGACCCAAGGACGATCTCAAGGCTATTGCCCGCTACCAGGCGGAACTCAGTCTTCAACAGCACCAAGAAGACGGATCTCCCGAGAACAACCATACCGAGGACGATGACTTTCGGTACAGCATGAGCATGGACGATGATGAAGACCATGACCGTGTCCTGGCATCCCTTCCCCCTCCACCACCCCCAGTCCTCTCCTCCTTTGGCAACCACATGCCCGAAACCAACGAAGAAGACGACGAAGATGAGGACTGGGACTACCAATCCGACTCTGGTGCTCCCTCATCCTCAACGCTCATGTACTCTGCCAGCGTGCGCGAACCCTCCTGTCAGTCAACACTCGCCCTGCCCATGTCGACCAACCCCGCCCACAACAAGGCGTACCTCAAGAAACCTTCCAATGCCAACCTGTCCTCCCTCCGGTCTCGCCAACGGTGCCTTTCCCTCCCTGCGGACACCGTACCCCCCAAGGGCGGGTTCTTGAAGATGTCTTCGTCGACGCCGAGTGAGAACTGGGATGAGGATTTTGATATCTCTGCGGATATTCATGTGCCGACGAAGGTTGTTGAGAACCAGATGTCGCTGCAGATGGATTTGTATAATATCAAGGACTTTGCCTCCCAGATCGAAGGTGAGTCCTTTTCTTTTCATTTCTGGTGTAATATTGTTTGTTATTAATCGACCGCCATTTTTCATGGCAATAACTAACCACTCTCTTTTCGCTTCATTATTGTACGACAAATAGATTTGAAAACGCTGAGGGCGTCGCTGAGGATGGCGTCCAGCTCGCTCAAGGCGACCAACCCAAAGAAACACCAAGACCTCTCAGTGCTCTTCCAACGTGACTGGGAACAGGCCGAGGTCATTATCGATCTTGGGGAGATTGCTCAAACCAGCCCTACCACCACTTCTCCTCCTGGCGCATCATCGGCTCTTGGATCTTCGGGCATGAAGGGATCGGAACCCAGTCTTGCGAGTCTTTCGACTGGTGCTGTGGGTAGTCTGTCGAGCAAACCGTCGATAGGGTTCATGCCTCACCGACCGGCACTTTCAACTTCTGCGCCTGCCAATAATCAGCTGGATGAGCCGTCGACGTTCCAGTCGATCCAGCAGCAGCAGGTCCGATCTGATTCACAGTCTTCGAACCTTACAGGATCGACACTTGTGGCCTCGGTGTCAGAGGACACCGAGAGCGACACGTGCCCGTCGACCAGGACTTCTTCTCGTACCTCGTCCTCTTCCTCCGCATCGGCGTCCTTGAAGGTTGGTATCGAGGCTACAGTTGAAGGGCTGACCATCTCCCAACAGCAGGCCTTAGCGTCTCTACAGGGCACTACAGGAAGGAATGTCGTTGGAGGAATGAGGATGAGGCAGGCGCCGTCGATGGCATACATGAAGGAGAGTTGTAGCAGCCCCGCAGGACTCGGACTCTGCGCATCTCCCATGACACCCCTCCGCATCTCTACCAACAACCGAAACTCTACTTCCTCGAACGATGAGGATTACGATGACTATGATGACGATGACCTGGAGATCAAGTACGAGAACGCGTCGATTGGGTTATTGAGGTTCCCTGAGGGCGAACAGCCGTTGTATAAAGGGTTCCATGGTAAAGAGGACTCGTCCGCGACTGTCAAGCCGCTGTCGCCCCGTAGTCCCAAGGAGGGAGGTGGGAATGGGTTCCAGGCAGATATGGAGGCGTCTTTCCGGCGGTACCAAAAGTATTCCCATTACTCCAAACGCCGCACAACCGGCGGCCTTCCCCACAACAGTCGCCGCCCCGCCAACGAGCGCTACGAGCAGGAATTCTATGACGAAGAGGAGGAAGACGAAGACGAAGAAGACGACGGCTACGAGAGCTACGGCTACGGCGACGGATCCTCGTCCATCGGAATCTTCACACCCATCCCCTCCGACCGACACATGCAAGTCCTGAAGGATATCTTGATGGAGGGTTTGGGGACGGAGGTGGCGAGGCAGTATATGTTTAAACAGGGGGAGCAGGATCATGTGCGGTTCTCGGTGGAGGTGATTCCGGGGCTGTTGGGGCATTTGAAGGGTCTTCAGCAGCGATTGGGGGATCAGTTGATGGAGTTGCAGAGTTTTACTGTTATTGTCTGAGGTGGTGTGTGTCGATTGTCTGGGACCATTGACGCGAGCGCCTTTTTTTTTCTTTCCAGGGTAGTTTCTTTTTCTTTTTTCATTTCTATTTTTCTTTCGCGTTTTTTGTTTTTGCGTTTACTAATTGTATATAGCCCCACACCCTTTTAATTCGCGTTTCTTTTCTTTCACGTTTGTTCTTCTTCCCTTGACGCCTTCACCTAATGTACTTGTAGCAGCTTTATGTAAATTCAATAGACACTCTTTTCTATTTCTCTTTCTTTCGAACTTGTTGCAATGTATAGTAATTCAATGAATCACGTTAACCTTCTTCCTTGCTACTCTCACCCCCCTTTCTCTTATTATTTTCAAGGAGCACGCTTCGCTCAACTCTCATGTGCCTCTACACGTGCCGGGCGTTTTTTTTTCTATCCCTCTAATGCATTCGATAATGTGGGCGAATCGAGCGAGGCAAGTGACTGATTACGTGCATGTAATGCATGCGTGAACGGAAGGAGGGGAGGCAAAGGGGAGAGGGAGAGGAGAATTGTCATCCTCGCCTCTTTCCATCAACACTTCCCACCCCTCTCTCTTTTTTTTATTTCTCTATACCTTCTTCCCCTCCTTTCTTCCTATAGCATCACTCGCCGACTTTTTTTTTTTCCTTTCTTTCTTTGCATGCTTTGACTTCCTCGTGAAAAAAAACAGTACTGACAATGACGACGTGATGCTGTGATGTTTCAATTCTGTAATTCAAGCGCGTGCGCGCCTTTTTTTTTCATCTTTTTTTACTTTGGTTTCTTGTCGTCATGCGACGATCAAAGCTCTGGAAAGGGGGGAGGGAAAGGAGGATCGCGCGCGTGAAGCCGCCTGACAAAAAGTCAAAAAGTGAAACAGACTAATCAAGTTCACCTATTTTTTTCAGCACAAAAGGGCGAGAACAAATAACAGAGAGCAACAAGGTTGTCAAATGTGCATATGTGCACCGACAAAAAAAAGCAGCAAAGGAAAATAGCCGATGACTAGAATCGGCCCAGACTAGAGCTAGATGTGGCAGAAAAAAACGCGCGGGGAACGAACACGGCGACAACGATGAGTCGACGCGCGTGAAAAATCTCTCATATCATCAATAACGGCCAGCATAGGAGGACGAGAGTCAAGGGTTAGAGGAATATATACATTTGAGCAGTGTCGAAATCATACGCTGTAACTGCTAGTCTGCCTATCTGACCGACTATCCTGTTTCGCTTCTCTGCTCACTCACGCATCGCCACTTGTACCACCGCTGCATTCTCCCGTACGACCTCCGCCTCCACCACTGCTGCTATCGTTACTTCCATTGTTGTTGTCGACTTGAGAGTGAGAGTTGTTGCCGGGCCAGACCTTTCGTTCAAGTACCCCATTCTTTTCCTGCTCCTGGACTTGGTCATAGAACGAGACCACCTCCGGATGCAAGTACACATTCTTATCGACCTAGACACGTTTCATTGCATGTTCAAACCATTGAGAAGAGACGAGAGAGAATATATACCACAAGAGTAAGAGTGAGGATGGTCAGTAAACATCACGAAGTATTGATCTGGTGGACCGGAATGAGCAGTAAAGAAAAACGCGATTTTTTATGTGTTCATTCAGACCACATTCTCTCTCTCCATTCCCTTTAAACTACACGATCCTCTTGCACCTCTTGACCCACGAGAAGGCACGTTGTTTTCATGTGCGGAGCAAAATATTCCACATCTAAACGTGATCACTAAAAGCACACATAGTGAGCCTCCTTACCTGTCCTCTTGCTTTGAGCAGTATCACTTGAGCCTCGACGACGGTCAACTTGTAGCAGTAAACCAGCCAACACAATACCACTGTCGCGCTCCTGCCACGTCCAGCTATTTCAATCAGCCAATTGTCCAAAAGAGGTAATCGATAGGGATTAAAAAATAGTGCGATTAAATAAGTCACAGAAAGCGTGTCTGAAACCTTGCACTAGTCACACCATGTACATCCCTTTTCAAACCAATCCCCACTTACCTTTACAGTGCACATAAAGCGCGCCCCGCTTCTCTTCAGGTTCATCCCTCCACCCTTTCTCACACTTCTCAATAAACCTCACCCCCGCCCAGATACTCTCCACCGAAGGCGTAGAAAAATCCCGCGTCGGCAGCCAACACTGTACGAGCCCCAACTCTGTCATGGTCTGGAGGTGCCCCTTGAACTCTGCACACATGTTGACAATATCCTGGATCGCATGGCCGCGTTGGAGATGAACGAGGAGCTGTTGGGAGGGTACGGCGCCGAGGATGATGCTTGTGTGCGGAACGGGGTCGTACCAGTTCCAGCGTGTTATTGGCGAGAACACTGACGTTGCCAGCTATTTGGGAGGAGATGTGTAAGGTTTAGTATGAGGTTCTGTGGCGAGGGATCTCATGATATTACTCCCTTGCGGAAGTCGTCTGACAATCAGAAGATCTAGTCGAATCCTGAAATAAAAAAAGGAGTATTCACATACGCGGTTATAGTTGAGGGAGACAGTGTAGGCGAGCCAGTCAAAGGTAGATCGAGATGGGATTAAGGCCTCTGCGGGGTCTACTCCATCACCTTCGAAAGGTGGCTCTTCCGTCGTAGTCGTCGTTGTCGTCGTTATTACAGTGTTGGCTGGGGTGTCTGGCTCTATGGTCACAAAGTGAATGGATCTATCGTCATCATCGACGTCTCCTTCTTCTGCTGCGCCCGTTGTTCCAGAGTCAGCTTTTGAGGCTGTCGTCTCTACGGTTGGCGTGAGGGTCTCGGTTGGGACGTTTCCCTTCGTGGGTGTGGGTCCTGTTGTAGTATTCTCTGTGTCGAGGTGGTCGAGATCTGCTGTTGCCATTGACATTGCCATTGCTGGTTTGTTTGTTGCTGGTGTGGAACGAAGAAAAGGTGGTGAATGCATAAAGAGGCAACAAAAGGCAGCAAAGGGGGGACCAAGCCCAACTTTCGCCTTTTTCGTTCGCGTGCCTGGCAAGAGCCAAAAACGTGACTTCGAAATGACGTTCTCGTCAATTAATGCGATCTCTGCACCCCCACCGCATTCAAACACTTTGCATTCATCCCGACAACCACCGCGCAAACACTAGGACAAGGAGACACTCATCGGCATCAACTCAACCCATACATACATTGCCAAGAGCAAGAACAACAAACCCATACGGTCGTCAACAAGAACACGGAATAACTTCTTACTTATCACACAAAATAAACCTACCAGCCAACACCTACATACACCGCGACAGAACACAGCAAAACATGCCGGACAACGTGTACGCAAAGATATCGGAAAAGATGAAGAGCGAGCGCTTCACGGACGAGGAGATCAAGACCGTCGAGAAGGCCAAAGAGCAGCTCTCATCCTACAGTAAGCACTCTCACGTTTCTTGGAATATACGGTTTTGCTACCGACTTTTGCTGGCGCTGACCTGTCTGTGCCTTTTTTTTGTGTGCATTTAACGTTGATCAATAGCTACGGGAGGGTCGGTCATTGGAGGTGCTGCAGGACTCATGCTCGGTAAGCATCCCTCAATTACTTCTATCCACCACGCACCAAAATCAAGAAACAAAATATGCAAGGAGAGCAACAAGGAGTTGACGATACTTATATTTTTTTTTCCGATTGCAATGATATTAGCGAGGGCAAAGAACTTCAAGGGACTGCAGGTGATTGCGATAGGAGTGGGAGGCTTCTTGATCGGGTCGCAAATGGGCATTATTATGGGCGCCATGGCCAGTGTCCGGACCATTCAGTCCATCCCCAACTTCCAACGCGTCATCCACATTGTCCAAGAAGTTCGGTACGACTTCCATTTATCCCCAAACCAACACGACACATGTACTACAGCGATCCAAAAAGATACCCTTTTCAACCTTCTAACATCCTTAACTTCCACCTTATAGGGAGGAAGGAGCGGCGGCGGCAGCAGGAGCACCAGCAGGACCACGAAGGAGCGGTGGACCAATGCAACACGACCGTGCGGCAAGCATGTCATCTGCAGGGACACAACGATTCCCGATCCAACCGCGTCTGGGTTCAGAGTTGATGAGCGATGATGCGGTCGCGCAGCAAGTTCATCCTGAGCAAGGGTTCAAGGATGGGGATGGATACCATGGTGGACGGGATCCTGGTAGCTCTGATTCCAGTACCGCTCGTCAAGACAGTGGTAAGACATATGTTTCTTCTTTCAGTTGCTTTTGTTTGTTTTGTAGTGAAGAGAAAGAACAAAGAGGACGTGTTTCATTTGAGGGATCGGACAAAAAAAAGAATGACGCACAAGGGCTAAACCCCTTTGGACACCCTATTATCAGAATGCAGATCTAAAATTAATCCACTCCAACTTCTTCCACATTTTTTTACTTGTTCACCTTTCAAAAAAATAACAGCATGGGCATATGTAGATCAAAAGGCAAAAGAACTACACAACAACTCACCAGGATGGTCTCAGATCCGACAACAGAATATGCCCCGTTCTGCTTGGAACGATGTCCGGCAAGGCGGTTCCCGTGCCCGTTCCACTAACGACTCACCCTCTGACGACCACGACGACCATGATCACCGGCACCACGACGGGTTGGGCTCTGATTCAAAGCGGCCAAGTACTACCTCTTCATCTACGAAAACGTCGCACTGGGACAAAATTCGCAAGGGTGAAGCTGGAGGGGATGGGTTTGTTGGCGTGAGTGGTACTGGGACTGTTGTTGATGGACCGAGTGAGTTCCCAAGGACGCGGGAGGATCTGGAGAACCGGCCTTCGCGTCATAAGAACCAATATGGTGATGCTATGTAGTCCGTCATTTTGCTTTACTTTCTTTTTGTTGTTCAACCTTTTTTTTCCCAACTTTTTTTGTTCATAGACTTGGCGCCATAAATACATAAGAAAAACGTCGTTCAGTACATTCTTCTTTGATCAATGGATTGCTATTCATGATACCCCTGCTGTTTGGCAAGGCCACATGCTAATTGCGACGATCGTCGGAGAGAAAAAGAGAAATCCCGGGAAGCAATTATCAGATCCTTCTTAGAAAATAACAACAAGTTCCCTTCCTCCTTCTCTCTCAATTCTCAATATTTGGATTAAAAAAAATGCAATCTAAAATGCAATTTACATTGGGGGTGGATGGGAACAAAAAAAAAAAAAAAAAACAAGGGGAATGAGAGGGTAGGCTGAAAATGGGATATGCCTGGTCCAGGGACCCAGGACCTCCGCTCGATTTGTGCGACAAGAAACTAAAATCAAGAATGGCCAGCTGAACGTTTTTCCCTATTTGAAAATCCTGCTGGTGTTTTTTTTTCGTGCACGCCCAGATCTATTTGTCAGTTCCAGCCTTACAGGTTCAGAAAAAAGAGGACAGAACAGGTGAGAAGAAAAAAAGAGAAAAGAGCTCTCATGGTGGCAAAACACAAAAAAGCGCAATGGAAAATAAAAGTGAGAGCAGACGATTGCCACCACTCGCCATCTGACTGACTAGAAGGCCAATAAACAGCACAGTGAAAGAGTTGGTCAGTAAGCAACGAACAAAGAGCGCACGATGAGGAGGTATTGGTATATGAGGCAGTAATGGGCCTCTGTTGTTTTTAATGATATGAAGTAATTGAGAGACAAGGGGGAGGAAGTATGTAAGAGAATGACATCGCCAAACCTCAGACGATGCTTTCAAGTAAGAAAAAAAAAGTAAAAGGAACTACACTAATAAAACAAGCAATTAATCATCTATTGCTCCAACGGTGAATAACTGGAAGTGGCGGTACTCCTCCGGTAGTCAACGCTAGGCTTCTTCTTTTGAGTCAAGGACCGCCCAAGCTTGGACTTGGCCATCCACCCACCAATGCCGTTACTGTTACTACCCCTCCGGCCGAGTGCCGTTGCTGTGTATGGGAACAAAGTCTGGATAGGGAACTGGATAAACAGCAACGTCAAGAAACGTTCCGTCTCCTCGGCCAATTCGGGTTCGAGACATGAAGGTGCTGCAGCCGCTGCTGAAGTGGGCGACATGGGGATGCCGCCTGCGGTTTGAGAGTGTGAGTTGTTGTGGTTGTGGTTGTGGCCATTGTCGAGAACTGTCCGAGTGCCGAGCTGATAGGTCATCGAGGCAGGGACTGGTGGTGGAGGAGCAACGGGAGGGAGAGGACCCCAACCCTCAGGCGGAGGTCGAACGACAGTTGGTTTGCGCTTGAGCTTGCTACCGTCCTTTGAGTCGTTTCCAGAGAGGGGCGAAGGTTCCGGGATGAGCGAGCGCAGGTTAGGTCCCGACTTGATGGCTGGGAGAGGCACAAAGCCTACCGTCGTAGGGGATTGGGCTGAAGCAACATGGGCAATGCGAGTTGAGGAGGCAGGGGGTGGAGGGGGTTGCTGTCCAGTCAAGGCAGCTTGCCGGACCTGCTCCTGGTAGATCTTTTCCTGCTGTTGCTGAACTCGTTGGGGATAGTTGGGTGGGAGGAGGTCGACTTTGTACATCATCTCCCACGAAGGGGGCCCGTGAGTGGCTCCCTCCATGACAATAGGGACCAGAGGGTCCAGAAGGGGTTGAGAGGGGAAGAAGGGGGTGTCGACCATGGCCGAGGTGGTGGGGGAAACGCGATAGTAGCCCTTCTCCTTGATGTCGAGTTCAAAGGGACGTCCAAGGAGGGTCGTTGCCCGCTCGAGGTCTCGATCGGTCATGGAATCGACGCCGTCGCGAGGAGGTTCGAAGCCGCCGAGTCTGAAGATGGGGTGGTGGGATCCGTGGGGAGTAACAAGCGTCAAGGCTTGAACGACAGGGCGGGCCAAGGCCGTGTTTTCAAAGTAGCGTCTGGATTTGAGTTGGGACGCTCTGAAGACGGCCTGGAGTGAGGCCGGGTCGAGGTGCTGGAAGATGAACTCGAGCGAGAAGACGGCCTTGCGTTCCTGACAGAGGGTGGCCTTGAGGACGGTGCGCTGGAGGATTAGCGTTAAAGTCTTAGCGGTGATGGCACGACAGCGTCGGGAGAGGTGAGAGAACTCCATAAGCTGGTCAAAGTTGAGGTTGCGGGCGATACGGATGAGGATGGGATCGTCGAGGCGGAGGAGGGGCGAGGCAGACTTGCCAGAGTGCTGGAGGATGGGCACCTGGGGGATGGGGGGGACAGTGCCCTGGGTGTATTGACCGGGGAGGCGATTTTGGCGACGGAAGAGCGAGAGCGAGCGACCGAGACGAGCAGAGGAGGAAGGGACGGAGGAGGATGCGTTGGACTGGAGTTGGAGCTGGTGCTGGGTCTGGGGCTCGTATGAGGCTGAGGACTGTTGGTTGTTTTGAGTGTTGTCGTAGGGCTGGAGGGGGATTGAGTTTGATTCGTCGTCGTTTTGGGCAAAGGAGTTGTTGGCGTCGTAGGACATTGCGCGGCGATGGCTGTCGACGGAGGATGCAGAGTAAGCCCTGCGGTCCATGGTCAGCTGAGGGTTGGGGGTCTGCTGGGCCATCATCATTGTGGATCAAAGCTTTTTGTGTGTATGTGAGTGAGGGTGAGAGAGGGGAAGGGAAGAAGAGAGAAAGGTGGGAGAGGAAGGGAGATGTATATAAAGGGTAGCGCGAAGAGAAGGAGAGAGACAAAGGAGAGACGAGATGTATGAAAGTGAAGGGATGAAAAGAACAAAAGAGTGAAGGAAGAGAAGAAGAGAGAGAGAAGAGAAGAAGGAGAAAAAAGAGAGACAGTGAGGGAGAAATAAGGAAATAAGAATAGAAAAACACGGAGGAAAACGACCAGGGAGTTTTGCACGGGTCCAGGACGGGGGAGGTATTTGTCCGCATGGATACCTGCGATGGATATGGCTATTAATGCCCTCTTGGCCTCTTGGCTGAAATAAACATGACTCGTCTTCTCCTCTTTGCCATCATTGTACATCATGACTTATTACTCCTTGGTGGCTACTTTACTTTACCTACAGTAGACCACATCTCACTTGGCTGAAGTGTACATATCCATACACTGTTGCGAGGTATGTCTGCGCTGTCTTGTCTGCCTCTCTGAAAATAAAAGTGGATGGTCGTGTGGAGAAGACGAGCCAAAATAAAAATAAAAACCACTATGGCGCACAGATGGCAACAGACGGACAGGTTAAAGACACACTCGCACACACCCACCTGCACACATAACGCAAGAAAAAAAACAAAGGGGGTTTCTTTCCTTCTTCATTTGAGGAGCCACAGAAAAGGATATATTTTCTCAATCCATTGACAGCATCAACAAAGATGAAAGAAGCTCGTAAGCTGTGGGCTGAGGAAGGAAGAATGAAAAGAAAGGACAAAGAAAAAGGAGACAGAAAGCTGTGAGAAAGAGCTCAATGAATGAGGTCCCTTGACTCGCTGTAGTTACGTGTGTCAGTCAATGAACAGTGAACAATAACAATAAAATGGATGCCAGTTGTTCGTTGGTTTGTTTCCCAGGGAGGAGACAGACACATATACACATGCACCACAACAAGAGGACAAAAGAAAGGAGGGAGGACCAGGCCTGGCCAACCACTCGATCCTCCACGCCCCATGTCCTCTTACGGATCCTTTCTTTTGTTACTACCTTATTATATCTGATTGAAACACAATAGGTGTGTCAATGACATACTCTAAACCACAGAACAAGCAGAGCATTGGTTGCGTTGCGTCACAGCATACACCAATTACAACAAGATGAAAACGAAGAGCGCCAATGCGTTCAATAACTTCAATGTAAGTAGGAGAGTGTGCGCCCCAATCTAGGGCACGAACCATTCGTTCTAGTGCATTGAAGAGTACAGCGGACTATTTTATCCGCCCTTGCATGAGTCTTTTTCTTTGGCGTGGTTGAAACGGAATCCATCCGTCCCTTCGCTCATATCCAATTCATATTTGATTGATGTTCAATGATCACTGATCTTTCAAGCAACGATGTGTTCAATGATGTGTTCAAACTCACTTCAAAGGAGAGGGAAATAGCAATTGATGAAGAGAAAGAAAAAATAATGTCATTTTGGGCTGTTGTTCTTAACAAGCACCTTTTCTTCCCAGGCAGGCTGAACCTTTGGCGCAGGGACGAGATCATCGTGCTGTACGCTCTCTACTCGTTGAATCCATTATTTAGTACGTACCGACAGCCATCGTCGTGTATACAAAGCAACGATCGATGACGATGGGTCATGTGCGCTTCTTGTCCCTTTGTCCGTTGAGCAACAAAGTAGACAAGAAAAACAAAGTTAAAGGGAGATGATTTTGCCCGCCCCACCTAGAGTCCAACATCTGCCACACCAAATATCTCTCACCCACAGAGCTCAGCATAAGCAATAATGTCCATCGACCGCATTACCTTTTCGGGATGGTCTAGTTCATTTGCAATGCCCTTAATCTCCACTCCAAACCATCCAGTCTCCTTATTGCCCGATGAAACAGTGCTCTCCATCGCTCCACGCCTACTTTGAAGGACCCAAGGAAAAAAAGATTACTTCTTTGGCGTCATTTCGACTTTCTTTCCTCTTCTCTTTTTCTTTCCTTTGTTCATTCCACCCTTCTTCTCATTCAACTCCACCTCCCTCCATTTCCTCATCGCACCTCGACTATGACTCTCTTATTCCGCACATTCCTCTCACCCGCCAAAGCTGCAGCTCAACGGTAATACTCACATTTTTGTGTCACGCCTGAAGCAAAGCAATACCTTCCTTCCTTCCTCTTTTTTCTCCTTGGCATCTTTGACTGACTCCAATTGCCTTCTTTTCCTCCCTCTTTCACCTCTTGCGTTCGTGGACGGGCTTCATGGATATCATCAATAACAACCCACTAGGTTGCCAATGCTACAGAGAGCGCCATTGAGCACAGCAGCAGCACCTTCGATCCCTTCTAGATCCCAGGCTCTCCTCCGCTCTCTACCACGCCAAACCCGTCCCGCCCTCTTCCAAACACCAAATTACCTCTCCCACGCGACCCATCGCCACTATTCCACAGTAAAGTACCAATTCCACTCAGCTAGACCACGGATCCAATGTTTTGTTGTTTGTGTTCAATTGTTGTTTTGTTTCTCTGACAGCTAACGGAGTGAAAAAAAAACGTTTGTGTATAAACAAATAGGAGTTAAAGGCACAGGTTGACATCAAGGACCAGAGCAGCGCAAGTGTTGTCGACTCCTCCAAGGTCCATCTTCGCTGGAAGGACGGAACCACCAGCCGCTTGTAAGGAACCTCTTTGGTCAATTGTCGCTGCGGACTAAGGATATGGGTTGGTGAAAAGTGTTTCCCAATGCTGACTTCCTGTCATCCTCTTTTTTTTCGTCTCACGCGCGATAAACCTTTTCTGTTTAGCCATTCGTTCTGGCTTCGTGACCATTGCCACTGCCCCGAGTGCTACCACTCCGTCACCAAGCAGCGCCTCGTCAACACCTTCAAGGTAACAAGCCATTATTATTTTCCCGCGCGTGCCGAGTCCTCTCATCTTCCCGAGCCGGGATATGTCTCAAATGAAGCATCGAACAATATGCAACGGCGCCACGCAGAATCAATTTGCTTTCGCACGAGGGTTTGACGGCTAATTTAGTCCGTGTCTCTTTTTTTTCTCCTACTCTCTCTCCTGCAGATTCCACGCGATATCAAGCCAAAGTCAGTCTCCCTCTCTTCCACAGGCCTGGATATCACCTGTAAGCGCGCAAACATTGCAATGGACACCATCAATTGATATGCAGTGTAACCCAATGTCTCCAGTACTGTACTAACACCGCATCAATTTCTTATTGACGATGCGTAGGGGATCACGAAAACCACAAGAGTCATTACCCATTCACCTGGCTGAACAGGCACTCGTACGACCCCAAGATCACAGACCCTTACCTCCCCGAGGGAGCACCGTATGTCGTAGCATGCACTTTGACTGCGCCTTTCTGTTTATATGGACGCGGGAGGCATTGGATTGGCTTCGTTATACTCACACACGTCTCTTTCTTCACTCCTCATTTCAATCACCTAGTAAGAAGACGTGGGACAACTCGATCGCGTCCGACTTGCCAGAGGTTGCATACAAGGATGTCATGGAGTCAGACAAGGGCCTTGCAGAATGGCTGAACAACATTGTGAGTACTCGGGACTTGGCAATCACAGGAGAGGTCTTTGGAGAATCGGGATATAATGGAGAACTGCACCTAACATGACCCATTTTTCACTTCAATTAGCATGTCTATGGATTCTCGTTTGTCAGTGGAGTGCCAGTTACGACCGAGGCGACTGAGGAATTGGCCAAGCGCATCTCCTTCATTCGTGAGACGCACTACGGTAAGCTACTTGATCTATTGCTATGTCGTATTCCAGTCCATTCAAAAGTACGCCGTCTTTAACCTATATATATTTTTTACAATGTTCCTCTCGTAGGTGGGTTCTGGGACTTTACATCAGATCTTGGACACGGAGACACTGCATACACGGACCTCGCCCTCGGCGCCCATACCGATACTACCTATTTTACTGATCCCGTCGGGTATGTCTTAATTTTTTGATCAGCGTGGCAAATTAATCGCCAGCCAATCATTGTTCAGCCAAACTCATTCATTAACCTCGGACATACTCTCTTTCCCTTTTACCACCAATTGCTACCATGTAGTCTCCAGATGTTCCATTTGTTGCACCACGATGGCGAGGGCGGCCACAACCTAATGGTCGACGGCTTCCACTGCGCAAAGATCCTCAAGGAACGCCACCCAGCCTCATACAAACTCCTCTCAGAAATCGGAATCCCCTCCCACTCGGCCGGCGACCTCTCCACCCACATTGTCCCCTCTCCCCGCCGAAACCCCATCCTCAACCATGACCCCGTAACCCAAGACCTAGTCCAGGTCCGCTTCAACAATGATGATCGCTCGACTATGGGTCATTTGGAACCTCATCAAGTCGATGCGTTCTATGAGGCGTTGTTTGATTGGAATAGGGTTCTCACGGATGAGAAGAATTTGTTGTGGACAAAGTTTCAGCCGGGTAGGGTGTTGATTTTCGATAACTGGAGGTGTTTGCATGGTCGGTCGGCTTTCACGGGTAAGAGGCGTATGTGTGGAGCATATACCAACTGGGATGATTACAGGTCCAGGTGGAGGACTTTGAACACCTCTGCCAAGCAGTTGGCTGAGGACTTGTGAGGTCGAGAATTATAGATGTCGAGAGAGTTAGACAGTTTAGAAATATAAAAAAGCATAGTGCATTTCTCCTTGTATAGGCAAATAGTAAATAACACAGAACCTATCCGTTCTATTCAACAACTCGGTCATCCCGCAGTGGTGGCAAGGTCCAATTAAGATAATTTTCGCTTGACGCGTAAAAAAGATGCAAGAGCGCGTATTTTTTTGTCACTTCTCAACTGATACAGATCCACGACTCCGAATCAGGACCATGGAATCACCCAACAAAATGCTGGCTCCCCTCATTGACGGTTTATTCCTGCCAGGATCTGGACAACCCACCCCCTCAAAACACGGTCGCTTGAGGACGCCAGACGCCCACTGTAGTTCATTCCAGATATAACACCCCAGAGCGAACTTTGCAAGTGCTTGGCATCTCCTCAGAGACAAAGTGGTACTGTTTAGCAGTACCTCGCTAGCCAGCGCCAAAGGAACAGATCCCTCTTCCCGAAACAAGCGTCCAGGATTAGGAAGAGGCCCCTTTTCTCCCCCTTCTACCCACTCACCTCCACTTTATATCGCATACACGTGCTTGTTTGTTACTTGTATCATTTGCTTTGTTCTTCTGTTCGTCTTTCTGGGTTTGGACAACTCCTCCCTATGACACGGTCAATGAGATGGGTGCCGGGGGTCCCAATGTTCCGCGCTGATGTCATATTCCAGTCAACCTCGAACGTGTTGATTGATACTCCTTTTCAGAGACTAAGTGGCTCTGTTCAGCAGCGCCTCGCTGATAAGGCCAAAGTCGCAGTACCCTCCTACCGAAGCAGGCATCTTGCGATAGGAACAGGCTCCCCTCCGTCCTCTCTTTTGCAATCATGCATGTTGTGCGTATTTTTCGTTTGTTTGTATTGTCGCGGGTTGAGTGCGGATTTTTTAGTTGCCTCGCCTGCGAACATGTGCAGCTCTTACAAGAAGATTCACATAAGGTAAAGATAGCCCTCAGTGGAATGATGTCCGTCAAAAGGATCCCTGTACCTTTTGAACTGTTTATTTGTCTTGGAGTTTAGCTTCATGAACAACGTTGGGATAAAGAATCGTGTTTGGCGTGGGGCTAATTCAACCAGAAATTAATTCAACCAGAAATTAATTCAACCAGAAATTAATTCAAAGATTTGATGCGTTGGCGCAAGATTGGATGGCCGACGGATCGATTGGTCAGGAGTGGCTTGGATGAATATCTTCAACTGCCCTTTGTTCTCGCAGACAGACAGGGTGTGAGAAGCAACGTCTTTTGAGTGAACGTTCTTCCTTGTACAGCCAGACACTTTGCATCTTTCTTTCCTTTTGTTCGCGTCCTTTTTCTTCTTCTTCTTCTTCTTCTTTCACCACTCGCACCTCCGTCGTCAATATTTTTTCACTCGTCATCATCCCAGGACTCGACGAAACAACCACCAACAAATAACAACCGAGGAGTAGCAGCAGCATCCACCTCCAACAGACGACATAGATAAAACACAATGCGCGCATCCATCCTCCTGTCTACTCTGGCCATGGCACTGGTGGCCCAGGCCACGTCCCTCACTGGACTCCGCACCCTCGTCCTCCTCGATACCCTCGACGACGTTCTCATCTACACCGAACTCTGGAGTGACCTCGAGGGTAATAGCTTCATTGCTGCTCAGCAGGAACCATTGCTGACACTTTTTTGTTCTTACTGAGGTCTTTCATCATCTCGTCGCGTCTCGACTTAACCATTCATCTTTTTCTCCACGAACGTGTTTGCGATGGAAATATAGGACGCCACTTCAACCTCACCCTTAACGATGTCAGCACGCCCGTTTCCTTGACCAAATACGACCGTCGCCTCTATGACCATCTCATTTTCCTCGCTCCCAACATGAAGGGTTCGTGACCAAGCTGAGTCGTCTCTTGCGATAGTGTAGTGTCGTCGCGTACAGTGCTATCAACATCAAGGTGATTAACCGTCGGATCAATTACCTCCTTCCATCTTCTCTGAACACAATAGAGTATCCCAAGGGAATGAACGCAAAGGAAGTGATCGGATTCATGGCAGAAGGCGGCAATGTCATTTTGGCAGGATCCTCCGAGTTGGCAAACCCTCTCCGCGAACTGTCTCGTGAGTTTGATGTCGAGTTCGATAACCGCTACACCTCCGTCTTGGACCACTTCAATTACGACAAGGAATTGGGCCAGGCCAAGCACGACACGATCGTCGTCGACCCCTCGAGCCACATGTCCAAGATCGATGCCATTGTCCCTCAGGATAAATTGCCCGGACCTATCTTGTTCCGTGGTATCGGCCACTCTGTCAACCCTAAGAACTCGCTCTTGACCCCCATCCTTTGGGCCCCTCAGGAGGCGTATTCGTGGGAGTCAGTCAACTTGGACGAGAGTGCTGATCAGGATCCCTTGATCGCCGGCAAGGACATTAGCTTGGTCTCGGTGATGCAGGCCCGTAACAATGCCCGTATTGCGTTCTTGGGTTCTACTGATATGCTGTCAGATGCCTTCTTTAGTGCCTCCCCCAAGAAGCAAGGTGACAAGGAGTAAGTTAACGTTGTCATTGTTTCTTTCATGTAGCATTGGATGGAACCCACTTGGAAAATAATGGTAGCTAATGCGCACTTTTGCCTCTCACTATTTTAGGACTGTCAGCGGAAACCGCAAGTTTATCGAGGAATTGACCAAGTGGACCTTCCAGGAAAAGAGCGCTCTGGATGTCGTTGCCGTTCAGCACCACAAGGTTGGCGAGGAGGAGGCCCCCGCCCACTACCGTATCAAGGACAACATGGTGCGTTCTTGTTATGTTCAATTGAACGATATGTTGAATCTTCTGGTTTAATGATAATCAAGGCGATTAACCTTTATTCTGTGAATCTAATTAGACGTACACGATCTCGTTGGCCGAGTACCATGAGGGCGAGTGGCACCCTTTCTCTGCCGACGATGTTCAGCTGGAGTTGATCATGTTAGATCCCTACGTTCGCAAAACCCTTGAACAGCTCGAGTTGAATGACCAGTCGACTGTCGGCACCTTCACCACCACCTTGCAGTTGCCCGACCAGTACGGAGTGTTCAAGTTCATGGTCAACTACAAGCGCCCCGGTTTGACCTATATTGAAAGCGTGACGACTGTTGGTATCCACCCCTTCCGCCACGACCAGTACCCTCGCTTCATCTCTCAGGCCAAGCCCTATTACACCAGCGCAGCCAGCATGGGAGTTGGATTGTTGGTCTTTTCTTTCGTCTATCTCTGGGGCGGTTTGGACTCTACCGTCAAGACCACCAAGAAGGCATAAAAATGTTGGCCTGTGTACAATGGCGAGCGACCAGGAGTGAGCATGAACAAAAAAGTGCACGTTAGAAAATAAAAGTTACACGTGACATGTTTTTCGAAAGCATAAAAGGTGGCAGAATTGAACACTCTCTTTCACTGATCAGGACAAAGGACCATTCAAGGACGCAACAACAAACACAAAGACAACACATCGACCATGCCAAAGATTATCAGCAACAGTATTATCTCATCCTCAGACCACAGAGATGAGCAACAAGGACTGCATTCATACTACTGCCTCTGCAGTGAGTTCATTCTCGTCATTGGTATGCAACAAAACGATCGCTTTTTTTGTTTCGACCTCGCCACCTTATACAATACACTGTAAAAGCCCGGACCCTCAGCGCCGTTTGATCAATCAATCATTGAAGCTGACTGCATCGTATTCTTGGTATATTCCACAATAGATATGGAGCTGGGACAGTTGCCAAGGCGGGAGACGGACAATTCGATCATTTTGACCAACGCCACCAGGATGTACAAGCTCCACGCGATCCAAACAGAAGCCAAGATCGTGAAGAGGTACGCCCACCAGCCATCAAATAACGAGAAAATATCACGCCAGTTTGCTGCTATGAAAAAAATTACGCCAGGAGACTGACGCCCTTTTCGTAATTGCTTGTGAACCGATATCATAGGGGCGAGAACTTGTTTGAGAAGCAGTACCGGCTACATTGTCCACGATGCAGCCTGGCGATTGCATATGAAACGACGAAACACTTGAAGGGCGGACCTTATACGTACATTGTCCAGGGAGCGTTGAACGAGATCCAGGGAGTGCCACATGAGGATTGGGAGCAGGAGTTGCCTGGCAGTGGACCTGCGGCAGGATCAGGAAAGACAGAAGGAGAGGCTGAGGTGGAGGAGAATAACGGTATGGAGGTGGAGTTGCAGATTAGAACAGATGAGAACCAGAGTGCGGCTGCTCAGGCAAGAGCCTTCCTTGCGGCCTCTATGGCGTCGTCGTCTTCTTCGTCATAGGGATGTTCCTAGGTGTCCATGGTTGTGAACCTACTGTTGGGAGAAATAAAGGAAAAAACGAACAGAACACTGAACACTGTAGCCAAGTGACACGTGATGAAAGGAGGAATTGACTCGACTAAGCTAAAACACAACGAACCCACGGCTCACGATTTTGCCATTTGGACGGGCAAAAAGGGGACGAGTCCGTTGGACTGGAGCCGGGGTGCCGATCGATGACTGAAGGTGGGCAGGGAAGAATAAGCTCCACAGAGTGGAGTTGTTCGCTTTAGAAGCGCACTCGTCCTTCTTCGAATCAGGAACCAACCGGTCTTGGCCCTCGTTTGTCACTTCTTTTTACTTTGCTTCCTTCCTTACTTCGTCTTCTCCTTCTTTAGCTTTCCTTCTTACTTTTCTTCACTCCCACCTCTTTTTTATTTGTTCTTTCTTCCCCTACTTACCTTCCTCTCACACCCTCCCGTCCGGTTGCTATCCCTCACTTCGTGTCCTGACTGTCTATCTTTTGACTCCTCCTCCTCTCCTTCTTTCATTACCTGGCACTACTTCCCCGCACTTCCGTCAAAGACCCGCAATTACTCCTTTCTCTTTCGTTGAACTCAAGCCGCAACACATTCAACGTCTCTCTTTTACTTTTTTTCCCATTCGTCCGCCTTTTCTTGTCATTTTACTTTATAATATACTTACTCCTTTCACCATGCTCAAGTCTGTCACCGTCGCATTCCTCCCCCTCAGGCACTGCCTCATCAACCTCCCTGGCGCATGGGCAAACGCGTTGCTGGACCAGGGCAAGGTAACACTTTTTCTCCTCGCCAAGGACCTTGCCACCTTCTGTTCTCTGCTCAAGCCCAGGAAAACAAACCTCCGGTGTGCCTGAGAAACTAACTACTTTTTTCTTTTTTGTCTCAACAAACAGCTCTCACAAAACGTCGTTCTGGAGTTATCATGGCAGGAAGGATCCACCGAGAAAAAGTCGTATGTGGGCTGGAGTGGTGGCGCGTCCAACTCTGGAGGTGCAGGTTCAGGAAACAATGCGGGCGCCGTTGTACCGAGACCTGGTGGCGCTACTGGCGATGTGATCGAGATGGATCCTCAGTTCGGACAGGCTATGGGACTCAGAGCTGGACAGAAGGTAAACCGACGGGAGCTACTTTGCGGGAAACAAGAAAAGAAGATGAAAAACGAGTGTTTTTTCCTCTTGATCCGAGGATCATAAAGGCTGCAGGATATTTGTATTCTCCGAAATATCGAGTCGAGGCAATTGAACGATTAATCGACCGACTGACTGTCTCCTTCTAACATCCTTCGTTTCTGTTTTCTTTATCAAGGTCAACATTGAGTTTGTAAAGTCGGTTCAGGACGGCATCTCTGTGAACGTTGCCCCATACTCGGAGGATGACTGGGAAATTTTGGTAAGTGGAAGGAAACACTGCTTTTTTGCTCCCGGACAAAAGTGTCAAGAGACAAACGGATCGGTCCAATGAGAGGGCTCTCCTCTTGTGATTATTTTTCATTCTTCCACCAACAGCTAACAACGAAGCGAATTCTTCATCACCTTAGGAATTACACGCAGGATATGTCGAGGACCAAATGCTGAACCAGATCAGGATCTTGTACCCTCACCAGGTCATCACCATGTGGGTCAACGGCCGCACCCTTGTCCGCCTGCGCGTTCGTAAGTTACTCTTTCCATCAATTTTTTATTTGTCGAAATCAATCTTTTTTTTTAAGGTCAAGTGGAGCCGAACTGATCCATTGCACTTTTTGAATATCCTTAATCATAGTGGATATCAACCCGAACGCGCCTTGCGTCAAGTTGGGAGCAAATGCCGAGGTCATTGTGGCGCCAATGGTCCGCAAAGCAAACGGAGGAGCATCAAAATCATCCGACAACCAGGACCTGTCTACCAGCGTCCAAAAGTTGACCCAGGCACAGTGTTTGCGTGTGTTTGCGCTCGACGAGATTTCAGAAGAGCTTGGACAGGAGATTGCCGAAGAAGGCCCCTTCACAGTGCAGGTGCACCCTGACAGCTGGCTCGAGGCTGATCTCACTCACCGCCCTGCTCTCCGTATCTCAAAGGTCATTGCACCCCATGCAGAAAAAGTGACCGATGATGAGACAAGGGATCCCGAGGACTTGTTGGTGGGAGCGTCGGCGATCTTCGTCAAGGCTGTTCCCTCTCGTCATGTCCCAGTTGGTCATGTTGCCATCTCCAAGCAGGTCCAGGACGCTCTCGATGCTGAGAACTTTTCTATCGTCAGGTACCTGCTCTTACACTGTCGAGCCTTGATTTGGTCAAGCACCACTGTAAAGCATCAAACGTGTCCGAACTAATTTCAGAACTTTATGAATCAACAGATTGGCAGAAACAAATATTCACGCGGTGCAGCTTCCAAGCATCACACTTCGCCCTATCTCGACTCCTGGATCAGCACCTTCGGCACCTGCCCCTTTGAAGCTCCAACCCAAATCTGCGAGCCACGATTCTGACAAGGCAGCGAAGGCCACCAGCGTTATTTCATTGTTCAAGGATTGGGTCAACACATTGCCTGACATGGACTCGACCATTTTGAGCCACGGATCGTTGCTGTCCATTCCTCATGAAGATACCATCCAATCTTTTGCTGTCGTCTTCCCAGCAAAGTCGCTGCCAGCTGTACCCAGCCAACAGGAGGAAGGAAAGAGCCAGCCTGAACCCGAGACTTTCAGTATCCTGACCAAGGCTCAACTCTCCCAGCTCAAGGTCGAAATTGGCCAGCCCCAGGGAGTCAGTCATATCTACAAGAAGTAAGTCGGCGTTGAGAATGTTCACGACAGACCAGCAATTGATATTGTTACGCAGATCAACCCATCTTACAAACCACTTTCGACTTTTAGGACTGCCACTCATATCGCTGACACTCCTGCAGCTTTGGGAGGTGTGACACAGGTGTTGACAAAGGGCGAAAAGTATCTGTTGACCTGCCTTTCCAAGATCGAGCTCCGCGACGCTTTCGCTGTTTCCAACCTTGGCGGATTCCTCCTGTGCGGACCTCATGGATCTGGAAAGACTGTCGTCGCTCGGTCCCTTATCCGCAAGTTAGCCCAAAACAGGGAAACCCTTGCTTGTAAGTTGCGCGTGTGGATTTGCATTGAATACACGTTGGAAATACATTTTCACATGCAGGATTCTGTATTAACTTACTAATTGAATACTACTTTACAAATAGACTGTGTGGAGATCAACTGTGCGGAGTTTGCAGAGGACAGGCTACCAGTGCTGATGACAAAGTTCCAGCAATGGTTTGACACTGCTGCATTCCACTCGCCCAGTATTCTGTTCTTGGAGGATCTGGACCGCTTGATCCCTGCCGAGGTTGAGCATGCCGACTCTTTCCGGTCAAGGCAGATCGCCGAGGTCTTTTTGCAGATTGCCACCAAGATGTGCAAGAGGTTCGATCAGATCGCTATTGTCGCGACTGCCCAGCAGCAGGTCTCTGTCCACCCTTCGCTGATCACGTCACACTTGTTGAGCGAGATTATTCGTTTGATGCCACCAGGAAAGACGGAGCGCAAGGAGATGTTGAAGAGCTTGATGGAAACAGGACCCGCCATTTTGCAGAGATCATTGCCTCAGATTGACCTCGTCTCGGTTGCTTCTAAGACGGAAGGTTACTTGGCCGCGGATTTGAAGGCATTCCTGGAGAGGACGGTGCATGAGGGAGCTGTTCGTAACATTGCTGCCCAAGTCGAGAGCCACAAAGCAGACATTGCCTCTGCTTCCGCCTCGCCATCACCTGATAACCAGGCCAATGGCATTCCCAATGGCAAGGCCAAGGCCATTACTGCTGCTGTCGAGTCGAGCACTTCATCCGAGGACGAGTTTTCGTTGACCCAGGCAGATTTCCTCAAGGCGCAAGAGGGCTTTGTTCCCAGCAGTCTTCGTGGTGTCAAGCTTCAGAGTTCCGCGACCAGCTGGCTCGATATTGGAGGATTGAATGAAACCCGCAAGATCTTGCTTGAAACCTTGGAGTGGCCCACCAAGTATGCCGCCATCTTTTCGCAGTGTCCACTTCGTCTCCGATCTGGACTTTTGCTGTTTGGACACCCAGGATGTGGAAAGACGTTGTTGGCGTCTGCGGTTGCCAAGGAGTGTGGACTGAACTTTATCTCTGTCAAGGGACCCGAGTTGCTAAACAAGTACATTGGTGCTTCTGAAAAGTCTGTCCGTGATCTGTTTGAGCGTGCCCAGGCAGCCAAGCCCTGCGTTCTCTTCTTTGACGAGTTTGACAGTATTGCGCCCAAGAGGTATGAAGTTGTCTTATGCTAAACGACCAAAGGCATGATCCAATGAGAGGGACGCATACTGACGCAGAGATATGTTTTCTTGCATTATCGTTTTTATTTTTCCAGAGGACACGACAGCACTGGAGTAACGGATCGTGTGGTCAACCAGATGCTGACACAGATGGATGGTGCAGAGGGTCTGGACGGTGTCTACGTTCTTGCAGCAACTTCCCGCCCCGACTTGATCGACCCCGCTTTGTTGCGTCCTGGTCGTCTGGACAAGTCACTGCTTTGCGGTATGCCCAGCTTGGAGGAGCGCCATGAAATCTTGGCATGCTTAGCTCGTAAGATGGAGGTTGCGGAGGATGTGGACCTTAAGGAGTGCGCTCGCCGGACAGAGGGTCTAACGGGTGCTGATTTGCAGGCTGTCCTGTACAATGCCCACTTGGAGGCGATTCGTGTGGCGATTGAGAAGGATGAGGCGGTCAAAAAGGAGCGCTCTGCCGCAGGCACTGGCGCCTCTTCGCCTGTTCCTGGAGGACCGGCGACCACCAGTCGTGGTGATAGCAAGATGGCACGGTTTGTCAGCTTTGGAGGCAAGGGAGGATTCGGCAGCACTGGCAAGACGACCCAAAAGGCCAACTTGACCCTCGCCGAGCGCGGCCACATCTCTCAACGCGTAAGTCTTTGTCAAGTACATTCGTGTACGCTTTATCTATCACACTTGGATACAATTGCTAATGGTTGCTATATATATCGTTCATGTGTTCATAGTTAGGTCTGATTGCAAAAGGAATTGGAGCGGCAAGAGAGGCAGCATCGGCAGCAGCAGGCGGAAGCGGTGGTGATTCGACGGTGGATGGTGAATTGTCAGCGCAGGACAAGGCACCCAAGGGATCGCGTCCAATCATTACAAACGAGTATTTGGAGGTGTCTCTGAACAACACCCGGTCATCGATCACGCCCGAGGAGAGCAAGCGACTGGATCTAATGTAAGTTAGCCCCCACCTTCTAGTTCCTTTTTGTTTCTGTTTGATGTGGGGTAGGAAGAAGAGGATGTGAATATGGTTGTTTTTCTGATGTCATCCGGGGAAACCCTGCTAGTTGTTGTCCTTTGTTATTTACACTTCTCTCTCTCGTTCTTTGATATTTGTTTGCTGATAACAGCTATAGAGAATTCGTGGGGGATCGCAACGGCGAGATGTCGAACGGAACAGGAAGTCATGAGCTCGGTCAGAGGACCACCCTCGCTTGATAGAGTTCGTCCTATTGGAAGGGATAAATGGACAAGTAGAAGGAAAGAAAGGGGGACATATTTTTTGTGCTTTCGGGTTCCCACGCTTGCCTTGCTTACACTGTACTCTTTTTAGCGCTATCTTCCAAACCCTTATCTTTCTCTCCACTCTCTCCCATACCTTGCCTCCCTAGAACTGTTTTTTTTTGTAAAATAAAGCGAGAAAAAAGGATGGAAAACTGGGTGCGATGTGGGGGGTTAAGACGTGAATTTGAATAAAGTGGAATACGAGTCGGAGAGAAAAAGACACGAGAGTACAAAAGAAAAAGAAAAAAAAAATCCGTCTATCCCACTCCTCCCCTTTCGTATTGAGCCCACAAGGGTTCGTTCATTTTTCAACCCACCCTACTTTATTTGCTTCAATCCAGAAGTCGAAACATGGGCAAATGACGACGAGTATCCAGCAATGTCCTTCTGTAATGACTGAAACCCACACGCATGTTGACCTCTGCTAATATATATATTTTTATTTATCAAAAAGCAGCTGATGAAAAAAGAAGACTAAGCTGATAGGGTGGAGGGGCGGTTATGTACAAATGGTTGGTTGATCTGTCGGTTGAACAGCAACAACAAAAGAAAAGAAAAGAGGCTGCTGATAGGGGGGATATGAGGAAGACGCACTGTTCAAAAAGCAAAGAGAAATAGCTCTATTTGCGGCAAAAGTTATCGAGCCAACGAAGGGGAACAAGGAAAGAAAAAGAAAAAAAAAAGTATCAAAGGGAATAGATATGTTGCAAACAAATCAATCCTGTAATCGCTTCCGTTCAATCTCTTAACAGTTGCAAGTGTACGAGCACCCGCACCCAACACCGGACCCACCGCAATCACAAGCAGTAGAGTGCTGCTGGAACGACCGTTCTCGGTTATGGAACTCGAGAGACGACCGACGCTGGGGAGGACTAATCCCGCTCGAATTGGTTCTGGAGTAAAGTCCAAACCCGGCAGGTTGCCTCGTCCTTGGGGAAGTTGCTGTGTTCCCAGACTGGTTACCAGAGTTGGAGGTTTGGACGTTAGAAGCTCGGCGGGTGAGGTAGGTTGTTGGAGGGGAGGAGGAGGATGTGGAGACCGAAAAGGGGTCTCCACGACTGGCGGTGTTTGAACTCATGGAGACTGAGAGGTGCTGTTGGTCAATGTCGTTGGGAGCTGAGAATTGTTCATAGGAGACGGGCATGACCTTATAGCGGGAGCACTCTTCACAGGTGCAGGCCGAGGCGGCGGAACCCTGGGTCATCGAGTTGTGGTGACCGGTTGAGTGGACGCAGGACGGGTGGCGGTCTGACATATTAGGTATTTGTGGTATGGGAGTAGGGAGGAGGAAGTGTTCTTTTTTTTTGGTGTGAAGGTGAGGGTGAGGGTGGGCAGAGTAGTAGGAAGACAAGAGAGTTGAGGGAAGAGCGGACTGATCGTCTTTTTATGCGAAAAAGAAAAGCGAAAGAGATGAGAGAGGGGGTGGGAGGGCTCTTTGGTGTTTGGTTAGGTTTGACCCCACACTTCGTTCACGTGGTCCATGCGGTGAGAGCGTACTGTCTTTTCGAACCTTGTTCGCCTACGTCCTTTTCTTTTAGCTTGTGATTGTCTCGTTCTTTTACGCATACCAACGCCCGATGAACGCATTGTTCTTTCTCCACGTCAGTCCATTGAATTTGTCATCAGCACCCTCACTACGTGTATACTCTCTCAAACTTTGAAAAAGGTGTACTTTATTGATAACCGACTTAATCGCTTTGTTGTTCGCACTTGCTACATGCTCAACTTAGAGAAGGCGGATACACTAGCATGTGTTGCTAACCTTTAGCTAATGGCCTTTAGCAGGCTTGGTCTTGTCGCAAAGAAAAGCGTCCATCCTCTGTAACATTGAAATATTCCTGCACCAGTGTGGATTTTACGGACACGCCAATGGGAGCCCAAGGAAGAGTTTTCATTTCTTTTTAACAGACTGTCGCCGTGAAATCAATGTTTGGTAACAGTCCTTGGAAATTCGAGGGAAAGAAAAAAAAGCCCATCATAGCAATCCCGAATAAAACCACTATAATCCTCCTTTCCTTCAGACTCACAGCAATCCCATTACACAGGGCAATCTCTTGAAAGTGATTTATAGGGAGCTGTATCGCTCATAAATGCCTAGGAGGACTTACTCGTTCCCGACTAAATATCTAGGAGCAACCGCCGCCGGCATTGCCAATGATGGTCTATCCATGTATGCTTTAGTCTACGGATTGGCCGGCAATAGTGGTACCTGACATTGTTTGAGTTGCCATCGCCAGCGAATTGCTGGTTGTTACCGGCGGCCACATTGTGGTTGGTGATGCTGTCGTCATTGACGTTGGCGATACCAAATAACGCCGACGGCGCCGACGAGACCAGGGATTGGAGTAGCAACTGCGTCACTTGAAAGAACGCAAAGGAAAAGTAAATGTTAGAGCTTTTTTTGAATGGGGTGAGTAGGGTGGATGTAAAGGGATGGATTGAAAGGTAAAAGTAGGCTGAGAGGTAGGAATGGAGGGAAGCCTGTACTTTTAATAGTATGACGGAGTTGGAGATCAATATAGCATGGTGGAAAAAGAAAGAAAATAATGCAGAGAAAAAGATAAAGGAGGAACGCCAAAATATCAAGAGATGCTGCGAAAAGATCGAGAGATGCTGCGAAGAGATCAAGGGATGCTTGAAAAGGATGAGTGTCTGAAAAGCAACCAAGTGGCAAAAAAAATGTCAAAGGACTAGAAGATCAAAGGGCAGCACCACTTGGACAGTAGCAAGTGACAACTCCAATGGATAATGCCAAGCGACAATATCAAGGGATAACATCAAGGGGATAATAAGGACAAGATAAAGAGATAACATTAAGTGGATAATAAGGACAATGCCTGTCATCACGCGATCTTACAAATTTGCTAGGAATAACCTCGTACGCGACAGTTACCAAGCGTTCATAGCGAAATTTCTTTTTGCTCCTTCGAAGTCGGCTCTTCCTATCATACTGAAGCAGAATTCAGTAAGCATTGAATTGTTCGCCCACAAATAGGGAACAAGACCTGAGGTAACCGTCGTGACAGGTTAGTTTTACCCTACTGATGAAATGTTGTTGCAATGGTAATTGAACTTAGCACTACAGAAACCGTTCATTCGGATACTTGGCATTTGAGCGTGCCTGAATAGGCAATGGCCCGAAGCTATCATTCGTTGCGTTATGGCTGAACGCCTCTAAGTCGGAACCTGTGCTAGAACGCAACGATTACCGCCTTGTACCGCTTTTAGTTGAATATGAATAGACCTACGGTCCTGAATCTTACAAACAAACATGGGATTATCTTGCAGAGCGGAAAGGCTTCGTGAGGTTCCTGCTAATGTTAATTTCAAATATAGCACGAGATAAATCCATTGCAGACAACTTTATTGAACAGGGTATTGAAAGCAGTAGAGTAGCTTTGTTGCTACGATCAGCTGAGATTAAACCCATTGTTCTTTGCTTGAAAGAACAACTTCTCCCTCTCTTTTTTTTCCTTTTTTCTTTCAAGCTCGTGAGTTAAGGGTCGCTCAGCCTATCCCTTGGAGGATGGGTTGTGCGGCTGGCCCGTTGAGCCTCTATGTGTTGAACATGGGACTGAATGTGTTTAACGATATGTAAGTGCTCCGAACGTTATTTCTCACGTAACACTCTCTCTCCTTTCCTACAATCCTACTGTCCTTCTCTCTACCATCACACCTCAGCTCCTAGACTCTGACGTGAATGTCGATCTAATTTAAGGCCAACTCAGTTAATGGTCCACAAATATCATAGCATGAAAAATGGATGTTGCTATGAGGTTTATCGCGCAGTTAAAAGAATAAAACGCACTTCTATCTATCACTCACAAGGATACAAGACCTCCTCCTTAGACTCTAACAATTCCTTGCCGACCATTCTTCTTCTGCGGATATGGATCGGTTTCCCCTGCATGATGCGGCTGACATTGTTGGCGACGTCTTCGATAAATGAATACTCGAACCCGTGTGAAGTCCTCGTGGTATCAATCACTACGTCGAAAATTGGACGTGTAGTACGCTGCATGACAACCTTTCTTCCGTCAATCGCTACCCGATCCGAAACGAGAGCATTTGTCGACCCTCCGAGCGCCTTGTTCAGCATTGAGTTGAACACGAGGTCCTGGATGTTTCCGTGGACAGAGGCAACCATCTGAATGGACCTCAGTGCGATAGTCTGACATACTTCCACCTCTTCCTTTGTGTTCAGCTCATCGATTGCAATGACGTCAAGCGAATGGTTCCTTACACAGTCGAGCAGAGTCGTATACTGTTTGGCGGGATCTACTGGCCGGAAGACTCGTGAGGTGCCCACAATGTGGCCCCTGTCTCCTGTTCCTGTTTCTCCGCACACCTCGCCGGACGTGTCGATCAAGCACAGACACTTGCCGCGGGAGAGGTACTTGCATATCTCGCGAAGAGTCGTCGTTTTCCCAACGTTAGGGGAACCACACAGAAGCACGTTCTTCTGTTCGACGAGTCCCTCGAACACGGGCAGGAGTCCTGACACACTCCGACCGACTCTGATGGTGATGCCCGCGATGGACCCGTCATATGTCACTGCCGCTAAACGATGAAGAGTCCTCCCGAAGATCACACGGTTGCTATGTTTAAAATCGGGTCCACCTCCTGGCAGTTGTTCCAATATCGTAGATATGTCGGAATGCGCGATTACGTAGTCGAACTGAACGCACACTCCATTGATCTTGACGGACATCTTGGATCCCACATCGAGAAAAATATCCGTCAATGCGATTTCTTCCAAGTCGAGATGCCTGGTTGCAATATCACCGAGAACATCCATAATCGCCATCGTGTCGCAGTCGACCGACAGAGAAGGAACTGGTGTTGTGGTGTTTTTAATCTTGCGAGCCGCGAGGTATACGATGGGGGGCGGAGCTGGCTTTGTGGCGTTTGTGACCTGAACAGGGTTGACGGCCGGAGGAGGAGCTGCTGTATTTTGGGGGGGCGGAACTGGTTTTGTGGCGTTTGTGACTTGAACAGGGTTGACGGCCGGAGGAGGAGCTGCTGTATTTTGGGAAGGCTCTGTAGCCATGTTTTGAAGAGGAGGCCGTGGCAGGTGCATCGCCTTTGCTGTGAATATGCTCCTTGAGAGTACCACCGCGTTGCCGTTCTCCAGTGAAAGATAGTCTGTGGTCTCAATTATCCGCTTCAGCTTGTGGCGAGTGACGATATTTTGTTTCTGGAGCGCTGTGGTGAATAGAGGCACGCTAACTTTGTTCCCATCCACAAAACATCCTTTGGTTGCGGCTTCGATGGCTGCGGCTTCGGCGGCTTCGATGGCTGCGGCTTCGGCGGCTTTGATGGCTGCGGCTTTGGCAGCTGCGGCTTTCTTTGTTTTTGATTTGGCCATGGTTCCCCGCTCAGAGTTTGGGTCAATTGGACTCAGAAAATGGTGGATATGAAGGTGCGACAGCAAAGGGCAGATTTATGAGTTAAAGATTGAGGACAAACGACGTGTTGATCGCAGGGAGAGGCAGGAGAAGCACTGCGGGGATTGGGGAAAACGCAAAAAACGAATGCTGATTATTGTACAAGAGAAGACAGAAAGGGTAAAGGTCAAAAGGTGAGGCGGAAGGAAGTAAGTTGTAAAAAGTGCAAAGATTCAACTCATGAAACGGAAGGCGTTACTGTAACGTCATACCAAGAATTTTTGCATGAGTCGAGGGAGGGTTTCAACATCAGCAAATTACACGAAGGGCGTCAGCGCGTGCCTCATTGCATATGCTTGTAGCCTGATAAACCAAGCGGTCAGTGCTTTGCATTTAGCATGAAAGACGAAGCGTGAGGTAGCTGACTTGTTGACCTACCTATGAAAAGTCAAGGGTATGTGTATGTTCGAGTGGTCAAAGGGACGAAAGAGAGGGATCTTTTATTTCGCACCATGGAGGGGATAATATATCTAATGTACTCAGGTGGAGACAGGGTGAGGGGCGGGGGTGAGCTTTCTCATTGAAAAAAATCCCGTACCGCAACACGTAATCAAAATCTCCGCTAATAATGGCTTGTGGCAACCAAGCGTTCATAGCGACGTTGCTTTTTTGATCCTTCGATGTCGTCTCTTCTTATCATACTGAAGCAGAATTCAGTAAGCGTTGGTGTTTAGACTGTCATGAGAAAGGTTAGTTTTACCTTACTGATGAAATGTTGTTGCAATAGTAATTGAACTTAGTGCTAGAGGAACCGTTCATTCGGATAATTGGTATTTGAGCGTGCCTGAGCAGGCAATATCCCGAACCTATCGTCCGTTAGGTTATGGCTGAATGTCTTTAAGTCAGAACCCGCGTTAGAACGCGACGATTACCGCCTTTTTCCGATATCTAGTTGAATATGAACAAACTCTGGGGTCCAAGATCATACTACGTGGGATTATCTTGCAAAGCGGAAAGGCTTTGTAAGGTTCCTGGTAATGCTAATTTGAAATATCGAAAGAGATAAATCCATTGCGGGCGACTTTAATTGGACGGGGTGCTGTAAGCAGTAGAGTAGCCTTGTTTTGCTACGATATGGTGGGGAAAACCTCATTGCTCTTTAGATTTGTTCGAAAGAACAACGTCTCTCTCTCTCTCTCTCTTTTTTCTTTTTCTTTCCCTTTCAGGCGCTTGGGTTAAGAGCAGTTCAGCATATGCTCCGGCTGTCGGGTTGGCGGATGGCCGGATTGCTTTCTGGTCAGTTGAAACCTCTGTGCGCGTACTTGTGTCAAATGGGCTGCTTACGGCGATACCCCTCCTCCAGCCTGAAGAAAGGAAGAAAAAAATGGCAGCCTTTTACCAACTATTATCGATGCGGCAAGTGGCTACAATAAGATAATCGTGCCTGGAGAGCTTGAAAATTAGGTGCAAACGCAGATCGGGAGGCATATTCACGGAGTAATGGTCAAAACAAATGTTCGTTTGGCCACCATCTGCTCCCATGATCTCGCCGCCGTGTCTGCTCTATAGCACCGTGAACACCATCTAAAGGGACACCATCTAAAGGGCGCCCAAGGGCACGTATTTGATGGCCGACGGACTAAAAACTGCCCGACTTGCACAATGGCCAAAACTTGGCACTTCAGTGCGTCATATCTGATATGTAGTGAGGCGACAATCCCTTACTTTTAAGCTACGGCCATACACAACTAAACCCACCGCATCCCGTTCGATCTGTGCAGTTAAACAGTTGATGGCGTAGTCAGTGCTACGGTGGAGGATCACATGGGAATAATAGATATGAGAGTTGCGCGTGAAATAAGTCAAGAAAATGATTAAGAAGGAAGACCTAGCATTTTTTGCATGCCCTTTCCTAGCTCCTGTGAAGCCCGCGAGACACAGCCATGATGATATCGCTCCGCAACAACGAGAGACAAATTAGCAATGGTTGGCTTCCATCGCCCACAACTTCGACACAGTCCTGAAGACGCAACGTCCCCACCCTTAGCCAACTAAAAAACTTGAGTCTCCTCGAAGGAGCTTAGCTTTATCCGCGCCCTGCTTCAGCATTAACAAAGCCCGCATGGAGTTGACCAAACGTGTCTCACGCAGGGTCTTCATCCTTCTGTAAGTAGGGTTTTTGTAGATGGGGACTGTGGAGGAGAGGTGTTGATCAAGGTACTCGCAAAGACAGATAGAGCAGGTTAGGATCCCTCTCAGCCACGTCTAAAAAAAATCATGGATCCACAGGACAAACTTGGGCACTGTATCGGCGACATCTCGAAGTGCAGCAAAAAAAAATGATGTCGTCTTCGCTGACAGGCCTTGCCATCCATACAATCCTCACATCCAAATATATCCGTCTTGCTCTCACTGCGCATATCCTCCGCGAAGATGTCTGTCATCACAAAACGAAGGCGCTCAAGTCCATGAAATCGTCATCAACTCAATTAGCCTACCAGTCAAGGCCGCTCACAAGAACTCATATTTTGTCTCTAATATCAGCTCTAGAAGAAAAAGGCTATACGCGTGGCGGGAGACGAATTCGAGTCAACCACGACACACCCTCAACAAACCCTCATAAGCAGGAATACGACTCGCTAATACCAAGAATTGTCCCAACGTGCTCTATCCACGAGTCTCTCCAATCGAGCTATCCAAGGCCATGTTAAAGCTCCACCAAAAGCCTTTCCTCCCTCTGGTAATCATCAGAGTCGGGCTATCAAGTTCATTGATCTTTTACAACGCACAAATATTCGAAAGCCCCTTGATTTGTTCGATACCACGCAGAAACAAAAAAAAAAAAACGTTTCCTAACGAACCGGTCAAATGTCGCGTTCTAAAACACAGAAAACGGCGAGGCGATCTCGAGCCTTCGAGATCCCCTTCGCAGAGCTTTTGTAACCAATGAAACGACATGAGTATACCAGCGGCCTTACCTTGGAGGCAGCCAAAATAGGCTACGCTACCAGACATTTCCAAAGGCGCGACGCGAAAGGAGGATAAACCGCCTCGCGCCGTCTGATCCTGCAGGCGCTGCTGCATCAAAAAAAAAACTCGGAGGTTGGTGGAGAACTCCTCCCTCCTCCCGAGACAAGCGCCCAAGGATCCAATGCCTACAAAGCGCCATAGCCCCCATCCAATCGACTATTTCATAATCCTGGAAATGACTCCATGAAATAGGGAAAACCCCTGGGCATCTGCTGAAGAAATGAACGGCATAGGAACGAACCAGCATACCATTAGGCCTTCTTGTTCGAAGACTGGATAGTAGAATCGACAATTTTGTTGAGCACAGCAGCTTCCTTGACCCTACATCTTGCCCAAATCAGATACACATTAGAAAACACAGTTTCACTTAGTTTTTTTTTACTATTTGTTTTATGAGCAGTAAAAGAATTGCAATGGCAAAAGAAAAAATGGAAGGATTCAGAAAAAAAAAAGTTACTCGACAACTAGTTCAGAAGCGAACTCAGCGAGATTCTGCTTCCACCTCCACCACTGCCTCCACTGCTTCCAGAACCAGGTGCAGGGGGCCCTTGGTTGGGATCAGGGTGGTGACCCGAAGGAGGAGGACCTCCCTGTGGAGGATACCTTGCATCCGAAGGCAGTTGCTGCTGGTACATTCCCTGTTGTCCCCCGCTACTTGGGTACCCAAGATGCCCTTGTGGCGCCGCCGATTGTGATGGGTGATATTGATGACCTCCGTGCGACGGGTACCCTTGCTGCTGCTGCTGCTGCTGCTGTTGAGAAGGATGAGGCTGCGCGTAGTGCTGCTGCTCGTCCTGGTGCCACTGCTGCTGCCGCTCACTTGTCCTAGATGAAGACGCAGTCCTCTGACTCTCCGATGACCGATGTGCCGCCTGCTGGTACTGCTGCTGTTGCACATGTTGCTGTTGGTGCGATGGATGCTGTCCATGCTGTTGGTAGACATCCGGAACCTCATGAGACCGTGAATGTTGTTCCTGCTGAGCAGCCAAACTTGACAGATCCTGAGAGCGAGAGGAAGCATGACCGTAGGTAGCCCTTAGATCTTGCTGTGAATGCCGACCATACGCCTGCTGCTGCTGCTTCATGGACGAAGGGTGTTCCGCATGAGACTGCTGACCATGGTGCTGAGGCGCAGACTGTGGAGGAGGAGGAGGAACAGCGTAATGACTTGAGCTGCCAGACGAACGACCAGGAGGAGCGGTCATATAGGGATCCTGGACTTGTCCACGAGCTGGTGCCATCTCATATCCAGACGGGTTCCGAGAGTGAGTTCCCTGTCGTGAAGAGCCTCCTCCTGCAACAACCGGTCCTTGAATAGGTAAAGGTCCATGGGATGACTGGTTGTAGCCCGCCAATGACGGCGACGACCCTCTGCTTCGACTGTGAGTCTGGACTGGGTGGTGGTATTCGTATCCTGCGGGGCCGGGGCTGTTGCGTCTTATGGAATGTTCGCGGACAGCTGCGGCTTGATCCATCGCCGGCGGGAGTGGAGTTGACACGGGGTTCATCGTCATCATTCCTGGGTGACCACTGCCAGAGCTGTTTCGGGAGTGCTGACCTGAGCGACGTCCAGGCAAAGACGGGGTTGGGCCAGGTGATGAGTACTGTACTTGAATGCCCTGTTGCTGGGGTGCTATGTGCTGAGGTACCTGCTGAGCATAAAGACGAGACTGTTCCTGACGATGCTGGACCTGCTGCGGCGCCTGCTGCTGCTGCATTTGTTGCTGTTGGTAGAGCTGCTGTTGTTGATGCTCGTAACTTGCCTGATACTGCTGCGCCCGCTCGTCTTCCTCCTGATGCTTTGGTACCGCTTTAACCTTCTTGGTCTTCTTGGCGGATGGTGCTGGCGCTACTGGCTCGGGATGCTGCACATGCTCGCGCTCATGTCCTTGATAATACTGCGACTGCGATTGTTGATGCTGATGCTGCATATGGGACGACTGCGGGGGAGGACCGCTAGTCGAGTAGTGGGTTGGGTGGCCATGACCAGGATGCTCCTGTGGGATGCCCTGTCCTCCATAATGTGCTGGTGCTCTCGAAGGGTTGGTCGATGATGACGGTGGGTATTGTGCTGCGGGTTCAACTGAATAGCCCCACTCTTGCTGGCGCTGTCTCAATGACGGCTCCTGAGGTGCCTGGCGCATAGAATCTGGATGCTCGAGAGGTTGCTTTTGGACGTAGCGTTGCTGATGCTCTTGGTACTCTGCATGTTGGCGTTGTCGTGGATCTTCAACGCGACGGTATTGTGCTTCCATACCCTGATCAGCTACACCAGGAGGCATTCCACTCGTGGATCCATGTCTCTGATGAACGGGTTGCTGCTGCTGCTGCAAAGGTTCCTGTCTTGGATCATATCGAGGATGCTGTGCTTGCCCAGATGGGAACGTAGCAGAGACATTCCGTTCGTGGGTTGGTGGCGTATGTGTCCTTGGTGGGTATCCTGGCTGCTCATGAGCAATAGACGGATGCTGCATACGCATCGAGGATGAATCGTGTCCGGCGTGTCGGGGATTAGGCACCTCCACGACTTCTTCGGCAGATCGACGGTGCTGAATCTCGTGGTCCATAGGAGCTTGTCCTGCATAGTACCCAGGCGCTGCTCCTTGAGATCGAGCGCGTGCATCCGCGGCATAACCGGGGTGGCGTTGCTCCTCTTTGATAACAGACGGTGCCTGCTGTGCGGGCATTGGCTGTGGATGCTGTGCAATCGGTTCTAGATGCTGTTGAACCTGCTGCTGTGGTTGCTTGGCTTGCTGTGGTGGTTGCTGGGGAGGCTGCTGAGGCTGCACTTGCGGTACAGGCGCTGGCTGCGGTGCGCTTGTAGCAGGGGCTGGTGCAACAGTAGCGGCAAGCTTCTTGGGACGACCTGGACCCTTGATATTCGTAATAAGACTGGGCGTCGAATTGACAGCCAACCACTGTGGGGTTCCTGACGGTGTCCTCTGATGCTGGCTGACAAACGTTGGCGGTGGCAATGCCCGTGGGGTCAAATCCGGCTGTAGCTGCTCCTTTTGTTCCTGCTGTTGCTGCTCTACAGCCTTGGCCTGCTTTGTACGCCCTCGGGTTTTGAGAGCCGCTGGCTGAGCGACTGGTTCCTGTGGTGGTTGAGCAGGTGAAACAGAGCGCGTAACATTCGTAGGAGTCTCTGGTCGAAGTCTTCCAGTATTTGGTTCTCCATCATCCGACAGCACAAGAGGCGATTTGGAGCTTCCTCCATCATCAAAGGGCTCGGCCTTCACGCGTTTAGTCTTCTTGATAGGCTTCTTGGCCGGTATTTGAGCTAGTTCCTCTGGATGAGTTGGTGCTATAGCGGCGACAGGCGCCTGGAATGGCGCGCGAGTGCCCTCACTCTCATTCGAAGAGCCATATTCACAGCCCTCGTCATAAAGCTCCCGTCTTCGCTTGTGAGGTGCTCCAGGGCTCAGTAGCTGTGAATCTGACTGACCCTCTGGGATCACAATATCCTTATGAATGGACAGCTCCAACGCCTCTGGCTTCACTGCAGGCGTGGGGCGAGATGCTCGAACTGGCCTTGATTGCTCCATAATCGTATCCTGCTCCGTTAAATCCATCGCGGACCCTTGGCGCGGGCGTGGCTGTGGCTGTGGGCTCTGTCGAGGACTGGGTCGTGGACTGGGTTTGATCAGGGTCTGCTTGAGAACCTGCGCTCCTGACGCCGATTCATCCTTATGGCTGCTTGGGCTTGCTTTTGACGGTATTGCTCCTTCCTCCTTGACCGCATCACGAACTCTCACACTGCCTCCGCCCAGATCTTCGTCCGGTCCTTCCTCATCATCGTCATCAGGTGGCGCTGGGCTGGGTGTTGGAGCGACAGCGGGTACAGCTGTTCGCTTACGCCGTGGCCTCTTTTTTTTGCCCGCTGGTGTGACGTTCTCCACTTTGACTGGTGAGTGAGTTTCATCGTCTCTATCAACATCCGGAACGCTGAGTAATGACCGAACGCTACGCAAAATGTCGTCGCTGACAGTGGGTACCTTCTCCAGCTCCCTAAGAAGTATCAACATATGGAATTTCCAGCATCAGCCTTTTATATCTAAGTTATGCACAAAGGACGATAATCTGTCAAACAAAACACAGCTTCATGTATGTACCTGAGTGAATTGGTCAGAATCTTGACCATTGCATCCAATCCCGACGTGTAGCCAAACGCCTCCGAGACAGCCATGGCGGCGTTATAACTATACGGAAACACAACATAACGCGAGTTAATAATGCCTTCTTTGCTTGAGCCACACTCCCTCAAAGTAAAACCAACAATGACACCTACTGATCAATAACCTGTCGCCTGCTGCATTCGATTGTGTACGTATTGTCCTCATTTGGAACCTCGAAAAGGATTGACAAATGGTGTTTCATGTTCTTCAGTCGCTTGCGAATGTGTCCAAAGTTCTCCATACCACTCGCCACTACGGACTCGGGTAGGCCGGGCTCCAATACCGCCTGCTTCTTAGTGGCAGTGCGCGGGGATGAAAGTACTTCGTTGTACTTGGTCAGGAAGTAGGGGACGTCCCGGTTAAAGTCAGGAAGCCACGGAGCATGCGGTCTGTTGCTGTTGCGTGGCAGAATCAGAAGCACAAATCGATCGGCATCATTTTGCTCCAGATCTAGTTGTGAAGAAAATGCAAAAAGGCTTGGTCAATTATTTTGCAATGATTTTAAGAAGCATTTCTATGCGGAAAGAACAGAGCACGATGACTCTACCTGCTGTGGCATTCGCATAGAGAGGCGCAGTGTTAAAGCGGTTTGCCACATAGTGCTTTCCAACGACGAGGAGACCAAACCATTCGCGATCCGTCTCTGACACCGCGGGTTGCGGCGCGGTGGCTCGCGCCAAGTTTGTGTCATCCTTGGCCGAAATTCCAGTGATACTGCTGCTAGTGATTCCCAATGACGGACTCGATGCTGGATCGGACGACAACAATAACGGCACCGGTGAGCCGATTACACCCGCCGCTGCTATAGCTCCTGCCACTGACCCTCTCTTGAACGACTGTCCCTTCTCCTTCTCACGCCTCAATCTCCGCGACTTGACGCACTGCTTGTCCGGGTATTGCAGTGCAACGATTGCGACCATCGATTCTTTCTCAAGCGCCTGGTACAGTATTGTGAAAAATTGAGGTCCGTTCTCCTGTGACCGGGGTCCGAGATCAGGTTTGACGTCAGGAAACATTCCAGAATGTTGTTGCTGTTGCGGTACAGCAGGCGACCCCTGAATAACAGCGTTAGTGTGACTAGTGGGCGGCATGTTCGGCAAGCCGGGCAAGCCGGGCATGTGAGGCACTCCTGGAGGGTGACCGCCAAAGTTGGGTGGAAAGTGCTGATGTGGTGATGGGTGAAATGGTGGCCGCGGTGGAAAGGCGTTAGCCGTTGGGGGGAGAAAAGGCGGTGGTGGTTGGGGATGGTGAGATGTCTCAGGGAATAAAGTTGCAGCAAGAGGGTCTTCTGGCTTGAACGTCCTGGGATCAACAGGTCCAGATGGCGCCGCTAGTGGCTGTTGGGGAGGTGGCACTTGAAGTGAAAGCACCTGAGGTGGTGGTGGCAGTGGAGAAAGTGTAGGAGCCACTTTGATGGGCCTATCAATTGCGACAGCATCCTGCTCCTGTGGGCACTCCAGAGTTATCCAGTGACGAGAAATGACCGGAGGAGACTGTACTTCCGTCTCGCTCATGAACCCAATGATCGATAGATCGGTGGCAAGGACGGCGCCCTGATTGGCAAGCGTCTGACGTTGCAAGGACCTCAGGATATCCTGCTTTCCGCGCTTGGTTTTAACTGTGGGTTCTGACTCCTTCGAGCTGCTGTTGTTGTTGCTGTCTATTTCTGAATCTGTCTGCATGTCTGTGGGGTGTCCGTTGTGATCGCCACCATTGCTGAGGTCCAGGTACTGCAACCGCGTCTTGAGGTCATCGGGAGGTGACTGACGTGGCTCTGGGGACAGGCGGATGCGATTGGACAGATGTCCACAGACAAGCGTGAAGGGGGTTGCGGTGTCCTTGTGTGGCCCCATCGAGCAAGCAACTGTGTGTCCTGTATGAATGGCGAGGATGGCACAAGGGAATACGTGCTTGTTGCGTGTTGTTATTTGCGTGGTCCGAGAGTGAAAAGTAAATGAACAAGATGGAAAAGAGAGCGAGGGAGCGAGCCTGGCTCTATTTAAAGGTTTTCAAAGATTTAAGGACTGTCTTTTTTTCACAACGAACGCAACTTTCCATACATATTAATTCTTTTTCTTTATTGGAGAAGCAGTCGAAAAAAAAGATGTGATCAAGGCAAGAGAAGGTAGAGGGAAGGGAAGGGAAGAGGAGTGAGATGAACAACAAGGAGTGTAAATGGGGAATAGGTGTTACGGATACCAATTGCAGGCGGAAAAAGAAGAGCTGCAACGTGAATCCAGGTATTAGGGGTAGTAAAAGACACAACAAAATGGAAAGAGTACAAGACAATAAAAACAAAAAAATAAAACTATTGTAAACAAGGCAGAAATAAGAAATAGTAAAAGGGAGAGAGAGAGAATAGAAAACAAAGGGCAAGCTTAGCAGAGCAAGGAGTGGACGCTCATGCGTTTCCGAGCAGCATCCATGGCTTTGACGGCACGCGTTTCCTCATCCTCGCCAGAGCAGCGGCAAACACTTCCGCAAGCTCCAGTCAAGCAGATCACAGGCCCCTTGCTAGGTCGCCCAATAAACGATGACCGACCCACACTGCTTGTCCGCCTCAACGAACTGTGTGTCTTGTGGTGGGGGTAAGTCTCGCCAGGAGACCTTGGGCTGGTGTTGAACTGCATCATGCCCAAACCACGTTCATCACCCTGAGGATTAAAGTGACCCATGGGGTGCTCGGTCGTAAAGGTCTGTCCTCCGGGGCTCTGAGAATGATGGCGCACAGGGCAGCCCCGATCCTGCTCAAAGTAGCCCTTAGACATCGACCCCTCACTGTCACGATCCCGTCCGACAGTATTCTCCATATCGCGCTCGTGGTCGCGATCATAGGATGACCCAAGGGTAGGCAAGGGTGACCGGCAGTCATGTCCTGATGGTCCATTGTCCTTGCACTCTGACCATTGTTGCTCTCCTATCTTGGCCCAACGGCAGACGAATGCCTTCTCAGTCTCAACAGTTCGTTGACTCTCCTCCCTCATATCGATCTCGCGAGCAGGCTGGCCGACTATCTTTTGCGCCAACTGAACACGCTCCCGCTGCTGCGATCCATGCACAATAGGGCACACTCCTGCCGACGACGCGTCGACTGGAGGATGATCTGGTGGCATGCTCTGCAAATCCATCTTGATACTCGATGTGTAGCTGGGGCGTGTTGAGCTGACCAAAGACATCGATGACGCGCTCGAACCTATGCTGGAGCGAGATCCTTGGTGCTGATGGTGATCTTGGTGACGGTTGTCAATGTCGCGATTACGATCCTGACTATCCGCCATGTCAGCCAAAGGTCGCTTCATTGATGGGGGAGATCGCGAAGCAAACGAGGCACCAAAGGACGATGTTGACAGGTCTCTCTGGAGCGACCTGGGCGTGCGTTGGCTGGCATCAGAATTGGCGGACTGGGCTGACTGTAGAGCCGATGGCAACGGCAGTTGGTGACGTCTGATATTGCCGAACGAAGGTGTGGGCTCTGACCGGTTGAGGTACTTTGACACACCGAAACCACCCATGGGAGCTGAGATCGAGCGGAACGACTCTGCAAAGACTGTGGGCAACCGATGGCTCGACGCACTTGGACCCGTGTGACTCGAACCTCCAAAGGGTTCAGGGTCAAACAACCAGCGGGCGGTGTGAAGAGGACCGGTGCGGAAGGATGGGAGGGTGGAGGAGTGTGATGGCTTGCCCAGAGGCACAGTGTAGGAGGAAAGAGAGGAACTCGAGAAGGGGGTACTGGGAGCAGAAGAGCCCAAAGACAAGGGAGGACGGCTATTGGAGCTATTCGAGCTCAGAGGCGATGGTGCAGATGGCGAAGAAAGAGATGGCGACTGAGTCGTGGACGAAGGCCTTGTCATGATTGGAGGCAACGAAATCTTGTCCATAGTATGAGAGCTACCCAGGGGCTCCATTGGAGGAAAACGCTGCTGCAATGGCTGCTGTCTGGCGTAGGGCGAATCGGCTGAACGGGAGGGTTGGGTATGGCTGTACAGGGTTGCTCGGGTGTCCTCGAGTGAGTGGCGTTCGCTCGACCGCGGATGATCATTGAAGGTGGAGGGAGTAGGGGGAGGGGTATGCTGGGCCATGATGCAGACGACATAGGCATGTTCGAGGTTGAGTCCCCGAATAAGATCTGTTCCCAATCCACCTCCGACATACATGCGGATGCTGAACATGCTCGATCCGCCGTCAGCGTGGCAAACACGGACCACGTCCGAGTATTCGTTCGAGCCCGGTGCACTCGAGGACATGATCCCTGGACGGTTCTGGTAAAAGACGGGGGAGGATGACTCCAGGAAGGAGTAGTCGGAGAGGCGCTGGGGGGAGTTCGGTGCGACGGCAGAGAAGACTGCGTCGCGGATGGTTGCAAGCAGGCCCCTCACCTTGCTCTGGTCCTCGCTGGCAATGATCGAGTAGAGAGTCTTGTGGCTGATATCGTGGGGGTGGTAGCCCCAAAGGGCCTGTGACTCGTCTGACACTCGGGCGCAGATCAAGTCCATGGTCAAGAAAACAGTTGCCAAAGGTGAAGTGCTCGGGCTGGTGTACATCTCTTGTGGCCGCTTGACTTGATGGCTGGAGGGTGGGTATGAGGGAGGGTAACTGAATGAGTCTTGGTGGTCCGACGGCAGCGGTGGCTCTGAATGAAGCGAGAGTGGGCGACTCTGGTAACCCTGAGCCGAGGGCTGATGGGAACGGTACGACAATGATGAGGATGACCGTTCGTGGTCTTGATTTGGATAGGATGAAGGGCGCGCCTGTTGCAAGAGGGACAATTAAATAAGCAAACAGGCGTTAGGAAGAAAGGTCGAAAACGCGAAAGGCGACAGTGGAGAAAAAACACAGTTGGTAGTAGTGGTTATTACCATGGCATCACCGGGAACAGGGTTGGTGTGGTGAATGGGGAAAGCATCGGTTGAACCATTGGACATCCTAAGAACAGCAAGGTATGCAAGGACACAAGTGTGCGCGTTAGCATGCGTGACCTGGAGTGACACAACAGACCATGATATGTTGATAAGAAAATAGCAGTGGCGGAACATACTTGGCGCTGAGTGTGGCCTTTTTAGGCATCTTGTAGTTGGCTGACTTTGTGTATTTGCCCTTGACGCGAGTCTTGGCGAGGGCTGAAGAGGCAGTGTGGGGCTTTGGGGCCAGAGGAGCACCACCTTCTTTGCCAGATGGACCCCAGACGACGGCATCGAGAGCGACGGTTCTATCGACCAACTTTGGGCGGCCTCTCTTCTTGTGCTCGACATCGCGGCAGGTATCGTCCTTCCCTACGGAAACACAACGTTTGCATGGGCGGGAAACTATTTGAGCAAAAAAAAAAACAGGAATAGACAGAGAGGCTAGAGGCGTTAGATGCGATACAAACGTTGCGATGAAATATGTGCGAAATGATGGCCCAGTCGAGAGAGTGACAAAAGGGCGGAAGTAGGAGCAGAGGCAGAAGACAAGTGGATCTTGAGATGATATGGATTAGTGGGTAGAATGGATTTGGTGGGTCGAGAGCGTGGTGTTTGGGTATTGCTTGTCGTTGTTGTTGTGTGTGCGTGTTTGGAGGGTATGTGTGAACATGTATGTCGTGTGGGTGGCTGGCCAATAGGAACACATCCAGAAATCGATTGATACCCGCGTGGATTGGCTGCAGCTTGCCAGTCCAAACAGAAGGAGATGAAAAGTGAGCAACAAACAAGAAGGGGCAAATAAAACAAACAATGCAACCCTTGTCAACAACAACAAGGATGAGAAAATATCCCCAATGCAATCCACAATGACAAAGAAGACTAAAAACCTTCGCAATTATAGTTGCAGCGTGTCGTTGCAAAAGAAAATGAGAAACAAATACATCCCTCGTGAATAGATAAATAATCCTCCACAACACATTTCTCTTCAAGGAATTAAGTCCTCTACGCCGTTAGCACCTGTCCGGGGCCACCCGTTTCCTTTGACTCTTTCTCCTTGTTATCCTGCCCGTTCGGCGTGAGAAATAAGCACGAACCATTGAACGAAAATAAACAAAAAAAGTTGGAAACACAAGACAACATCCACCACAACAAAAAATATTGGAGGAATCGGACCGTGAGAACGAATTGGACCAAAATTGAGTCCATGCCCCTTCTCAATGTTCGCTCTTCATTCATGTTTTTCTTTAGGAGTACAGAGTGACAGAGAGAGAAAGAAAAGAAAAAAAACACGCAATTTCATTTGGGAGAGTCCCGAAGGAGAGAAAAATGAAGGGTAGGAGAGAGAGGGTGCAAGGAGAAATAGCTGCATCGTCTAAAGTGCGCCATTGGATGGCGAGTGATAATATGAACGAGAACCAAAATAAGCCCAGAAAGCACACATCCCCAGTGAGCAACAATTGCGCAAATGGCGACAGAGAGGGGAAGATGGAACAAATCAAGGACCAGATGGAGTAAATAAAGCCGAGGTCCCGAACCGTATGTGGGTGAGAAGCAAGAGGAAGTGAAGGGAGCAGAACCAACACGTTGATCCCCAGGGTCCGATCGTTCTTTGAAGGCCGACGCCAATCATCCTTCGATCCTCTTTCCCATCCGCCCGACATCATTTTTTTGTATTTCTCTCCTTGTCAAGTGTCCACCACGATCGTCATCGTCATCGCAAAAAGACCTGAAAGCAATCGAAAATATACGTTGAGCGAAAATACACAACAAAAAAATGAGAAATGAACCGAGATAGGCAATGTGGATTCCAGGGACATATTTGGGTGAGAGTGTAAACATCTGTTTACGGCTCATTGTCCTTTTTTTGTCCGTGTCTGTCAACGCCACTTGCGCGTCCTCTCGTATATCTCCTTTCTCTTTTTCTCACTTGGACCATCGCCCTTGTCTTCATCGCCCTAGGCATCATCAACCCCACGTAGCTGACGGAATTAGCCGGACAGTTCTTTCTTTTTTTGGTCCTCCTTGAAAGAAACAGGAAAGAGGGAGGGGAGATGATACTGATTTGAATCGGAAAGGGGGGAGGGGAACTCGGACAATAGCGAAAAGGGGTGGCGATGTTGATGGTGTGGATGGCATGATGGACGGATAGCTGGGTGGTGTGGTGGTGCGCGTCAGTATTGTGGCGTGGGGTGAGTGGAAGACGTTTGTGAGCAAAAAAGGGTCTTGGGTGAACAGCGAAGGCTGGTCGTCCAGTAGCACGCCCTGTTGTAAAGGACGCACGTTCAACACCGACCTTAAACAGCGTCTTGTGCAACCGCGGAGAGGAAGTATGAAGTGATGGAGTAGAGAAGAGACTTACGATCACAGGCCAAGTGGGCCTTTTTGCAGTTGATGCAAGCGCTGGGGACGTGTGCTTTGGTGGATTTGATTCTTGCGACGGGATGTGGGTGAAGTGGGACGGCGGCAGACATGGTTGTGGGGTCTGAAGAGGAGGAAGAAGGGTGGTGGGCTGCGGGATGAGGCCGCATGGGAGCCGAGTCGTGATGGAGTGACTCTGGGTCCATCATGTATGGTGTGGTCGACATGCGCTTGTGAACAAGGAGGGGAGGAGGACTCTAGTGGATCCGTGTATGTATGCAAGCAGGCGGTCGGTTAGTCAATAAGTAAGAGGGAATGAGAGAGCTGTAGGGTCGGAAGAAATATGTCAAAAGGATACAAAAGGGAAGAAGAGGTGCTGTATGCGATATGTATGTGAGTGGGAGAGAGGGTGTGCCACGCCGGAGAATTAAAACATACAAAAAAATAGGACTAGGACACATGTAAATAAAAACAACGAAAAACAAAACGACAAACTGAGCGACGGTTGTGTGCAAAACACAAGCCAAGGAAAATAAAAAACACCAAGTTGCAAGGAATTAACAAAAAAAAAGGAGGGAGGCGAGAAGGAGCAAAATGAGGGATGGAGAGTGGAGTAAAAAAAAGAGGAGAGGGTGAGAGAGGTGTTGTGAAAAAGGAACAAGGAATAAGGCAAAAAAAATAAGCATGTACAAACAATCCCAAAAAAAAAAGATAAAAACGAGGATTAAAGGAAAAAAAGGAGAAGGGGTGGATGGATATGAAAAGCACAGAAGCAAAGAAAGAAAGGCGTGGCTCCAGTTTGCCGGAGAACAAGTTTTATCGTTGCTTGTTGTTGTTGGTATTTACACAAGAGAGAGAAAGAGAGAGAAGGCCCTTTTTGTTGTATGAATATGTGTTTTGTTGGATTGAGAAGACGGAGAGGAATGATTCCAAAAAAAGTTCGGGGATGTATGAACAGAACGCGGTCGAGGACAAAGAGTTTAAAAAAAGGAGGTTGATGACGAGAAGGAACTGAGAGAGAGAGCGTGTTGATGAAGGTTAGGTGGGAGTGTATGAGTGATGAAATAGAGATGGCGGTGTAGATACAAGTACGAAGGAAGGTGAGGGATAGAAGGAGCGACAAGAGAACGAGAAGGGGTGTAAGGAAGGAAGACCGTTGTCTGGGAAGGAGAATAAAAAAAAAGAGTTCAGACGGGGGGGAAGAACAAGTCGGGTGAGTGGAGTGGAGTAGAGTGAGGTGGAGAGGTACGTGGTATAGAGGATACAAAAGATGCTTGCTTGTAGTGCTGAAGGAAGTGACGATGGCAGGGGTATTGAAGGTGAAGACACTGGTTGGCTGAATTTTGACTCTTTTTCCTATTATTCATACCTTATGAGTGAGTGGGGTGTGGCAAGAAGAACGAAGAGGAAATGTGGTGTTGATAGTTGAATTGGCTGGATGGGAGGAGAAAATGTATATGAGTGTGAGGAAAGAGGGGGGGATTGGAAGGAGTCAAAGGAGTTTTGTTGTGCTTAAGAGTGCTATTAGTTGGTGGCAAGTGAAAGAGAATGTCGGAGGAAGTGCTTGTTGGCTTGTTGGAGAATCAAGGTCGTGAAATGAAGTGGTGTTTGCTGTTGGAATGATTTGTGTATGTGTGAGGAAGAAGAGTGAATGAGGAAGAAGAGCGGGCAAGTGCGCAGGAGGAAGTAAGCAAACAGAGGAGGAGTGCGAGAGAGAGAGCGAGAGAGAGAGAGGGTGAAAGGAGTGCGCAGAAAGGGTTGTATGGTAAAGAGCTTAAAAGGAGGGAAGGGAGTAGGGACACAAAGGAGAGTAAGAGTGAGAAAAGAGTTGGAAAGAGAAGAAAGAAGGAAAGGAGAAGAAAGGAAGAAAGAATTGAAATGAGGGTTGGAACAGTGGAGTAAATATTCACAGAGGAAGAGAGGGTTCAGTGCTGTAGGGACACCATTCACCTGTCTGTCTTGCCCTTCTTGACCCTCTCACACACACACACACACACACACACACACACAGTTCACGCACCCTTCGCGGAAATTATTTGGAAGTGTGTGCCTCCACCGAGTCAAAATACCAATTGATCGATTCAATCACTCTCACTCTTGCTATTCAATAGTGATCCCAAGGAGAATTAAAAAAAATGACATTATTGTTTACTCTTTGTAATCTATTCCATTGCAACTGACTATGCCGGATGTTTTTTGTTGTTTCCTCCTATGCTTCGCTCGCATTGTCATCGTCTCTCTGTCATCGTTGTTTGCTATTCTCTTGCTCTTGTGAACTGATGTCTTACTAGTGATTCGTCTTACCATGTCCATACCTACACCATACATCATAAGTGATGGGTGATCAATTGAATTAGACTCCTTTCTTACTATTACTCTTACTCGAATAAGGTGTAGCTCCAATGCGGTGTTTTGAGGGCGTGTGTGTGTCTTCTTCTTTCTTATTCTTTCTTCTTACCTTTGAAGTTGGACCATAGCAATAGAAATGAGCATCACTTGACTCAGATCCCTTCCTATATACTTCTCTCGGAGACTTCATGTACTCTTCATCATAAGCATCCATATACCCCTGCCAGCCATGCACCTCCAACTGACACCACTAGGCTCATCAAATCCTGCACCTTTCTTTCTTCCTTTTTTCTCTTTCTTTTCTACCTTCTATCCGGGGATATAAAAAACACTAGAAGTAAGAAAGTAGGAGTAAGAAAAAAAAAAAAAAAAAAAAAAAAAAAAAGAGAGAGATGAACAGGGTGTTGCTCTGTTGTACTCCTCAAAAAAAATGAATATGGAAAACAGGGACATTTAGTCCTGTAGTCATCATCTTGCCGCTCGACTCTGTGCTTGCCGCAGAGTATTCTATTTTTTGACTTGGGTACTAACAATGTTTAAAATGTTTCCTCCGCCCCACGTTCTCGCTATCCTCCCTCCCTTCCCACCCATCTGTCCCATCGTCATTCCTTCCTTTCTTCTCATTGTCTTTTGGTATTTGTTTCGATGGATGCGAATTTTTCTTTTCTCTATTTTGGAGAGATTGATGCAAACCAAAACATACCATACATAAAGTCGACACATAAAAGAGAGACATCATCACCAACCTCAACCAAAAGATCCTTCTCGTTCTCTTTCTTTCTTTCTTTCCAACCCCATCCCATTCTCCAATCTCCTCCGTAGTCGACACAAAGAAGAACCATCAAAAAGGTGACTCCTCACAAACAAGGTTCTTCTTTCCCTCACTTGCATCGCTGGGAAGACTAACAACAAAGGGGAAAGAAAGCGAAGACCTAAGCTCCACCAATTGGACAAAAGTAAATCAATTGAGGTCAAAAAAACAAGATATTCTTAGGTGCTTGCTTTTCTTGTTGTTGTTACAAGGAAGCAGCTACCCACGACCCTTATTGCGACGAGAGCTATTTCATATGCGTGGGCGAGTGAGTAAAAGAATCCCAGAGATGAAGAAAAAAAGAATACAAGCCAAACGGATATACGTCGCACGCTGTACAAACACACACATCAGTCATAACAGCACAAAAAAACACACCCTAAAAACAATCGACAGCCTATATTTTTTTGGGTTCTTTCCGATTGGCTTTTACAAAGTCCTTCACTACCCTGCCCTACTCTTGTCTTCATGCTCAGCCATTTTCCTTATTTCAATTAGATGTTCATTTTATTTCCATATGCTCACTCATCGATGATGGAAGAGGATGGTATGATGATGATGGGATCCCTTCTCACCCAATGTATTTGTTATTGCGTACTTCGATCCGATGGAGAGAGAGTAGTGTTCGGACAAATAGCGAAAATAAATAAAGATAATAAAAGAATGATCGTCCGTCCGTCCGTCCGTTCGAGCTTACCAAGAAGGGGGACAAGAGAAAGAAGCAATCGAAGAGGGGAGACAATCGAATGAACGCGTTGGTTTAAAGATAGAACGAATCATCAACCGCAAAACGCAGTAATCAGAACAAGAAAAAAAAATGCCCGACCGTCCGATAAACACCTTCACAGTTTTGTTTTGCGGCTGCGAATGTCGTTCTATTATATCTCCTTTTGAACAGATTGGATGCGTGTGCGTCCATCCGGTTCAACAAGTTCAGGTCCAGCAGAGATCCTAGCAAGCTCCGTCGTTTGCAGAGTTCGACCTGGCGACTGTCGTAAGTGGGCTTAGATGTCTGACCTACTCTCCTATTGTCCCCCGAAACAATAACATGAGATCCAATCCGGTGCGAGTAGATCTCTCTTGTATGTACAAACTGTCCCATCAAGTGTAGCCCTTTTTTTGCAGCCGGGAGGGTATCCATCTTTTGAGTCTAGAAACATATCCAAAGACACTCCTCCATCGTACCCTCATCTTTGCTAATGCTCAAGGTTGCATGTTCTGATACACTCTTAGCCAAATGCCGTTGTGGACAATAGAGCCCCTGACAGTCATTCACTTCCTTTCTTTCATCATTGTCCAACCTCCATAGTTCATATCCTCCACCCAACCCCTTTATTTTCTTGCGATCGGATTTTTGCTTGACATACACAGAGACGGCTGCCATAATCGCAAAGCCAAGAGACGTTTTGTTCATTTTGTGATCGTTTATTTCTATATGTGTATGCACTGCACCCACCCTCGTTTTTATTTGATATTTCTCCGATCACCCCACTCCCTTCATTCATTCATTCGATTGCTTCTTGCCTCCCTCCCTCCAATCACCTCCCTTTGGCTTCCCTGCTTAAACGCAAGAAAAAATCTAGGATTAGCATAACGAGTCGCTTTCCCGCGCATCTTTATCCTGCTCCGGTAAGCTCAAACCATCTAGACCCTTCAGTCCGTCACCTCTCCCTTTCTCTGCCATCTTTTTATTCAAGTTTCCAGGTCCCTACCTTAGAAAGTCAAAAACGTGAATACTACCAGGGGTTTCTCCGTCAAGTAATAATTGGGCTATTTTTTTCCTTCAATACACCCATTGGCCATCGAAAATTTGGCTCAGGGATAGAGAAAGATAGAGAAAACATGCTAGAGTCGTGTGCCTGTATTCGGACAGGATAGGATAAAACGAGAGAGAAAACGGACGAGTCATGTTTTGGCGGCATGGATGATAGGCTCTCCTTCCTTTTACTTCTT